ACGGACCAGTTCCAGTCATTGGCTTCCGATTCCGGGATGAACGTCTTGTTGAAGCTGCAGCGTGTTCGAGACGGTGTGACACTCTTTATCAAGCACTAGCGACTTGATACGGCCAATGTATGCGAGGAGGCCGACCTGCATGCACCACGAAATAACTGCCCCTTCCGTGGCGCACGCAGGCATCACGGCATTGAACGTGTGAGCCTCCGCGTCGACGCTGAAGTCGTACTTGCCTGACGCCATTGATGTGCAGGGGGGGCTGAGGGGGATGCGGGAGATCTTTTCTAATACGCGCTCCGATGGCGAGCGCAGAGCGCGCTTTGGTGCCCGTGTGTTATTTTGTAAATGTGATGGATGGGTATATGTAAAGTATTCATGTCCGGACATGCGTACACTTGGGAGGATCATTTACATTTGTGCCAATTAGTTTATCTCAACCATAGAGCAGACCCGGGACAACACCTGTACAACAATGCACACTGTAAAAGTGTGTGTATTGTTGGGTATCGGTGAATATGTCTGATTTTACTGCACGGTTCTGGGTTTCTTCATGATAGCCATGTGTCGGTGTGGATTTCGGCACCCCGTACGTCATCGCGCTTCCCCAGTACGCTAAGTACACGCCAAACCGATCGAAGAGTTCAGCAACTTTGCTTCTAGATCGAGTCGACAAGCTGTTTCGTCAACGCCCGAGCACTATACCAGGATTTGGAAACGAATGATGTTTCAGCGCTTATACACAACCTATTCATTACAAGTCGGATGTGTCTACAGTCTGCACCTCATGGTCAATGTGATGGGGTTTTGGTGTGTACTAGGATCTTTTTCCGCGTGACAGCACGCAAGGCTACACTTTCAAAAGAGATGCACCGTACATCAACGTTTTGCTATTGCTCCGGTCGAGTACGACACTACCGCCCACCCTACCGACCTCCTCTCCAACTCCCCGTATTATCCATAGATCAGCTCAATGTCGTCCAACGCATTTAGAAGTTCTTTGTTCTTTCCCACGTCTTCGTCGACATCCTCGCTTTTTTTTTCTTCTTCCTCCCACTTCTGGAAGCGCCTGCCGTACACATCATGCTTCACAATAATACAAATGAACCTGCCATATGGAATGAGTGAAAATCCAGCGCGCTTAACAGAGTGCTCGATGATAGACTGATCAGTGTGCTTTTAGGGTCTCTGCACCCAGCCAGTATCAACTTCAACACTCGGTGTTCTTGAGTTGCTGGCAGGGGTGTACTGCTGGCAGGGGTGTACGCCACCTGGTCAAAGTTTTTCCAGTTATTCAAAAGGGCGCACATCAGGTCCTTGAACTACTTGTAAAGCCCGATGTGAAAGTAAGCCGTTAACCCATCGAAGATGGCACATATCGAGATGTCGCGGGAAGCTCACTTTTCCTTGACGGCCTTGGATATGTGGGCCAGCATGCTATCCCATACAAACGTATTTTCACGAGCCTATAACACAGATAGACACACTCGACCCAGTTGCACCGCAGCTTTGAGTCCACCATCACTTGGGCTGGTAGGCAATGTACATCCCGTCAATCTTGGAGAGCTTGCGGGACTCCTATTTGTGCTTTCAGACGACAAGAGGGGGAAGCTTCACACCCGTTACAATTGCCGCGAGAATCGTAGTCACTCTCATCGATGCAAATCCAGTTGGGTTGAGGACAACATGGCGGCTGCCGCGTACTTCAACGATCTGCTTACGGGTATCTTCGAAGTATACCGCATTCTCGCCCAACATCACTGTGTGCTGGCAATTGTACTTTCACTTTTGCTCACCGAGAAACCGCATATACCACACAGCTCGTCCTACCAGTTGGTCTTCGTATAACGTAGGCAGGTTGGTCTGAAGTCGAAGAGACAATTTGTAGCACTTAATGAAGAAACTCACCCGGTGTGAATAAGCTTGAAACTTCCGAGTTGGTGTACGCTATAGAGCTGAAGAGCTTGAATAGCGATCCACTCTCTTGTCACCTTCTTTTTCTTGAGCCGTCTGACCGCAATCGCCCCCAGCAGTAGGTCTTCAAGGTCGCCCAACGACGGGTAATGTTTACCACCCGAAAGACGGGGGAGTGCGTTAATCTAGCCTCTGATATTTTTGCCGTATTTTGGGTGATGACATCCAATGCGTCGGTGCGAATATCCTTGGTATCCGCACCCGGTACGTCAAACATTCATCTAGCTCCTCCAGTCCACTAGCACGCACCAAGCTAGTCGACGAGTTCGACAACTGCTGTCCGTACAAAAACGTACTCATACTATTGCGCGGCGCCTTCGGTGTACGTATCCCAACGAAAGGACGCGAATCAAATTGCACCCATCCAGCACCGAACGATGCGTCCGGGCCCAAGATCGCAACGCAAATACTTCAGTCTCCATCTTCCATCATCTTCAAGTTGACCTTTCTATCACATACATGTGTTTTTTTACAACTTTTATCTGTATGACGCACGTATGGGTGTGAGCGCATCCATGCTGCCAGCTATCGTTTGACATGGGAGAGAAGATTACGTATTGTAGGTTCAACCCGTCTCCCACCATGAACCTTCGTGGTGAAAGATTTGAATTTGAGCACATATGTTGGTACCCGAAAGATGGTGAACTATGCCTGAGTAGGGTGAAGCCAGGGAAACTCTGGTGGAAGCTCGTAGCGATTCTGACGTGCAAATCGATCGTCAAACTTGGGTATAGGGGCGAAAGACTAATCGAACCATCTAGTAGCTGGTTCCCTCCGAAATTTCCCTCAGGATAGCAGCAACTTATTTACGATAGTTTTATACTGGGATAGGAAGCGACGAAGTGCTGATAGACCAGCCCAAACAGGATTAATTCGGGCAATGTCCCCCCTTCTAATCGACACCGGTGATGAACCGGTAACGTCTTTAGGTCAATTTACAGTAAGTGATGTCTATTGACCGAGTGTTTTAGACTTCTCAAGAATGATGGAGGCTGGTCCAGTTCATTTGCAAATTCGTCGAGTTAGATTCGTCATTGATTTTGCTCTGAAATCGGTTGTACGTCGTGACCATAGTGGCGATACATTGTCGGGCAGATTCTGCGGCTGCGAAGCAGGCCCAGGAGATGCCCGTGGAGCGTGCGGATTGAGTTTATCAATGGCGATCAAAGGTGAGTTAACCAATCCTATCCCAGCCTTCGCGAAGCCCTAGTGAGGTAAAGCGAATGATTAGAGGATTCGGGGAAGCAACTTCCTCGACCTATTCTCAAACTTTAAATCTGTAAGACCTGCAGGTTTCTTAATTGAACTTGTGGATGTGAATATCAAGTTGCTAGTGGTGCAACGCACGCGTTTAATTAAGTATCCATCATATATTGAAATATTATAAAAGCAAACTTAATGGGTCATTTGAATAATTACCTAGTCGGTCTCTATCGATGAGGAAGCATCAATCGCATCATCAAGTTTCATTCGAATCATTTCCTATTCTCACGCAGACGCAACATCAGGACGAAGTTACAGCACGAAGGTTAGCATAGTTGTATGCTTGGGAGGGCGCTGCTGCAACTAATAGCTTGCTTGAATTTGGTTATTAACAGCGCGGAGGTAAGAAAGTAAATACCGTAACTGTGTTATTGCACTAAAAAAAGTCTGCTTATCTGGTAGTTGTGGATGTTCATAATATAAAACGTGCAGCGCGGGCGACTGGTGCGCAGCAACTGCGGCACGTCTAAGTCGTGTGCGCTGTGCGCGTTTATCTGTTCGTTTTGATTTTTGCTATCTCAGCCCCCGCGAAGCCCTAGTATTCGATTTGGGTTGCGATAGTAGCACTAACGTTACTTTCTATCCTAGTAAAACTTACATGTAAGCCTCAAAACGCTTAAAGCGGCTATTTGTGCGCCAAAGCGGCTATTTGTGCGCCAAAGCAGCTATTGGGGCGCTACCTTGAACGGCCACAAAAGCGGAAACCCACGTCACTTTTCTCAATTGTAGTGCTTAGCGCAACGTAGTACAGTAGTACAGTCAAACCTGTTTATATGATCCTCTCTATTTGAGCCATGCCGTTTATTTGATGCAGGCTTTGTCGCTACCAAATATTTCACTTAGTGTTTGTATGATCTCTGTTTATATGCATACAAGGTATATGAGTCACATTTTTGGGGACCAAATTAGGTCTCACCTGTTTATTTGATTCACACTGCTCACGGCCACACACTCTTCAAAGCACCACTGCTCAACACTCAACGCCTACCGCAAGCCTTCTTCGCTCGCCATGTCTCCTCGCACCTGTCTGACGCTAGAACAAAAGCTCCAAGTGCACCTAAAGCTTAAGCAGAATCCTGGCATGAACAACCCCATGCTCGCCGAGTGGATCTACGCAACTTTCAAGGCCCGGGTCAGCCGTGCCACACTCGCCCGACTGCGCAACCTGCCTTCTTCCTACTTCAGCCACGTCGACCTGAGTGCGACCAAGCGGCGCCGAGTGAAATTCCCTCAGTTCGAGCGGGAACTGAGGGATTTTTTCTTTCAGAACGAAGCTAAAACGGCGATGACGGACGACGTGCTCCTGCTGAAGGCGCATGAGCTGGCGGAGCGCTTAGGAGGAAGAGGAGGAACAGGAACCCGCAGTTCAACCTGCCATTGCTCTGAGACACTGCATGGAGCTGGCTGCATTTCTGCTGCAATGCGGAGAGCAGACTGACAGAGAACGAAGAGCTTTACAGACCGTGACCGCTTTGGTTCGAGAGACTACGGTGAAGGCAAAGCGGCAGCGAACTATGCACGATTTCTTTACGTGCACCACATAATTTTTTTATCTGAGTCCATTTTATATGAGTCATTGTAGTAGATGGTCACCAACAGGGCCTCATATAAACAGGTTTGACTGTAATACACTGTTAGTATTATTCAGTATTACTAACTGCGTATAATTTCATTAAAATGATACGTTCGAACAGGTTACGCCAACCGTAACCGTGGGGCTCAATCTGTGTATCGTCACACACTTCCCTTTGATCGCAGGGAGCTACGCCACGATGGACGTGAAGCGGCTGCTGTGGGAATCCAAGCTGGCGGTGGCGCTGTGTCTGCTCATCATGGCGCGTTGTGTGGACCGCGTGCTCTACACGTGCGTCTTGGCCCTAGGAAGTTGAACCCACCGATCCGCTATGATCTTTAACGCTACGTTGACATTGATGTTTGTAGACGAATCACGTACGACTACACCGAGTTCCTCTGGTACTTCACGAACGTGATCCTGCCCATCGCCTTCCTCGTGTCCTCGGCTCCTGTGGTGGCGTACGTGCAACAAACTGGTCTCAATACATTGGTTGGGGGCTAACCTAACAGTGTGTTTGTTGTTGTGGATCCCTCCTAGATACAAGCTCTACTTCACGGGTGAGCGCATGGGAATGACTCCGTGAGCTCTTGAGGATGACAAATTGACACGTTTCTTGTTATTTCTGTAGATGACATTACACCGGAGATGCGTGAGTTCCCGCACTACAAGTACATGCTCATGGCGCTGTTCGACACGCTCTACAACCTGCTGGGCGCGTTCCCCACGCCTCACATCGGGTGCGTCTTCATGACGAGTCGATGAATGGTGTTGTGGTGACTGATTGTGCTTTTGTTGCTGTTTGCAGGGGGAACATGGCCAATGTGCTGAACCAGCTGAATCTGCCGTTCAACATGCTGCTGTCCTACATGTTCTTGCAGACACGTTTCAAGCGCGGCCACATCCTGGGCTCTATCCTTGTGCTGTACGGCGGCATGGTGAACATGATTCCTGTGCTTACGGGTCAGGATAGCGCCAACACCCCGGACCCAAGCGCTGGTTGGATCATCCTCTACATTGTGTCCCTGGTGCCCGCGGCAGCATCGAACGTCTACAAGGAGATCGGACTCAAGGACGTGGATCTGGACATCTGGTACGCCAACATTTGGATCAGCTTTTACCAGCTGATCATCGGCTTCGCCACGATCTGGACCGTGCGTATCAAGGCGTTTAGCGACCCGCCTGTGCCCTGGGGTGACTTCCCGTCGTATGTGGCTAAGGCTCACGAGTGCTTCATTGGCAACGAGGTCGAGCTGAATGGGGAGGTGCTGCCCTGTGACTCGGGTGTGCTGGAGGTCTTCCTGGTCTTCATCGTGTTCAACACCATGTACAACCAGCTCATGCTGTACATCTTCAAGGAAGGCAGCAGCGTGCTGTTCGTGGTGTCATCCGCCGTGGGTCTCCCGCTCACCGACCTGCTGTACATGATCCCGTTGCTCACGGGCAAGTTTGCTGGCCAGGCTTTCACTATTTACGACGGCTTCGCGCTGTTCGTGCTGGTGATGGGGTTGCTCGTGTACCATTCGGAGAAGGAAGAGCGCAAGCGCGGCACCGAGTCGGTGGAGAAGTCGCCCATGTATGCGTCGCCTTCGTTGCAGAAGACGCACCTCATGCGCAAGCGTCGTGGCAAGGTGGTGTACCGTCAGAGTCCGATGATTCGCCGCACGGGAAGTGGCAGCGATATCTCGCAGCGGCTTTTGGGCCGCAATGCCCCGGGCAAGAACAGCACGTACGGCACCAATGGCAGCGGCAACGCTGCGGCGCGCCAAACGGGCAATGATGGGTATTACCCGTAGGGCGTGCGATTCGTCTGTGTTGAAGAGCTACACGATGTAGCTCATGGTCCTCTTCCTTCGTCTCGCATCTCGCTTAAATAGAGGGTTAAAAATTGGCAATGATCCGCTGTTCGTTTGATGTGGGTAGTGTTTACAGGTGTCGATCCGAGGTGACAATTCGGCCTAGAGACGGGAAGTATCGGTCTCCTTTCTTGTCGCGGCGTGCCTGTACGTTCACGTAATGCCCGAAGCGATCAGCTTCCTGTGAGAAGCTATAGTCGCAATCCTCCTCTTTAGGATGCTGCACGTCACCCGCTACCTTCGAGCTGGGTAGCTTCCGGGGATTCATGGGGCCACTAGTCGAATCAAACAATGGATCGAGCATAAGATTGTAGACGGGATCCTGGTTTCGCCGTTTGGGCTTAGGCTTTGGCCTCGTGAAGACGTAGTGGTGATGAGGATGGGGTGATTCAGACGAAAGACTTGGCTTGTTGTTACCGGCAGGTCTCGTCGAGGCGATGTTGATCCCGTTCAAGCTTACGGGCGACTTCGAGCCACCGTCAAGTACAAGGATTGAAGGGGCGACATTCGACGTAGCCTCTGAAGTGGCTGCACTGCCTTCGTCCCTCAAACACTTAGACCCTCTCGTTAGGCGATCCCCGGAGAGTTCATCCAAGCTCCCAACTGGAGACTGCGGTAGTGCTGGAAACGATGCACTGGTTTGGGGTTCTTTCCTATGAACTGGGCTAGTCACCACACTTGATCGATTGGAGACCCCTTCCTTGACCCCAACAGCACTGGTGACGCTCGATTTGCGACGTTGCTCAAGTTGTCGCTGTTGCCGCTGCTGGTGCTCATTGATGAACGCCATCGTCTCCCGAGCAAGCTCACCGACAGACTTTTTGTCCCGCAACGCCATGGGTTTGTTCTGAAGTTCCATCGCGAAGTCGTAGCCGATCTGCTTCACTCGCTCCATAACGAGTGTTGGTGTTGCCACTGCACTTTTCTCGCCCTTACCGGGCTTTGGCTTATCATCGGCAGACGCTCGATCTGGAGCAAAACCTCTGACACTTGACAAATACGCATGGTACTCACCGAACGGATACGACGCAATGGAACGGATGGTGGTTACCGCGGAGTACTGCAGTGATTCGAGGTAAGGATTTGGATTTCCATCGAGGCGAAGTCGCGCAAGGAACGGAAACAATAACTCGACGATACCAAGCGCCACAACTCGGGGAATACACACGAGCACGTCTTGGCTCAAGGCAGCGATGGCGCTGACTGCGTGAACAAGTAGTCTCCACCTTTTAACCTCTTCTTTCTTCTTCGCGGATGATGACGCGGTGCCGACAGTGAGAACAAGGTCCTTGTGCTGCTGCAAAACTTTTGTAAGCAGTTCTAACACGCGGAAGTGCAGGAAGAGCTCACTTGTGCTGCCTTCGACGGCATTCACCATGGCCAAATGCGCGATAACGACCGCAATTTCACTCTTGCATTCATCGTCAAAGGATTTTGAGGTTGGGTGCCGCAGTTGCATGCGCTTCAGCAGGCGAGGAAGTACGTGGGCACGCATTATCCCGGTTCGACCATCAGCTACTGCACAGAGTTTGCCAAAGAGTGTGTACAATGCAGCAGGCACATCCAAAAGCCCATGATCATCAACAGAGGCATCAAACTCGACACTTTGCTTCTTCGGCGATGACTTTCCAGTTGTAGTCGAGATGAGGATCTCTGGTAGGTGGATCAACGCTGTCTGTAGGCAACCTTGAGTGAGCAATAAGCTGCAAGCCGTGTTGGTGCAAGCCAGCCGACTCAACGCTACGCAGCACGCACTAACAAGGTCAAAGTCGATGCTTTTCTCGCGTAGAATGTGCAAAATGGCTGGAGCAACGAGCTCAACCAACTGCTGCAGCTTCTCTTGGGCATATTTTCCGTGCGGGTGGTTAGCGTGCGTCTTCAAAAACTTGTTTCGCGAGCTTTCCCCGTAAGGCATTGGGCGAATGTGCCCCGCCAGCTCCACTGCAGCAACAACCTTGCTTAACTCGACTTCAGGAAAATCTGCGGCGTCACAAGGAGTTCGGATGAGCGCGATTAAGTCTTCCAGCACATGCATCCGGAACATGACATCGCAAATTAAAGCTTGGGGCCACTCGGGAACTTGTGGGGACGTGATAGAAGGCCGAAGTCGAGCATCTACCATGTTACTGGGGCACCTCGCCAGTCGACTTAGCGCCTTACAGGCTTCTTTCGACCCTAGCTGATGTATGAAGCGATCCTCCGATGAGCTACGCGCTACCAACCCCTCAATTTCATCAAGCCGATTGCACTGAATGGAAAGTGCGAGGTGGTTGATGGTGTCCTCGGAAAAGCATGCACGATTCACGTGCGTGGCCTTGCACATACGCCCCAGCAAGATGCAGCTTATGTTGCGCTGGCGAGAGTTCTGCACGGGTGACTCCATGCAGCTCGGTGACACTTGCGTCAAAAACTGCACGATAGTAGGCAGCGCGTTCACTGAGAAAAAGTAAGCTGCCGTCTTCTCTGATGCGCGCGGGGAAGAATCATCTTGCAGCGCCAACTCCAACACGAGCGTGTAAAATGCATCCAGTCGGTCTTCGAAGGTTGCAAGAGCCTCTAACAACGAAGTGACAGGTTTCACCTGCTCGGTTTGCCTTGCTAGTAGAGCGCACCCTATCAGCGCCATGATGAAGGCCATTCGCGACTCGGAAGCTTCAAAGCTTGGTCGGCACCAGCGCAAGAAAATTTGCACGGCGCCCGCAGTCGTAAGTCCATGCCTGGCGTCAGTACGGCTTGTCATTTCGTAAAATAACGTCACTGCCGCTTGAACAACAACCAAGTTTGGGCCTTTCATGCACAGTAGAACTTGTTCAAGCCGTCGACCTCCACATCTAGTGAGTGCGTCAAGGAGCTGAGAGAACCCCAGTGACCGCGCTAGCAGAGTTAGAATCTCCAGTACTTGTGCTCGCAATGAATCGTCTTTGTCGCGACAGAAGCGCAAAACCTCGAAAAGCGTGTCGAGCACGTCCGCAGTCAGCAGGAACTGGCGCACTGAAGCCTTCAGCTTTCGCATCAAGAAGGTTCGCTCCTCTGGGGTTGCTGCACGAGAGCGATCTTTAGTAGGAGATCTTCGGAGAGGGCTAGTGGGGGTTGTTGATACAGCACTTTTGTGCCCCCACTGCTCTGTTGCATGGAGAACCTTTCTCGAAATGGAGAATAGCAGATTAAGCGAGCTCGCTAGTGCAGCGATTGAGGCAGCGGTTTTACCATTGTTCCTCAATTCCATGGTGCACGTCAAGTCAAGTTGCACCCTCTGCACGACATTGCACTGGAGAATCTCGAGAATCTGCTCGTCTCCATGACCTTCGACGATGTTTGCAACAATTCCTTTCACCAGCTCAATAACTTCGCGGCTCTGGCGTCGAGTAATTAGTGATACGAGACATACCAACAAGCCCGAACCGAGGATGCGTCTCTGATCTGAGAGTACAGTGTTGCGAGTCTTGTTCGAAATGCCGTCGGGGTCACGCTCAAGCTTCGCCAAATGGTACAGTATAGTGATGTACGCTTGCGTTACACTACTTGGAATTCCTCCGGAGCCGACAGCTTCTCGATACACCTTGAACTGGTGCCGCAGCTCCACGAGCTTGATCATGTGCATGGAACGCAGACGCGTTCTCACAATAGGATCGTAGTCGCGTTGACTCACTGTGCGCTCAAAGAGTACTCCGCGCCAGTGGTGCTGGAGGATACGCGCGCATAGCTCGGTCTCGCGTAGCAGACATCCGATGCTCTTGTTCGCAGCGTTTTCACTTGACAGCACGTGTGCAAACCACTCGGCCAGCACCGCTACCAGTCGAGCCATGCGGAATATCTTGGTATTGTTGGTGAGTTTGGAGAGTGTCCGGAATGCCTTGTTGGTCAACGTTGGTAAGGATGTCTCGACGTAGTCCACAGCATCTAGTAGCACAGAAAGCACAACAGGACATCATCAATCGTGATGTCTGGTCCCTCCTCCACTGCACCATGTTAACGTACCGACCTTCGTGAGTCTCCATCAGGCGGAGGAGCATTGTGGTAGCGAGCTCACGTCGTGAATCATCCTCGCAATGCTCAATCTCCTCGTAAAGAGTATCCACGGCAGCCTGGATCTTCGTAGCATTCCACCCGCGGGTATCCCATTCTTGGTCCATCAGCATCGTCGCCTACATATCAACAGCATGCCCAACGTTGAATGCATGTCCAGTACCAACCACCTTTGTGCTAACTTACAATGCGGCCGTCGGTCACAACGGGGTCTTCCTCCTCTTCCGCTCGATCTGGTTCGCCTCGATCTTCTTCATCGAAGTCTGGAGTGACTTCAGGGAATCGACTTGGAATTACGCGCTTGGGAGACGGCTTCGGACTCGGCGCTGGTTCATTCGTCTTACGTGACCGCTTTGTCGTATCACGCAGGATCAAAACACGCCGCCCCACGTCCTGGAGGTGGTCGCTTGCTGCCGGGTCCAGCGGTCGGTCAAGTGCGAGTGTCGGGAGCAACTGTTCCTGCATCGCGTACACACGCTTGGCCTCCGCGTTCACCTCCACAGTGCGGTCCACCGTGGAGCCACGCTCGTCTTCCCATGGGTACGCCTGCTCATAGGGCAAAGTCACCTCACGTCGCTTGCCACGGCGCGAGTTGCGCTCGCTCATGACGGTCGAAGACTGCAAAGCTAATCAAGACCTGACGGAAATAGGGTCCGCTACCACTAAGGCATGGGCACCATGGACAACGCTGGCAGTTTCATCAAGACGATGTATTGTTTACATACTCAGCTGGCCTGCACGCCAGCGCAATGCAATGTTGCGCTGTGGGCGATATCCGAAGAGCTACCAGTGACTTGAAGCTGGTAGCACTCACGCAAACATGGAGGTTCCATCCCTCAAACGGCATCAAGTGTGTGGGTGTGGGTGTATGAGAGGTATGAGAGGGCACTTACTTGCCGCCGAAGAACTTGCGCCAGCCCGAGGTCTCCGGGAACTTGACGCCGTTCTCCGTGAGCTTGACGAAGGCCTTGGAGAAGTCCTTGAACCACAGCTCCTCGTCCTTGGCGTACATCTCGACGTACTTCTTGAACTTGGGGTCCTGGATCAGCACCATGTCGGCGGGCAGCATCATGAGCTTGCCCGTGGGGTCCTCGTACTGCGTGGGGCCGTTCCACTTCTTGATGGTCCACTTGTTCTCGAGCAGCTCGCGGAAGAACTCGTTCGAGAACGTCCACTCGGCGTTAGTCCACGGGCCGCTGTAGCCGCTGCGCGTGGGGTAGCAGCGGCCGATGGCGTGCGCGCCCACGAGCGCCACGATGTCGCGGTCGTCGAAGCCCATGCGGTAAAAGACGTCGCGCACGTGCTGCGTGGTCTTGTCCTTGCTGCCCATGTCGGCGTTGGGCAGGCGGTCGTCGGGCGTCTGCGTGGGCTCCTTGCCGCTCTTGGCGTCGGGGCGGCCGAGGCGGAAGGGGATCTCGGGGCCGCCCATCTCCTCGATCATGGCCACGCCCGCCAGCACGTACAGGTCGGCGTACGAGATCTCCGGGTGGTTCTTCTTGACCTTCTCGAGGGCCTTGACGGCCAGGTGCAGGCCGGCGTTGCCGCCGTGGTTGATCTCCGGGTCGAAGCGGATGGTGCCGCCCGTGGAGCCGCCGCTGTTGTCCACCTTGCTGTAGCTGCCCGACGAGTGCCACGCGAGGCGCACGAGCGTGGGGCCCATGTAGTTGTCGTCGTCGAAGATCTCGACGATCTCCTTCTTGATGGCGTCGATGTCCACGGGCTTCTCGCGCGCGTTCACCAGGTCGGTGAGCGCCAGGCCGCTCACGGCCGCGACGCCGGCGGCGGCCAGCACGATGGCGCTCGGCTGCTTGTTCTTGTTGGCGGCGCGGAACTGCGACGTGGCGAGGCCGCGCGTCTTGGCGGCGGACGCCTGCTGGGCGGCGCGGAGGGCGGCACGACGGAACATGGCGGCGAAGAGGAGGGGGGGCTTCGGTGCGCTTGGGGGCTTGGCGGAAGATCTGGAAGTGAGTGAGGGGCATCTACAAGAGCAACCATTGCGAACCACCTACCCGGGTCGGACATCGCCTCTCAAAGGGCGCATAAAACTGATCTTCGGATAGGATGGGGTAGAGTGATTTCGCAAGGAATCGATAGATAGAGGTATAATTGTGATGGTCTAAGCATTTGATCGGTTTTGATTATGACCTCGGGTATTACGGGTTATTAAAATCATCAGATCGGCGGGAATGATTACTAAAGATCGCTGTTCTGGGGGTCCAGGCACATTGACATACTGGCGGTGCGGGCCAAGGATCAGGGCTGTAGGTTGCAACCGGAAGTTAAGCCTGGGGCTCTCCTTCGCCATGCGGCGACGACGATATCTTCTGGAGGTGAGGCTTGTTCGTATTGGTGAAGCCGGTATAGCTTTGTCCGTCCTGGATGGCTGCCACCTCGACCGATAACCCTTTTTTAGGGGTCTAAAAAGGGGATCCTTTCAGCCTCCAACTTCAAGTACGTGGCGGGATGCTGCCGTGCTACCATTGTGGCCTACCAAAGGCATATGGGCTGCCTTGCACTCTTCTCTTAAGAATTCGCCGTCGTCCGCAGAAGTGTTTTCGTCGCCGACGTCGCAGCTCTACGAGGATGCACGCTAATCTGCCGCGTTGCGCCAGTTCGACGAGCTCCAGCGTTGCGCCGCAGGGTGTTTACCGGTGTCAACAAGAGGCGAGGACGTGAGATCCACGCAGTACCTGTTCTTTCGAGAGAGCAGCGCATGTACGTCCACGGCACCACTGCGATGACTCTCCGCCGGATCGGCAGCTGGAGCTCGAGACGATGCCATCAGCTCAGATCCCCATAATTCGGCCTGGCGCTTTGAACGGTGGCCGTACCAGTAACCCATTTGTGGCAACCAAGTCCAGCGTTGCGTCATGATCACCAATACCTTCTTCAGCGCTATACAAGCAAGAAACGCTGCTTCGGCTAGTCGCGTAACGGCTCGTATTTCCCACAACCATTGCTGGCGCGACGATGGCCTCCACGGAGAGCGGCAGGATGGTTTTCGTGCCGGTCGATGCACTGAGAACTGTCGTGCACGGCGTCCGCGAGCAGGCTGCCGAGAAGCAGCGCCTACTCGCCCGGATCGAGGAGAGTCGCAAGCGTGTGCAGTTGCTGCGCAGCAGGTCGACAGCGGTGGAGTCGAAGCTGCTGGAGCATCGCCAGAGTGCCGTTGTGCACAGCGGTAAAATCGTTATATCTCCCAAGGGGATCGGGCCGAAAGGAACTGTCAACCTGCAGGCGATGACACCTCCAAATGCTGCAGCAGCAGGAGGAGGAGACCAGGTTTCAGGCGGCATCCTGACGATGCAGAAGCGGGTTTCGCAGCTGGAGACGCTCATGACACTGGCGAAAGAGGTTTCCGCGCAGAGCAGTTTCGATAGCGTGATCGAGCGTACGCTGCGAGCCGCACTGCAGTTGGTGCACGCTGACAAGTTCACACTGGGCATCCTGCACGAGCGTCGAAATGTCCTGGACATCTTCTCCATTTACCGCGACCCTGACGCCGACATCGACTTAGCGTTCACCAAGGTGAATGTCATCAACGAAGGCTTCGTTGTGCCCGACTCCCCCACCGTGTTCGGCCGCGTGGTCATGACCGGACGGCCCTTTGCGATCGATGACTCCGACACGCACACAATTTTCTTAAGTCAACGGAGCAGGGACAACGTAGACCACGGCGGCGTGGTCACTCCCCATGCCTTGCTCTGTCTACCTATCCGCAACGCCCATCGCGCTGTTGTTGGTGTATTGCAGGTGGTATCTGCAAGCAAGGCATCGTCGTCGATTGCCTCTGCTTCGAAAGCGACCCCAGCATCCTTCACCGATCCAGATATCGCCAATCTGGAGTTCATTGCTATCGTTGCCGGCGCAACGATCTGGAACCTCGTGCTCTCGCGTCAGCGGCAGACTGCCCAGCACCGAATCGAAGGGCTTCTCAAGCTCCACCGCAACATTTCAATGGAGAGCGTGTCTTCCTCTGCAGTGCTGGACCAAGTGCTCGCTGTTTGCCACGAGCTTGTCGGCACTGAGCGCATTGGTCTGTTCATAAAGATTGAGGGCGAGGACGAGCTTTTCATCGCCAGTGCAGCCGATATCGTGCGCGGAGAGTATGTACCGATAACGAAAGGCATTGCTGGGTATGTCGCTCGCACAGGCGAGACGGTGATAACGAATGATGCGTACTCGCATCCGCTGTTCGACCCGACGTTGGATCAGAAGACGGGATTCCTGACGAAGCGCATCTTGTGTCTGCCAGTCAAGTCTCCCGAGGGCACGATCCTGGCAGTGCTCTCTGCAGTCAACAAGGTCGACGGAATGGACTTTACCAGCGAAGACGCAGTTTTCCTCAACTATGCCGCTGAAGCGGTGGGTACTTCGCTACACAAAGCGAGCCTTCATCGCGAGGTCAAGACGTCCCAAAAGCTCATCGAAGCGCGGCTGAAGCTCACCACGTTCATATCTGAAAGTACCGATATCGCCGAGTTCGTGGACATGGTCATGGAGTTGGGCAAAGATATCATGGAGTGCGACCGCTTTGGTCTGCTGCTTATCGATCACTTCAAGCATGAGCTCTGGATCACTCCACGAGTGGGTGGTGAGAGCATCCGCTCTCCGATTAATCGTGGGATTTCTGGACTTGTGGCAACCACGGGTCAAACCGTGTGCACGCGTGACGCCTACAAACACCAGCTCTTCGATCCGAGCGTTGATATGAAGACAGGCTACCGCACTACGAGCGTTCTTTGCATGCCGGTGTTTGAAGACCACTCGCTCACGGTACCTCCAAAGGTGGTTGCTGTCGCTATGTGCATCAACAAGAAGGAGGGCACCCACGTCGTTGCCTTCACTAAGACGGACCGTGAAATCATGAGCAAATACTGCGCGGAGGTGCAATTTGCGCTTGGGCGGTTGTCTTTGGACATCTCGTACTACAAAGTTGTGTCAGATTGCGTGGCTGTCGCTCGAACCAGCATCGAGTCGAGCTCGAGGGCTCTGAAGCGAATGTCAACGACCAGCCGCATCGATAAATACTCCGAGACGGACATCATTTCGTCCATCGTACACAAGTACTGTCATGCCGGGGATGACACCAGTGGCGTGACGAAGAAGAGAGGAATCTCCTCCTTCGCAGCGCTCCTACCGGCCATCAAGAAGAAAAGTCACGAGGATGACGAGGTTCCGTTTCCACGCGAGATCATATTCGCTCATGGACGAGATGAACCGCTGGATAAATGGGACACCGAGACGGTATCGCTTTCGAGCAGCGAAGTATCAATGAGTTGTGGCATTATTTTCCGCGCGTACGGCTTCATGGACGCCTTCCGCATCTCCAGTGAGAAGTTTTCGGCCTTTACAACCAACGTGGCCAACTACTACCGCAGCAACCCGTTCCACAACTTCCAACATGCGTTCCAGGTTTTGGTGGCGATGCACATCATGTTACGCACCGAGTGTCGTCGGTACTTTAGTGGTCTCGAGATATTTGCCATGCTCGTTGCCTCACTCTGCCACGACATCGACCATCCGGGTAACACCAACGACTTCGAGCTCAAGATGCTAAGCCCTATGGCGCTCACGCACAATGATGACGCCGTGCTGGAGCGCCACCACTGTCGAGTGACCTTCATCATCCTCAACCACAAGTCCGCCAAAATCTTGCAACACCTTGACCGAGAGCGCCACAAACGCGTGCGCCAGCTCATCATTGCGTGCATCCTCGCAACCGACATGTCCAAGCATTTCGAGAAGTGCAAGGTCCTCGAGGGCCTTACGCGTCGACAACTCAGCGACAAACGTCCCGTCTTGATGGGCATCCTCATGCATGCCGCCGACTTGTCGCATTACGCGCTGCCGTTTGCTCAGGCACAGGAGTGGGGTGCCCGCTTGCTTGATGAATTCCAAAACCAAGCCGCGGCTGAAACAGAGCACGGCGTCCCCACCGACTTCTACATGAGAAATTTGGACAACAAGCGCGTTCGGATCACGGTCCAGCTAAACTTCATCAACTATGTGGTTCGCCCAATTTGGCTCCCCCTGACTTCGCTCTGCCATCACCTACGGGTAAGCTTTGTATGTTTCTTTGTCGTCTGCCACCCTTGGTCATTTACTGCTACTTTTTTGCAGTTCTACACAGACTCGTTGGAGCGGAACTACGAAATGTACAGGCTGCAACTCGACAAGGACAAGGACAAGGACAAGGACAAGGACAAGGACAAGGACAAGGACAAGAGCGTTGGGGTCGTGTCAGCAAGTCCTTCGACAGCTACGCTCCCAGGTGCACCGACTAGAAGCGTTTTGTCCTCTCCACGCAACGTCCACAGCTCCACTTAGTCAACACCGTCAGTGAATCTGTAAATGGGACTATTGACCCGACCCCTTCACCTTGATTACCGTGCTGTTAGTTTGTTTGCCTATTGTGCTTTCCTTCTTGTACACAAGGCTGTATCGTAGCCTCAACTCTAGTCGAAGAAGAGAACAACCACCGTGGTGTCATCGTGACGGCGGCGGCGGTGGCTTCCAGGCGGCAGGCTCAGCAGCTCCTGGTACGTCATGCCGTAGCGCTTCGCCGCCTTCTGAAGCACCCGTTCAACCAGCGCGCGGCCGGCAAGGTCGTGGTTTCCGCACGAGGCTTGGCCGTTGACCACCTCCACAGCCTCTTCGTTGCTCAGGTAGTCCCACAAGCCATCAGAACCAATAATGAGGAACTTGTCCCCCTCCTGCAGCTTGTGCGACTTGACCTCGGGGATAGCCGTGATGTAGGGCGGCGTGTAAGGTGCCGAAAAGTGGCGGCCAGCAGAGCGATCACCGTTCACGTACGGCGGCCCATTAAACTCCGGGTGCTTGAGGGAAAAGTCGCCGAAAGCGCGCGTCGGCTGCAGCGCACCCTTCACGTAGCACGAGTCCGGGTGACGGCAAGTGAACACGTTGGCCTCTCCGGGGTGTTCTTTGATCAGCTTATCCTGCTCGAACTTCACCATAGCATTCTGGTCGTTGCTGAGCGGCTCCGCCACGATCGAGTCCGAGTCCTTGCCAGCCTTTCCCAGCACTGCACGGATGTCGCCCGCGTTAGCAACGTGAACAGTGCCTTCGTGCACGTACGCCAAGCACGCGCAGGAGCCGCACCGCGCCACAGCTCCGAACCCCAGCTTGAACGCCGACGCCACCTCCGCCATCAGGTCGCGGTCCGTGCGGCCAAACGCACGCTGGATGGCAGCAGCCACGCGTTCGTCCGAGACCGTCTTGGCGTCCCCATGAGCGGGCTCCTTCGTGCCCGGCTTGTAGAGGTACGACAGCTCCTTCTGCACGTTGCCGATCAGCGTCTTGCGGGCGTACTCAGACACCTGCCATCCACCTGCAAGTTGCAACACACAATGCAGTCAGAATTCAAGCAGCAGCAATGCTACGTATCCGAGGGCAGCGCAGAGCGTACCGTGGCCGTCCAGCACGGTCGCGAACACGTCGCCCGAGCTCGTCGTCTCCACCGCGTACTTGTCCTCAATGGGGAAGTTGGCCTTGTATGAGGCGCTGCTGAGGCGCGTCGCGCGCGACTTCGAGATGGGCGCGAACTCCTCGCGCTCGAGCGGCACGGAGAAGGCGCCGTCCACCTCGGGCGGGGCGTACCGGGCGTCGCATTGCGCCTCCATGTGCGTGACGCCCACGTCCGTGAGCTCCGCATGAGCGAGGGCGAGCACCGACAGCCCCAGGCCACTCAGGAACAGAGCTTGTCGCAGCGCCGAGCCATGGAACTAAAAAGCACACAATGCAAGTGGAGAAGTGAGTTCGGATTAAGATTAAGAGGCTTGCAGCGACTTTAAATCGGTCGGGGGAGCTGGAATTTGAAGCGATAGAGTAGGGGTAGTTATCAAGGAGGTGGGAGGGGTGCGTGCTCACCTTGGGGCTCTGTCCCGGCGCCAAGCGCGCCAGGTTTCGTGCAGCAAACAGTCGCATGCTCGACGTCGTCCAAGCTGGATTAGCTCAAGGGGAGCTAGAGGCGTAACGATCTGTCGGGAGGCGTAATGATATGTCGTCTCGCTCGATTGTGAAGTTGAAGTGGTTGAAGTGATGACTTTGGGATCGTGAAGTTGGCTCAGGCCGTTGGCGAGATTGCCTGAGCGTACTATTGTACACTCCCCGGCGGTGGTCCCGTCAGATTGGCGAGATAATTTTACGCCAACTAAGGCACCACCTGCCGAGGACAGGTATTGGCGAGTCCCTTGCAGTTTGTTGCAGTGCCTGCAACGCAGCCCCAGAGGTATGATACATTGTCAACTTGACACTTGGCAATGTTAAGCCGTCCAAGTCGGCACAGATTCACTACTCCAGTCTCGTGCTGGCCTCTGTACTCCCTCCTCTTCTACTATCGCAACTTTGAATTTGTTTGCATCTGCTCGCCACAACGTTCTCGGTTGCCACGTTAGCGAGCCTGAGTGCTCACTCGCCACGGATGAGTAAGCGCTGAGGGTTGTTACACTGACTGTTCGATCAGGCAGCTCCGTGCTAAGCTGCCTGCCTGACCACGCGACATTGTGCGCGAAAATCCGATGCAGCAAAGTTCTGGACGGAGCTCGCAGCTTCACCTTGGTGTGCGTCCGTAGGTCATCCTCGCTGCGTGAGCAGTTGGCCACGTTGTACGTCAGTCCACCGACGACAGTCTCAGTGTGCCGCTCGTCCACAGCAGTTTTGACGCTGGTGGTGCTGCGTTGTCGGCCACGAAGTCGTTTCTCGCGGCATGGGCTCTTCATGAGTGGACATAATATCAGCAGGAGCTTGTCCACTCATCGCGGAGCTCAGCGGTGCAGCTCGCCGCAAATGACGGTGCGTGGACGGCGAGTGGGGCGGCGCTTTTTTCCTGACTCAAGTACAGATATCGCGTCAACTCAACCTCGACCTCGACCTCGAGCGGCAAGAGCGCTTTAGGGGTCGTCATTCCCGGTGTGCGTTTCGTCGGGCAAGGCGCTTCCTCTTACTCGCAGGATCGAGGATCGTCATGGAGTTGTCACGAAATGGTCAAGCAGATGCAAGCGGAGCCCCAAAATGAGCAGAGGCGACCGAGCATTCACCCACCCGAGTGGGTGAATGCTCGGTCGTACTATTTGCCACCGGGAATGCCCCACCTTTGGGTTCAACAGCGCGGATCGTGCGACGCGGATAGACTCGCACGCCTCCCGCCTCCGGCTCCAGAGATTTTCGCACGCGGGGCCTGGCCAGCTCGAACTCCGCCGCGTTCCGCTGAGAGCGTTGCCATGCAAAAATGACAAGTGCGAGCGTTGGGATCGAAAATTAGCTAAAGCGCTAACTGCTTCACGCCAGAAAAATCGCGCTGCGGCACCCGTCGCCACACCAGCCCCACCAGCCCCATCGACGCTCTCTTGGTGCCTCCGAGTTCACTCCGAGTTTCTACCCCTGCTTTCTTGCGATTGCGGCCCCACCGACTCCTTCTGGGCCGCACCGACCAAGTAGACGCGGCGGGCGAGTTGGAGGCGTTTCTTTCCATTGCGTCGCCGATTTGCCCGGGCACCGGCGGGCCCATTAGTCATTTTGCTCGAAAAGCAGAGAAGTGCACGACACCCCGGCGCTCTCGATACACACCAACCATCCCCCCAGCTCACGGCAGCGCGTGCTCTTGCAGCAGCATCGACTAACGAAAGCGACCTCTAACACCGAACAAGCTTCGAGTTCCTGGTGGCAATGGCGGCCGACGACTTCTTCGTGCTGCACCTCGTGGACTCGGCCGACTGGGTCGCCGACCATGAACGCACGCTGTGCTACGTCTGCACCCGGCCCTTTGGCACTTTCCGTCGCAAACACCACTGCCGAATGGTACGCAAACCGTCTTGGCAATGCGCTGGCATAGGATTCCAGGTTCCTAACTTTTCTGGTTCATTTGACTGCAGTGCGGAGAGGTGGTTTGCAAGAACTGCACGCTCTACAAGGACGCCCACGTCGATCCAGCGATCGGCCCCACGCGGGTTCGCGTTTGCATGTCCTGTGTCATCAACAACTCGAACCAGCGCTCGGGTCGGTCCATGGGTGCACCATCGCCCCACCTTAGCGCGACTTCGGAGGCGTCACGCATGTGGATCCAGAGCCACTTGCACTCGCCGTCGTCCGGCCCACCGTCGGAACCGGACAGCGAGGAGCTGCAGCTTCTTCGCTCGCTCACGCCGAAGCCCAGACAGCCCTTTGAGCTCAGGGACGGGCACTTCAACGCGGAAGGCGAGTCGAGGAAGAGCCGCAAGAGGAATCTGCACACCAACGAGCACAACAGCGAGCCTTCGTCCGACTGGGCCCACCCGTGGCCTCGACCGCCTGTGAGCACCGACGAAGGAGACCGACTCCGAGCCTTGTACGCGTTGCGTGTGCTGGACTCGGAAGCGGAGAACCCCTTCGACATGATCTGCGATCTGGCCAAGGCGCGTTTGTCCTGCCCCATGGCTGCGGTGAGCTTCTTGGACGAGCACCGCCAATGGTTCAAGGCTAGCGCGGGTCTCGCCCACAAGATGATCCCGCGCAAGATCGCGTTCTGCGCCTACACCGTTTTCATGCGCGAGCCGATGGTCGTGCTCGACACGCTCCAGGACCCTCGGTTCCGAAGAAACCCGCTGGTCTCGGGTGCTGCCGGTGTTCGCTTCTACGCGGCTGCACCGATCCTAGACCCCAACACCGGCCACGCAGTCGGAAGCGTCTTCGTCCTCGACACTCGCCCCCGAGAGGCGTGCGATATCTCCATTCTTGAGCGGCTGGCCCTCGCGGCAGGTGAAAACCTTCCTACGGTGCCCAACAACGACGAGCAGAAGGCTGTGCCGGATAACAACGCTGCTGAGAGGCAAGAAGACAGTGCCAGTGCCAACCCTGCCTACATTGCGGCTCAAAACGAGCTCCAAAGCTTTGGCAGGAAGAAGATCGGGGTGCCGATGTCCCCAGCGACGTCCACTTCGACGTCGTCCACGTCGTCGGTAGTGTCCGGGTCGTCGAACCAAGCGATCGAGATGCCGCCTAAAGCGGAGGACAACAACGACAGCGAGGATATACCAGAAGGCGAAAGATCGTTGGCAATGACGCAACTTTCCATGGGGACGACCTCGGCGGGCGAGCAGATGGAGGTGCTGCTCATGCGCTTACTGACGCAAAACACCGAGACGCAGCAGCAGCTAGCTGTGCAACAGATTTCGCTGTCCGCGAAGCTGGGAGAGCACACCCACCAGATCAACAAGCTCATGTCAGACTTCGCTCGCATGGAAGCCAAGGTGGAGGCCAAGGTGGACAGCAGGGCCAACTGAGCAGTGAGCAGGAACCTCTGCATCCTTCGTCGGAAGAGGGTGCAGAAGGAAGCACCGAGCGGGTCGGTCACACGTTGCGAGCGGGTCTCTCATTATTTACAACCGGTGCCGGCGAGCTCGAGAGAAGTCCCATTGTTGTCAGTGTCGTAGCCGGCGGTATCTATTCACGAACCCCCACCGGATTCGCTTTTCCACGTCCCACGAGCTCGTCTTGCCACGAGGCAACGAAGCTCGGCTCAGTACCTTCGGCCTTGCCGCACAAACATTCAAGCACTATTTCATGTTGCGATCGTGTGCGCAGCACTCTTCCGACGAGTGACAGTCAGCTCGTCCACCTAGTCATGCATGTGAGATTACAAAACTCGTCTTCCATTACATTTTTATGGACTTTTGCGAAGACGTCAACAACTCACACGTTGGCTGAACCGAAGCAGGTGCTGGGTCGATCGTCGCCATTTCCCCCCCCCCGTAGTCTGTACAGCTCACACGGCATTAAGGTTGGCACTACAGCGACTCCAGCGCGCTTGGAGGAGGAGGAGAGAACTACAGACGCGACCTAGCGGCCGCGCTTCAGGCGTAGACGGCCTTCTGCTTCTCCACCTCGGCGATGTAGGCGGTCATGGCGTCCTCCTTGGACAGACCCTTCTTGGCGTTCCAGGCGTTCCACTTGGCCTTGCCCGTCAGGTCGAACATGCCGGGGGCGGACGTCGTGTTGTCGCCCACGGTGGCCTGCTTGTAGAAGGCGTACAGAGCGAGCTTCTCGTCGTTGGTCTGAGATATAGGGCAATGACACAGGCAGGGTTAGTCGCGTCTACAGCTTCGTGTCGAGAGGCAGACACGCGCCAATTCACGTACGGGGCTCTTGGTGAAGGTCTTCACGAGCGCGGCGGCGGCTTCGAACTGGGCCTGGAGGTCAGACATTGTGGAGAGAGATCGGGGGCGGCTGCGGACTCGTGAAGAAAATGGCGAATGACCAGTGGCAAGTCAAGCTCCCATCGGTATAGACGGGTGGGCTCGCGTCTAAGTGCGAGTGTGACGCGCGAGTGTGACGCGCCCGGGCAATGAGTGACGTGGCCGAGCAGCAATCTCTGCCGTCACCTCCGTGCCGCAAGTTGGGCGACGTCTTATGGGCGGCAACAGCGGCAAAGCGGCATGCTGTGGCCAGCATCACACGAGTGATCTCCGTGAAGCACGCCGCCAATGCTGCCTTGGCGGCCAAGTTGGCCACGCGAACCGGGTTTCCGGTGCTGCGACATGGTACCTTGTGGAACATCGGCAACGGCGACATCGGGCGGGACTGTATTCGCGTGCAATGCTGGGACTCCGAAGACGGAATCTCCTTTGCAGACAGGATGGTGTCGATCTCTCTTTGCCTTAACAGCTCGTGGAGTACTGCTGCGCGTCGTCGGGCGTGCGATGGCCTCGATGTCCACCAAGTTGAACGTGTTGCTCTTTTGTGTACTCTACTTAACGGAGTGGTCCACTGTACGGCCATTATTCCGTCCCACACGGTACACGGATCTCTGTTCCTCACTGTACCCTATGTTATACTTTATCCAAGTGAGTGCGGCCCAGCAGTCGCTGTCCAGTCAAGTCCCAAGTGGCAACACAAAAATGCCACACATGCGTAGTCGCCGTACTCTTCGATTGGTGGTCTCCGGTTCAGTCTTGCCCAACATGGCCTCAATAAGCCGCGGAGACCCCGCTTATCTCTCCTGAGCCATTTCAGATTCGAGCCAGGACGCACAGCATGGCGGACGAGCAGCCCGAGTTCCACGACGTGGTCGTCATCGGCGCCGGCGTCGCCGGTCTGCGCTGCGCCAGCCAGCTGGCCAAGACCGAGGGCGTGTTGGACGTGCTGGTCGTGGAGGCCTCCGGCCGCGTGGGCGGCCGCGTGATGAACGACACGAGCTTCATCCCGGGCATGAGCATCGAGGTCGGAGCCGAGTTCATGCACGGCGCCAACACGACGCTCACGCGGCTCGCCGAGGAGCACAGCATCGGCATGCGCGAGATCTTCACTTGGGCTCAGGTGAGGACACGGGGCCAAAAGCAGAACATGTGTGTGTGTGTGTACTTGTAGTAGCCGCATCGATTAATCAGCCACTGATTCCGCTCGCACGAGCAATGAGATAATCTTCTGGCCTTCATACGAATGCAAGAGCGAACGTCAGATCATGCTTCCTTAATTAGCATCTCCAGGGCGAGCGGCGCGGTCTCCCTCGGGAGGCCCGTTGCTCTTCTGCGTGCATTCGGCGGCACAGTTCTTGTGTCGCTGAGTCTTGCACGTGTCCACCCGGGAGAAGTCAGTCTGGATTCATACATTTCCCCAAAAACCAACTATCGATATGTGCATATTGCAGTAGAAACCAAAGAGAAGTGTAGAGCCATACTCACGGTTCCGTGTCGCTTTATTGCTTGTTCAGGGCGATGGTGGTCCGACCGAGCCCGCTCCGGATGGAGGCATCGGCTACTACTACATCGGCGACCAGAAGCGTATGCTGAAGTACGACGATGACGACGAGGAGTTCCTCAAGTTTAACTTGTCGGTGGCCGACTTGAGCGACCTCGAAAACATTGACCAGATCCCTCCCGAGAAGTCGATGAGGGACTACTTCGACGAGGTTGGTCTGTCTCCGTCCATGATGAAGCTGTGCGAGTCTGGATACGCCAACACTGCCGGCGGACCGCTGGAAGACATCTCCATGCGCACTACGTGCCGCTATGAGAAGCAGTGGATCGAGCTGGAGGACGAGGGAGACTTCCGCGTCGTGCCAAGCTTCATGCGCTTCGTCAACCTCTTCGCTGAAGGTGTGACGACCCGCCTCAACTGGCCTGTGGCTAGCGTGGACTACTCGCAGAGCTACCGTATCCTGGTTACTAGCACGTCGGGCAAGCAGCTCTCGTGCCGCGCGCTGGTGGTGACTATGTCCACCGCGGTCTTCTCGAAGATCGCGTACACCCCGGACCTCCCGCAGGAGAAGATCGAGGCCGTGAATTCGTTCTCCATGCGCCGCGCGGGCAAGGTGCTCCTGCACATGTCGGGTCGCTTCTGGCCCGAGGACGCCCACGGTGTCATTTGCTCCGAGTGCTTCCTGCCCGAGTTCTGGTTCAACAGCTCCAAGGGCATCGGCCACCTGCAGCCTAACGGCGACAACACTCTGATTGCGGAGCCCGAGACGGAGGACGCGGTGGAAGAGGACAAGGCTCAGTACTTGATCACGGGCTTTGCAGGCGCGCTGTACGCCGAGAGCTTCGTGGGCGTGGACCATGACAAGATCATTGAGAACTTCCTCGACCAGCTCGACATGATCTACGGCACGGTGGACGAGCCCAAGCCGGCACACAAGCACTTCGTCCGCGGCATGTACAAGGACTGGGGTGACGAGCCGTGGATCGGCGGCGGCTACGCTTTCCCGCGTGTCGGCCAGTCGGACACGGCTTCGCAGGATCTCGCTGCCCCAGTGGACAACCGCATTTTCTTCGCTGGCGAGGCCACTGCCTTCGAGCAGCCGGGCATGTCGGTGCATGCTGCTATCGACACCGGCAGTCGCGCGTCCGTGCAGGCGGCACGTGCGCTGCAGGAGCAGTAGGGAGATCGCTCGAGAGTGAAGCAGTGTGAATAAACCTTGTATTGCATTATGCTTTGACTTCAACATGCACCGATGATCGTTGTCTGTTATAGCGCCAGGAAGCGCGCTCGCAAATGCCACAGCTACGAACATGTGCATCGGTTTGCCAGTGAAAGCGGACCTTATCGATCGAACCTATTTATTAGTTTCGGTGTGGTGGCCCATGTATCGTACGCTCAAATCTTGGTCTCGGTCAGTGTTGCTGTCATTGCAGCGTGTCTTGAACTCATCGGCGCGTGAAGAATTGATCAGCTGATCCTGATCAAGTGCGCCGCAAAATATTTATATAAGTAGTGTAGGCGGGGGCAGGAAGCGCAGGAGCATGTCGAGGGCTGCTGTGTCGGTACCCTGCCTGCTTCATAGCCGCTGTGGTGCTGCAGTCGAGGGCCTCCAGCTCAAAAGTAGTTGCTCGCCTGCTCCTCGCGCTCCAGCCGGCTCAAAACGTGCTTCCCGAACGTGAAGCGCTTGAGGTAGTCCTCGTTGTGTCGAATTATACATACAATGCGGTGGCGGTCGTGGTCATCCGCGCGTTCCAGCAATTTCTGCACCACGTAGTTGCCGTACATGTGCTTCATCATGGGGAGCAGTGGGCAGGATGCTCCGCTCTCGTCACACTGAAGAATGAAGTCGACGATCTGGCTGATCTCACCCTTTGTTGCGTGCTCCAGGCAGGACTCCACCACGTTGCTCGCGTACTTGTGCTGACTCCAGCGCGCGATCTCAGGAAGCACCGCCTGCATAACGATGTCCCGCTGATCCGGCTCGCCGTGGCTGATGACGTGCTGCACAACGTAGTTGCCAAACTGGTCCTTGACAAGATCCCGGCACTTGTAGATGATTTCATTCAGCAGCGGGCGGATCTGGGCAGGCGCGCAGTGCTCCAGCACGCGCTGGATCACACGGCAGCCGTACGAGTGCGTGGAGAGCGCTGCAGCATGGCCGATGAAGCTGTCGATGATGAACTGGATGTCCTCCCCCGTCACGAAACGCTGAGGACCCAGTCCGTTGTACTCGGCAGCTCTCTTCCAAGATGCCGCCTCGATGCATTTCTGCAGAACATGGTTGCCGTTCTGGTCCACGACGCACTTCATCACGTGGCCCTTCAGCTGCCGGATCAGCGCGAGCTGCTCTTCAACTCGTGTGACTTCCAGGGCACGCTGGATCACTCGGCACCCGTACACTTGCAGCGCCAGGCTGATCATGTTGCTTGTCATCAACTCCACCAGTGCGTGCTGCTGATCCGCAGAGCCGTACTCGAGGAACTTCTGGATCACGTAGTTGCCAAACACGTCCGTCATCAGCAAAAGCGAGTTGGGGTAGATCTCGCTGAATGCTTCGGCTTTCACGTGCTCGTCGGCCTTCTCCAGCTTCTGCTGAATGAAGCGCGAGCCCGTCTGGTCCTTGGCGAAGATGAAGAGGTGCCCCTTGATGGAAGACAGCCCCCATTTCTCCGACTTCGGCGCCGAGTTGAACTCCTCCAGCAGACTGTTGGACGAGTATGAGTGCGCGACCGGGTGGAAGTACTCGAACTCACCTCGACGAGGGCCTCCGACCTTGGGTCTGTGCATCATCTGCGGACGTGGCATGTAGTTTTGGAAGTCTTGGCGTTCGTACAGGGGGTGGTCGACCAGAGGGTATGACGGACGGGGCTTGAACATTTTGTCGGAGGGTTTCATGCCGCGGTACTCTGCAGCGTAGCCATCCCCATAGTTCGGCACGGTCGAGTTGTGGCCAGCGTGCGGGCTCGCAAAATCGGACGGAGCGAAGCCGAAAGGTGACGATGGGAACGAGTAGCCGTCGTCGTCGGCGGCCCATCGCGACTTCGCAGCACCCATCATGACTGGGTAGCCTTGAGCGCCCATCATGTAGGACGACGGGTAGCCTTGTGCCATCGCTCCATGATATGAGCCGCCGAAAGGAGGCTCGCTGGTGCTCCGGCCGAACACTTGGCGGTGGCCATTCACGCCAACAAGTCTGGGGCCCGTGGCGTGCTGGGGCATCCGAGGCAGGTCATCAAAGTCGTGGCCGGAACGGCGGCTGGAATCGTAGAGCGGCGCGGCGCGGTAGTCGCCAAGCCTTAGCTGCCCCATGCCTTCACTGATGCCGAAGACCGACTGCGTTTGCTGGTCCCTTCCACCAAACGAGGGTCTGCGACCAGTCGAGCCTTCATCGTCGAACTGCCCGTACTCGGGCGACGGCGTGCGCGGGAAGTCCTCTTGGATCCGGTCGATCAAAGACATGCCCGGGGGCACACGGCAACCTCCACTTTGAGTTTGGCTGCCACCACGAGACGATCCGCTCCTCGAAGCACTGGCGCTAGGGCGGGGAAAGCTTGGGACCGCGCGCGGGTTGAGCTTGTCGGGCGAAGTGGTCGGGGTGACTGTGGAGTCAAACTCGCCGTCTTCGAAGTCGTTGTGAGGGTTCGTCCAGATGTCCGCCGAGCGGGGCTCAGAGCCTCGTCGAGGCCGAGCAGTCTCGCGCTCCCGGAGTTGCTGTAAGCACAAGCAGCGAAGACGATACAGTTAGACCATGCTGCAGCGGCGTTGTCGAACGAGTTGAACCAAGATAGAACGCACCAGGCTCAACGACAGCCCATTCGCCTCTGGCTCCTGGTTGTCCGTTGGTTGCTCGTCCTGCTACGGAAACGAACGACGTCACTGAACGTTAGATGCGAAGATCGCGCCAGCAACCAAAAGAGAAAGAGGGGCAAGTAAGTACCTTGCTCGGCAGTTTCTGCGCCGTTCCCCACGATGACCGCAGCTCGCCCCCGTTCTCAGATGGGGCGTCGCCGCCGCTCTCGTGCTGGTCTTGGTCTTCCTTCTGGTTGTCCACCGCCGCCGAGTCGCCCTCCTCCGACTCGCTCGGGGGCGTCGTCTGGGCGCTGTGCACGGAGCGCGAGTCGGCCTTGGACTGCAGCCGCGGGGCTCGCAGCGCGAAGCTGGCCGGCCGCTCGGCCAGCGCCTGCGAGGAGGAGAAGAGCAGTGAGGAGCGGGCCTTGAGGCCCTCCGAGGACCAGAGCGAGTCCGACGGGTACCCGACGGGGTCCTGCAGCTTGACGCGCACCGGTTCCACGGGGTTGTCGTGATGGACGGGCTTCTCGAGCGCCGCGATCCTCGACCCTGCAGCAACAACGCGCTGCTGCTGCAGCGGGGCCGAAGAGGAGGAGGAGGAGGAAGAAGATGTGGAGGGGGCGCCGCCGCTGCTCTTGGCGGGGCTCATCGAGTCGCTGTGGCCCATGGCGGGGCGGGGCAAGTGAGCGAGCGAGCTGTGGGCGGTTGCTGCTGGCAAGGCGCCGCGGGGGCGGCGGTCGTCCACTTGCGCGGCGGCCGGCAAATTGGAGAATGAAAGCTGCTGCGGATGCGGGCGGCTCGCGGGGGTTATTTTTACGCCCGACGTCACTGTCCTCTCGCTTTAAGTGAAGGCAACCTGTCACAGAAGGGCCCGTTTCGCGCAAAAAGACGGAAACCCCGGAGGGTGGGGGTTAACGAGTGTCTATCCTTTTGCAACGAGCGCAAGCAAGCAGCAACCAACCCACCCGCCCCCGCTGAAGACCATCTCTTCCAACGGCCGCGCGAGCTCGCGCTCGCGCTTCGCGTTCGCGGAGCTCGTCTGAGATGGCGGGTGTGTAACAAGCCTGCGCGAAACCGCGCTCGAGCGGCTCCGGAAGCAGTAGATGGCCCACCCGACGGCCGCCGAAGGGTGGGTGGGTGGTCCGCTCGCATCGGAAATTTCAGGTCACGCATCGGCGCCGCCCGTGCATGCACATGCGGTTCGAACCGAGGCCGTTAGAGGAGGTTGCCTTTCACGGAAAAATCCCAGGCACGCATGCCCGGCGGCGTGACGCGACTTGACTGGGCCCGTTGGTTACTATTGCTGTTGCTGGCTGGCTGCGCTCGGCAACAGCAGCAGCAGCAGCTCGCTGGGGTTTCCGCGGTTGTCGTCGACAGCAAGGGCGGAATGTGGAGCGTTATGCTAACGGCAAAGTTGAAGCGGCGCGGGACAGCCTGGGATCGTCGACACGCGGCCCTAGAAGGGGCAGCGACCATCACTCCGACAAGGGCAAATTGCCCCAGCTGCCGGCACCGCATTCGGCAACGACACATCTTGGTGGCAGCGGCCTCACGATGCGGCGCCATGACTGCTCGAGCGCGCGCCGGGCGCGAACGCGCGACGGCTGCCAGGCTCGCCGGCAAAGGAAGGCGCCGTCGAAGCACTGGCTTCGGGCTCCGCGGAAAAGCGCTCGATCGAAGGGTGCAGCTCGGCGACTGGCGTCAGGGGCAACCTGACAGGGGGACCCCCTTTCGCTTTAACACCATGTTACCGCCGCCGCGTCGCTTTAAAGACTCTGCGAAGGAAATATCATCAGAGCCCGTGCGGCAACTACAGTACAATGGACTAAAGCATCTGCTGTATTTGCCTCGGTGGTGGTGCTAAAGCGAGTGGGCGCGAGAGTATACGGCGCGTCGGAGCGTCAAGCAAGGTCCTCGGCGCGCTCGCGTCCACACGTTGCTGCGCGTCCTGTCCCAGCCGCAGCTGCCGCGGGGACTGTGGTTGCTTTCCCTCGGTGCCAGCCAGCCTCGCTAGTGCAGACGGTGGCAGCGCGGTCAGTCAGTCGCTCGACACCAGGCATGATGGCCCAAGAGAGCCAGCACCATGCAAGTTGAAGCAGTTGAAGCGGCAGGGGGCAACTCGCTGGTTACGAGCTCTTGGGCTTCAAGGCCAGCAGCGCCACGGCCGCCACGCCCGCCGTCACCACCGACGCGGTGGCCAGCGCCCTCGTGGTCAGGTACCACGGCTCCGCTGCGTCCTTGGCAGCCGCAGCCGCTGCCTGGCGCTGCGCCTTGGTCTTCCGCGTGAAGATGGACTTGTCCTCGCCGGTCTGGGTCTTGGTGGTCGTCGTCTTGGTCGTCGTTGCCGTTTTGATGGTCGAGGCCGACGCGTCGAGGTTCTCGAAGATGCCGCCCCAGGCCTTCTTCTCGTCGCGCTTCTGCTTGTCCACAAGCTTGCTCACCTTGTCCAGCAACGTGCGGCACGACTTGTCGCGAGGGTTCAGCTTGACCGCGAGCAGCAGATCCTGCTTGGCGTCCGCGTACTTCTCGAGCTTCACGCACGCCTGCGCGCGGCGGAAGCGCGCCTTGGACGGCCAGTCCTCGAACATGAGCTGCTCGGACAGGCCGAGTCGACCCATCCACGTGACGACGTTGCCCTCGCGGTTCTCGGCCAGCACCGAGAGGATGCTCAGCGCGTTCGTGCACGCGATCTCGGCGTCCGTGTACATGTTGAGCTTGAGCTTGCACGCGCCGATGTTGAGGTGGCAGCGGATCATGGTCTGAATGATCGTCGCCTTCTCCTTGTGCGTGGCGTTGTCCTGGTCCACGCGCTGGAGGAAGCCCAGCGACCGCAGGTAGCTGTACACGGCGTCCTGCAGTTTGCCGTCGCGGAACTCCTCGTTGCCAGTGTCCGCGAGCTTGATGGCCTCGCCCACCAGATCCTTCGTCGACATCTCCGAGATGTCCTTCACCGGCAGCTTGACGTCCTTGCGCTGCATGAACATGCGCGCGTAGTTTGTCTTCACGATCAGCACGTCGTCGTGCGGGCGGATCTCCTCCAGCACGCCCAGACCGTACGGGGTCGACACGTTCATGTGCATGCGGAGGTGCGGCTCATCGGGCTCCTCCTTCACGACGTTCTGGCGCAAGTACGCAATGGTGTGGTTCTTCGACGCGGCGTCGGTGTCCATCTGCACCACGTACATCTTGGTCTCTGGCCGGAAGGACACCACGACACCCCGTCCGAACGGAGTCACAATACGCGTCTTGTCCGCCAGAGGGGCTACGCTGACTGCAGCGGGGTGGTGCGCGTCGACGCGGAACTTGTTGCCAGGAACGTAAAGCGCAGCCTTGGCCGTGGCCTTGCCGAATGCAGCAGGGTGTCTCACCGGCGCGTTCACCTGCCGCGCGGTGGTCTTGTACCGTTCAATATCGTCGTCGTTCTCGCGCTTCTTCTGTCGGAGCAGCGCCACCTCACGCTCGTGACGCTCGCGCACCGAGTACTCGAACGTGATGCGCAGCAGCAGCTTGCCAGAGACGCCAGTCGTGCCCGCCGACGCCGGCGCCTTCAGGTCGAACCACTTCTCGTGCGGCAGCTGGTCCTCGAAGTCGGCGCTGCGCAGCTCAAGCTCTCCGAGCACCACATCGGCAATCACCTCGGCGCTGCTGCTGAGCGAGACCTTGATGCCGAACTTCTTGGTCTTGGCGCCTTCGTACACCAGCGACTCCTTCCAGCTAGCGCTCGCGTTGTCCACCGCCTGCACGCCGCTTGTGCGCAGGTGCTTCTTCGTGGACTTCTCGAACGCCGACAGCGGCGTCACCTGCGTGGACACGTACAGCTCCGGCTGGGCGCTGCCGCTGGCCGCCAGCACCGCGGCGTTCTTGTGCAGCGCCAGGTCCTTGGCCGCCAGCACCTCCACCGTCACACGTCCGGCCGCCTTGCCCGTCTTGGCGTCCACGTCCACGCCGTTCTTGTTCTGCTTGCCAGCTGCAGCAGCGGACGCCACCTCCTCGGCATGCTGCAGCTCGTGCTCCAGCTGCACCGACAGCAGCTCCAGGGGCGACAGCGCCACCTTCTCCCACATGAGCGAGTTGTCGAGCCCCACGGACGACGCTGGCGAGTCGCTCAGCGATTGTACGTCACTCATGCTTGTCTTTTGGTCGAGTGAATCGTGTGATGGATATGAAGGGCTGGGCGATGGGAGCTGGAAAGTGTCACTAACGCGAGGTAGAATATCCCGTTCTTTGCACAAAATACCTGATCCTGCAAGAATGTGTGTACAAAACTTGAAGTATCAGCTACATGCACAGTACTGGAATCGGCAAACCTGCACGAGCTTCCTGCATCGTGCATGTCGTCCAAGACTCTTTCTGTACCATGCATCGTCCAGGACCCTTGCTCAAGAGCCTACGCCTCAGTGCGTCAACTTGACTAGATCCTCCCACCAGGCCTACCTGTATAATGCGTTGAAATGGAGTCGCCGTCTCGATAAGAGCGACAAGCCAGCTTGGTCTAGTATTCCAAGCCTTGGAATACTTGTATAAGGCGTCAAAGCACTTGCGTGACGCAGCTGCAGCAGGCCTGGCAAGTGCTGCAGGCTTGTCAGGTCTGCCCGGGGGGCTCCTTTTAGTATAGTGGCGTCCCGCGTGCACCCAGCCACGCCACACCATAATGATACAATGCCGGACATTCCTATTCAAAATCGGGTAGTTAGGTTTCTATCGTGGTTATGCATTGACAGCACCAGCAAACAACCACGCCACCACGTGTTATAGCATCGCCATCGCTTGCCATCAGAGCGGCAGCAAACAGGCTCAGCAGTCCTCACAAGCTGCTCACGTAGCAGATGTCTATCTCCTAACTCCAAAATTGCCAACCTATTCGTGGTTTTTGATTCCAGTCAACGGCCCGCTTAACACCACTGCTTCACTGGCAACCACAGGGTGTTCTAAGCCACCACCACTCCATCAACCCCCCCACCACCTCTCCTTGCTTCTCCCTCGTGCAAAGAGGTTTCTGCGGTCATTTCTGCGAACTGCATACTTCCCTGGTCATTCGCGTCCGTAATCAACTCTCAGAACGCAATTCGCTGGCAAGATGCCGATCCAGGCCGAGGCTGCGGCGGGGCCTCGCGCCGGCCCCGCGGGCCCGGATGACCCGGCGCAGCGTCTCCGCGTGATCCGCGTGGACCGCAAGTCGCTGCTGACGCGGGCCAACGCGGCGCAGCACCGCCGCCGACGCGAAGAGCGGGAGGCACGTCGACTGGGCAATCGTACCTCGTCGTGGCTGTTCGCGGGAGCCAAGAGGCCGCACGAAGACACGGTGGAGCCGCCGTCGCCCTTCGCGAGCAACGTGGTGGTGAGCGCCAAGTACAGCGCGTGGAACTTCGCGCCGCGCGTTCTCCTGGCGCAGCTGCAGCGGCCCTCGAATGTCTACTTCCTGTTCATCGCGGTGCTCCAAACCATCCGAGAAGTGAGCAACACGAGCGGCATCCCGACCATCCTGCTGCCTCTTGCAGTGGTGTTCGTGTGCAGTGCGATCAAAGAGGCGCTGGAGGACCGAGAGCGACATCGAGCCGACCGCGTGGCGAACAGTCGACCCGTGCTGACGCTTACGCCGCTGGGCCACTGGGAGCAGCGGCAATGGGGGGACTTGCGCGTGGGAGACATCGTCAAGGTGATGAACGACCAGACCGTTCCGGCGGACCTGTTCCTGCTCTCGACGGAGGCGGTGGAGCACGAGGATGATACGAGACGGACACAGGTGCAGGTGGTGACTGCGAACCCGAGAGAACTGCAGGGCCCAGACGATGTGGAGGAGGGGAAGAGAGACGAATCGGACCTTCTTGTTGACATGGAAGACAGCCAGGGAACGCAAGATTCGGCGGCGTCAGAGCAGCAGACGACGGAGTCCAATTTGGCGTACATTGAGACGAAGTCGCTCGACGGCGAAACGAACCTGAAGATCCGCACGGCCATCCCGTTGGTGGCTTCGCTTTGTCGTGGCTTTGGTGGCACCAATCGGAGCATTGATGGTGGAGGCCACAACGAGTTGCGCGGGATGATGGTGTGTGAACAGCCGAACAACCGTATCACGAGTTTTGAAGGCACCTTTTCGGCGGTGCTCAGTCCTGCTCAAGCACAGTCGTTGGGTGTGGCTACCAGCGATCCGAACGCTTCTCCAGTCTCTGTGCAACCTGCTGCGAGCCTCTTGCAGACTGAGGTGGGTGGGGATGGGCTTGTGCGTGTGCGCATGCCAGTGACGGCGAAGCAAATGATGCTGCGGAGTTGTGTTCTTCGCAACACGCGCTCCGTTACAGGCATGGTGGTGTTCACAGGTCACGAGACCAAGGTGTTTTGCAGCAACACTGAGCCTGTTGTCAAGACTTCGTCTGTCGAGCGACGACTTAACCGACTCATTATCGGCATTGTGTTTATCCAGCAGCTTGTGTGCTTCCTGGGCGCGCTGCTTGGAGCACATTGGATGCACACGGAAGGCGACTCCTTCTGGTATCTTCTCAGCGCTAGTGAGCGGCGGCACCACATTTTGACTGGAGCTCCGACCTCACACCCGCTAGCCGAAGTCGCCAAGCTCCACTTGCGCTACTTCATCATCATGCAAAACTTTGTTCCTATCTCGCTGAACGTGTCGTTGGAGTTCGTCAAGTATTGGCAAGCGTATTTTATCGAGCAAGATCTGGAAATGTACGACAAGCCGTCGGATACTCCAGCCATGGTGCGATCGTCGGCGCTGAACGAAGACCTCGGTCGCGTACATCATGTCTTCACCGACAAGACCGGGACACTCACGATGAACCTCATGCTTTTCCGTTACTGTATGGTCGGGGGAAAGCATTACGGTGGGATCATGCAAGACAAAGACATGGAGGCGGAGGTCCCCAGCGTTGCTTCGTCTCCCTCATCGATAACTTCGAAGGATGGTCCAAGGTTTGTGGATTTTGATCCATCCGAGCTTTTTGCTGATCTTCAAACCGGAGGTGAGCAGGCGGAAACTCTGCGCCGCTTCTTACGACACTTGGCGCTGTGCCATACGCTGATCCCCACCAAATCTCTTGCAGAAATGTGTAGTACGTCGTTCCCAGAGTACTCTGCCTCGTCGCCTGACGAGCAAGCACTGGTGTCAGCAGCAGCGTTTTGCAATGTCCGGTTTGTACACAGGACACCCGCCACTATGATGCTCATGGAACCGGGGTGGGCGGCACCTAGCACATACAAACTGCTGAATGTGCTAGAGTTCGACAGCGACCGAAAGCGAATGACGGTGATTATTGAAACTCCCGATGGTACACTCGAGCTTCTTTGCAAGGGGGCGGACAATGTGATCTTTGAACGACTGGCGGCCGATCAAGCTACGATTCCTGGCGGCATGTCCTACGATGAAGCTGCAGACCAGCTCACGGTGTATGCGAAAGCTGGTATGCGCACACTCTGTCTCGCGTATAAAACGATTAGCAGGTCGGAGTATGAGGACTGGAATGCCCGTTATTCCCAGGCCCATGCTTCCATGGAGGAACTGGTTAAACGACGCCAAGGCCGTGAAAATGCAATTGACCCACTGATGAACGAGATTGAGCGCGACCTTATCCTGCTTGGTGTCACTGCGGTTCAAGACAAGTTGCAAGCTGGAGTGCCTGCGACGCTACGTTTGCTGCAGGAGACAAAAATTAAAGTTTGGACGCTCACGGGCGACAAAATGGAGACTGCTGTGAACATTGGATACGCTAGTGCGTTGCTCTCGCACGATATGGACGTCCAGCAAATTGGCGGTGATGACTACAGCTCGACAGCTGCGGCACTAAAGGAGTTGTCCCAGCGAAGTGAGGCTTCCCTCACTTCTTCTTCCTCGAGGTCCAAAGGAGGTAGAGGGGTGCGCCGTCGCTCTCATGATGCTAGACGCAGACCACGGTCCCGGACAAACAGTTTCCTGGGTAGTGCGAAAGCGGCGATCAGCGAGTTTTTCTTCGGTTCCACGGCAAAGCACAAGCGGAAACAAAAACGAAAACGCCACCGAAGTCGTCGTACGTCCAGGACTTCGACGTTCAGCCAAACACCGATGTATTCGTCCGTTGCGACTGACGCTGAGTGTGCCGACAAGTTCACGTCCGATGAAGAATCACTGTATGATATCGGGATTGACGCTGACGACGAGGCAATCCACACCGCTGAGTATGGGTCTCTCACTGGAAGTTTGTACGGTGGCGAAAAGCGTCACCAGAATGGCCCATCATCGCAGCAGTTAGCACTCGTGATCGATGGACAAGCCCTCGAATTCGCTCTTCGCCCTCAACTGCGCAAATTGTTCTACCAAGTCACTCGGCAGTGCGCTTCAGCGGTAATTTGCTGCCGCGTGTCCCCCAAACAGAAGGCTGAGATTGTTGAGTTTGTGCGTGAATTTGAACCGGACAGCGTGACGCTTGCGATCGGAGATGGAGCGAATGATGTAGCGATGATCCAGTCTGCGCATATCGGTGTGGGTATTTCCGGTCAGGAAGGAGCGCAGGCTGTGAACGCTTCAGACTACGCCTTGGCTCAATTCCGCTTCCTGCAGCGACTATTGTTTGTGCACGGTCGCTGGGCCTACCGTCGAGTGGCGAAGCTCATGAGCTACATGCTCTACAAGAACGTGACGTATGTGCTCACAACGTTTTGGTTCGGCTGCTTCTGCGGGTTTTCCGGTCAGCCCCTTATCCTGGATGTGGCCGCACAGAGTTTCAACGTTCTCTACACGAGCGTACCGTTGGTTCTCTTTGCCGTGTTCGACCAAGACGTCTCATCTACGAGTGCTGCCAAGTTTCCGTACCTATACGCGCTCGGTCAAAAGAACGTTCTCCTGCGTCGTCGTGTATTCTGGCCGTGGATCTTGAATGGCGTTTGGCACTCGCTCGTCATCTTCTTTGTTTCTGCCTGGGCGTTCGAGGGCTTTGGCCTAAGCATCCGCGACTTCCCGGTTATCGCCACCGAGACGGGAAAAGGTGGTGGTCTTGTCACTCTTGGGTTCGTGGTGTTCACGAATCTGGTGATTGTCGTGAACCTGAAGTTGTGTCTCGAAACGTTCATGCTCACGTGGCAGTTCGTGCTGACAGTGACCGTGTCTGTATTGTTGTGGTTCGCCGTCGGCTCTCTCATTTCGTTGCCGAACACGGGTTTTCCGCAAGCCACTGGCGAGATGGAGTATCTTCAAGAGCTGCCGACCTTCTGGCTTGTGTGTCTCCTGGTGTTGTCGTTGAGTCTGCTGCGCGACGCTCTTTGGAAGATCGTGCGCCGGTTCTCGCTGCCCTCCATGTATCATATTCTCCAGGAGCGCGAGCTCATGGGCTTGCCGAACTCTCCGCGTGGTATGATGCGCGAGCACAGGAGGGCTGTATCGAATACGGCGTGGTCGGATGAACCAGCTACAGTTGTGGACTACGCCAAGCTGTTCAGCAACAGGCCGCGACGGGAAAGCCCAGAGGAGACGCTCATGCGCTCTTCACCACTCGGTGAGAGGCTAATCGCGTCGCCATTTTCGTCTTCGTCGAGCGGTGGGGATACGATCCATCCTGATCATGCAGCAGGGTTCCCGAGTCGCGAGAAGAAGCGTAACATCCGCATACGCGGCTCATTTCATGCCATTGGAAGCAGCGGCAGCTTCGGCGCAGGTGTGGAGCCGTCTTTCCTCGAAGCGCCGGGGTCGGTTGCAGTGAACGCCGCGACTGTCGGAGTTGGAGCGCGCTCGTCATCGTTCATTGGGGTACCTGGGGCCCAATACCACGGCTACGCGTTTTCGGAGGATGAGAACGTGGACAGTGATGTCGAGGCAGCGTCCTCCAGTGCATCTCGAGGCGACGCTGACCAGGCTAGGACGACGGCATTCGGGCATTCGTCAATCAAGAAGGTGCTCAAGTCGGTTCGTGGTAGAAAGACTGCATGAGTGTTGATTTTACATAGATTGTGATTCAGGGCGCAATGAAGACAAGGTGGTCTGTACGATGGTGTCGCTTTTTCCGGGATGAGGAGCTGTTGTTTGTAGGCCACATCGAGAGCATTCGAGAGCCTCGTGAACGGCATGGAGATACCTGCGCTCACTGTAGGGTCGACGCGCAATGATCACCGAGTCGATGTGCCGCTCAACGACGCAGCGGTATGGCCTTGCAATTCGCACAGGCTGGAAATGATCACTGACAGCTTGTCTATAGGTACGAGCATACAGCACTCGCTCGGGAGGAGACCGCGGAGCAGACACGACCTCAGGTATACTCAGTTGGGTCTTCGCTGTCTCCACTGCCGGTCGCTGCAAGAGGATGCAATTGAACGTGTGTTCCTACGCGATGGAGCGCCGAGTAAGTAAGATATGACAGATAGAGAGCAGAGAGCTATCCTATGAGTATCATTCCTTACCTGCTCCCAGCGACTGTCACCGTCTTCGTACTCAATCTTAAGTGCTGCTGGTGAGGCCTGCGCGCTGCTCACAACGCCGTCGAACCAGTCGGCTTCGTCGGGCCAGTACACAATCGCTTTACGCCCCACTATCGCTCGAGCGCTGTGTTCACTCAACGGCAGTAGACGCTGTCCTTGATCGTACTCATCTGTAGTCGTGAACGTTGCGGGGAGAGGGCGGATCTTAGCAGGACCCTACAAGCGAACGTGAACGATAACGCAAGACAACGGCACATGCACACTCAGGCCACGGACTTGCGGCGGACGAACTTCGTCGTTCGTCACGAGCGGATCAACAACAAGCTACACTATCATACCTCCCACGCCTCCTCTCCGTCGTCGTACTGGACGAAGTAGCGCGGCTCGTTGCCTTCTTCCACACGTTGGATAAGTCCGTCGAACCACTCGTTCTCCTAGATCCAGAAGACCTGCACGCGGGTGCCGGCGCTGAGCAGGGCGATGTTCGTCTCGCTTGGCTGTGGGTTTGCCACTTCAACTGCAGCAGCGGATGCTGCATCCGAGCCCGTAGCATCGTCGTCGGACTCGAACGAGTCCGAGTAGTCGTCAAAGTCGTCAAAGTCGTATTGCTCCGAAGCCGCGGAAGCCGAAGCAACGGAGACAACCGACGAGCCTTCGAAGAGAGTGCTGCACTCGCTGCTGCTGCTGGCCATCCTAGCAAAATTCAGCGTCTTCCCTTTGCAGCCTGCCGCCCGTTACGAAGCCGAGCATAACTAACATCCCGGCGGTCTGGCCGTGGATACTTGCACCGGTTGAAGCGACCTGGTGTAGCCATCTGCTGCTGTTCGGGCCGGCGGCCATGACGCGTCACACGCAGCGCTCTCCATTGAGCCCGTGCCACGTCCTGCCTGCGGCTTCAACGCGTTGCCCCACGCTCAGCGTCTCGGCGCTCGCCGCCGGCTGGATCACAAACTTTGGATGGGCGCACCGGGTGGGACCGGCCAAGGGGATACAGCCAGTGCGTCGTGGCCGCCGCGAGGAGGGGAGGAGTCCGCGGTGCCGCGCAGAGGACATCACCCCCGCACACATTTCGACAGCGGCCAGTGGTGTCGCTGCTCGGCTCAGCGTTTCTGAAGCAGCGCGGACGGGGCTGCAACGACTGCAAAACGCCCAGCGACATCGGCCATCGGCCGAGTGTCGCCGTCGACTCTACGCAGGTGGGGCGGGGTGGACCTGGCGGCGGTCTTATCCTGGCAAATGGTACCGTGCGCCAACTGCAACTACAGACGCGGACGCCTTCGGGCGGTCGACCAGCGAGCGGCCCCAATGCACTTTGTGCTCGACAAGCAGCGCTGCACTCCCGCTATGCGGCGTTTCGTCCGGTTGCAGTCGCCGAATCTCTCGGTCCGATAAACAATTTTTGAGACGAATCTCCCGAGACTCGCGCCGTTTATACCATCGCTGCCGAGCGCTTTGCCGCTGCGGCTGTGGCTGGCTGGCAACGGAGGCGAGATGCATTGGGGGCCTCGCCTTGCAGCTCTTGGCAGTGCTCGCCGCCGCCGGCAAGAGGTCACTTATGATGTGCCCTATGACGCCCCCGAACATTCTCGGCGACGACGGATAATACGGTTAGTTAACCGGTTAGGTTAGGGTTTCTACAGACTCCATCGCTGATAGGCCAAAAAGGACGCGCGCTACATCCCTTGTGATTGGCCTAATAACAATCACCGCACGGCGGTTGGTTGAAAATCGACCAGTGAGGCCAGAGAGTGGGCTCCCTCCCGCACACAGCCGGGGCCGTGCGGCAACCCGAAGGGTTAGGTCCACCCACGCGCCGACCCATTTTTCAGTCAGTAGAGAATTTGCGCTGTAGAAGGCAGGAGAAGACGTCGCGTCAAACCAGGCAGAGAGGTACGGATCAGAACACTGCTTGCTGTTGCGGTTGCTGTTGTAGCTAGCTGCCTCCGCGACGCCGCCGCTGCCGCGTCGCAGCTGGGCGACAGACGCCTAACCACTAACGTCTGTGTGCTTCTGTATGCTTGTGTTCGTTTGCCTGCGCAGTAGTGCATTTTTGTCGCTGTAAGCCGAGAGTGAACTAGTTCTTGGCCCCCCACACACCTCAAAACAAGTTGCCGAGCGAGCCCGTTGTTTGTGCACGAGCTCCTTTTGTGCCGTTTGTCCACTGCCACCTCAATCCGCACAGCGCAGCAGCGAAAAAAAGCACCGCACGGCGGTCTGTGCCTGTCTGTCCCTTTGCGCTTGCGCTCTTGCAGTTCGCTGGACAGAGGATCCGACGCGTCGCTTGTCAGACGCATCGCTTGTCTTGACTCCGCGTCTGTTGCCGCGCACACACTTATTGCTCACACGCACACACGCACGCATTGTTTAGTAGGTAGTTTGCACCCGAACTACTGAACGACGGCACCGTGGCGGCGACAACAGAGGCCCAGGAGAGCGCGTCAGAGCAAGTTACGGGAGTTGGCTAATAGCAGCGCCAGACAACGCGAAAGAAACTCTTTGTCAGCACAGTCGACAACGGAGAACGCGAGTGGAAACAAACAAATGACAGCGGAGGGCATGCGTGCCAAACGACGAACCACATACCAAAACATGCACGAGATCGTCAAGCTGGCCAAGAAGTACTCGCCCAAGCTGGTGAAGGGCTACAGCGCAGGGAACATCTCCGTTGTGGACAAGAAGAGCTGGCTCGAGGTCTGCGATCGAAAGCACCGGTACGTACAGCTTGCAGCGTTATTGGATCAATATTGGGACTGTACACTAATGCTTTTTGTTGGCGCATGTGTCTGATCAGTTACGGAGCAAACCTGCGCGCGTATTATAAGGAGTGGAAGCGCCAGCCAATGGAGCCAACGAAGCCGAGCTTCTGGGAGTGGCTGGACGATGAATCGATTGAAGTCGCTGGTGTGCCGAGAACGAAACTCGAGCGCGAGACTGTGTTGTACTGCGATACGGCTGCGGAGCGCCAGAAGTTTGCGCTCTCGGTGCAGAACGGCGTGATTGTACATGACGCCTCGCAAGAGATCGTGGAAACGGGCCCGGATGGATGGATTTTTGTGCTGCGCGATGGAGTCCTCTACGGTTCGCAGAAGGAGACGAAGAAGATCCCGCGGATCCACCATACGAGCTTCGTAGGCGGCGAGTGCGTGCAGACGGCCGGCATGATGGTGATCTCGAAAGGGGTCATTAAAACTATTTATCCCCACAGTGGTCACTACCGTCCGTCCGAGTACGAGTTGCTGGTTTTGTTGCGCTTTCTTGTGAACAATGGCGTGGATCTGAGCGACGTAGAGGTCGACGTGCAGCGAATCCAGAAAGTGTTCCGCGACTCAGTAAACGGCGCACTGGTAAAGAAGCTGGACAACGCGCATTTTTGGAACGCGTACCGCGTGTGGTACTTCTTGGAGGAGAAACACCTTGCGTGGAAGATCGGTCTGTTTGACGACCTTCTAGAGACGATCGGCCAGAAGACGGACATGCACGTGTCGCTTGAGCGCTCGGAGATCCTGGAGGACAGCGTCATGGAGGAGATCAACGACGAGTCCTCTGAGATCTCGTTCAAGGACGGCGGCTCGCGTGCGCTTTCTCTCTTGCGGCCGGCGTACGATGCTCCGACGTTTGAAGAAGCGGCGAAGCAGCTGGCGTCGTGCGAGCTGCAGCCGTGAATCGCTTCGGTCGTGGCTATCCGAGTAGTCCCTACACTTTCGTTTTCTCAAGCCAAGACACCACCACCTCCGCACCTGGGTGGCAGCGGATACGACACACACCACACCTCAAGCAAAGTTATAATGTAATCTAGAGCGACCAGAGACACGGAGGGTTTCTCTGGTGTATTGGTAGTTAGCATATTGGTAGTAGCAACAGGGAAGACAAAGTCGATGGAGAAGGAGAAGTCATTATTGGAGCGCAGCGCGCGGCACTCGGCATCCAGCGCGACTGTAGCGGTGCGTTTTATTTTTTATTTTTTATTTGATGAATGCGTTTCATGGTTTCGTTTCGTTGTTGTTGTCGTTGCATTTGCTTGTGTTGGTGATCTCGCAGAAGGGCTGAAGAGGCTTGTTCGCTGCTTCAAGCGGAGATGGCGGACCGAGGCAGCTCTAGCTTCGGGGACGTCCAAAGCAGTGGAGCTTCTTCAGCACTTCCTGATGTGAGTGTCCCGGTCCTCAGCCAGATCCACGTTTCCTGCTACGTCACAGCTGCAAATCGAGCAGCGCCGGTGTTCGAGGTTCTCCCACAGCACAACTGCGTGCGAGTTGTGAATAAAGCCTCGAGTGATGCAGCTTCCGGTAACAGCGGAACTGTGGCGACCGGAACTACTGACATCGTGGCGCCTGTGGCCGAGTGGGACTTTCATTCGGTCTTTTCGTCGACATCGCCTTCACACGCCATTGATTTCTTCACTGAGATCACATTACCAGCTCTTCGTACAGCGCGAGACGGAATCAACTCCAACGTTGTCGTGTGGGGTGTGCATCCTACGCAGAAGTTTAGACTGCTGTTCGGTAAAAGTGTGGGTGGGGGCGGGTTTGCTCCTCGACCGGAAATGGCTGTGAATGATGTCGTGGAGCTCTACGGCCAGCTTGTGGGGATGCTACATGCATTTTACTCTCGATTGGATCTGGGATCTCGACCGATTCAGGACGAGCCGTGGCGACTGGGAATTAGCAGTTGGATTATCGTGAACAACCAAGAAATTGACCTCTTGAAGAGTCCGATAGGAGGGGCGTCAACTGAAGGAAGCAGAATGCCATCGGAGAAAGCTGAACCATTGTCGTTTGTCTCGCTAGAGGCGACATCACTGGCTACCGCTTTTCGCATTGTTCAAACTGCGAAGACCAACCGCATCGTACGCAAACAGAACGCAGAAAGTGTCCACTTTTTCGTACGTTTGGCGTTATTTCATGGCGGTCAGGTCAGCACGGTGCACCTTGTTGACCTTATCGACCAGAAAGAATCCCAAGACCCCGTCTTGAATCAAGAGAAGTACGAGTTCTACAACATTTTGCAGGGGCTACGACAGCCCTCATTTTCTCCGAGGCGAACTGGAGACGGATGTGGCGGAGGAGCTGCAGTAATGAGTTCTGCTGGGAAGATGGTCCTGTCTAACTTCATGTTGCCGCTCTTGACTGCGAACGCCAAGACCTTTCTGTATGCAAATGTGATTGACTCGCGCTCGAGTTTGCGGGAAAGCGTGCAGATGCTAAACGCTGTGGCTAACCTTCGAGGATTCGCATGTGTTTGCAAACCACTACGCGGCGTTACGTTTGAGCAGCTCCGTTTCCAAGCTAGCCCAGACGAAGAGCGACAAGAAATCTTCAGTCAAGCAGAACAGTTTAACGCACCAGACTTGGGCATAGACTCAAGGCCTACCCTGAATCGCGCGTCGACTTCACCACCTATGGCAGCGTCTTCAGCTCGGTCATCTTCGCCCATAATCGTACAAACACTGGAGAGTGAGCTGCCACCCCATCAACTACCACAAACGAAGTTATCCAGCTCGTTTTCAGATGGAGCGTTTGAGTCGGAAGCTATGAGCTGGTTGAGTGAGTTTGCTCAACGGAAACGAAACATTCTTGGAGGATCTATTGACACGATCGACACGGTTGCCTCAATAGCTCGAGTCCCCGAAATCCGTGCAAGTCTACCATTATCTTGTGGAGAATCTGAAAATGAGTTTATTGACCGGAGTGACGCAACGCTAGAAGCACACGCGACTATCACAGATTTATATAAGCAGTTGCGTGAGTCGTTGGAAGATGTCCAGGAGATAGAGCTGGCTGGATCGGAGAGTCCACGGGGATCCTACTGCTCACTTCACTCGTTGCCTCCTGGTCGCTCTACGCCTGAATCTCATCCGCCACTACCGATTGTTGACCAAGAGGCAGAGCAAGAGGACCTACCGCGGGTTGGATACAGCAGAAGTACCATTGGAGGTATCGCGCGGCACCAACTACAGCAGTCACATGAACCAAATCAAGAGGAGCTACTGCCATGGTCTCAGTTTAATCGTACAGCTCTAGATCGTGATGCCTCACAAGCGAACATGTTAAGGCCCGAAGTGGATGTTGGTGAATCAGTGGAAGCGGAGCCGGTGTTTTCATCGCTGTCAGCTATTGATTCATCCCAACCTAAGCCTTCTTCATTATCTGCGAAGCCGGACAAATTCACAGCGGAAGCGTTCAAAAAAGCTGGCTTACACCCCTGTATCTTGGAGCCTCCGAATCTCAACGGGTTAGATGCAAAGACTGCGGAAAAGGTTCAAGCGGCAGATGCAACTTTACTTCGCAAGAACTATGACGCACTGCTATCAATCGTCCGTGAACAACAGCAAGCAAAGGAGGCAGCCGAGGCGCGAGCGGCCGAGGCTTTGCAGGATCAGGAGGAGCAACGAGCAATGTTCGAAGTTCAGATTGAAAACATGAAGCTGGCGAATGTCGGGCTTCGAAGCAAAGTACGCGCGCTAGGGAATCGAACTTCACTGCCTCAAGTGTTTGAGCAGTATGAACAGGAGCTACGAACACTTCACGCCCAGGTCGAGGAGCTACAAGCACGAAACGTGGCGCTTGAGCTCCGGGTAACAACTGCGACTGCTGCCTACTACTTTGAAGTATATGGTCGAAATGATCTGCCTTTACTAATTCATCGTGAACTTTGTTTTACTGATGTGTAGGTTGGTGGCGATGGAAATGGAGGACCAGGCGGATCTGCTTCCGAAATCAAGAAGAAGTATCAACAAGTGGTCGAAGAGAAGTTGGCACTTGAGCGAGAACTCATGGAGCATCGAAGGAGAGAAAGGTTAGTTTTCTTACTAGGTGGTGGCATCGTACTTGCAAATTCTTCTGCTGACATGTAATTTCGTTGAGAACAGGCATCATCAAGTCCACAGTCGCCTTGCGGGTGAATCCACTCGTCGTGTAGACCAACTTTCACGGTGCGTTGAAGCAAGCTTATCTTGATATGTTCATAAGTATCGTATTACAATAGAAGCTGACCAGTATGCGCTCATCGCAGCGACTTGAACAACAAGGAAGAGGATCTAGTGGCTACCCGGCTGAGCAAGCAGCGGTTGAGCGCTGAAATGAACCAGGCTCTTGAAAAGGCCGATCAATTGCATCATGAGAACGAAAAGCTGCTACAAGAGAAGGCGGCTACGGCCGAGGAGCTCCTCGCCACTAGGATGTATCTGGCCTCTCTTGAAAACGTAAGTGGGCATGGTAATCTTCCGTGTCCAGTGGACTTCAGTTGACATTGATCATTTGATTGCAATCTATGCAGGAGAAGAAGAAAGCCTCGATCCTCGACCGCTTCGTTGAAAAGCATGGCAACCGCATGAACAAGTTGCGTCAGCATTGTCAAACGTCTTCTGGGAATTGGAGACGCGACCAGTACGCTCGTGAATGTGAAGACAAGCTTCTAGCAACAGTGAAGCGCTCGCTTCCTCAGGCAGTCCCGCTCTGCAACAAGCTGCTGCGACGCCTAGAGATGCAGGAGCTGTCGCTACGTGAGTTCTCCGAGCGGGAAGTGGACTTCATCAATCTGCTCGTGGAACTTGTGTCGGACCAACCGACAGTCTCACTCAAGCAGATGATTGAACAGGAAATGACGAAGCTTCAATCATGCTAACGCAAAGGACGCAATAATACACGAGTTTTGAGTTGGCAAATGCCAAGAGGAGAGAGCGACCACCTCCCCACGATCCGCATTATCAGCTTTAAGCCGTCGCGCAGGCCGCGCGGCACCTGCCATACTTAGTGTGTCTTTCCTTCTCTCTACGATAACAATGCTCGAGATGGCAGCCGTCAATCGATCCTCAAGTGGCAACAAGTACGCACTTAGTCGACGTTGGCCATGGCGACGTCCTGCTCCGTGAACTTGCCCTTCTCGGTCTCGGACACGGCGCGGTTCTTGCGCTCCAGGATCTTCTTGCGGTCCTTGTCAAGCTTGAGCTTGGTGATGACCACCTTGGAGGCGTCAATACCAATGGGCACCGAGGCGCCGTTGGCCTTCTCGCGCACCACACGCTCGACGTGGATGACGAACTTCTTGCGGTACACGGCGGTCACGCGGCCCTCACGGGACTTCTGCGAGCCACGCACGATCATGACCTCGTCCTCCTTGCGGATAGGCAGGCTGCGAACCTATAATAATAGCAAACAACATGGCAATGAGCACCCATGATATCTGTCGAGCTTGAAGCCTGAGCAACGTCGATCCTGTCTGTGGATGTCGAGTGGCCGACACTTACGGTTCCCGCGATGCCATGAAGTGCCAGCCTCCCCCCTTTGAAGGAGGGGGAGGGTCTGACATGGACTTACAGCGCTGAAAGTACCAGTGTACTAACTTACATTGTACTTGTTCTGCAGCTCCTTGGACAGGGGCGCGCTCATGAGCACACGACGCTGGGTCGAGTGGGCGCCGAAGTGGGCCTTGCGGCTTTTGCGGCGCGACGAGGACACGGTCGAGTTGAACTTCACTGTAATTCATCAGTAGGTAGAGCAGCCACATCGTGTGAGTCACATGTTCCCCTGGCTGTTTCTCTGTGTATCATTTGGGATACTGTAGGTCATTTTCAAGTAGCAGCAGCGACGTACTCTTGTTATCACGTAAGAAAAGAGATACTGTGGCGCTGTATGGGCTGGCGGCGGCCTGGAGGCTTTCGAGGCCAACCAAAATCGAGGCGGATGAGGTGGAATTGGGCGGTTCAGGAAGGACGGTTCGGGGGTAGGGTAAGTGGTTGGACCGGTTAGGGATGTGGTACACTGTACCATTTCGGATGTTGAAGAGGACGAGGACGCTGGTGGACGCTTCTACCTCACATTTATACTGGGATAGGAAGCGACGAAGTGCTGATAGCCCAGCCCAAACACGTCCAATCGACACCGGTGATGAACCGGTAACGTCTTTAGGTCAATTTACAGTAAGTGATGTCTATTGACCGAGTGTTTTAGACTTTTCAAGAATGATGGAGGCTGGTCCAGTTCATTTGCAAATTCGTCGAGTTAGATTCGTCATTGATTTTGCTCTGAAATCGGTTGTACGTCGTGACCATAGTGACGATACATTGTCGGGCAGATTCTGCGGCTGCGAAGCAGGCGCAGGAGATGCCGGATTGAGTTTATCAATGGCGATCAAAGGTGAGTTAACCAATCCTATCGCAGCCTTCGCGAAGCCCTAGTTTAATTGGTCGACGGTACTTGGCTTAAGGAGACTTGGAACGTGACGGAGTTGAAGGCCGGACCTTGTGGGGCGTCTGCAGACTGCTCCTTGCTGATCGGTTCGTGTTGCGCGTCTTGGCGGGCACCACCAGCTTTTGCTTCAGAGCGTGCTGTTCAACGGAATGCCAGAAAAGGGTTAGAATGGGCATGCGCTGTGCAGGAATAAAAGGAGAAAAACACAAACCTCGATGATGAGAGTAGCGGGCTCTGTAGCGGCGGGCATACGGGGGTTCTTTAGGATTGCTGCAGCGCTGGGTCGACGTGCCGGATCCGGATCCATCATCTATGCGTAAAACATCGTGAGTTAGCACGAGCATTTGGCGCTAGCAACGAGGGTGTTGGTTTACCTGTCGAATCAAAGCACTAAGGTCCTCCGAATATTCAGGAGAGAAGGACGGCAGTACTCCTTCTCGGAGTTCATGCCAATCCTTCCCGGCTTCTGGCAGCGTCATTCCCGTGACGATTTCCAGCATCATTATGCCTACACCAACAATAAGGTGAGTGCTCGTCGTTGCACAACATTTGCGGCATTTTATCTTACCTAGACAAAAGATATCTGCTGACGGAAGTCGGTCAGCACTGGACAGCAGCTCCTTTGCCATGTACTTGGCATCGCCTTCGAGGTCGCCAAATTGGCTCGATGGTTTGGAGGAGGTTACCACTTTTCCAGCCATACCGAAGTCACCGATCTTTAATCGACCGTCCTCGGTGATAAATATGTTGTCGGGTTTTACGTCCAGATGGACAATGTCGTGGTCGTGAAGTACCTTCAACCCACTTGCGATGTCCCTCAAAATGTTCCACACGTAATTTTCGGGGAGGTTCTCATCTCGATTCCGCGTTGCCATAAAATCCTGCAGCGTGCCACCTTCGCACAACTCCATTTGCAGAAAGAAAAACCCTGCAACCAGTATCAATTGATCAGCACATGGCCAGCGCAGAGCCTTCACGCTCATCGCATCCAGATCTAGCTTACCATTTTCTTGCCACGCCTGATAGTATCGCACAATATTGTCAAAGTTGTGCTGAGATGCAGCCAGCTTTTCAAGAACACCGATCTCTTGGGACATGAGATCTCTGTTACAAAGGATTTCAAGTGGCATTAGACGACCATCAACGGAATTGCAAGAACAAATTGCAGCACAGTACCGTTCTCGATCATTGCGCAGCTCCTGCTGTGATTTCTTGATGGCAAAGAGCTCTCCACTGTCTGGGTCTCGAACCTACACGTTGCAACACAATCACAAGTGCATCAATAAACACTGTGCATTTGATTCCACACACACAAAATCCCAGTACCTTGAACACTTCCGCTGACACACCAGCTCCGAGCCATCGAAGAGTCTGCAGACTCTCAAACGAACTCACAAAGTGGTTCTGCACCATCCCACCAATAACAATCAGCACCCCCCCCAATTCCCCACCACACCGCCAAAATCACCAAAAACTCACCGAGCAGCCCTCAACACTAAGTTGCTTGACCACCAGTTTCTTCAGCCGAAGCTTCACGGGGCTCATCATGGACAACGTCGCTCCGAGACTGTTGCTCAGCATCGTCGCTGGACTCGCACACGGCGGCGACGCCGACCGACTGCATCTGTACAGTACCCCCACAAACAGCCATCTCAATCAGCCACCCCTTCACTTCAACCCCTTCCAGCACTAACTAACTACCATACCTCCTGACGAGGTTGTGTCTCCGGTGCGACGTGGGCGTGGTCTGCTCCGCCGAGCAGGACCTCCGCTGCAACGTGTTGCTAGGCGACTGCGGTGACTGTCGGCGGTACGGAGGATCCTGCCTGACGTACACATCCAGGCGCTCCATGCGACGCGTGCGGTGGCGGAAGGTGCCCCCTGGACGGTCAACAGGTGCGTCTGCAGCTGTCTCGTAGCTGTCATCTTCAGCGTCTTCGTCGTCGTCGTCGTCGCTGATCATGAAGCTCAAGGTCTTGCTCACGCGCGGGGATGAGGCCTTGGACGCCTCCTCCAGCGCCGCGTGCAGCGACCGCGCCCGCATCGGCGACGGCGACGTCGACGTCGAGTTCCGCGCCATGCCCCCTAATTATTGCCAAATTTGGGTACATTTGCCTCCGCTTTTGGACCAATGGCCGTGTCCGGCGGTATTTATAGACCCCAAAACTGAGGCAGGGCTAAGCTCCTGGGCTCTGCTTGCACTTCGGTTCTGTAGCTGCTCGTAGCTGCTCAGATGCTGGGCAAGATCTCGCACTGGCTGGCCACGCGCCACGAGGACAGGGGCGGCGCCAGCGACGCCTTCGTGCAGCAGCGCTACGACGCGCTGGTACGTGTGGGGTGGCTGTGTACTAGCGGTTTGGGTGGAATATGGGAAATCTGAGAATAATTTTCTTCTTGTGTAGACGCGGCTGAAGAACGCGACGCTGGCGGTGCTGCGCAAGGAAAATGCGGCGGAGTTGGGCGATGCAGGCGGTCAACAGGCAGCGGCCAGTCAGCAGCCAGGGGCCGAGGGCGGCTTGGCGGCGGTGTCGCTGCCCAGAGAGCAGCGTCAGCAGCTGACCGAGCGCGACCCTTGTGTCGGCGAACTCTGTACGTGCAGCACAGGTGTAGTGGGTTTAAGTATGAGGTAGTGCTGATGCTGTGGGGCTGCAGGTGTGGCGTTGGAGGAGTGTTTGGTGCTGGGGCTCAAGCCGCGGAGCACTGAGGAGCAGCCGTCCTGGTGGCACGTGCTGTATGCCAGCACGCTCATTGTGGACGAGCCGACGTTGGTGCAAAGCGTGCTGTCCGCTGCTTTCCTCTCGGAGGTTGGTGTACGGCGTGTGAATGGGTGGACGGAGCCTTTGGTGGTCTTATTAATGGAGAACACTGTGGATGCAGGATGACGCAGGGAAGGCGCGCTGCTGGTTGAAGATTGCACTGAACAACCACACTATTGAATCGAGTATAATGGTAAGCGCTGATATGTTCTGGTTGGGTTGGGTTGCGTTGCAGTCTACTCATGGTTTGCTATCGGTGGCGTGCTGTGTATGGTCGTTAGATGATCTTTTCCATGGCGTGTGAGCACTTGATTCGCAACAATTACGAGGAGTGGTCACTGGTTCGCTGTTCGGAAGGACTGGGTTTGTTTCTCGAGCTGATTATCGCTCTTCGGGATGTGCACTTTGCTATTGAAGTTAGTGGCGATCCATTTTATTTGCCGGAACCGGCGGAAACGGTGGAGGTGGAGCCTGTTCCTACAGAGAGCAGTAGTGGCGAGATGGTTGCCACCATTACGGATGCTGATATCGCCGCGGCGGTGGGTGTGTCGCCTTCCAGGGCTGGTTCATTTCTACCGCCGCCGGATGCCGAGCCCGCACTAGTCGAACTTGAAAATGTTATTGAAGTAAAAGATCAGGAGATTCAAGGGGCTGTCACTACTACGGAGGAAGAAGAGGACGAGGTCATCCAACTCCCGTCGGCTCTGTTTCCGCATCGCCTTCGGGGAATCAAACCGTGGCAGTACGTTTTCGGCGTTAGCCTAGCCTCGCTCTCGAAGAACCCGTACCACAGCCGCTACGCTTTGATTGACCCATTGCTGGCCCTTCCTAATATTGTGGATGACTGCGTGGCGATACTGAGGGAGAACCCGGATACCCCTCGACTATTTCGTACGACAGTGCTGAGCATCCGCTTAAACCAGCTTCGAGAAATAGTGGAGACCGATGGATCAGTACCGAAAGATCTGGATCCCCAATGCGCAGGAGCGCTGCTGCTAGATTTCCTGAAAAACCTGCCAGACTCGCTGCTGACGGATGATAAATATGATGCGTTTGTGGCAGCCGGACAACTACGGGATGAAGAAGCTAGCATTCGCAACATCACGTGTCTGGTGAACGACTTGCCTGTGCATTGCCAAATTGTACTGAAGAGGTTGATCAACCTCATGCACTTATTGCAGCAACCGGAACATTCCGAATTAAATGGCGTGGACGTTTTTACAGCCTCCAGTGTTATAGCTCCAGTGATTGCATTCAAGAAAGACTCAGGAAGTGGCTTGCTCTCCGAACGTCCGCGTGGCAGAACCCATTCTCAGTATCAAGATGTACGCTATGCAGCAGTGGGTGCCCAAGTCGTGGAGCGAATGATCCAGCATTATGCCATTATTTTCCACAGTGTGCGGGTACAGGTAGTAGACGCACTCGAGCGCTTGGAAGCGAAAAAGGAAGCACTGCGAATGGTTTCTCATCAGTTGAAGCTCCTGCCACAAATGAATTTCATGTCCGATAGACAGCAGGTGAATGAGATTACGCGGTTGTTTCGCGGGCATTTGGAAGGCGGCGACAGCTCCGCTTTGCCTGTACCAAACGATGCTGTGGTAGGCCAAGTCGCAGAGGGCTCGAAGCCACAAGTGACATTGGAAGTGGAGAATGAAGCGCAGTCAACCGCAGCCTTCAACTTGGAGTTAGATTTGCGGCGGTCTTCAGCTGCAACACCACCTACTAGTGCTACAAGCAGCGGAGCGTCTTCACCGACGACGAGTGAAACGACAGAGCAAGACCTTGTGAGCATCTGGGAGCAGTTTGGTTTCAATCGACCAACCGTTCTGGGAAATTTTGAAAAGGGAGGCGTGCTGATGCTGCGCGCAATTTTATATTGGCTGAAGAATGACTCGAACGCGCTGGCATCGCTGCAGATGCGTGCACTTCCGTCTGAGCTGCCGTCATACGACGCAGGGCTGGTGGCATCATCCATTTGCGAAGGACTGGTGAAGCTTCTGAAACTATTGTACGTGAGCCATACCCATGCATGCGTACTTTTCTCTTGATCAAGCTGACTTTTATTGTTATCATTTCAGCTTAACGCCGAAGCACCCAGAAATTGATATCGTGGCCCTGTCCTTGGAACCGTTCTGGGAGCTGTTCGACGAAGACATGTACTTCAACAAGTTGTTCATGTTCATGTTCCAGGTGTTCGATCAGCTCTGGAGCGAGCTTGACCCAAAGGCAGCATCATTTACCCGTGTTATTACCGAGACGGAAGGGATCATGAACGAGTTGCTGAAAAAGGCTCCGGTCACTGTCAGCGACCTGCGAGCAGAATGGGCAGAGTTGAGAGCACGCCGCCTGGAAGAAGCCGAAGACGAAGACGAGCAAGAGGAAGAAGAGCTGGTCGAAGATGAAGTCCTCCAGGCTGCAGCATTGTCAGACCCATCGCTACTGTCGCCTCCTCTGAGATACTCGAAGAAGAAACCCTCCTTCGATGTCAAGCCAGACGACTACAAGTCAAAGCTGATGGACACGTCAAGCATTTTGACTCTGGAGCACATCGCCTATATCGACCACGCGTTACCTATCACGAGTCAATTGTGTCGATGGTTTCGAATTTACAGCATTGAGGCAGATGGATCGTCGCTGGAGACGCTGCTTATACTGGCACAGAAGCAGAGCCCGACATTGTTGGTGGTGAAGGACGCGGAGGGAAATGTGTTTGGCGGATATGCTTCGGACGAGTGGCACCGCGCGTTTCACTACTATGGTACAGGTGAATCGTTTCTGTTTTCCTTCGCAAACTCGAGCACTGCGGGTGGCTTCGTGAAGTACCAGTGGAGCCGCAAGAATAGCTACTTCATGCTCTGCTCGGACGAGTCGCTGATCATGGGTGGTGGTGGCAACTTCGGTTTGTTCCTGGTAAGTGCATTTGGATTCGTTTCGCTTGCTGCAACTGGAAATCTAACCATTCGTTTTGCACTTTGGCACATCAGGATAGTGATTTGTCGAGAGGGACGAGTGGAGCATGCGAGACTTACAATTCACCTCCACTGACAACCTCGCAAGAGTTTTCCTGCGTCCACGTCGAGTTGTGGGGCTTCACGACGGGGGACAAGCCCGACATCGAACGGCACAGGAAAAGTGTATTGGACTAGCAGCTAGGAACGGCGGCACGACGCGCAAACAACGACAACAACACATCTTATTTACTCGAATCTGGATGCTTGATAGCAGCGATGCCATCACGTACAAGTAGTGAAAGCGACGGCAATACCAGAGTCGTCATCAGTATGTCCCTTCAACCACTACAAGTCACAGCTCACTGCTGCGACTCCGTTTGGTTGCCTAAGTAATGTATTCTGGTAAAAAAAAGTAGGAAATGCTCAAAGCCAAATCGCCAGCTCATTGCAAGCCGACGTCACCATTGGTTTGCAGCAACTGGTTGTTGAGTTCCGCCTCAAATCTCCGGAACGGAGCTTCCACTGCCTCGCGCTGCAAATAACACGTCGTGATATGACAAGGTTTGTCAGGACCACTGGGATGTTGCCGTTCGAGACCAAAACATACAAACGACGAACCTCGTCGGCGGTGGGTGTCGCGCTCGCCTGCAACTGCGGCTGCAATTGCTCCAGCTCGTGCTCAAACACTTCGGCGAACCGCTGCAAAATTCTCTGCAGGAAAACCTTGAGAGCGGCACATGCCGCGTCGGACGTTCGGTCATGGAACAGAACCGCCTGGATGTTCTCATTCTGGAGTGAGATCATGACGAGGCCACCTGCAGAGGACTGTACCACGGAAATAATACACAGTGAAGACAAGTTAGAGTAAATTAGCGATTACTAGTTAATAAGGCAGTGGACCAGTTAGTTACCGGCATTGGGTTACTCCCTGATCGGTCCTTCTTGTCTGCTCTGCTTGGGTCGAAGTGCGCTTGCACCACCTCTATTCAACATACAGTTAGAGAGCACATACACAACTCCATATTAAAAGCGATCCAGTCTCACCGCCGCCGTCGATCTCGCGCGCGAACTGCGTGAAGGACATGACGAGCGCGTCCACGCCCTCAGCATGCGCCTGCGGGTTCCACTTCCACTGGTGCGTGAACAGACACACGCCCGACTGCTGGTGCAGCACCTTGAGCATGCGCAGCTCCCCGAGCAGTGCGTTCATCGCAGGCAAATCGAATGTGCATACAAAAATCATATGATACAGTTGTAGAGCAATGTAATTTGCCACTATTCCGATTCTAGGTTCCAACCTAGAGTTGGTTTTGTGCGCTCATATTCGACTTGCCTGCGATGAACGCACTGCTCGGGGAGCTGCGCATGCTCAAGGTGCTGCACCAGCAGTCGGGCGTGTGTCTGTTGGAATGCATATTGCAGGCCAGCTTCAACTGCAGCAAGTTGAAGGATGAGCCTGGGACCTGGACTGGTGGTAAGACATGCAGCAGTAGGAGTTCTCAGAGAACCAGGTCCCTGTATGAGAAAGGGGCAAAGGCCCGTAGGAGCTGGCAGCAGCTCCACCGCTAATCTATTTACCTTTCCTTTTGCCTTCTTTCGTGAAGAGCGTTCGGCCGTCGGATCTGGTACAACGTCCAACAGGGTTCTGAGCCCAAACCAGGGGACTTGCTACTGCACAGGAAGCGATCCAGGATGGCGGACCAGCTGAAGTTCACGTCGGAGGGTGTGCCCAAGAACTGGAAGGGCAAGGACTGGCAGGCATACAAGTTTGCGATGCAGATGGTGTTTCGTGAGGCGGAGCTCATGGAGATTGTCGATGGGACGATCACCAAAGAGACGCTGTCGGATGCGGAGAGTGAGGAGAAGTTCGACAAGAAACAGACCAAGATCATGCGCTTGATTGGGATGTCGATGCCGTTGGAGATCTTGCACCAGATTAGGGACAAGATGACAGGCACGGAAATGTGGGAGGCCTTATGTCACCTGTTTGAGAACAAGGTGAATAAAACTGTTAAGGCTCACACTATTCGTCGCCTTCGTGATGAACTCTGGAGTGTGAAGTTTTCGCCGGGTGGAAATATGAACATGCACTTGAGCAAGATGTTCAATATCCGGACCTAGTTGCAGACATTGCAGTATGCAGTTGATGATATTGACATGGTTGAGATGATGCTGGAGAGCTTGCCGGTCCAAGCAGAGTTCGAGAGCCTGAAGTCGTCAATTCGCTACAGTGCAGACACTACTATGTTCACACCTACCAAGGTCCGCGAGTTGATTCGTGCTGCCGCTGCCCGCCAAGTCGAGTTCCGTGGCAAGGGCCAGCGTGGAGGACCTCGTGTAGGGAGTAATGGTGGGGCTAGTGGAGTGATTGGGAGGAAGAGCAGAGCTGATAATCAGCATGAGGAGAAAAGCAGCGACTCCAAGAAGAAGAAATTGAAGAAGTGCTTCATCTGTGGGAGTACTGCACATCTCAGAGCTGCTTGCCCATATAGGACGCATGAGGCACGATCTGCAGTGTCTGGTGCAGCTGGTTCTGTAGTTGCAGAAGGAGCTGAAAGCAGGGAGGCGACTCTGTTTATGGCAAGTGCTGCTCACATCACATACATTGAAGGTGTGACGGCAGCGATCCCTACTAAGGTTGGACCTACACATGCACGGCTGACCAATACATCGCCATCTCAAGCGGCAACGCAACGAGCTGCAACTGCGAGCAGCGAGAAACCGCAGGAAGATGAAGTGAGCGATGGGAACGAGTCGACTACTGGTGTCTGTGGATCCGCCGCTGCGTTAGAGCAACCGGACGAGATTGATGAGGAGGAAACTCAGGATGAAGTCGATGATATTGATGAGACTATTGAGAAGAGGAGTCCGTAATTAATGACGATCAAGTTACGGTGGCTAGTGTGTGTAGATCAATGACTATTGACGATCATGATGAGTGCCTGCAAGACATTCAGTCTGAGCATGGAGGCGGCGACTCGGCTGCCATGGAGTTCGCCAAGCAGACGGGAAAGCGGACGCACCGCGACGAGACGAAGTCCGAGGAGCTGCGCGTGGATCAGGATGCTGACAAGCAGCTGCCGAAGCGAACCCGGACTGGTCTTCGTGAGTATCACGAGCGGCGTCGCCCTCGTTATCTGGATGACTATGAAGTGAATGTCGCGCAGTGTTCGGCCCGAATCTTGGACAAAGATGGTAAACCTACTCTGGCGAGCAATGTGAAGCTCCCGAAGAATCGCCGCGAGTTGTACAGATCGAAGTACCGAGAGTTCTGGCTGCAGGCAGATTTAGAGGAGATGAGCGCGCTGCGTGCCAAGGGAGTGATCAGAGAGATTCCCTGCGAGGAAGTTCCGGTGGATGCAAAGCCGATTAATACACATTGGGTGCGGTCTCTTAAGACTGATCGCCAGGGATATGTGATTCGTTTCAAGTCGATAATTGTAGCTCTTGGAAACTACCAGAGACCTGGAATTGATTTCTCCGAGACTTTCGCTCCTGTCGCGAGAATGTCCTCGTTCCGGATGTTCGTGGCACTTGCTGCTGTGCTACATCTCCTGCTCTACGGCGGCGATATTAACACCGCGTACCTGAATGCCTTGCTGGGGATCTACCAGTATCTCAAGTCGATTGAAGGGTTCCCCTGCAAGATTAACGGGCACATGTATGTGGTGGTGAAGGCATTGTATGGACTGCGGCAATCGGGGCGTGAATGGAACACGGAGTTGAACAACTGGTTCTTGGCGCATGGCTCTCACTGAACCTTGCCTGTACTACAAGTTCGGAACAGACTCGATCATGCTCGTGCTTGTCTACGTTGATGATATTGTGGTTGCGACCAACAATGAAGAGGACAAGTGCAAGCTGTTTGAGGAGCTGAATATGGCGTACGGCATTAAGGATCATGGGCTTCTCAAGGAATACCTGGGCATTGAGGTGGACCAGACTGATGAGGGCATCACCATTCGCCAGAGCAAGTATGCTCGAGAGGTATTGCAGACACTTGGGTACGAGAACGCCCATGCAGTGGGCAACCCGATGGAGACAAATGTTCGGCTGGCGCCTTTGGATGCGAGTGAGGAGTCTGACACTAGCTTTGACTATCGAAAGGCCGTCGGGATGTTGATGTACTTGGCTACGGGAACGAGACCCGACCTGGCGTTTGCAGTGGGGCAACTTAGTCGGTTCGTGGCCAAGCCATCTGCCAGACACGTGGGGACACTGAAGCGTGTTCTGCGGTACCTTGCTGGTACAGTAGACTATGGCATATCGTATGAACGACCTACGGAGGTGCCAAGCACTATTGTATTGGAAGGCTTTTGTGATAGTGACTGGGCCAATGACTCTGAGTCACGTAAGAGTACTACCGGGTTCGTGTTCTCGCTAGCAGGCGGAGCTGTGTCTTGGATGTCACGTCGCCAATCGATCGTGGCCCTCTCAACGGCTGAGGCCGAGTATGTGGCCGCGTGTGAGGCTGCGATGGAGGCAGTTGCAGTCAGCAACATGTTGCAGGAGATACTACCACAGCGAAGTGTGAAGCTGAAGATCGGGATTGACAACCAAGCGGCCCATGTGCTGGCGACCAACCCTACCTACAGTCGCCGTACCCGACACATCGAGCTGCGATGGCACTTCGTGCGTGAACAAGTGCAGAAGGGCGCAATTAACCTACGCAAGATGAAAGGTGCCGAGAACCCGGCGGATGCGTTTACGAAGCCACTGGACAAGCAGCGACTGAAGGACCTGTTGTGGCTCGTGGGCGTGACCGGTGGCATGTGATGAAGCAACCTGCCTCAAGAAGCGCATTCTGGTGGTCGAAGTCTGTACTTCGAGGGAGGCGTGTTGGAATGCATACTGCAGGCCAGCTTCAACTGCAGCAAGTTGAAGGATGAGCCTGGGACCTGGACTGGTGGTAAGACATGCAGCAGTAGGAGTTCTCAGAGAACCAGATCCCTGTATGAGAAAGGGGCAAAGGCCCGTAGGAGCTGGCAGCAGCTCCACCGCTAATCTATTTACCTTTCCTTTTGCCTTCTTTCGTGAAGAGCGTTCGGCCGTCGGATCTGGTACAACGTCCAACAGATAGGACTGACAAGTCAAGTGGTGATGGCGCTAATGCAACTGAGCAGAAGCGTAAGCCACGAGGAAATGTGACTATTCGACAGGAGGTCCGCGAATCTCCGAGCGCAGATAGTGACAACGGTGGCTCTAGCGTGGAGATGGCCGCGCTGGACCAGATGATACTTGACGCTGGGGTCGAGGTGGACATACGGGATCCAGAACCCGAGAGTCCTGGTGATGTAGATGCTCAGGAAGCGAATAGTGCTGAAGCTGACGATGCAGTTGGAGACTCCGATGGATGGTGGTTCTTCGACACTGCGGCAAATGCGCACGTCACAGGAAACCTGTTGGACTTCGAAGCATTTACGGAGGATACCAATCAGTCACAGAGCGTGCACGGAGTGGCACCTGCTCTTGCATCGCGGATTGCAGGAGTAGGAACTGTAGCTTTGGTGACTGAAGTGGATGGTGAACGACCTGAATGATGTCGTTTACGTTCCCGGTGCTGAGCACGGACTCTTTTCACCTGGACTTGCCGCGGAGCAAGGATTCGACTTTGACTATGAGCATGATACATTGAATTTCCGCATCAAGTATGAAGGTCGGACTGTTATCGTGGCTTCGCCGTACGAGGCAACGTGGGGATTCTTTGTGACCCATCCTGTGAATGAGGGGCTAGAGCTGCCCCGAGACAGAACAATGTGTAATTTTACTGCGATTGATGGAGTTGCTTCACTTGCGTTCTGGCACGAGCGACTTGGACATATCTGCCCACAGTATTTGAAGACCATGGCGGACAAGGGTCTGGTGAAAGGACTGATGTTGACGAGGCGCGAGCAACAGGACCCTTGTGACGCATGTCATTTAGGGAAGCAGAAGAAGACACCACACACCAAGAAGCTGAACCGTGGGCTGAAAGCGCCTAATCAGGCAGTGTATGTGGACTTGCTAATCCCAAGTCAGGGAAATGGCACTCGCTTTGAGGCGGTGCTAGTGATTATGGATGGCTACTCCCGGTTCGTGACCGTGCACGTTGAACAGCAAGTCGAGCAAGGTCATCAACCAGCGCATACAAAAATCATATGATACAGTTGTAGAGCAATGTAATTTGCCACTATTCCGATTCTAGGTTCCAACCTAGAGTTGATTTTGTGCCGGCAGTCGACGATTCCAGACCGAGCAACGATGAGTGGCATGAAGGCGACCTACCGCTTCCACGGCGAGGTGGTGCACTCGTTCGAGAGCTTCCCGAGCGCCGCAGAGGCCTCCAACGAGTACGCGCCGCCGGCCGGAGAAGAGAAGCTCAACCACTCGTACACGGGCCAGATGGACGGCGGCAAGCCCATGCCCGAGCTCAAGTCCACGGGCCCCTACGCCGCTCTGGTCACGTCCATCAAGGTAATGAATGAACTATAATACTACAGTCAATGGGAATGGAGATGAAAGAATGAATAATTGACTGTATGTTTTGGTTGTAACTTAGCGTGCCAAGGAGGACAGTGAGGGGTTCCTGAAGGACCGCGTGGAAGGCCCTGTGCCGGCGAAACTCTACAACCAGTAACAATGGAGCAACATGTTCAACAACCAAGTGTATTATTTTTCATCAGTTTCTAGGTGAAGGTCTTGCTTTGACGAGGAAAGACCGCAGATCAAAAGCTACAGTGTCGACAGTCGTGTGCAGGTACATATCAACAGCTCATGGAAATTGTGCGTGGGCGCGACCACCCGAATGGACAAATGGGTCGCGCTTGGTGATGAGAGAGATAGAGCGCGTGTGGCCGGTGTCTCAGCTGATGCAGTTTGTGCTTACTGCTCGGCTCCGCTCTCGTCGCTCTCGTTCCACACGGGGAGCGGCATGTGCTCCAGCTCGCGGTAGGAACGGTCCGTGGCTTTATGCCGCTTCTTGTAGCGGCGCTTGGCGTGAGGCACGGTGGAGTGGAAGATCTTTTTGAGGCTTGGGACCTGCGGGGCCGCGTGAGTGCGCAGGTGTCGGCTAGCGTAGTCAGTGAGCTTGGCGCGGTTGCTGCTCCTTGTGCCATTAGCAGCGACGATGCCAGCGTCGGTCGTCTTCGGTGCCTTCTGAAGGTGTCGAGGGTTGGTGCACTCCGAGCAGAACCATGGGATGCCATCAGGGGGCACCATGGCGAGGTTGGTGCAGTTGAGATGGAAGGCGGCAGGGCAACCGTCACAGCAAATGAGCTCGCCCGCTAGGCCGCAGCGGAAGCAAGCGTCTTCGTTCAGGTCATTCTGTAAAGCCGCACAACAGAGCAGTCAGACAAACGGCCACGACATTATACAAATAATCTAAGCGAGCAGCGTACCTGGTCGGATTTGATGTACATCTGCTTGCCCTTTATGCGATCGATGAGGCGATGGATGCGATCGGGGTTGATCGAGCTGGACGACGGGATGCGCTTGTTCCACTTGGACTTGCCATTTGCAAACGCCGCAAGCTCAGCGATTCCTCTTGCTCGTGCTTGGGAGAGACCAAGCCTAGTGCGGATAAGTTTCGCTCCGGTGGGGGCACGCTTAGATGGAACGAACATGGACCCCCCATTCCTCGGACGACTGCGTTTCTTGGGTGGACGGCCCGGTCCCCTCTTCTTTAGCGGCGAAGGAGAGTTCGCCGCCACTTCCGACTCCGAGCAGTGGTCGACCTGAAGGACCGCCGACCAGTCTGACTTGCCACCGCAGATGTAGCTGTGTAGTGCCCTCATCTCGGGCAAGTGTTCCCCTGCTGTGACCTTTTCGTACCAATTCTTTTGGTGTGGTCGCTTTTCGATGAGATCGCTCTTAGCAATTGCTTGTGGCGGCGTGAGTGAAACATCCTCCTCGGTCGTTGTGGAGCACTCCGAGGCCGGGCTGCATGACGGTAGTCTACGGTGAACTTCGCCGGTGTTAACTTCTTTATCGTCCTCTTTTTTCTGCCGGCGCGGTCGGTGACTGAGAAACAATCGGCAGTATTTGAGTCCATAGTAATCCAGCCAGCTCTCGTCCATCTGTGAGCTTTTGAGCAGCGCCAGGGAGGTCAAGTGCACGGGGCGCTTAAGCTCGGGCGGCGTCTCGTCCACCAGTACCTGCTTTTTCGCCTTCGCGGTGCCTACCACACGAGGATTAAACGAGGGTAATTTTGACCGCTTGACGCCCAGCTTGCCTGTGCACGCCGTAGACCCACATTTGCAATCGGCGGCTTCACCGAAGTGGGAGAAGTTGTAGTCGATGGTGATCTCCTCGTCGGGTGCAATATTGCGGCGCGCAAAAATTCCAATACGCTGCATGCCGTCCACATTCCTGTTGCAACAGTCGGAAACATATTAGACAACAAGGTAGATTCAGCCGGTGCTGGTCAACACTTAAGACGTACCACTTCTGCGTGACGCTGTTGGGATCACAGCAGTGGTTGATGAAACGCGAGTCGTTGCTGCGGTACTTGGCGTCAATCACAATGTTCTTCTCCAGCTCCATCATGTAGAAATTCACCTAGCGTCATAAACCAACCCATGTCAGCTGCAGTTCACACCTAAAACCACCACCACAATGCGCTGAGCTTACCTCGCCGTTATCCCTGTACTGAATCATTCTGCGTTCGCACTCGATGTCATCAATCACCTCGCCGACGTATTCAATGATAAACTCTCCAGCGTTGATCTTCTCGTTGGCAACGAGCCCAAACCCGGGTCCAGGAATATACTCCACTCTCACCGACTTGAGTTCCCTCCTCTTGATCGCTCGGTTGCTGCACATGCTCAGGTCCGGCGCAGAGCACGTTTCATCTGAGCAACTGATGAACAGCATGCGGTTGTAGCAACCTTCACCGCAGTACACCACGTCCTCCGCTTCGTGATGTTTCTCCACATCAGCGTGTCCTCTATTGGTCTCGAGCTCCTTCTGAGCCTTGGCGCTCGCCATCATCGTCGTGCGCTTGGTCGTGGACTTGTGGATCTCCTCGTAGCACGTGCACTTGTGTACAGGGAAGTCGGCCACGGGCATCTTCGTGGACACGTAGACGCAGCGGCTGATCCTGCCGAAGGGCGGCGGGCGGCGCACCCATTGGCGCTCCTCGAGGCTCTTGATCTCCGCGTCCTTGAAGGGCAATTGGAACTCCACGACGCGCTTCTCGGGCGGAGACTTGGCGAATCCGCGACGCTTGGGGAGCGGCGGGGGAGAGGGTGGCAGGCTTCGTGCGTCGTCCTCCAGGAGCTGCAGGAAGCTCGCAGTCTCCGGGTCCACCGTCACCTCCGGCTCGGTCTCAGGCTCGGGCGCAGGCTCCGCAGCGACCGCGGGCTTCTTCTGCTTGGGCGGTCGACCTGGGCCGCGCTTCACCAGCTTGGGCTCGTCGCTGGCTGCCTCCAGCTTGCGCTTCTTAGCGGCGGGGCGGCCCCGGGGTCGGCCAACTTGCTTCGGCGGCATTATATGCACAACTTTGTATCAGCTGAGACCGAGGCGGTTGATTGGCGACTGAATCACGGGGCGCCAAAATCGCCCGCGCAACGCGTGACTTGAAGTTTGTATGTGTCGTGACGCATCCCCGTCGACTTGCGAGCGCCAACTTTTTCAAATCCATACGGGCGCGTGACTGGCTGAAAATGGGGTGTTAGAAGACACACCATTGGACGAAAAAGAGCAAGGTATCCGCTAACTCGGTAGATGGCTACATTGGTTGACGTGTCATGCGTGACATATCCGTTCATTGCGGACGTCTATCTCTCTCTACCCATCTAAAGCTGCGCCTCCCTGGCGTTGACCTCGTCCAGTGCAGCGGCCAGCGTCTTGACCGCCTCCAGCTCGGCGAAATCCACCTGCGCCTTCTTGAGCACGCCGCGGATGTACAGCCGGCATGAGTACAGCGCCTTCTTGGTGCCCTCGGCCAGGTAGTCCTGAGCCAGGCGAGAGGCCGCCGAGCACAGGTCCTTCACCTTCTGCTCCTCTCGCTCCCAGCCAGCGACTTGCAGAGCGCGGCACTGCTTCAAGCGGCAGTCGCGCGCCTTGTCCGCACGGCCCTCCAAGCCGTCGTTGAAGTGCGCGTACACCTGCCACACTTTGGCGTCGTTCGTAATGATGGACGTCACGCGACCAAACAGCATCGCCAGCTGCTTCTTGTAGTGCGAGTCGGACCGAGGAGGCGTCGCGTCCGTGACCGCTGCGGCCTCATCCAGCTCGGCCAGGTCGTCATCGTCGTCTTCGAGCTCGTCGACCTCGTCCTCGTCTTCGTCCTTCTCGATAGCTCCGGCTTCGGCAGCAGCCTCCTGCTCCATCTTCTTCAGCGACTCAGGGTACACGATGGCCTCCACAAGCCACGCCAGCATCTCGCTGTCGACCGGGCGCTTGTGCTTGGCGCGCATGTCCAGCAGTTGGTGCATCGCGTACATGGCCTCGCCGTAGCGTTTGGTCTCCATGGCACAGAGGGCGTAGTTTTCCCACATTTGCCACATGTGACGCTTCTGCTTGAGACCCTCCTCCAGCACCGCAAAAGCCTCTGCGAAGCGCTGGTTGTGCAAGTGGATAGAGCCTAGGTTGCCCCACGCCTCACCATTGTCCGGCTCGAGCTGCACCACGCGCGTGAACGCGCGCATGGCGAGTGCCCACCGATGCACACGCATAGCCAACGCGCCCAAAGTGAACCAAGCACCGGTGTGCATGGGACCCACGCGCACGGCATCCTCGTAGTGAGGGATAGCCGCGTCAGGTTCGCCCTTCTCAAAGTAGTGGCGTCCAAGGGAACGCTTGGCACGAGCAAACCGCTGCTTCGAGAGCGTCCAGGCCGTCTCGTAGTGCGAAGGCTCCTGGGTGAGGTCTCCCAGCGTGACCCACATAAATGGCGTGGGGGCGATCTCCAGGCGCTCACACACAAGCTTTTCAGCACGCATCGGCTTGTCCAGAAGCTGGTAGCACTTGACAACATCGTCCCACATCTCGAGCTCCTCGCAAATTTCCACAGCACTGCCAAGAACACCAAGCTTGAAGTAGCGCTCAGCCAGGTCGCGCTTAAGGGCATACCGCGGAGGAAAGGCCAGCGAATACACGAACTGCATGCGCTCACGAGCTGGTGCCGAATCTGCAATGGACTGCAGAGTATTTTGCGTGATCGTAAGACGCGTTGTGTGCTGGTCCACCAAGGCCTGCATCTGCAAAACAGCACGCTCACGGCGCTTCGAGCTCTCGCACTCGAGCCACGCGCGCTCCAGCAGCGCCGTGGAGTAAACCATCCAGTTGTTGGGGTTTTCTAGCACACGCGTAACGTAAGGCATCATTTCCTCGCGCGTGAGGCCGTCGTTGGCGTTACTGTTCTTCACGTCCAGACACAGGCCCAACAGCACAATCTGATCGACGATCTGCAGGTTGCCCTGCTCCGTGAGTTTGCGGTCTTCAAACGCGATGCTCTCCAAAAGATAATTGTCTTGGTCCACCTGGTCCAATTTCACGTCGCGATAGGAAGCCTCGCCTTCCTGAACAAGCCTCTGGATGTGCTCCTCCTCGGCCGTAAGGCCATCAGCAGGTGGGGCAGCAGAGGAATCAGCGCCATTTTCACCTTCGGGCGTCACTTGCTTACCGCCAAAGTCCACGTGAGTCGATTCGGCCACCGCTGCGGCGTAGATAGACTCCTTGTCCTCACTCTCAGGCTCTTTCTTGGATGCCGCAAGCAGCACCATCTGAGCCAGACTTTTCCGCTGGAACTTGGTACGCTTGCCCAAGGATCCGCTGAGCTGCACGGTCACACCAGATACCTCCTTGGCACGGGCGAACGTCGACTTTCCACGTTTGTTCTTGTCGAAGTGGTGCTGCGCAAGGCCCCACTCCACGTACGCGCGAGCGAGCAGGTATTGCGTATCCTTCTCAAAGGCAAACAGCTCGGTCGCCTTCAGCGTCTGGATGTAGCCACGGCGAGCTTCAAACCACAGCGTGTTCGACGGCTGCTTCGCAAGCAGCAGTCGTTCGTGGGCCACAGCAGCACGCGCGTTCCACCACGCAGCCGACTTGATCTGCTCCAGCATCTCGCCAAGTGCGCGGATGGCCGCACCACCGGTAATCTGGCGCTTGGCAGGGCCCTCCATAGCGTCATCCGACACCTCGTTGTCGTTCTCGCCGTGCGCAACTTCTTTAGCAGCCACCGACCAGTCGTTGTACGCGTGGTTGCCCACGAAGTCCAGCAAGCAGCGACCAATGAGCAAGAACTGCGGGAACTCGCATATGGAGAACGGACTTTCGCCATCCACCTGTAGCGCCACCAGCGCGTCGCTGTGCGTCTTCTTGTCGTTGCTTTCAGTCGAGCACGTGATAAGGTGCGTGGACAAATCCAGCAGGTCACGCAGCGTCTCCTTCTCGAACGCCGGTCCCGTGTAGTTGGCCTGCACGTACATGTCGAAGAAGGCGACACCAATGAACAGGATCTCGTAGGCGGCCACAAGACGGCTCTCGGCGCCGTCACATTGGCCCAGCAGGTAGCTCTGCAGCGCCGACGCAATGCTCCCACAGATGTGCGCGTCCTCGTCCTCATCGTCCTGCTCCTCGCTGCGCAGCTGAGCCAAAGTCTTTAGGAGACTCTGCGATTGGGGGAGACGGATGACGTCCGCGTACTCGCCCTTGAAGATGAGCTTGGCCATTGCCAGGACTGGAGCCATGTCGTCGCCGTCCTTGAGGGCGTCCTGCGCCGCGACCACGCTCTTAATGTCGCTCTCCAGCACCGCGTGCTCTACCGCAAGCAGGCGCTGCTCGAGCAGGTCCTGCGCGGCATCCTGCGAGCTGTCGATGGCCGATAGGCTCACGCCACACAGCTCCTGTATCAAGTCGTCGGCGTCCGCCATCGCTTCCGGTTGAAAAATGTGACTTGCGTTGAAATTCAACTTGAGTGGCTCAGAATTTATGATTCCTTCGCTTTCGTAAGTAGCATATAGGGGTTCCTGCGAAGTCGTCGGCGTGGACAGCTGACATTTTGCAGGAAAAGTACAAGAGCAGCCTCAACGGGATTAAGAAGTGGATCAGGAGCGAGCTCGCTAAGGAGGATGAAAACATCGCCAGGTTTTTCGACGCTGATGATGACATTAATCTATGTGAGTTTACACCGAGTGTTTTTGAGCGTTTTCTGGTGTTCAAGAGCGCCTCTGTGAAGACGGCTACGCTGAGCGGGTACCGAAGTGCTATCAAGGATCTTTATCGCGTGAAGCGCGTGGCGCTGCCTCCTGAGTACGGCGATGATATGAAGCAACTGTTCCCCGGTATGAAGCGGATGGAGGCTGATCAGGACCAGACTAGCACCCCAAAGAGCAGCCACTCACGTACTCCCTTTATAAGGAGTTGTGCAATTCGACTCTCGTGGCGGGTGAAGGCGGGTTTTCGCATCTTTTTTTACTTCGCAGTGGAATTTGATGTGTCGCTCAATGTCGGTCCAGACTCTTCAAAGTCAGCATCTCGTGGTGAAAGATGATAGCGTTGGAGTAATATTTGTGAAGACGAAGACTAACCAGGAGGGTTCAGGGCCCCGTGATCCACGCCACCTGTACGCGAACCCGCTGAGCCCATCAACGTACTGGGTGACTGCCTTGGCAATTTATCTTGCATGCCACCCTCGATTGGAACCGGGGGCACTATTTCCAGGCTCTAACCAGAAGCTACGATTTAGCAAGGTGCTGACTAACCTTTTGAAGCAAGGAGACGCTGGTAAAAGTTACGGTACGCACTCGGTGCGCAAAGGAGTGGCTACATTCGCTTGTGGAGGAAGTACAGGCGGTCCCTCGATCGTGAGTGTGTGTCTTCGCTGCGGATGGAGCCTCGGTGGAGTTCAAGATCGCTATTTCCGTTATGAAGCCGCAGGGGATCAATTCCTGGGGCGAGTAGTGGCAGGACTTCCCGTAAATGACTCTAAGTTCGCTACTTTACCGCCCCATTTTCAGGATGGCCCCGATAAAAATGTGAAATCGTGCGTGGAGACTATGTTTCCGGTTCTCTCTCGCGAAGCGAATGTGACAGGAATTTTGCGGTTGTGCCTAGCATCACTCGTGCATCACGCGGAATATTTGCAACAGCCACCCATGCATTATTTGTTTACAAGCCCCACTGTCCTTAGGACGCTTGAAGGCCAACTAGTAGCTGGAGAGTCTGTCTGGATGCGACCAACGGGGATACCGCCCTATATTGAGCTATACAAGAAGCTTGACCAGCAGCAAAGGTCAATTGATGAGCTGCCTGGCAAACTGGGGCAGAGAATGGAGCATGTACTTGAGAAAAAGGGTGTGGCAGCGGACAATATTACGAGAGAGTTATTGCGTGATGAAATTCGATCGTTGTTAGACGAAGTTGGGCTCCAACAACGCCCGTCGATCAACGCCGTAGTGCCAGCGCCAGTTCCAGTGCACCAGTATCATGTCTGGGGCGGGAAATTTCATGTGCTACCTAGAGAATTTAGTTTTCCGAGTATCGATCCCCTTGGGGCATGGATGCTATGGTGGTTCGGAAATCCAAAGCTCAACTACCCCCCGTACAAAGGAATACCATCGGACGACCTGGATACACTGCAGAAAAAAGCGACGCTATCAGAATGGTCAATTATGACGCGGCACATTATGAATGGGATCGAGGCCAAGCTGGACGCACCTATGCCAGAAATCCGTGACAAGAGACACGCTATTGAGCTTTTCAACATTGGATACGGTACACTGCGGTTAGAGCCAAGCAAACGTAAGCGAAGAGCTGAACAGCTTAAGCTTACAACTGTTTTGAGACTCATCCGACAAGCCGATCAAGAGCGAAACGAAGAAGACAGTCAGCCGCCCAAGCGTCAGAGACACACAAGCCAATCCGAGTGCCCGAGATTGGCAAGCTAGTAGTAGCTATAATCAAACAGTACACCCATTTACATTCGTGTTAGTACAGTCGAGCTGATCGCAGTAGTGCAACGGTGCGTAAAGCTAGCAAACCTCGCTGGCGTACAGGGTATCCTAAAACCAAAGTTGTTAGCGTAAGTTTTATAGCCATTTAGCAACAACAAACACAAACCTGGTAGCTCATGAAGTCGCCGCCTAGAACTCGGCTGTCGACTGTTGCAGTCACCGCTTAGTCGATGTTGCCTGCCGGACTGCACGGGACCTCTGTACCTATGTATGGCACTTCAATAAACTTTTAGCCAATCAAATTGTGCCTTGATACCGTCGCAGAATCCATCTTACGTTTTCGCAAGTCAATTGAAAGTAGAGAACTTTAGAAACTGAAATATCTCATGACTTGGAAAATCTAAAAAATCTGGATAAAATCCGGATAGATTACGGATACATAGATTACCCGGCAGATGTTTCAATACTCAAGTCCAGTGGTACAACCGAAGGGTCGCGTTGTTCCACTGGAACTTATTTTTGGATCAACCGGATTTCATGCGTTTTTGTCAATTCTTGTCCCAAAACATCGACTTAGCCTAAAGTTCGCTAGTGAGGGTTCTGATACCTGAATTTTGGATTATACCGATCCCTACTTAACAATTTTGGGTTTAGTTACAAAGGTATTTTTTAAAAGTGTACTTATTAATAAAAGTACACTTTAAAGTATCAATGACGACAACTAGGCTCCGTGAGGTCGGGATAGAAGGATTGTATATAATCCCGTGTTTAACTTTTTTTTACAAGACTATGCTTATCAATAATAAAACCAATGATAATAGAGGTTTATTTTGCAGCTCGTATGAAGATCATATGCTCATGTAAGCGCTAGTGTTATTTTATCAAGGGGAGCTGAAGGTTTTCCGGTAGGTCTCTCCTGATCACAATTTTGCTCCAATAGACTAGTGTCGCTGATTTGACCAATTTCGTGTTTTTTATGAGTCCATTTCAATTTGTACCCATATCACCACATTGCTTGAAATCGCTTTCCAACCAGTTTCGTGTCGCCTTTTTGATTTGGTTATAATATGGAGTGCCGCTCTGCGTGCATGGGATTAGTAGGGTTAGGGAACCATATTTGAACTTTTAGCAAATAGGACAGCGTAAAGATAACCACAGAGCTATTTAATTGGATGAAATTCAAAAACACGAACTGGTCGTACTCCTTTAAGGAGTCTCCTTAGCGCAAAAATTACTAACATCTCCCAGCTGGTTGGTCACTCCCCTCGATAGTGACCAAGTGGCCTCAAAGCCAACAGGTACATTTTGTATGACACAAACTACAGGGAACTTAGGGTTTGTATGCAGGCCAAATCTGTACCATCTTATAAACATATTCAGTCTTATATCTACCGCCGTTGTGGGTTAATATGTCCCCTCCAACCAGGGACACGTGAACGGTTGTTCACTTGGATTTTGTATACTCCTGCTAAGAAGTGCTGGGTGTCCCGTCACATTAACCTTTCGGTGCATTTTCTGGTTCCAGGGAGATGCACAAATTAGAAGGTCAAAGGAGTAAATCTTTTGACTTGATGTATCACAGGTTCGAACTGTAGTAGCAGTACTAACTTTGGTGTCTATCTCACCTTATTCGACCGACTGGTGAGAGTCAGGCAACTGCTACAATCAGAATTGGGATAGGTAGGTATACACTCCCGTGTTTTGCGTACGTTGATCTAGGGTAAAGGAGATCCGGTGGCTCATTATCTATGTTCGGCAAATCGTGGCTAAGATCCTAATGCAAATCTGAAGGTATGTGCTACGAGGACGTACTGTTCACACTGTCAAAACTTCAAAAACACCGAAACTATACTTCCAGCACAAGCTAAGTACGATTGGCACCGAGAACGCCTGAGCCCCACAGGTTTTCTACGACCACCACTCCCGCTTGGCAACCTGCACTCCTACCTGGAATTGCCAGCTTTTTGACCAATGGTGAAGGCCAAACAAGACAAAATTCACCCAATCACTATGAGGGGAAATGGGGGAGGACACCGGGCTGACAGCACATTCGCTTTTGCATCCACCGATCTCAACGCTAAACCACCCGCTACTTCAGCATGACCAGTCACCCGCGTCACCCCTGGCAGCTCCTGGCTGCGGCGACACCGCCAAACGACGGCAATGCTCTCCTGGCTGAGCTCAAGAAGCACAAGGTAGACAAGTGTGACCTGACGCCGTGCTTCGTCTGCATGCTGCCAGCGCCTCACTTCATGCGTTTACAACGCCTGCTGTGTGCCTGTAAGGCCTGGGCCGACGTCTCAACAGCCTCCGCATGCCCATGGCGCGCGAGTCATGACGTGCCAACTTTCATTGGTGATGACGATAGAAGAAGCATACGTGCACTGCACCCTCGCCCAAGCGCCATGCAAGCCCGTCCTAACCCCAGCAATGAAGGAGGTCGTGAAGGATTGGGCCGCCCAGGGTCTCAAGCCCAAGCGTAGCTACAATGCTCTTCTGCAGCGGTTCGGCCTCACCAAGAGGACGGCTCCCTCTCTAGCCACGATGCAGCGCATTGCGCACCATCACGTGACTGGACGACTCGGCGGGAGCGATCTACTAGATGCTGTTCGTAAAAAAAACAAGGATAGAAGGTTCACGGGTCAAGAGGAAGAAACTGCCGCGTTCACGTTCACCAGTCGCAGCGACCGGACGGCAAGCCCATTTCTGGGAACGGAAGTGACTTGGATTCATTCGTGGTGGGCATCAGCTCCAAGAAGCTCCTTCGTCGCGCCGATCGAGACCCGGAGTCGTTCATCTTTCATCTTGACGCTACCTACAAGCTAACTCAAGTCGGCTATCCTGTCGTTGTGGCCGGGATTTCAGACCGAGCGAGGCGGTTCCATCTCGTGGCGATCTTCATCGTCTCCCAACAACAGCAGCAGCACTTCGCGGAGATCCTTGGGCTGCTGGCGCGGACGTACATGTCGATGACGGGGAAGCCACTGCGAGTTCGCTATGTGATGGGCGATGCTGACGCAGCCCAGTGGAGCGCGATTGACGAGGTGTTCGGGGAAGAGTGCAATTACGTGTTTCTCATGTGCTACATTCACGTGGCAAAGAAGGTTTATGAGAAAACACGCTCCCTTCCCACTGCCATGGCTGTGTCGGTTATGAAAGCCATACACAAGATGCACTTTGCCGCCAGCGAACCAGCCTACCAGAAAGTGCTCGAAGAAGCTCAAGAAGAGTGGTCCAAGAGTCCTGAGCTCAAGCGATTCTCACAGTACTTTTCTAAAGTCTGGCTCAACCAACGGCTCTGGCGATGGCAGTGCTTTCACACGCCTAGTGGATTCGCCACGACAAACAATCCGTGCGAGACCTACAACGCCATGATCAAACGAGATGTGACTCTACGCAGAAAGCTCAAGGTGGGTGCTTTAATCCCACAGCTACTGTTGCTGTGCGAGAGCGAAGCCGTAGTTGCACGGCCGTTTGCTACTGCACCTGAAGCTGATGCACGCCTCCTACGACGTGTGAGGGCGCTGAAGCAGGCTGGTATTCTCGAACTGACGTCGACAACGCGATGCACTGTAGCATTCCTACTCGCAAGTACCCCGGAAGAAGACCAGCAAGATGTGGTTCATGTGGTCAGCCGGGCCTCGCCGCGCGTGCTGGACGAGATACGCCGACGGACCGTTGAAGATCTACCTGTCACTGCCCGACTGAACAAACTGACATCTGCGATGGAGAATTCAGGCATGCCCACATCGGGGTGGCGTGTGGACACGAAGACAGGTGTATGCCAATACCCTTTCGCGAACAAACACGGTTGTTGCATCCATTCCCTCTATGCTTTGGAATGCCGTGGTGCCATCGACACCAAGGGCCGAGAGACGCTAGTAAACCGCGGCCCCACGGCCCGGAAGAGTGGAAAGCGTAAGGCAGGTCGCCCACGCAACAGCGGTGTTGCGGTTGCTATGGAGTAGCTAGGTGGTGAATGTCACGTAATACAGTCGTGTACTCCATATCGAAGTTGTCAGGGTGATTTCGTTTCTGACCTATACCGTCGTAAGCTCTTTGCAATGCTCATTAAATACAGCTTAGTACCACATGCATGTCAGTCGAAAGATGATAGAAGGAAACCGTGTCGAGGCTGCACCACAAATCTTTGGAGCAGTTGCCGCCATTCCGCTGTAACTACCATAACCAATTGTACCTGATGCTATCTTGCCTTATTCGGTCTATACATCTTAGCGAGTAGGTTGTGAGAAATATATGCGTACCCTTACATTGTTCGACCGCCTAACTTTGAGGTCGCGGCTGCGGTATGACTGCTGTAAATCAAGCATTTTCGTTAAATATACTGAAGACGAATTGTATAACTGTGTGGCATGTTTCATTGTATAAGATAAACGTGTTGATAGCTTAGAAATACCGCCCAGCTAATTAGACGTCACGTTTCCAATAATTGCGGCGGGGGCTGCGCGATAAGTAGCAGAGTGCCTAAACGCGCACTTTTATTGGTTATATTTTTTCTAGGGAACAGATTGAGCTAATGACATCTTACCAAAAGTGGCTTTAACTTGTGCCGAATTTGACTGGCTGCTGCAATGTATTCATTACTTCGATTTGTTGTCGGGGCTGCGGATGATATCTACCATAAGAGTCGCACTCTACATTTTTGCGTATCTACATAAGTTTCCCAGCTAATCTTCTCTATACATTCGTTTAAACATGTGTGTCCAAGATACTTTCACACTAAAGCATGTCCAAGTTTTTATTTGTTCGACCGGGGCTGCGCAGCAAAATGGTCCATTCTTTATTTTTATCGGCCCTCCATCACGCAAAAAGCCGAGAGAATTGACGTCCACGCTCGGCTTGAACTATATTGACTTCCAGAAGGAAGGCGAGCTGCGTAGCGATATGAATCGTACCTGTCGGTAGCACAGACGACCACACGCACTTCATGTTTTCCGGCGTCTTGGGCTTGAATACTAGTAGGACCGCGTGGGGAACCAGCGTGCTCATGTAGACGACACCCCCCGGGCGCTGGACTAAGACGCACAACTAGTTTTCAACATCCGGTTCAGAGTGTTTTCCGTTTTCGTGAAGTTAAACTCGTCCTGGGCGCACTCCGGCCTCCGGTAGAACACCCAAATCTTGAACGTATGCGTGAGCGATGGCGGAACGATGGAGACAACGCGTCCATGGTCAATGTGAATAGGAGATTCGCGATTACCACTTTGTAGCCATGACTCGAACGGGTACACGTAAGCTTCGTCAGCCGGAAAGCTGAGCTTCGTCCGGTACCCAGGTAACATCGCTGCTATCTGGTCTCGGAGACTCGGTAGCGCAGCTTCCCAGAGTCTCTCAGCACCCCGGCGAACAAAACGTCTCATGTCCTCCACACGCAGCAGCTGATTCAAATGCGCCGGGTTTTCGGGTAAGCGATGTTGCCCCCGAGACGCCGCTACAGCATTGCATGCGTTGCGAAACAATAGAGCAGGAGCCTTGCTGACCACAGCGCGCTCCCAGCCTCGTCCTCGACGTAGCGATCGATAGACGCTGCCAGCTTGTGCTGCACGCGATGCTTCAAGTACTTCACATCCCCGTAATCTCCCGGCTCCACAAGCTCACGTAACTCCTGAACTAAATCCGCCATTTCTATTACTGTTCCAACACCAAAACGCCGCTCACGAAGCCTAGATACGTGCACAGACGCAGCAGTAGCTCACTTACAGTCCAGCCAGCCGTAGCCCTCGCACGCGTCCACGCGGTCATAGCCCTCGCACGCGCCACCGCAGTTGTAGCCTTCACGCGAACAGTCCTCTCGCGTGCCACAGTCCTCTTGCCGCCGGTAGTACTTGACGCGAGCCGTCTAGACTGCAGTCTTGGGGGGTGGGTGGGTGGGTGGGGGATGCCGTGGGCGTAGCGCTGTCCGCTCCTGGGGGTAGATTCGCGTTTGAATCTAGGGAGAGAGCGGCGGAGATTAGAAATGTACAGTTGAATACAGCACCTAAAACTAATATGTCTCCGACAGTAATGTGTTTTGTGTGGAGGTGAGAGCAGAGCAAGCATCGTGCCTTTTTTGTACCGGTGCTCGAGCTGATTCTGCTGTGTGACATTATAATTCTGCTGGGTTTTTGGTATTTGCTCATGTGCCACCATCCACGAGCAGTGCACCTGAAACCTCATGAGTGCGCTTGCGAATTTGTCGCAGCTCACATGTAATCGACGAGGAGTGCGAAAGTGGTGCTACCACAGCTCCACACATTGAATGGATAATAATAGTTTTACTTCAAAATTCGTGCCTAACTTGTACTCTGAGGATTTCTTCATGATGATAGAAAAATCATCGGCATCTGCAGTTACTGTAGCGTAATTTCAACCTCATTGTAGTGTTACGAAGCACTCCCGTTGAGCGCGATTTTGCCACAATTGTGAGCCATTTTAGCCTATCAGTTCACTCCTCAAACGAGCTGATCGTTGGGTTGTACTTTTCCGAGGGAGCAGTAGATCCCAGCTCGTGATTTGAAGTGATCGGACAGCTTATCGCTCCTTCGTATCTAGGGGTGTGGGACGCTTGAATATGTGTAAATTCTAGACCTGCTTCGTTTTGTAAGACTGTTTTAGTGTTCAATAAAGCAAGGCAGCTGTATATTGATTTTGTGTTAAAGCAAACTTAAAGGCATAGAGAGTTAAGCTACCTACCCTAACTGCATTTCGAATTCAGAAGGATGCAGTACAGCCGCTTGCACACAGGGAGGAGGTCCTCCGGAAACTGCGTCCAATCGTCCGGCACTCCAGTGCCGGTGAAGTCCCGACGAAGAGTGCCGCCTTCGTGCTCCACGAACATCTAATTCTGAAAGTCGGTTATGAGCGCGTGAACCTTCTCGAGTTCTTGACCGCCGTTGATGATCCGCGCGGCTTCCATCATTGCGAGGAGTTGATGTTGATGCTTGAAGATGTCGTATTGTTTCGCCTCGATTACGACAAGCATCCGTTTCCCGCGAGCGCTGACCCAGTTGGCTACCCCACCGGCCATGAGGGACGTACCTTGGATCGTGTGCTCTGGGAGGAGGTCGAGCTTGCCCTTGGTCTTTTCGTGTTGCACATTCACCGCCGCAACGATGGGGGTCATCAGGGCATCGATAAAACGTCGTCTCTGAGCCTCCTGCTGGTTCCATGGAGCCTTCCCGGACTTGACCAGCTCTGCAAATCTGTCCTTGATCGTCTTGATGAGTTCAACCGGCAGCTCTTTCTGTTTTTGGCGAAAGTCTAGCTCTTGAACGCTTCGAAGCATGCGCTTGGTCTGGTGCTCGGTGAAATCGGAGAACGCCATGCGGTGCAGCTTGAAGTTGTCTCCTTGTTCGACGTCGGAGTGCTTGCGCTTCTTGCCCAACACAGGCGTCCCGCACGAGAGGTTAAACCGGCGCAAGGCCTTCAGTTGTGCCTCACTCTCGGTATCTACGACGTCATCTCCAGCCTTCGAATCTCCACCTGGTTTGCGTTGGCCTAGGGCAGTTGAAGTTTCCGTTCCAGCAGGCTTGATCTCTTCGTCGGGTTCTTGGTGGTCGGATGTCCCCGACGCGTTGTTGTCAGTAGCTCTTGATAGCGTCACCCTCAGATGGATGTGGCCCTCTGCACCCGCATCCTCAAACTCCATGCCGATGGAGTTGGTGACAACGGTTGCCCTAGACGCGGCGCTGCTGACAGTTGCCTCGGTTGGCCAGCGGCCGTCGGTCTTGATCATCGTATGCAGCTTCAGCTGTGCTGGGACAATGTCGATGCCGAGCGCGGCCTTGATCTGCTGGCACAGCGGGATACGCAGCGACGCAACAGGTGTCCTCTTGTTGAAGTTCTTGATCACGCCCACATATTCGTTGTAAATGAACGAAATGTTCACGGCCGACGTACGGGGCGCGGTGTCGGAGGTTGCGAGGGCAGGAGACATGGTGACTTGTGGCTTGAACCGCTAGAGATATAATGTCGAGTGTTTCTAGGGTTGAGCTGTAGTTGTCTACCAGTCATTATCCATCCATTAGGCACATGAACGGTTTATGCTGGACGCGAGGATTTCCCTTCGCGATGGCTACCCCCCTCCCCATCTTCATGGCAGATTTAGGGTTCTGTACATTTTACGGTGAGTTTCTTAAACTGTCGTCAGTCTAGCGCTCTCTACAATGATCTCTCTCCATCCATCCATCTGTCTCTTCCTGTAGTCTGCCTTTCTGTGGCTCGAGCAATCCCCATTCCCCCCTGAGGCTTACTTTATCTTTCCGTTTCTATCTGACTCTCTCTCTATCTCACACGTACACTCTCTGTGTCCTTCTCTCTCCGGCTCGATCTGTTTCTGTCCGACTCATATTTCCGTCTGTCTCTGGTCCTATACCGTATTTTAGATCTCATATTACAGACAGATCTCTTACTTCATAGCAGCCATTAACCAATAATATCACGTCATTTGTCCAGCTCACAAGTTGAGCTCTCATAATACGTAGGGTAAAAATATGACACTTTTGGCAGAGGAGGGTCACTTACTGCTAGAAAACCGCCATGGAGCGCACGCCGAGTCCGCGAAAAGTGATGGCTCGCGCTCCAGGTCAACAGGGAGGGTGCACGCGTACAACAGGAACGGGGAAGGCGCCGAAGCAGTTCAAACGTGTGGCTGTTTCGTACCAACACAAGCTCAGTGTCATTTAGTTCTATGATGCGGTCGCCACGAAGGAAACGATGCACGCCACTGTCAGCTATTTCTACCCAACGCTCACGGTAGAAGAAATTAATGCAAAAAAGCGGCAGGTCTACAACTGGTTAAACCAGCGAGAGCTCATCATCGACAAATGTGAAACTGGGTGCGGCTCCACTGTAAGGACAGGAAGTCAGGCATGTCAGCGACACGTTCTCCTGAGTTTGATGAGCAGATTGTATAGTGGATCAATTCGCTTAGGGAGGAGAGCATCCCCGTGACAGGTATTATGGTTAGAATTCACACAAAGGACAGCTATGAGAGTACCGGATCTGCCGAGATCAAGTTCGCGGCATCGCAGACATGGCTGCTTTCGTTTCTGAGGAGGAACAGACTGTCCATTCGGCAGTGCAAACGTCAGAGCCAGAAGATGCCAGAGGACGCCGCTGCCGTAGCGGAAGAATTTTGTTGGAAGGTGAGGAAAAAAATGAGTCAGCTTGGGGTGGACAGAGTTTATAACGCCGACCAAACAGGAAAGTCAATTTGCTTGTTTTGTTTTTACGAATGTGCAACTAGTATGTTTTTAATGTTCCTGTTAGCAAAACAATACGAACATTTGCCAACAAAAACTATTGCCTTGACTGGATCCAGAACTGCCTGGATGAAAAGCGCCGGCAAAGACAAAGAACGCATCACCCTCATGTTAATTGGAGACAGTCTCGGGCAAAAGTACGACCCTTTCATGATTTTCAAAACGAAATCGTCGACAATCCCTGAGCGAGCGTGGGAAAACAAAGTTTTCCAGCATGGATTTGGCGCTCATCTCTGGCGTGAGCTGAAAGGAGAGCAAAATGCTGTTCAAGTGTATGGAAACGATGCGGGATGGTGGAATGGAGACTTGACGATCGAGGTTTTGATTTATCATTTTTTTCAACCGTCCTGATATGCACGTCCCGATATTACTGTTGTTGGGCGACTTTTCTGGACATTGGAGGAAGGACGTTCAAATATTTGCGCGGCTCCTGAATGCTGAGCTCATGCCGATACCGGCCGGGTACATGTTTGCGTGTCAACCGGCCGATATCTCCTGGAATAAGCCCCTGAAAGACTTTTTACGGAAAAATTGGGTCGAGTATATGCTGCAGCAACTTCGAAACAGCAGGGCTCTCCTACCGTTCAAGCTGAAGCCGCCTACAAGACACGAGCTAATATCCTGGACTAAAGCGGCATGGAGCCCGCTGCAACAACCGGTGATTGTAAGTGGCTTTCAAAAAGCCGTGATCGTGCCAGAGGAAGTCAACACAGCGCCACTGATTGACGAGCAGAGGCTGTTCTATTCTGAGCCAGACTGGCAGTTGTTCAACCTACTTCTTGACGAAGTTCCTGTTGTGCGCCATATAGTAAATCCAAACAGAGATATCGACACTCTCTCGGCGGTGGCGCGGACGGATAGTTGGTCGAGTTAGAGCTCTCAACTTGAATACATTGCATGCACTTGACAATGAACATAAAATCGTTGGTACATGTACATCTCGTGTCCACTTTGCAACACTACAGCTTCAACACTACAACTTCAACAATCACCTGTATGAAGTATGAGATCTCAAATACGGTACCTGCCACGTTCTGGCTCTGTCTCTCCCTCCGGCTCCATCTGTCTCTCTCTTTACCTCTTTCGGGTCTGAGTGTCTAGGTTTTTGTATTTGGCCCTAGCGGCATCTTTTCTTCGCAACTATATATTTATCTCTGTCTGTCTCTGAATCGCTCTGTATAGATCTGTTTCCCCAGGGGTGAAGTGTTAATATAAGTGACCATTGGGTTCCTGGATTGCTTTTGCCCTATCCATCGAGATCTCGGTGCACGTTCTAGGGTTAATGTTCTCTGTACTATAGAGATTGGTGAGACTATAGAAAATATCAGCATCCCACAAACGGTAATCCCTATCCTCGTACAGACAGAAGGGTAAAGGATTTGATTAAAATCTAGCGTATAGGAAGATTCTACTTATGTCTTCGCGAGTTATTAATGAAAATAACAGAGAAGTGCGCTCTGCATTGGGAATTTATGACGTCGCACAAGATCTCCCAAATTCATCTGGAAGAGCATGTTGCAAAAGTGACGGTGTATCGACACCTTTATGATACATATAGAGTTGTTTCAGTATAATGTTTCCTATGCACCAATATTCTCCTTTCTACAAATTCTTCTTTCGATTGACTCAAATTCGGACCGCGGAGTTACGAGAAGCATCATCATGAAGGCAAAATTACCCTAAATGAAACATTGATCGCACGATTGCGGTCGCTGTTCTAGCCGAATTAATAACTCAGGCTAGTCCAACACAGGGAGCTAGTGTATATAAACCCAAGTGAACAGCCATTTACTTGGAGTTTCTCGTGGATTGACTTACAAAGCGTGAACTCTAGGCCGAACATATTAATAGGGTGTTACAGACTTGGCCTGCACACAAGCCCTAAAATCTACAGCTTTTCTCATACAAAACGTATATGTTAGCTCTGAGGGTGCACCACTTGGGGTACTATCCAGAGGAGTGACTCCGTTCCCCTATATCCAGAGGAGTGACCCCGTTCCCCAATACACATAGTGGAAAATGACTGGTTTAGGGTTTAGGTTTAGGATTGTATAAGCCTTCTGAATACAATGTGTAGTCATATTTCATAAACGTTTTTTAGGGTCAAGTATTGTGCTCACTTTTGGCCTCTCCGATACTAAATTACCCCTTCTCAAGGGTTGTGGGATCGCCAAATCGTGATTGGTGTTTTCACCTCCAAGCGCTCGCCTAAGCAACCAATCAGCAGCTTTGTCGATCATCATGCATGCGTGTGGTGCAGCTATTGTGCGTTCTAGTCGTAGTTTTTTGAAGTCGATTGATTGAATCAATCCAGTCAATCCGCCAGCAAACCGCCCGAGGATTTGATGTGACCTGAGTTTACTGTGGAGGTAATAAAGTACGAAATAAGAAGCCACAGAGGTCTAGGTCGATTCCTAAACACTTAAACTGTATTCAGCGATTTCAACCCCATTCTATACCGACCTGAATCGGCATTATTAGCCAGAATAAACCTGCCGGCTTGTATCAACAAGCCGGCAGCCTTAAACATACTCGGGGACCCTAGCGCGGAGGATTGACATATGCTTTATTTAAAACGTATAATATAACAGACGAACTTCAGTAAGTAGCTAGAGCATCACTCACTGAGTCAGTGAGTGATGCGCCAGCGTTCTATATCAGGCCTTCACAGTAATGGGCCCATTCTCCTCTCCCGCTCATCCCAATTCTCACCCAATTTCTTCCCATCCTCTCTTTCAAGTGTATACTTAAACAGACAATATGAGAATTTGCATATACTCGTAGTAGTATCCATTCTCAATCTGTGATATTTGTTGTGGTTTAGAATAAGTACCAACTTTTGACATACCGATCGGAGTTTCTAATATCGGATAGAAACAGATGCATGAAGTACAAGAACTTGATTTTCGTAAAGTATAATAAGAATAAGTGAGGTTACTGAGCTCCACCAGTTTACTAGGGCTGTAGGAAAAGCGAACACAACCGGATGAAGAGCTGGAGTCGGCCCCACTTTCAAATTGGCCCTCCGTCTGACGGTCTACAACTACAACTACGCTCAAGACAACAACAATATTGTACGAATGAAAAAAGAGCACTCGCCGACACAGAAGGCAACCCTAGACGAGAAGACCACCTAGCGCTCTTCCGGGGTTTGCAGTAGCGCGCGGGTGAGCCAAAGCGTTTACCCTCGAGGACGATGTCGAGCGAAGTCCACGCCTACGAAGAACTACGGCTGAATGAGACGATTTTCGAACGTGCTGGCGAACCTGTAGCCCGAGGAGATCAAGACTGGGCTTTCTGCTCTCACCTTCTACAAGAATCGCTGATCCAAGTCAAACTCAGAGCAGCGGGTGGTAGTCTCCTCGATGGCCATGAAGTGTGTGTGGAGGAGCGCGTGGGAGTCCATGCAGCGTTGCGTCAATTTACATTGAAAAAATGATTGAGATTTGCCGTCACGCTACAATTTTAATTGTACAATGTAGGCATTGAATTGTGTACTTGTGGTTTATATAGGGGTCTGTATGGATCATTTGATTGGCTACCCACGCACATACAGTTATCAAGTCAACTGTCTTGTACAATACAATCAAATCATTGCAGCCATTTTCTAATTGCAATTTTATCAATAGTTTTATTGCAATTTTTATTTACGCAACGCTGAGTCCATGGGATGAACGAAAGGTTTCGGCCAACACCTTGCGCTTCACTGCATGCGAGCTGACCGACATTAGCTGGACGGACAAGACTTGCGAGAGGGATGCTGTCTCGCAGCCTAATGCGTGTATGCGGAGGAGGCCTAAGGTAGGGTTGTGCGCAGGGAGACCTAACGTGTGCGCGTGTCTGGGGAGACCTACAGGGTGAGCAGCACTCTCCTCGCTTCTCACTTTGCAGCTTGCACTCCACAAGCCAACCCCGCCCTCCCCGCTCCCACCACCGATGTCTCCCCGGGACGTAGACGCCGTTGACTCCGACGGCTTCGTCATGGTGAACCCGACACAGCCAACTGCGGCTCGCCACGAGAACGGATTTGCTAACGACGACGACTTCGTCATGGTGGAATACCCTAGTGACGACCCCACGCATGACAGTGACTCCACGGTTACGCTGTCTCTTTCTGAAGCTGCCGCGCGCGAGCAAACCGAGATCGAAGCGGGGGCGGTAAGCATGGCTCGCCTCCAGCCATTCGAGCGTGCAACTCCCTCGGACTCCCCGGCCGGAGCCGGAACGCGCTACGGATGCACCGATAGACTTTTATGGGCTCGTATACTAATAGGGTCGGTGGATTTGGTCGGACTTCGCCTGGGTGAGCTCCTCGTTTGCACCGCCAATTTCGCTTCGCTCATGGCGGGCAAGGCGTCGGTAAAAAGATAGTAACTCCTACTTAGACATACCTACTCCGGCCCACGCGCCGACCATTGCAGACCTCCGCTTCGTTGCGGTTGCAAACGGTCTCTCTGAGGGCTCTTGCTGCTGATACCGCAAAAAACACCCCAATGCAAATCGTGTTTTTTTATCATGACCATACTTTGGCCCAGTGTGGCAGCTGAGCGGGGACGGAGGTCGCCCACGCCAAATCTCCAAAGTTCCACGAGTGCTCTAGGAAACGGAACGGCCTGAAGGCTGCACGAAATATCATTAAGTGAAGTTGGGCTCGTTGGAAAGCTAAAGGGCAAGGCTAGCTCTACGATGAGCCCAGGCTTGCCTATAGTTAAGGAGGCCATGGGCGAATTTGTGAAATCCTGGAAATCGCTTTCACCTGCCCCCCTCCTCCGGCTGGCAACCCTAACCCGCATTGAGACACATAGATAATCATACAACTCACACAGTTCGTGATACCGCAAAACACACTTAGCGCTATAGTCTTGTGGTATCAGCAGAACTTCTCCTCTCTGAGGCCTCTCTCGACAGTGTTTGATCGTTCTACAACACTATAATTGTGTATAGGCGAGCCCGACCAAATCCACCGACCCGATCAGTATACAATGTCAATGTCAATGTATTGCGTGTTTTCCGTAACCCAAAAACACTAAGCTAGACTCTATACTGCTAGTCGAAGCGTAAAATGAGTGAGGCAACTGGTACTGTACCTACAAATGGGTACGGTGTACCAGTGTACCTTTTTCCGCATACGCCAGGAAAAGTGAGGCTCTCCGTGCCCCCCTCCTCATCATCCTCGACGAAAATGGCGCTCGCCGCGTCGCTCTCCTTCACAGGTCTCTTCGTCAACGCCTGGAAGCTGTCGGTCCTGCCATCGATCGATGCCCACAGCTTCTTGTGCCTTGATCTGTAGTATCTGTTCCGTCCCTTGCACGTCCGCTCATCGGTCTTCAGCATGTTCAGCGTAGCCTCGCACCTTGATCTGTAGTATCTGCTCTTGTGCCTTGCGCTCCTCCTGCCGAATCCTTCGCCCGCCTTCGTGTTGAGTACAAAGTCCCGTTCGGGAGTCCGCCCTACGCCTTGGTCTTGTCGCGCGTCCAGTGCACCTTCCTGGGCCATGCCGTTAACAGCCCGCCAGCTACGGCGAACCCGGTCATAGCGCGCAGCGAAGCCTTCTGCGCGGCAAGTCCTTGGCTACAGCTTGCCGCCACCTCACCACCTTGCCCACAGAGACGTCCTCACGTGTCCCGCAGTGGACTAGACGCTGCCCGAAGGCAGCGCCCGCAGAGCGGCCGATCAGTATACGACCCCATTACTAATCTACGGATGCGCCTGCCGAAACCCCAACCGGAGCTGGATCCGCGGCGGACGGCGACAAACAGCATGCTGCGACTCGCGTCCTCGAAGGCGCTCCACACGCTGCCCCTATCGCTCAAGCGGATGCAGCGCGTGATGCACCTGTTCCTTCCGCCCCAAGGACCACTCCTCGAGTGCCGACCCGGTCAACAACCCGACGCCGGTCGTCTTCTACCGACCTGGACGGTGACGAACCTCCGCGTACTCGCCACGAGTTTGGGCTCCCCCGGCTCGTGTCCATGCTGACACCACCAACCAGGAGATCGTGGCGATGGCGAATGCGGCCATCGCCTACATCAACTGGAAAGAGGCTCGCACGACCAAGAAGGAAGGGATGCCCGACGAGAAGGGCCTGTACCTCTTCGAGCTAGATCTACCAGCTCGCATGGTGCTGGAGAAGCTGATGGTCCCTCACCCGGAACTCTACAAGTCGTGGGGCAGGGCCTGTAAGTTTGGAATCGCGAAGCGGTCGATACGGGTGCGGTCCAACACGCCCCTCTCCAAGAAGGACGTCGGGCGAGTCATGCGCCGCGACCTGATCTTCATGGAGGCAATTGCTGGACCGTTCACCGATCTCGAGCTCACGGCCATGGAGTCTAGAGTCTAGGCTGAAGCGCCTTCTCCTAGACAACCGCCTGCCAGCAGGCGATAATAACTCCGACTGGAACGAGAACGTCTTCCACGCCGACAACTTCGACGTGATTCGCGACGCCTTCGACAAGGTCTTCAATGAGGCTCGTGCACACGAGTACACTCGCGTCTACGAGGAGTGCGTCGCGGAGAGAGATCTGGCGCGTGATCGACGCGAACAAGCGTGTCTAGCGCAACTGTCTGACGAAGAACGTGCTCGAGAAGCAGTCAGGCTGGCCTGGACCTCGCCACAGAGTCACACGCTCGCAGAACGGCAGAGGCCGCGCAAGCACTCCACATCGAGCAAGCGGCAAGTAGCGTCGAGAACCTCCGCCGCGATGTCGACGAGCTGCGTCGCGATCTCGCAGCCACGACCCCAACAACCGCCGAGATTCAAGCATCGATCACGACGCTCGGTGAAGGCATTCACGAGGACATGCGTCGCCTGACAGCGAGCTTGATGGCTCGCTTCCGCCGCCACCAACGAGAGGAGAGAGTGATGTACGTCTAGACAACGAGGCTTGTTAGCTGGAGTTACCTGTCTAGCTGATCAGCATGTATAATTTCACTTGGCGTTAATACATTAAATGTATTAACGCCAAGTGAAATTTTCTCTTGAATTTCAACCAAGTCCTAAACAAATCTCGCTGTCTTCTTCACTCAGAAGAGCTATCGAGCTTGTAACTGAGGCGGCTCAACTCGGTCGGTTTGCACCGGAGGTTCCCGTTGGCATGGTCCATGAAGACCTACTAGGCTTCGCCACGCGACCAGCTCGGTCCCTGGATGGACTCCTCAAGCTCGTTCTTCTCTCTATTGCCCCAAGCAGGGTAACAGAGAGGCGCTGGTAGCGCTGGTGGTGGCGATCAAGAAGACAAAGGCACCTCAAAGCAACTGGAACGCGAAGCTGACACCCTAGACGAAGAACTCGACCTCGACCTGCTTCCCTGCGAACTTGATCGAATCGAGCCCTAGACGAAGAACTGTCTGCATGCACGTGTGTAGTGGCAACTTCAGCTGCACTCAGACTGTGGAGGAGGTAACTTAAACCCACCGAGATCATAGCAGCGATTCGACGTTTTCAGCACCACTTCAGGACGACGAACCACTCGCAAGCAACGACTTAAATGAGTCGTATCACCATGCAATGGCACACAGAAGCTGGTCGTGGAGGTGTCCAGCACCGGAATGACAACTCCGTGCGACTCGGATGTCACCGCCTTCTTGCTAGGATGACATTGCTGGCTAGACCCTAGATAGGGAGGGACCTCATGCTGTTCGCAACCGGTGTCTACCTGCTTTGATAGTCGTGCATCCGCTGGTCGTCGGACCTCTGCAGTACTTCCGGAGCGCATTCCCTAGGCAGCAACTTCCGCATCACAGCAGACCGTGAAAGCAAGCGCTCCGTGAAAAGTGCGAAGTATCCGCAGTCACCGCTAAACCAATTGTTGTTCTTGATCATTCAACACCACCCGGTAACAGGAGCTTAATCCAGTCTTGTCAAGTGCACTAAAGTACAAATAACAAATTACTTTCACCTCTGAAAAGTTCCGCGTCATGGCAAAATTCACCGTTCATTGTTGAGATACCTCCACTCCGAGTTGCAGTGTGGCTACCATTTCCTTGCATGCGCCGACCACCGTCGAACGTGAGGTCCCAGCGACCCTCCTTCGCGAGATGTAGGATGACGATGCGCTCCTTTCTTCCAACACTGGCAGCTTCAGATGCTGGCCCGGGTTGCGCAGCAGCATCTCCATGACCTATACCAAGATGTGCTGCTCTTTCGCTATATAGTTCTGGAATACACTCACCTGCCAGCTTCTGACAGCAAGAGCCATACAGCAGGAGCATATTAGAACAAGTAGTAGATCATAGATACAGATATAGTAATGCAGTACTTAGAGCATGATGCGGTGCACGTTGAACATAAGGCGAGTCTCGGTCCGCGGCGTCCACAGCACCTCTGCTTCCGCATAAAGATACCGATGTAAAGTGCTGCGTGGCCTCGTCACGCGTACACCAGTCGAAGCTGACTACCGACCCGGGTTGCGCACCAGCTTCTCCACGGCCGTGTCCAAGTTTTACTACACCTTCACCATGTAGTACAGACCCGCGCTCCCTAGTCAACTCCTGGCAGCAGAGCGACGAAAGGAGCATATTAACAACACATGTACACGCTCGGGCCTCAGGCTTCTTCGCCTCAGCGTCGCTCGACGCGACTCGTAGCAGAAGACAAAGTTGTTCGATTACTATACCAATGATTGCGGCCGTAGACCTGCCATAAAAAACATAGTTTGTCATAAAACGAACATTATTGAGATGTAAAGGTTTACAGACAACGACGATGAAAGACCCCCGACCCAAAACACGCCATTTCGACATAGACAGACAGGGGTCGGTGGTTATAATTTCCATCCTATTTCAGTATACAAGAGAATTGAGTTACCCAATCAGATCTGTCATTTCCCTTTGTTTCTACCAATGAGTATCACGTTAGTTGGTGCCAAAAACGAATGGACTCAGGATGAACTTTGACTGCTACGGTGTTGGCGCGCTTCATTTCCGGTTTGAGACCATTATGGTCACAACACCGCGCAAGCAACGCTCGTACATCATAGCAGAGAAGCGGGGAGCGCTTCAGCTCATTGATGCTGTTGGAGAAGCTGCTGCGCTGCGGCAGTTAGGGTACCCTCGACGTAATCTGCGCGATTGGGCTGCCAAAAAGGCCAAGATCTTCGACTACCGAGGCGCTCAGACTAGCAAGACGCTCAAGGGACGAGGTAGGAAGGAAATCATCCCCTTTTCTCATGCACTGGTAACGTTTATGAAGGATATGAGACGAGATGAAGAGGTTGGTTAAGGTTATCACAATATTCACACTGTTGTAGACTAATCGGGTTTTTATATTGTCATGAAGCCACTTTGCACGCAGTACATGCTTAAATATATCAAGCTGAACTATCAAGATTGGCTTGTACAGTACTTAGAGTCGAAGAAGAGTGAAGAAAGCGGGTATAATGCAATAATGAGATTGCTGCAGAGGTTTGCAAAACGGTACGATGATCTAAATGTTTTTTTTGTTTTTGATTTTTTTGGGGGGTAGTATTGATAAATAACTATCAACTTTTGTATAAGCCATGGTTTTTCCGTGCAGATGGCTTAAGCTACAAAGAAGAAGGAGGCTGATTTGGAGATAACTCACGTGGAGTTTGCTTTAGAGTTTTGGCAAAAACACGGATTGAAGCACTCGGCTTCAGAAATCTACAATGTAGATGAAACCGCCATCTACTAGGACACGCCCCCTAAGAAGATTTGGGCCGTTCAGGGTCGCAAGGGCTCTGCAAAGGTTCGCAAGACTGAAAAGCACAGTGCCAAAATGACGGCAGTCCTAACCGCTCGCGCTGATGGTACGTTTAGTATTATTTTTTCTTTTTCGACGGTTAAGTTGTTTTTACTAACTGAGGTTTAGACAAAAAAAATCCTATTTTGTTTATTGTGCGTGTTAAACCAGGGGGTAAAATTTAGGAAGAAGAGCTGAAGACTTACCCTGCGGGACATGTGTACGCATTCCAAGAAAATGGCTGGATGGATCGCCATGTCTGGGTACGGTATTGCAAAGAGCTCCTCAAGTTTGAGGTAGACGCACCCTCTGTCCTTCTGTTGGGCAACTTCGACTGCCACGTCTCGGAAGAGGAACAGAGGGTGGTTGCAGATGAGACCGGGGCCACCGTGGTGCCGCTTCCGGCGAACAGCACCGCGGTGTGCCAGCCCCTTGACGTTGGTGTCATGGGGCCTCTCAAGAAGAGCTTGAGAGCGCTGTGGCTCAAGGAGCAGTCGGTGAAGAGGAAGAAGAAGCAGGACAAGAAGGAGCAGGAGAAGAAAGAGCAGGAGAAGGAGACGCAGGGCAAGGAGAAGCAGGACAAGGAAACGCAGAAGAAGGAGACGCAGGAGAACACGAAGCCGGTCAAGGAGAAGCAGGGCGGCTGGAAGGAAGGCACGGAGGAGCACGGGGAATAGAAGGAGATGACGGCAGCGCAGGACGATCCGGCGGGCGAGTGTAAGAGCAAGAAGGTGGTCAAGAAGCCGAGGGGCAAGACGGGCCGAAAGTGCGCCAAGGGCAAGGACGGCAAGAAGGTTAAGCAAAGTGGCAAGGGCAAGAAGGACAAGAATGTCGAGGATGACGAAGACAAGGAAACTACCAAAGAGAAACGCTTAGCGTTGATCAAGCGCACGATCGCTGCGTGGGAGCTGATGTCCGCGGATACAATTTTTGCGGCGTTCGAGAAAGCTATCCCGAAGTTTCCGACGATGAAGATCTAACATCAATACATGTACATGCTTTTTTATGTTTATCATATGTTTATACTAGTCGAATTATATCCTAAATCAGTCTATTTATGTTGCTTTGGCCAATCAGATCGCTTTATGTAATGATGGCGCGTTTCATGTCGTCTGTCGGTGGTGCGAAAATCCCATACAAATCTCCACCAAGTGGTGGTTCGTTGTCTGTAACTCAGACGAGATCGAAAAAAGTTCACGTTACCAGCTCGTCATCAGCTAGGTTTACGCTTCTCTCAAACTTAGCGATAACGCTGTATTCCATGGTAGAACCAGGGAATTGTGTTTTCCACTTCAAAATAGTACTTTCGATATACCGGTACACACCGGTATTATACCGGTAACCCTGACCGCCCACAGTCCAACCGATGGACGCGTGGCGTTCTCCCCTCACTTTGAATCAAGACCAACAAACAAGCAAGCAAGAAGGGGTCCTTAACCTCTCAAGACTACGTCATGATCACCCGTGGAACCACCGACCAAGCCGGCGCCCCCAGCTCGCCATCGCCCAGGACCGAGACGGCCCCGTCGGACAGCGAGCGCCCGACTGCCGTCGCTGCCGCAGACTCAGCCCCTCCTGATGTTGTGGACGTCATGGGCGCGGACGAACCATGGGCGAGGGCGCCTACAAGGCGCACGTCCGACCCCGCCCCGCTCCGCACGAGCAAGCGGGCGACGTCGAAGGTAGTCTCCGGTGAACCCTCACGGAAGCTCGCAAGGGCAAAAAGAAGCTGGTCAAGCGGCCGACAGCAGCGACCAGCGGCGAGACGCCACGGAAAGCGGTGGCCGACGGCGGGCACGACTCCGACTCCGACCAGGAGGACAAGGCGCCGGCGCCGCCTGCGAAGAAGCCGCGGAAGACTACGACTCCAGCGAAGACGAAGCCAGCAAAGGCCGCGACGACCTCGATATGTGCGGTGCCGACGCCGAGATCCGACGGCGGCTTCGACCTGAACTCCTTCATGGCCTCCTTCTCGCCCGGCACTGCGCTCGATGCGACCGTTGCGCCCGTCGAACGGAGCACGTCCGTCGCTACGACCCCCAACAAACCTCGGTGGCGACCGATGACATTGCCCCTCAGGACGGCATTGCTGTTCGTGAATCGGTGCGTGAGCGGGAAATTTTCCGTGAGGGCACCTGTTTTGCCCTTCGTCCGACCTCTTCCACCACCGGAACACCGACTTCACCAGGTAGCCACAAGGGCACCAGCGGAGCCAGCGCCGCTTGCGCTGGCACTTTGACCTTACGGTCCGGGTCGGCCATACAGCCACCTACAGCTATACAGCTACCTTTGACTATACAGTCCGGGTCGACCATACAGTCACCCACGGCCATACAGCCAGTACTGGCCATACAGCCGGTACACCAATTAAACCATATACGTGAAGCGTCAGCTCTGACTATATCACAAGATGTTAGGTGTTCATTACCACGTGGGAGTGAGTTGAGAAGCGCTGCGACTCAGCCGGCCTCGCGGATAACCGGCTCGCCGGGGTCGGCATCGTGTACTCCGGACCAAGGAAGTGCGGGCCATCCTCTAGAAGAAGCCAAGTTGCGCAACGATATCGCGCCGCGGCCAAGCTACCTGCGCCCCGTCGTCAGCGTCAAGACCGCAGCAGGCATGCACCTGAACGCCCGTGCCCGGAGCGATTTACTGCGGATGTCTCGCAGAGCTACTCTTGCTCAAGCTATGGCAAAATATGGCATCGCGCTGCCGCCGGACAATTATCCGCTGTCGCGACCAGGCGCGGCGGGACCCGAGTTACTTCTGGACACCCCGTTGCAAAAGGCGCTATCAGAATATGCACGACAGTCGGGCATGATACTCCCAGCTTTTGTCGAGCTGGTGCGCGGACAGACGGCTGATGACTACCGGCCTAACAAGAACCTGGTCCCAGGCGTGCTGAACGAAGTATGCAAGGGTTACGCACATCTGGAAGAGCTCCAGAGAATCGTGCAGGGCGGCGTTGAAGTTCGGCTAAGCAAGACACCTCCACGGCAGGTACAGCGGCCACCAAATCACGGGTCGGCGCGAGATCGCCTTAATGTGCTCCGCAAGAACATTGGAAAGGAGCAGGATGCTGGGCGGTGCCTCGTACTCGACCGCGATCTCCTCAAGCAATGGCCCGAGATTATTATCAGCCCCTTTGGGGTGGTGGACAAGGGCAATGAGGACGAAAAACGTGTCGGGTAGGACGATCCACGATCTGTCGTACCGCGAAGGCACCTCCATCAACGACTACACGGATCAGGACAGCATCACCAAGCCGGATACACTCACTGCGAAGCGGTGGCGGCCGAAATCCTGAGGTCCAAGCGCGCTCACCCAAGGGCCCGGGTGTGTGTGATGGCTGGTGACGTGGCGTCTGCTTTCCGCAACATCAGCATTCACAGCAACAGCGTGTATCTTTTCACCGGCCACATCGAGGAGGACGATGTCATCGTGATCGAGCTCGCTGCGCCATTCGATTGGACTGGATCACCGGGTTTCTACGAGATTGCTGGTGGTGCCGTCGCTTACGTGCACGGTTCACTCGCGACTGGCGAGTACCCGGGTGGTGTCTTCAATTATCACTGGGTTGACGACCACACCAATGTGGCTGCGGACATTGGCACCTCCTGCGAGGACATTGATCGGTCCCTACGGTACGCTATGGTGGCAGTCCTGGGAGCTGACGCTATCAACACTAAGAAGTTCACCGACTGGAACACGCGCCAGCGTGTACTGGGCCTCACGTTCGACACGGTGGTGGAAACGGTCACGATGCCGACAGAGAAGATAACCAAGGCACGCAGTATTGTGGCGGCTGCGTACTCTGCTTCATCACTTTCAAGGCAAGCCTACCGGTCGCTGATGGGTAGCCTCCGGCACGTCGCAACATACATACGTGCTGCACGGCCGTTTCTCCAGCGTCTGCGCCGACGCGAAAGTTATCTCCAGCGGTTTCAGCGTGTTCCGGTTACGCCGGACATGCAACAAGACCTGAAATGGCGGTGGTGTGTGCTCCACACTCCCCGCCTGAACGGCGTGTCACTGGAATACTTCAATGCTCTCCCAGCACCCGACATTGTAGTCGAAATGGATGCGTCCGATTATGGCCTCTGCGCGCTGGATGTATCATCGCAAGTGGCCCTCACGTACCAGTTCTCGGACAGCGAGCGTGCCTTGATTGCGGCTTTTAAGGATGGTACGCTCAACGGCTTCGATATCAACTTTCAGGAGCTGCTCTCGTGCGCTTTCGCGGTCCACGCATGGGGACGCCGGTGGGGCTCCGGTGCCTCGCGCAACGATCGCCCACGCCACGTTCAATTTTGCATCGACAACACTTCTGCGGTCGCATGGCAAAACAAGCTCGCGTCCTGTAATCCACGCGCTCAAGTGATTATCTACTTAGCTGGTGGGAGACTTCGTTCCAGCTTCGGTTTTCGGCGTCGCACGTGGCCGGCTCTGACAACGAACGCGCCGACGCTGGCTCCCGCATCGCCGCTAACCCATCGTATGCGGTCAAATTCTCGTCACTAACTCCCGGATGTTCGCAGGTTTCGCCGACTGTGGATATTCAAGGTCTGATCGATATCTCGCAGCGTATCTCCGAGCGCACTCCGTTGCCGACTCCACGTTCGAGCAATACCGCCGAGCCTTGACCAAGTGGACGACCTGGACGTCCCGCCAGGGCATTGCACCCTCGCTTTTGGGCATGCCTCTCGCTGCTCAAGTGCAGCACATCTCGGATTTTATTCTCCACGGCTTTCGGTATGGCTTCGGGTCCGGTGGTCCCATTCGCAGCGACTCGATCATGGCCGTGCTCATCGGTGTTCGGCACTTCTTCGCGGCATCCGGACATGACTTCCCGATCGCACACCCGCACATTCGTATGCTGCTCAAGGGCATCAGCCGTCTCGATTCACCTCCGCACCGGAAAGCACCAGTGTCAATCGGACTCCTCGAGGTGTGCTTCTGCAACCTTTCAATGACTGAGCCCTTCGAGCAAGCCTTCTGGGGGGGGTCATGTGCCTGGCGTTCTTTTTCCTTCTTCGGCGGTCGGAAATCGTGGCAATTACTGGCGGTTCGTTCAAGTGGTTTGCTGTTCGAGCTCAAGACATCACGGTTCTGGATGCGGAAGGCCAGCCAACCCTGTCCCCATCGAAGGCACAGTCGGTGTGTATGCGCCTGATCGGCTCCAAGACAAACCAAGGCGGCTCTCCTACAACGAGGATGTTGTCGCACTCGGGACATGCCCCGTGTTTGGTGCCTTGATCCTTCTCCAAGTCCGGAAACACCTACCCGCTGATATACCGGCTGCAGTGTACCTGGACTGCTGCGGAAAACCGGCCTGCATTGCGACGAATGATGTGTTAGAAGCTATCAAGCGGGCGGCTACCAGCACTGGCGAAGACCCACGCTGTTTCAGCTCCCATTCTCTACGAGCGGGCGGAGCAACCCACATGTACCGAGCTGGCACGGATGCACTCACGATCCAGTTTCACGGCCGTTGGGTTTCCGATGCGTTCAAGACCTACACCAGACTCTGCAAGGGGTCGGTTGCTACTCTGGCGGCAAACATGGTAACAGGTCCGCGGGGCGATTCGACGTTGCATTAGTGGGGCTGATTGTATGACCATTTGGGGGCACCGCGCTCCTCGTCCCTTATCGGACTGAGCTGATGGTCATCGCATAAGCTCCCATTAATGAAACTTCGTTTGACCCCCAATGTAGTGGAAAGCTGTATTCCATGGTAGAACCAGGGAATTGTGTTTTCCACTTCAAAATAGTACTTTCGACATACCGGTACACACCGGTATTATACCGGTAACCCTGACTGCCCACAGTCCAGCCGATGGACGCGTGGCGTTCTCCCCTCACTTCGAATCAAGACCAACAAACAAGCAAGCAAGACCCGCCTCTCCTCGTCCCTTATCGGGCTGAGCTGATGGTCATCGCATAAGCTCCCATTAATGGAACTTCGTTTGACCCCCAATGTAGTGGAAAGTCTTCATCTTCATAATTCCAAGGTATCACTCATATAAAACCTAGCAAAACTGATTTTATCGACCTAGAACTTGTTAGATTTTATTACGTGCGATCCTATTGGTTAAATTCACATGAGTGTTTATGAAGCGACGAAGATTTGAAACACTGTTCACGAAAATGGGATTCTTAAATAGGTACATAAAGCTACAACCCCATTTTCCTAGATTGCATTTTGAAGGTTGATCCTATCGAAAGGCATATACCTACCAAAGTAGGTTTTACCTGGCCAAAAGCATGCTGCTGTATCGGCATGAGCACAGTATTTTCGGGAAGACGAAGGCCATGGCCGACATGGAGCATGAGGACCAGCTGACAGTCACGCCGGCGCAGAAGAAGCTGTTCGAGCTGCGCATGAAGATGAACGCGGGGAGGAAGGCCAACAAGCAGGTAGGACGGGGCAAGCGAAGCAGCTCGTGAAGCTGTAGAACGCCCCGGCGTCACAGGTGTCTGACCAGAACGAATGGGCCTCTGTGTGTTCTGAAGGAAGTGGCAGCAGAGCACGACCGCGTCAAGAACAACGACAAGAAGGCCAAGAAAGAGGAGCAGTACAAGAAGAGAGAGGTGGGCGAGAGGTCTATATTATAGTTGCCACGAAGCGCTGATCGACTCATGGAAGTGCTGGGTATGTTGGGATTCATGTACAACAGGAGAAGAAGCAGATAGCAGCGAGCGGCAAGGCCCACCTGAACGAGACAGGTGAGTGGCTTATGATGCCTGGAGTGAGTGGTGCTGCGACGCGCTGGCTGCTGACCTGTGTGAGGTTGCTTCGTTGATCCAACTGCTGAAATAGCCGAGGTGGGTGAGATCAAAGCCAAGAAGGCTGGCAAGAAGGAGAAGCGGAAAGCAGCTTTTGGGTGGGGCGTCTTCAACCAGGATTCGTTGTACAAGGGCTACAAGAAGCGGCTAGTGAACTTGCCGACCACAGGGGAAACCGCTGCCGCTGTTGCGTCCACCGGCGAAGACGCTCTTGGCGACGAGTTGTCTTACGGCAAGGACGACAAGGTGGAAGAGGTGCGTGGAGATTCTGCATACATGTACTGTGTTTGGGGTTTGGCATGCGCGCTGGTGTTCTAACGATCTTTGAACAACGCAGGAAAACGTGGAGCGCATGGCGCAGGAGCTGGAGGAACGCATCAAGGCCCGCAAGAAGTTCAGCCGCCGGCGCCAGCACTACGAGGGCGAGGACGTGGACTACATCAACGGGCAGAACCGCATCTTCAATCGCAAGGCCTCGCAGGCCTTCGACAAGTACACCGTGGAGATCCGGCAGAACCTCGAACGCGGCACCGCCCTGTAGTAGTGTAGTAGCCAAAACAAGCCACTTCACGCATTATTGCTTACATCCGTCTTGAGCCCGTTGCCTCCCTGCAGAACTCTTTTAGCTCGTGCCATAGCGAGCCATGGTGCAGTCTCCCCGGGGCGCAATGAATGATGCAGGCCGTAAGCAGCTCGATGGGATGAGCACCGGGTGGTCCGCTAGCTATGGCCCGCTTGATCCGTACACGCATGGTGACCGGTTGTGTACAGTCTCCGCAGCCAATCCTCGGCCGCAGACAGCTGCAACAGCAACGGCTAGGGTTGGGGTGCTTGTGGGCCACCAACACCGCAAAGTGGGCCACGAAACTCATGCGTGGCCTGCGCCGCCACCTCCTCACCTCCACCTCATTCCCGGATTCGCCGCGAACTCCACGAGCTCCAACCCAAGAACACCATGGCTCCCCAGACCGCTGCCGGCTCTGCCCCCACCGAAGGCACCTTCACCGTGAAGGCCGGCCTGGCCAAGATGCTCAAGGGCGGTGTCATCATGGACGTGACCAACGCCGAGCAGGCCCGCATCGCCGAGGAGGCCGGCGCCGTGGCCGTCATGGCCCTCGAGCGCATCCCCGCCGACATCCGCGTGGACGGCGGCGTGGCCCGCATGAGCGACCCGCAGATGATCGCCGAGATCAAGAAGGCCGTGACGATCCCCGTCATGGCCAAGGCCCGCATCGGCCACTTCGTGGAGGCCCAGATCCTCGAGGCCACCGAGATCGACTACATCGACGAGAGCGAGGTGCTGACCATGGCCGACGAGGAGAACCACATCAACAAGCACAAGTTCAAGGTGCCGTTCGTGTGCGGCTGCCGCAACCTGGGCGAGGCCCTGCGCCGTGTCGCCGAGGGTGCCGCTATGCTGCGCACCAAGGGCGAGGCCGGCACCGGCAACGTCGTGGAGGCTGTGCGCCACGCGCGCTCGGTGCACCGCGAGATCCGCCGTCTGCAGTCCATGGACGAGGACGAGCTGTTCGTCGCCGCCAAGGAGATGCAGGCTCCGTACGAGCTCGTGAAGCAGGTCGCCACCACGGGCAAGCTGCCGGTCGTCAACTTTGCCGCCGGTGGCGTTGCCACCCCCGCTGACGCTGCTCTCATGATGCAGCTCGGCATGGACGGCGTGTTCGTCGGCTCGGGCATATTCAAGAGCGGCGACCCGGCCAAGCGTGCTCGCGCCATGGTGCAGGCCGTGACCCACTTCAACGACGCCAAGATCCTCAAGGAGATCTCGACCGACCTCGGCGAGGCTATGGTGGGCGTGCAGGACCTGAAGGCTGCGTCCGTCAACTTCCGTGACCGTGAGGGCAAGCTCCACGGCGCCTGGTAAATGCGCCCTGGCACTTGCACTATTCTACAGTAGGCGGCGGTGATCCTCTCTGCAGCGGAATGCGCGCAGGAGTGTCGTGACCAAGTAGCATACTGCAAGCGTATCGCTTCGCACTGTCAATATATTGTTATTGCTCAAGCTATGTAGTATCTCTTGTTCCGGGTGCGTTTGGAACGTCAATATGTGGTCATGACGCACTATTATTTGCACACGTTGGCCTCGAAAGGCTCGCCGGCATGTTGAATTGTGCTTTTGATAGCTTGGTAAGTCATGAGCACCGCTCCGATGCAAATGGTTGCACCAATGCACAGGACAATGATGGACTGGCGTCCTGTTCGGCGCACGAAGCCAAGGATCACGACTTGCGAGATCGCGGTGACGACGAAGGCCAGCGCACAGAGCAACAAGGCCCAATCCCACGCGATCATGTTGAACACGGCAAACTTGGCAGTCGCTGCAGCCGACGAGTAGAGCACCATGAGCGCCGTGGTCGCTGAAGCAACTTCGGGGACAATCCCCATCTCAATCATCAGAGGACCAGTGACTATTCCCCCTCCGACGCCGAACAGACCGGCAATGAGACCGGCGCCGGCACAAGCTAGTGGGAAGCGAACCACCGTCTCCTTCGTCCAGTGGATATCGCCCGCTGCAAACACGTAGTTGACCGACACCTTGCGGCAGTGCTGCTTGAAGAGGTATATGGCTGTGCAAACGCCGAAGCCGCAGATCCACGGGACCTCCATGATCAATAGCAACCAATACGCAACGCCACCACACGTCACAGCTGCTCCGCCGATACTTGCCGCTACGATGCCCAAGTAGCAGAGCATGATGACTCCTTGCTTGGCCAGCGAGAAATGGCGTTCCCGTTCGGTGATCTCCGCCAGCACCTCGTCGTCCGCCACCATGCCGGAACCATCACACTCGTTTGACAAGCTCCCGGATCCTTTGAGTAGGGAGTCGCGAGCACCATCGCTGCCCATTTCGTCCGTCACTTTATCCTCCGCGCACGAGCTCGGAGAACATACAGCCACGTAGGCAGCAGCTCGCTGTTCTTCTGTCGATTCCGTTGCTGGAGTGGGGGCAACTTCCTGCACCTTGCAGCTTTTCATCTCAGCGCGGTACATCTTGATGCCTTTCGACACTGCACGGAAGCCGCCCAACACGAGCACCACGACGAAAAACAGGGAGAGCAAGTAGCTTGGCAACAACTTGGCCAGGATAGTGCCCACCACGGCACCGCCCATGACCAGCGGTATCATCGCCAACGCCAAGTCCGAGTCGATCAGTGGGCGATCCACGGCCGGGTGGCGTTTGCGGATGTTGAACCAGGCGTTGGCGACAGCTCCACCGACGATGGCCAGGTTGGACACGGGTGTAGCGCGCTTGATGTCGAAACCCATGATGAGGATCATGGCTGGAACGAGGATGGTTCCGCCGCCTACGCCGCCGGCCGCCGAGACTGCGAGCCCCACTGCGATGAAGACGAGCGCAAGCGCGTCGTACGTATCGAAGGTTGAAATACTTCGCAGCTCCGGAACCCCGCCACTGGAGCTTTTGTCATCCGATGAGGCAGAAGATGTCAACGAGAGCACGGAGATCAACAGAGCGGTCAAGGCCAATGCTGCGCATCGGTATCCAGCGTGTCTGCCCATGGGTAGCTCTGCACTAGAGTTTTGACTCTGGTGCGTGGAGCTTGAATGAGAATGCCCATCTAGACGCGAACTTCTCGCACGTGCCAGTGGTTTTGTAGGGTTACCTTGAATAGATGGCGGCCTGGACGGTTGTAGTTTTCCGGCGTTGGAGGCTGCGATCCGAAACTGTCGCGGAGCAGAGGAACGTTCGCTTGGGCGTCGAATACTTGCCTGCGCCATCACAGCTGCATAGAGGCACTCTACTTTGATCAAGACTTTCATTATCTTTGCTATACCCAACGAAGGTGAACACAACTACTAGTTGCAAATGTCCGCGGAGAACGGATCGCCAGCGGTGTCGACCGTGGATTTAATGGCCTGGTACGTCATGATCACTGCTCCGATCAACACAGCCGTAGCGATGCACAGAACGATGATGGACTGGCGACCCGTCCTGCGAACGAAGCCCAAAATCACCACTTGCGATGCAGAAGTCACCACGAACGCCACCGCACACAGCAGCAGGGCCCAGTCCCAAGCAATCATCTTGAACACTGCGAACTTCGCTGTAGCGGCCGCCGACGAGTACAAAATCATCAGCGCCGTTGTTGATGAAGCCACCTCCGGCACGATGCCCAGCTCGATCATGATGGGGCCCGTGATGATACCTCCGCCGACACCGAACATGCCCGCAACAATACCGGCAACGGCACAGCCCAACGGGAAGTACACCACGGTCTTCTTCGTCCATTGGATGTCGCCGTCGACGTACTGGTAGTTGACGACCGCCTTACGCAGGTAGATTTTGTGCAGGTAGTGCGACGTGAAGAAGACAAACACGGCGACCCATGGGATCTCGATAAGCAGGATGACCCAGTAGGCGACGCCGCCGCAGTCCACAGACGCATCGCCAATACTGGCAGCGACTACACCAAGGTAGCAGATCATGATGGCGATGTGGGGTCCCCAGGCGAAGTGGCGTTCCTTCTCCAGAATCTGTGCCAGTGTACCACTGGAGCCTATTTCGTCGCCGATCAGCGCTTTATTCACAGCAGCGTCGGCGGTGGAGGCCGAAGTACTGAGACGTTTCTCTTCCGAGATGTCGTCTTTGCCGACTGTGACGGGCGTGCTTACCTGCACGTAGACGCCGGGGCTTGCAGGGACTTCGGCTGCCGCCGCCGCGGCTTCCGTCTCTTTCTTCTTGGCCATCTCCTTCTTGTGCAGGCGGATGCCCTTCATCAGCGTACGCGAGCCACCGACAGCGAGCACCACGACGAACAGCAGCGACAGGATGTAGCTCGGGATCAGCTTGTTGATCAGCGCGCCCAGGACGGTGCCGCCAATTACAACCGGAATCATGCCGAGTGCCAGCTCCGGGTCGATTAACGGCCTGTCCACGGTCGGGTGGCGCTTGCGCATGTTAAACCACGCGTTGGCCACGGCGCCGCCCAGGATGGCCATGTTGGAGATGGGCGTCGCGCGCTTGATGTCGAAGCTCATGATGAGCACCATGGCGGGCACCATGATGACGCCGCCGCCCACGCCGCCAGCGGAGGAGACTGCGAGTCCGACGACCATGAATGCAATGGCCAGGGCGTCGTAGGTGTCCATCTCGGACAGACTCGGGACTCCATCGTCGTCGTCGTCGCTGCTGCTGCTGCTATCGGCGAACGCCGTTGGGACCAGCACCGCAGTGAGCGCTAGCAGAATGAAGACCGAGAGAGCGGCGCGACGACAACGCGAGTGGGTGGTCCGGATGCCCATGGTGCGATAGAGGAGGCGAATTCCGAAGTGAAGGTGCGGGACAGCCGTGTCGTTGCGCGGCTGAAGTATCGATCCCTTATGTAGTGATAGTCTCATTAGATTTCAATTAAGAGGTACTTTGTCCATCTATGTACCATATTAGTGGTACTCGCCCTATTTTTGATTCAATTTTAAATAGTTAACAACACCTATTTAGTGCTAACGTAGTGAAGAAACATCATTGTACGAGAACCATCACTCACACCGATCGATAACGTACCCATCTCCCTTCAGTGTACCTTGCACCATGACGTGTGCTCGTTGCCGGATCCTAGTGGAGGCCGATAGAGGCACAGGGCTACACGTACATGAAGACAACTAAGTCCAGTACTAACGACCGCGTGCGTTGCAGCCTATTCGTCTGCCGGCTCCAGTCGGTTTTGTGTGGGTAAGAGGACCAGAGTAGTCTACTCAACTTACGGCTTACAAGATTTTCTGGAGGGTGCCAGGGTAGCAGCGCCAGGGTCGGTGGTGGTCCCGGGCTGTACGTGCGTAGCTTCCACACACAGATTTATAAATGCGCGCCTTGTGCCCTGGTTTGCGGATTGGTTCTCGTGCCCGTAGTTGTCGGAGTTCTACTGGTTGAAAAGCAGCAACACTGCTTTCTTGGTGCACCACGTTCTGGAGTCTGCAACAAAGCAAAACCAAACAGTTCATGGTGGCATGCTCTAATTACTTCAACTTCGCAAGTGACAGATCACGCCAGTCGCACGGCTCCCTGGCTCAGGTTTGGCAGGCAAGATATCGAAACGGCTCCAAGTTGGCATTGCATTGCCAACTTGGCAATGCTAACCGAAGTAAAAGGCCAGCACTGCAGGACATGCGCCACGAGATTGAGACGGCAGGCTCGGCGGACATGGGCCCGCCGAACGTGCAATGCCGACACATACAAAACTGTTGCATTCTCGGGAAATTGTTAGACGATTTCTATAGTACAGTACGCTCATAACGCTATTCGTGCTTGCAGTTTGCGACACATGTACCTTGCTGCAAGTCTTGCACCTGCACCAGCCTTGCATACATGCACATGTAGGATCGTGTGCCGCAGAAGTCGCCGGTACGTATTCACTTCTTAATTTGCAGCTCCCAAGGACAAGACAAGCAGCAATGGCAGTTCAAACGTGCCTGCACGACCACGTCTATCTCTCCGGTCTCATAGTGCTTGAAGCGGCGCTGCTCCCAGCGACGTTCGCCGACAGTAGCAACGACGACGATGGAGTCCCGAGTCTATCCGAAATGGACACCTACGACGCGCTGTCCATCGCGTTCATGATCATCGGACTCGCAGTCTCCTCCGCCGGCGGTAGGTTATCCTCGTGCCCGCCATGGTCCTCATCATGGGCTTCGACATCAAGCGAGCAACGCCCATTTCCAACGTCGCCATCCTCGGCGGCGCTGTGACCAATACCTGGTTTAACATGCTCAAGCGCGACAGCGACAGCGGACCGACCATTAATCGACCCAGAGCTGGCGCTCGGATTGATCCCCGTGGTAATCGGCGGCACCGTCCTTGGTGCAGTGATCAACAAGCTGATCCCGAGCTACATCGTGTCGCTCCTTTTCGTCGTGGTGCTCACTTTTAGCGACGCCCGCATGACGCTACGAGGCATCCGGCTGTTCAAGCAGGAGGTTGCCCAAAAGAGGGCCGAAAGCTCTGCAAACGAGACCAAGGCGGACGACCCGGAGAGCCCAAGTGTTTACATCAAGGCTAGCACGCCACAACCATCCAGTGACGACATTATGGCGGAAGAACATCGTCTCAGCATCTCAAGATCCTCCCTCAAGTCGGTGCTGGATGAAGATGAAGACGGTGCTATCCGATCGCAGATTCTGGGGAAGGAACGCCACTTCGCCTGGGGCTCCCATAGCGCCACCTTGGTCTGCTTCCTTGGCGTCGTGGCCACCAGTATCGGCGATGCTTCTGTGGACTGCGGCGGCGTCGTCTACTGGATCCTCCTGCTGATTGAGGTCCCATGGGTCGTTGCCTTTGTTTTCTTCACGTCGCACTACCTGCACAAAATCTACCTGCGTAAAGAGGCCGTCAGCTACCAGTACGTCGACGGCGACATCCAATGGACGAAGAAGACCGTGGTGTACTTCCCGTTGGGCTGTGCCGTTGCCGGTATTGTTGCGGGCATGTTCGGTGTCGGCGGAGGTATCATCACGGGCCCCATCATGATCGAGCTGGGCATCGTGCCGGAGGTGGCTTCATCAACAACGGCGCTGATGATTTTGTACTCGTCGGCGGCCGCTACAGCGAAGTTCGCAGTGTTCAAGATGATTGCTTGGGACTGGGCCCTGCTGCTGTGTGCGGTGGCGTTCGTGGTGACTTCTGCATCGCAAGTGATGATTTTGGGCTTCGTTCGTCGAACGGGGCGTCAGTCAATCATTATCCTCTGTATCAGCGCATCGGTAACACTCGGCACCATTCTCATGACCTACGAAGCTGTCAAGGACACGATTAACGACGCTGGGAACCACTTCACTGCTGATATTTGTAGCTAGGTGGTTGAGACTGGAGCGTTGAGCACTGGAGAAATTTATTCATGTTCACACAACTAACCACCTTTGCTGGCAGTCCAACAAATCTTCACTTTTTAGTGGTTGCTCATCGGAATGGAACCATACTTCTGGTGCTCCATTCGGCGTTTGACGGCATGACGAATCAAAAGCGCGATGAAGCAGAGGATCAGCGCACCGAAGAGGGACCACAGTAGCGTCTCGAACACAGCAACGGCATGCGGCTGTTGGTTCGACGTATCGGCGGCTGCAACATCGAAAGCACGGGCTAGATCACTCGCAGTTGAGGCCGTCAGGGTCGAATTGTACGTTGTGCCCTGATCATGGGTCAGTGAATCAACGAATGGACGCAGCGTATCCGCGACACACACGTGCTTGAGTGTTTTTCCGATTAGCTTCTTGAACGTCGAGAACGGACATCGGACATCTGAGACCCCATCACCAACTTTGACCTCCCCTGAGCATGACGGAATGATCACTTGGACGCGGTCTGGAGGCTGTTCATGCAATCATACGTGTCAGACATGTTGTCACTCGTGGAAAAATAGATAATACCGATCTCACGTTCTCAGGAGAGAGTTGGTCTCCATTGCGAATCTGTTCGGGAGAAGCCGCGACAAAGTACAGCTTCACGTAGAAGCGGCTTTCGTCGTTGTCACCAACGTTGCCACTTTCGTCTGCACGCCACGAAATACGCGCATTACTCGCGTCTGCAGAATTTAAGATCCGAGATTCCGACGTGTTTGCTGTGGTCTGGCCGTTCGGCGTGGGAGTGGCGTGCAACTCAAACACGAGCATGCTTCCAGGCACTGGCTGATGAGGGTGCCATCCCTTCGTATACCACTGCAGCCTATGCATACATGTAATGCGTTAGCACATACATACATCGCAGCTACGCCTTTGCATGACGTAATGGCACACTGTAGTCACAACTGACGTACCTTAGGAGATTGCGAACATACAACAAGTTGATGTCATGGGCTGCGTAGTAAAGTAGCCGATTGTCAGGTCCTTGTCGAAGATGGGGCCCCTCGCCTTTTGCAACAGGCAGAGGCCTTTGCAAGATATTTTGTTCAAAGCTGGCCGTCAGATGAGCGAGCAGAGTGGCGCCAAAACTTGCCGAGTTGACCTCGTTCGTGATGAGATCCATGTGCGTCTGCAACAACGACAACAATGGGTCAGTACAACCAGAGCGAACGGCTAGACCAACAACATGGGCCAAACCTCGTGGATCTTCGCCAAAGATAAGATCTTTTCAAATGTCAGCTCGGCAGGTAGGCTCATGTTGTTGAGACTCTGCAGGAGCAACCACTCTGAGAAATAGTCGGCGTTGGAAAGAGTGTCTTTCCAGGGCAAGTAAAATGCCCCATTCCACGTCGTGGGGATGTCAAACAGGTCACACGTTGCGGAGCTCTCGGACGCGTTGTCAGACTTGTCTTTGGCGTCGCAGACTGAAGGCGCGCAACACTGCAACAGCTCGTCGACTTCTGCCACCTCGTCACGGATCTCTTGAAGCACGAATCTCGTGTCGTTACTTCCCGTTATTCCTTCATACACTATCAAGAGCAAACGAATCAGTTTTTCCTCAACATAGCACGATGTCGTTCGGCAGCAATACGTACCGGCCCTCGAACACACAGGGCAGTTGGTGGTAGGATCCTGACCCTGCTCGAACAATAGCTCGGTCTCCTTGGTGCTCGGCACAAGCTCCTTGCAAAGCGGGTAAAGTCCACTCAAGAACGCGATCGCTGTCAGCTGCACGCATCGAGCCGGATTTAGATCGCGAACTCCCCCAGATACGCCACCTGCAGCGACCACTTACATTGTCTCGCTGATTATTGTCAGCATATGCAAAGGTTTCCTTGCACGTGGCGTTCAAAAATTCCTGGTAGAGGTGCTCTCGAAAGTACTGCTCGAACGAAATTCCGCAGAGGAAGGAGTTAGGTCAGTGTCCACATGACGGACCAGATCGCCGCATTTCGCTCGTAATCACTTGCCTCCCCCATGCGCTCCACGACGCGGAAACCGTGCTTGGTGAGCTTGGGCGACACGATCTCCGCCGGATCTTCGGTCTCGGAGGTGCCCCAGGCGTTGGCGCTCAGCGGCAGCTCGAGATTCGGGTTGCGCACGTACTGCTTGAGCAGCTCCTCCGACGGAGACTCCGTCCCCAGTCCATAGGGGCCGCGCACGCCGTGGCGAGAGAGCACAATGACCTGTGGAGAGGGAGGAGACGAGAGAGAGAGAGGAGATGAGGTCGAGGACGATGGACGCACGCAATGCGTTCGCTCTGAGGAAGCAGAGGGGTGACGCGGAATGCGGCTGACCTACCTGACGCAGGCCCGATGAAGGAGACGCGACCGCTGCAGATGCCGGTGCTAATAGAGCGCCGAGCACGCAGATCACCGCCGCTCGAGTCAGCATGGCAGCTCTCAGCATTCTCAGACCTTTTGGCTCACCGCCGATGTGCGATAGATTAATATCGTGTGAACCACACCATATAAATCTACCACATTGAATGTCCACATTGAATGTGGACATTCAGTGTCCTCCTGCTGGACAATGCCTGAGATCGGGTGCCAAAGTCGGCACTGCCAACTGGCCACGCATAGCCATCCCTTGGCCCACGCAGGCCCGACAAACTGCGGCTGAGACGACAGCTGCGCGCACAACACCCACACGTGCTGGTTTCATTGTGGAGTGGCCTAATACCATTTTGGCTGCCAACGCTACTTGCTTACTTCGACGCACATATCTGCCCGCAGGTAATGCGGCCGCAGTGTACATGGCTTCGAGTTGAGCCTGGCCACCTGGTGATTTTTTTAAGTTAGCACAATATTATCACCCCTATGGGGCGAGCGGGCCAACGTGGCGCGGCTCATGTCGGAGCTTTGCTCACGGCGGCAATTTTTGCCTCGCGGTTTCGGGGGGCCGAGGTTGCCCGTTAGTGCTTTGAGATTGTTGGGACTGTCCACGCGGCGGGCTCGCAAACACGCCCAGAAGATGACCAAGCCGGTCTCACATCGCGTGCGGTGCGATGGTGCGCTGGGTGGGCCCGCCGTCGTTAGCCACAGCATGCTGCGACCGTCCGATCCTTGACTCGCCCGTCCACAGAGCGAGTCGCACCTCAAGAGCGGCGCCGCCACCTATGTTCCGCTCACGCGAGAGCCCCATGTGTGGCCGCAGCTCGCACCAAGTCGCCGCAGCGGGATCAGCTCCGCGGTGCAGCTGTTCTCGCTGCGCTCTGCGGCTGCGGCGTGCCGGCGTCGAGCCATCAGACCGTGGCATGGCATGGCAGCTCTTCTCTGGTCGGCTTCCGCCACGATCGCGCCCATGCAAGCAGCCACCTGGCCGCACCACCTGCGCTCCGCTTGACACAGTCAGCAGGGCGCTGTGTGTGGGTGCAATTAGCGGACCTCGTTGCTGCGGCTGCGGCTTTCCGAAAACATGCTGGCCCCGGCCAGCTTGTGCTGCGGAACTTCCGGCCCACAATCGGTCGGTCTCTGGCTGTGGCCAGCCTGCCATTCCAAGTCGCGCGTCGCGCCCACACAACTTGCCCGAACCTCAGCGCCGCCACTTGGCTCGGGGCGCCCGCCGGCTGAGCAGTAGCACCGCCGCCATAGAGTCGCTGAAACGAAAGGCACGGTTGCGAGTCTCTGCCGATTGCACTTTGTATTTGACGTTGTGCGTGCCACACACAGCGGCTCACTGTCCTATACTCCGCCACCGCAGCTACTACAGACCGACAGACCCAATGACGTCCTGCGTGGTGCAAGTCCAGGAGCTGTCCCGCCGCCTGCTCAAGCGCGTGCGGCCGTCGCTGCCCGCCAGCGCCGGCGTCGAGGACCTGGGCGCCGCCGCCCGCGAATCGGCCACCAGCGAGGCGCTGCTCAAGGTCTGCAAGCGCCAGATCGAGTCGTCCCCCCGCGCGTCCATGGCGGCCGTCGACCAGGAGGAGATCGTCGCGGCCGCGCCCGTTATCGAGGCCGCCATCGACACGACCGCCACTACGCATTGGCCCAGTGTCACCGGCTGCGAGAACGTGCGCAAGGCGCTCACGTTCCTGCAGACCTCGCGCCAGCACGCGCTCATGCTCATGCTGCAGAACCACTGGGAGCGCGCCATGAGCGTGCTCGAGAAGATCGAGAAGGCCACTGAGAGCGTCAGCGAGAAGCGGCGACAGGTCGTCATCCAGCAGGCCAACGCCGGCCGCAACGTGCTCGTGGAGAAGATCCAGGAGCTCGAGCTCGCCGCCCCGCGCCGCGCCGTGCGCTTCAACGACGACGTGGCCGTCGCCTTCGCCGAGGACATGGACCGCAAGGGCGACGACGTGTCCGAGCCCGTGCGCGAGGAGATGCTCGTGCTGCGCGCCTCGCGCAAGATCCCGCAGGAGAACCTCTCGGAGTTCTGGAACGAGTGAGCTCCATTTCAGCGGCGGGGCCGATCGCAAGGCCCCCTTCACTCCTAACTTATTTGGCATAGACTTATTTAATACGATACGAATGCTTGTTTCCAACCAACACTACGCCATGATTCTGAATATGCTTTCAGTACCGGTGCATACTTCGAAGCACTTCATCGACCTCCCCCACTTTCGTGTAACTTACGCTCCATCAGTCGAGCATGGACTCCATGCTTGACTTTCAGGGCGGAACGAAATCCCCGGATGGGACGCGGTACAAAAGCTTGGATCGGCCCCGGCGCACTCATCCGCCGGCCCGACGACGACCTGCACACGAACGGCAACAACGGCAACAACGGCAACGGCTTGAAGCACTCCCGGTGTACAAAAGGCGAGCTCAAATCGCGTGAGTGCCTAAATCCACGCTGCCGTCGTCCGAGCGCGCTCCGAACCCCCCTGAGGGCAGCCTCGAGCGTCGAAATGCGGATACGGCACGGTACTCGACCGCGCCGCCCTTTGGGCCCCGTTCTGACACGTACGAGGCCTTGCCGTAAATAGTCGGCGCTAAATGCTTCACAGTCGATAGTCGATACAGTCGATAGTCGGGTAGGCGAACGGAACTAGGAATCGTAACTAGCGGAACAGCATACAAAACCCAAGATAAAAAAGTTTCCCCTCGCGCTGTGGGTATCATTCAGACGGCCCCTCCTTTTCCAAGACGAAGACGAGCAGCGCGAGATGGCGGACGCGACGCTGTACCGCGCCGCCGGGCACCCGGAGAAGGCGCGGCTGGTCTTCAACGCGCAGCTGCACCAGCAGCTCAAGAACATCGCCAAGAACCGCGAGATCTCGGCCGTGCCGGGGGCCCCCACCATCTCCAGCAACGGCAGCATGCGCCCCACGCAGCCCATGGTGCTCAACGGCGCCGGTCGCTCCACGGAGCTCAACGGCTGGAGCCTGGAGAAGAAGATGCTGGCGCTGGCCGAGGCGCTGGATCTGCTGCGCCGCCCCTTCTTCTTCTACCTGGACTTTGGCACGGCCGCGGCGGCCGAAGCGTCCAACGGAGGCAGCGCCGGAGCCTCCGGGGACCGCAAACTCACCTACCACTCGTACTTTAACAAGATGCTGCCGCTACACGTGGGCCAGACGGTGTTGCTTGACCTGTGGTACGTGGAATTGAGGGGGGAATGACGAGTTTTGAGCGTGAGTTTTGACGGATTTTTTGCCATGATAGGGACTACTTGATGGATATGGTCGACCACGTGCCTGTGCGCAATCGCTGCCGGGCGCTGTACATGCAGGCGGCAGTGTATATCTGTCGCCGAGTGGAGTTCATCGAGGGATACCCGCTGGACGGACAGCAGGTGCATCTGGACTCGCTCGTGTCGAAGCGGTACATCCGCTTGCTGGAACGCAGCGTGCGCTTCTGCTCGGTCAAGATCCGCAAGGTGCGCTTCATGGCGGAAGAGCACAGATTCTTCGTAGCTCACGTCTACACGGCGGTGTACTTCCGCTTCCCTTTCGCCACGCCCAAGCTGCTGGAAGCTGTGCTGCAGTGCACGGAAAAACTCGAGGGCGAGACGAACGGTCTTCAAAGTGCAACTAACGGCTTCAGCAATGGTTCAAATGGGAATCTGAAGAATGGAGCAGGTGCTCGTCCCCCCAAGGCAAAGCGTCGGCATCGTGGAAGCATCTCTGGAAGCTTGCGCAGTCCTCGACAGTATCGCCGCCACTGGAACGATCTCTCAGGTAATGAATGATTTTGACGAAACCCTGTAATGTGTTGTGTACGGATAACTGACTCCCGAGTGTTATTGTAGAATCGAAGTGCCGACCAGATCGCATCAGTGGAGTCGACCTGCAGCTCGAGATCTTCTCGTCTTTCTCGGAGTACAAGTCAAATCGCGGAACAGATCGACTGGTGGTGCCTGTGAAGGGTGGCAGCACACCGGGTATTCCACTCGATATGCTGAGAAGGGGCTCCAGCAATAAATCCATCGCGGCGGCCCTCGAAGCTGTATTCCAAGAAGGAATGAACCGGGTGGGCGAGGAGCAAGAGGTCACTTTCATTTACCAGCTCCCTCTGCTTTACATTGGACACAAGCTGCAAAATGATGCGTTCGTGAAGCTAGCTGTGACAACTCAAGACAAGATCGAAGCCGGCTTGGACCTGTTCGTTGATCGGGTCCGATCGCCAGGAAGAGATGACCTCACGGCTGTGACCTTTGTGGCTGCTGTGCTAAGTGACGTGAGCAGTTGGTGCAATCATCGTTACGCAGACGGTCGCATTTTATGGCATTGCGTGCCCGGTTACTTTGCTCTCGTGCGTCTGTACGTGGCAGTTTTCGAGCGCATGTGTCAGCGTCGGGCGCGCTCTAGTGGAGGTTCGTCGGCTTTGCCCTCCGTTAACCGGATTCTCTCCATAATCGAAGGCAAGATCAGCGATCCGTGGGAAGACTACTGGAATGATCGCGAGATTGACACCGTGTTGGACGCGGCAAGCGAGGTGCTGAAGAACGAGGCACTAGTGAATGTGCTGATGAAGGTCATTCTGGAGAGCACCAACATCCTCGATCCTACAAGTGTCAACTATTCTTTTGGAATTTTGCAACGCATGCTTGAGATCGCCTCGATGGCTGCGATGCCTGCTGCAACGGAGGCTGGGGCTACCGCCGGGAAGTTTGGAGGTCGCGTGCGCCACTGCTTGGGAGCGGTTTTTGATGGGGATTATTTCCTGAGCAGCATGCGCAGTGCTCTTCAGTCTTCGCACGTCCAAACGCTGCTGAAAGTCCTCACTTGCATCTACAACTGTATCGGTACGTGCATAATGGCTATGGATGTGCTGGTAAGTCCCCTAGACTAATGTTGACCTCTCGCCATTTCTGCAGATTTACTGCCTACCACTGCTCGTAAGCGGCTTGTGGCGGAGCTCATTTTGCGCGAGAACTTTTTCCATTTCTTTTTGCATTGGAACGAAGAGGTGAGATGGCTTTGCTTAGGTTTATGTGAAAATATGCGCACAATTAACTTACCTTCGGTTTTCTATTTACGCTGCGTAGATTCGGAAGATCTTCTGCTACATGATTGTGTTCAAGACTTCGGCTTCTAATCGATTAGACTTGCCGAGTGCCTCCGACCGAATTCTGCTTGCCCAGACCCCGTTTTTCGAAGTGGGCCCAGCTTCAAGATCCAATGGGTCGACTTTGTCGGCTGCGTCGCCTGCGCTAAGTTACTTGAGTCACCTCAGCGAGCTGGCGCAGGCTATGTTACGCCCCACTGCTGACAGCGAGATGGACCAGGCGAAGAAAGCAGCCGTTGGGAGGAAGGCACTTCAGCGTCTTACTAACTGGGATGCCAGCGCGCGCTTGAGACGTACCCGCAGCGGTGGTGATGCTGTGTTCCGGGACAGTCTCGTCGACGAAGAACTATCTGTGGATCTTTCCATTGCAAGCAAGCTGGATGCGAATTTCAAGATGATTGCGGACCAAATGAACCCTGGCAAATACCGGCAGAATAGCTCGGAAGACGGAGAACCCTCTGCGAGACGCTACTTCCCTCGAGAACTGGAGGCCTATGCTGAGCGCGCGCTTTCACAGTACGTTTTGGTGCTTTGGGAGTACTACGAGGCGGCTTTCGAGAACCCTGCGAAGATGCCGATTGCGCCGTCGCTCGAGTTTACGATTTCAGTGCCATTCTTCTCCGATTAATCCGACATGTGAGTGTATTACTAGTATGTAGACGTACGCTAGATTACTCGCTGACTGAGAAGCAAGTGCGCGGGGAACAGCTAAACTTGAGCGTAGAGGCTTAGCTGGCGGAACATTTCCTTGCTGCTGTATACCGTGGTGGTAGCCCCCGCTGAAAAGACAAATAGAAGCAAACATCAGTCACACTTGTATCCGTTGTAAGTGTGGGTGGGATGTCCTCACCGTGCAGCGGTTCAATCGTGAACATCCGCAAGTCTCCTGCCCGTACACGTTTCCAGTCGCGTTTTCGGCGTGCAAAAAGGTTATCATGGGTCTTCTTGTCTGCCGTGCGGCCTACGAGAACAGCATCATAGATCAGTGGCAAAGCAATTGACAAAGATAAACAAATGGTGACATCATCTCACTCGGATGATCTTGCTTGCGCTTGTGTGTGGTCCGGCACGAGTTTTTCTACAAGCAAAAGCAAAGTACACATGAGCGAAACGCCACTCATTAGCAGAGAAGAAAAACCGCGTCAGGGTATCATACCGCGGCGTTAATCTGCAGGAGTCTCTGACGTTCCTCACGATCCAGCGTGTGCTCCACGAACGCTTTCAGCCACCACTACATCAGCGCATCATCAGCGTTAGAGTAAAACACAATAGCAGCTACAGTAGCGTTTGATCCAGTACCCACCCTTGCATCCATGTTGCGCAGCGAGTGTTTCTTGGTGCGCACGTAGGTCTCGAGGAACGAGTCGTCGCGCAGCTGCTCGCGGTGTCCGTTCTTGATGCAGTTGAGCACGAACTCGCGCAGCGGCTGGTACGCGCCCTTCTCCAGGTCGGGGCACTCGTGCAGCTCCATGAACTCGAACACCTGGGTCTTGAGCACGAGCGGCGCCAGGTCGTCGGCCAGTCCTCCCTCCACCGTCACGCACACCGTGTGGACGCCCGCGTTCTCCAATCTGATGTCCTGCACGTAGTAGACGCCGTTGGGGAAGGCGGTGCCCACCCTCTCGTTGAACACCACCTTGTCCTCGTTCTGGATGGTCACGCGCAGCGCCGCCACTGCACGGGACTTGACGACGGTCGACTTGCCATTCTTGGTGCAGGCCACGTAGAAGCCCAAGTAGCTGGATAGCGGCAGAGGATCGACAATGCAAGCAAGTCAACGTTAGATGAGTGTGATTGATACACTGGCAGCATGAGGCTGCAGACGCACCGGAAGAGCGAGAACTGCAGCGGCACGCGCTCGGGCAGCAGCTCCGCCCACTTGTCCGCGATGGGGAAGAGCTGGCAGCCGTCCGGCAGCGACGGGTTGCGCTTGATGGTGATCGGCTTGAGGTTCTTGAGCGACATGGGACCCGCTTCGAGCCAAGACTTTGAAAACTACCTAATTTCGCGCGCGGGAGACAAAGACCCATTTTGGAAAATGGGTGAATTTTATATTATCTGTACCGATTCAAAATACATCTGGAACTTCCACTTCCAGTCTGGAGCCATCAGATTGACTACAGCATCAATATGATGCCGCCAGAGATGCAAGCTCGATGCGCGCAGCTCCACGCGGAGCTGACGCGGCACGCGCTGGCGTGGCCGTTCCTGGAGCCCGTGGACCCGGTGGCGCTGAACGTGCCGACGTACTTCGACGTGATCACGCACCCCATGGACCTGGGCACCATGGGCGCCAAGCTCGCGGCGGACGAGTACGCGGACCCGAGCGAGTACCGCGCCGACCTGCTGCTCCTGTTCGCCAACGCCATCGAGTTCAACCGCGACGACGAGCGGCCCGACTCGGTGGCCAACATGGCGCGCCAGTTCCAGCGCGTGGCGCTGCGCGACTGGGACCGCGCCTTCTCCGAGGCGGCCACGACCGACTGGGCCCAGCGCGCCGAGCAGCAGGCGCAGCAGCGCTTCGTGCAGCGCGCCAAGGACGCCAGGCTGCGCCAGCGCTGGAAGAGGGACTCGTTCGTGGCCAGACTCAACCGCGACAAGCTGGACGAGCGCAGACGCCTCGTCGCCAACGAGGAGTAAGTAGGCCGATTGATACCTACCAACCAACCAACCATAGCTGCAGTAGAATATCCTTAACGTGTGTTTGTTTCCCCTCTCTGTGTTGCATGTACTATTATTTGCTGCGTGTATGCTGAGAGGCTCTTCGGTGGTCTGTCGGTTATTTTTTTGTTGCTGTTTGGTTGAGCAGGCAGGCAGTGGAAGAGCTTGGGCTGGTTGGCGACTCCTTGAGCTATGGAGCGGAGACAGGGGAAGGCCGCGCGGACGCGGCCGCCGCAGCTGGCGGGGAACTCGATCTATGACTTGACGCTGGACGCGACGTTCGAGTTCGATGGTGGCTCTGGCTTCGGCAGCACGTTGCCGTCCAACAAGCCGCTGCAGGCGGTAGCGGGAGCGAGGGCGGCGATGAAGTCACCTATGGCGGTTGCGGATCATGTAGCGGCGGACGGACACAAGTTCACGTTCACGACAGCGGAGGAGTACACGTCGCCCAAGAAGATCCCGGTGTTTCCAGGCACGCTGCGCAGCCCCGAGAAGAAGATCAAGCCGCACCGAGCGAAGCCTCCAGCGGGACAGTCACCAAAGCATTTGCAGACGGCTTCACCAGCGGCGAAAGCGGGCGACGCGGTTCCAGCGCCGAGTGGAATTTCGTGGGAAGGCGACGTGGGACGGCCGAAGCGAGAGGCGTCACCTCGACGTTTCCTACGAGCCACGCTCGCTCGGTCATTTGGCGATGGAGAGGGTGAGGACGAGGAGGAGAAGGCTGCGGCCAACCAGCGAGATCGACGACCTTCGCTGTTTATTGGTCACCACGATCCTGCAACTGGAACTTCCAGTGTGGTTGTGGCCGACGCGGCCGCTGAAGCTGCGGCAGCATCGGCAACAGCGTTCCTGAAAACTGGTGAGGACGCTATCGCTTTCTTCGCGCGTAACGGATCGGACAGCGAGATCAAGTTTGTGCACCTGAACCGTGCCGAGACTGGGCTAGCTTTCCGACCGTATGACCTCATGGTAGTTGCGCAGGACGACGTCACGCCGAACGAGCACTTCACCATGTCATCTAGTGGCCTCGTTCACGTTTCAGCCGGCAGCCCATCAGAGTTCATCGCCCTTGCCGAGTGGATGCGTCAGTCGACGATGTTCAACGTTCTGACGTCGCTGCGGTTTTTCAAGCACTATCTCGTGAACAAGGCCTTCTCGCTGTGGTGCGCCAACGTGCGTTTCAAGCTTTACTGCCGCCAGCGCAAGCGATTAAGTGCGAAGCTGTTCCTGGCCAAGGAAAGCTTTTGTGTTCCTCTGCTTCAGGTGAAGAAGGTTATGAGCACGGAGCTCATGGGCGTCGTCCTACTGGATTTACGGGCGCAAAAGACATACGAGAGCTCGGCGTTTGTGGAGTATCAGGGGACCAAGCGCGCCGAAGGTTCCAAGCAGTTTGAAATATGCATCGAGAAGCTGCAGTCCATCATTCAACGCGTTTGCTCGGACGTGAAAAACCTGACCAAGACATCGAACCCGCAAGAGGATTTCCTTTCGGACATGACGCTTAGCTCCATGGGGACAAGCCAGGAGAAGACCAAGTCGATTGTGGCTGTTAAGGCAGAGCAACAGCAGCGACGCAGACTATTTCGCCGAGCCGCAGAGGAGGCTGGTATGATTGCAGACTTTATCCGACTCATCGACTGTATTGCTGTGGAGAGTCTGGTGATTTTGGCTGTGCAGAGCTGCGCAAACTTCTTGTGCGAGCTCAACAAGGTCCCGCGCAAGACAGGACTGTTTGAGACGACTATATTTTTTGGAGAGCAGTCCACGATATTTTCCCCAACAAGCGAGCAGATTCAGCATATCGTCATAGCAATGACGGACGATATCGTGAGCACGGTCAACTCGGTATCGCGAGTTCTATACCTCCGCCCATTTGCAGCGTATGTGGGCAACGCGGTGGCTGATGCACCCCATGTAGGCTCGACGATCACTAGCAGTGTCGCTTTTGGACAAATTCGCAAGGAACTTGTCGCCAAGATTGCAAGTGACTATGCAGAGGCCACCGAGTACGTCAAGATTTTCGACAACGTGCGTCCTATTTACGAGTACGACAAGGTCTGGGATCTCGAGGAGTATTCGCAGCGTGCGCACACCGTGACTACGCTGAAAGCGGACATGCTGCAGATCAGCACGTGGGAGAAGGAGCTCGAGAAAATGCGAGCAGGGCAGACGATTGGTATTCTTCACGTGGAAAGTCGCAAGCTAAAGCAGACATTGATCCCGATGACCACGGCTAAGCTGGACGCGATGAAGGGTTTAGTCAAAGATTTAGCGCGTGCAAGGTGCAAGACCCAGCTGGGTGAGTACAAACAGCGTATCCAGTCGCTGTTGCAGCGTCCTCAACACCTGAAGGAATTCGCGGGCCATGTGGAACGGGTGCAGAATCTAAAGTCCAAGCAGAAAGCACTCGCGAAGAACACAAATGTGGTAGACGAGCTGTACCGACTTCTAGGTACTTACGGTGTGCGCATCTCGTCAGAAGATATGGTGCAGCTAGACGACTTACGCAGCGTCCAGGAGAGCTACAAGGAAGAAACAGAAGCCGTTGATGCCTTTGTTGCAAGTCGGTTAGGTGAGATGACGCAGCAGTTAGACGCCAACATTCAGCGCTTGGACGAACAAGTCCTCCAGCTACACAACCAGTTGCAAGGAGGTCTCTTCATCGACGCTACCCACTTCGAGGATCCGTCGGTTGTGAAGAGCGAGTTGGAGAGTGTGAAGCAGCGGCTGACGCAGCTGGATGAACTCTCCAAGCAGTACACAGAGTACCAGACATTGTTCAACCTGACCCCATTCAAGTATTTGAACCTGCAGGCGACACAAGAGTACTTCGGGACTGTGGACTCACTTTGGACGGCGGTTGAAAAGTGGAATGAGCTGTACTTGGGTGCTATGACAAGCCCCTTCGTGGAAGTTAACGCTGAGGAGCTCTCAAAGGATGTTGCCGTAGCTTTCAAGGACGCATATGCATTGCACAAGAAGCTGAGTAATGATGTGACTGCCGTGCTCAAGGATCGTACCGCTGAGTTCAAGTTGAAGATGCCCACCATTCTGGAGTTGGGCAACCCAGCCATGAAAGACCGTCACTGGGAGAAGATCTTCAAGGCATTACGGCAGCCCTGGTACCCTGGTATTCTCTTTACGCTGGAGAACCTCGTGGCGTACGACGTACTAGATATGAAAGATTTGGTTGGAGAAATGTCGGCTGCAGCCTCGGGAGAGGCCCAGATCGAGGCATCACTGCTAAAAATTAAGCACGGTTGGGACCAAATGGAATTCACATGCGTGAGCCACCGCGACCAAAATGACGTGTTTATCCTAGGTAGCCTGGAAGATATCTTGATGCTGCTGGAAGATAACCAGGTTGGTCTGCAGACGATGATGGGGTCTCGATTTATTATGGGCGTGAAGGACGAGGTAGAGCGATGGAGTAAGCGGTTGTCCTTACTCTCTGATACTCTGGACGAGTGGATCGCATGCCAGCGCAGTTGGATGTACTTGGAGACGATTTTCTGTGCCGAAGACATTCAGAAGCAGCTCCCGGTAGAAGCGCAGAAATTTGCTTTGGTTGACAAGAACTGGAAGTCGACTATGCTGCGAACGAAGACCGACCCGAGTGTCATTAGATCAGTGGAGGGAGGTCCTGAGCTGTTAGACCAATTCCGAATGTCGAACAAACTGCTTGAAGAGATCCAGAAATCCCTCGAGGACTACCTCGAAACGAAGCGAATGGCGTTCCCACGGTTTTATTTCCTTTCTAACGATGAGTTGCTGGAGATCCTATCGCAAACGCGCGACCCACGCGCGGTTCAACCCCATTTGGGTAAGTGTTTCGACGCTATGAAGAGTGTTCGCTTCGATGATTCCCCTGGAGCAGCGAGCAACGTGGTGAACGCAATGGTCAGTGGCGAGGGTGAGCTGGTCATATTCCCGAACCACGTGATAGCAAAGGGGCCAGTAGAGTCTTGGCTGACTGAGGTGGAGAAAGCGATGCGTGCAAGTCTGTATGAAGACGGTGTGAAGGCTCTCATGAATTATCCGATTGAGGACGCTATTGACCGAAAAGAGTGGCTATTCGGATACGCAGCGCAGGTTATCATCCTCGTAGATCAGGTCTTCTGGACGCGAAATGTTACGGAGGCTATTGCGCAAGTGGAGAGCGGAAGTGACCCACAGACTGTCGGTGGCTTCCTACAGTTTAGTTTGAAGCAGATCGATGGTATGGTGCAACTGGTTCGGGGGTCTTTGACCAAGCTGCAGCGTATTCTGATGGGTGCCATTATCACAATTGACGTCCACGCACGAGATGTGGTGCGTTCGCTCGCTGACAGCAACATTTCGTCACTCAGCGACTTTGAATGGACTCGACAGCTGCGGTATTACTGGGAGGAGGATGTGAAAAACTTCGTTGCGCGCCAGACCAACACTCGCTTTATATATGGCTACGAGTATCTTGGCAATTCGCCAAGACTTGTGATCACACCGCTGACTGATATTTGCTACATGACGCTCACAGGCGCACTGCATCTACGTCTAGGAGGTGCGCCTGCTGGCCCAGCTGGAACAGGCAAGACCGAGACCACGAAAGATCTGGCGAAGGCACTGGCAGTGCAGTGTGTCGTGTTCAATTGCTCCGATGGATTGGACTACAAGATTATGGGGCGGTTCTTCTCGGGTCTAGCACAGGCTGGAGCATGGGCGTGCTTTGACGAGTTCAATCGTATCGATATCGAGGTTCTATCCGTGATTGCACAGCAAGTGCTATGCATCCAGCAAGCTATTGTCGCCGACGTGGACGAGTTTGAGTTTGAGGGCAATCTCATCAGGCTGAACACGGGCTTTGGCGTCTTTATTACGATGAATCCTGGCTACGCAGGACGGACAGAGCTACCGGACAATTTAAAGGCACTGTTCCGCCCTGTTGCCATGATGGTGCCGGATTACCGACTGATTGCCGAGATTGTGCTGTTCTCCGAAGGTTTTGCCAATGCGTTGCCGCTCTCACACAAAATGACACAGCTTTATTCACTATCAAGTGAGCAATTGTCGAAGCAGGATCACTACGATTTCGGTATGCGTGCTGTGAAGTCTGTCCTGGTTGCTGCTGGTCAGCTCAAGCGGAAGGAGCCAGAGATGCACGAGGATCTTCTTCTCATTCGAGCAATGCGCGATAGTAACGTCCCCAAATTCCTCGAGCAAGATCTCCCGCTGTTTCGAGGAATTATTGCCGATCTCTTTCCAGGTGTCGTGGTGCCTTTCGTGGACTACGGTTTGCTTCAGAAGGCCATTGAACAGCAGTTGGACACACTGCACTTGCAGCAAGTGCCATCGTTTATCACCAAGGCTATTCAAGTGCACGAGACGCAGCTGGTTCGCCACGGAATGATGCTCGTTGGCGAAGCTGGGAGCGGGAAAAGTACCAATTGTTACGTGCTAGCTCGCGCACTGACTCAGCTCTATCAAGATGGAGTTGTTGACCGCGATGGCTTCTACAAGGAAGTTCAGCGCCTTATACTCAACCCGAAGTCGATCTCGGCAGGACAGCTCTACGGCGAGTTCAATCTCCTTACCAACGAATGGACGGATGGTCTCGTACCGAAACTGGTTCGGCAATGTGTACAGGAAGCCGCAGAGTCTGATAACCGTAACTGGGTGATATTTGACGGCCCAGTCGATGCCGTCTGGATTGAGAACATGAATACTGTGCTGGATGACAACAAGACCCTGTGTTTGTCGAATAGTGAGCGAATTAAACTGCCGCATACACTGCACATGATGTTCGAAGTGCAAGACCTCCGTGTGGCTTCTCCAGCTACGGTCAGTCGATGTGGAATGGTGTACATGGAGCAAGTTCATGTTGGAATGACGTCGCTGGCGCGGACTTGGAAAGTTACGACGCTGGAGCCAATCTTACCGACGTTCCCGGAGCTCTGTGATATGCTGCTTCTATTAATCGAGACCCACGTCCCTGTTGCGATCGCATTTGTTCGTGAGAATTGCCGCGAGAAGGTTCCAAGCAACAACCACAACTTGATGCAGAGCTGCCTGAATCTCCTTGCCTCCTGTTTGGCCAGTGGTGTGGTACAGAACGCAGGTGCCAACAACCTAGCGGGATTGGTGCGCATGTACTTTGTATTCGCTGTTACATGGTCAGTGGGGGCCAACATTGATGATGCGTCACGCCCAAAATTCAACGATTTCTGTATGGGCCAGTTCCGCTCGCTTATCGATAGCAGTCATGACGGTGCGCCGGTGACGAACGTGTACGAGGTGGTGGTTGATGATGCAACGGGCCAGTGGGTGTCGTGGATTGATAAGACGCCAACTTTTACCTTCGTCCCTGGAGCGTCGTATTTCACGATGGTTGTGCCCACGCAAGACACTACTCGCTTCCGATATCTTCTTGAAAAGCTCATGCTCGCTGACCATCACGTGCTCTACAGCGGTGAGACTGGTGTCGGCAAGTCGGTTATTGTGCAGTCATTCTTGGACGACATGGCCAAGACGGATAGCTGTATTGCATCTACCATGAGCTACTCAGCTCAAACCAAACCTCGCAATCTGAACGAAATGTTCGAGCTCAAGTTGGACAAAAAACGCAAGAACCTGTTAGGCCCACCGGTGGGCAAGCGTATGTTGTTCTTTGTGGACGATCTTAACATGCCAGCACTCGAAATTTACGGGGCTCAACCTCCGAATGAGCTGCTGCGGCAGGTCATCGACCAGGGCGGATTCTATGACACCTCCAAGATGTTCTTCAAAAACGTCAAGGACGTGGTGTTTGCTGCTGCGTGTGCTCCACCCGGAGGTGGCCGGAGCGAAGTGACTCCACGTCTAATCCGTCACTTTCACATGGTCTGGATCCCCAACCTGTCGGGTGAAGTGATGCAGCGGATCTTTTCGTCGATCCTTGGTGGGTTTCTCGGTGCGGAATTGCCAGCGATGGCGCACATGGCTGCACCTATTGTGAGCGCATCCGTGCAATTGTATCAACGTGTTGAACTTGAAATGCTGCCTACACCGTCCAAGTCGCATTATACATTCAACCTTCGAGATCTGTCCAAGGTTTTCCAGGGTGTACTCATGGTAAAGAAGGAGAATGTCCCGAACGAAGACGGCCTGCTAACTCTGTGGCTGCATGAAGAAGCTCGAGTTTTCCGAGATCGGTTGGTGGACGCTGATGACCGCGCGTGGTTCAACGGAGCGTGTTCACAGCTGATCGAAGAGAAGATCAAAGTGTCGTGGCCCCCCTCACGTTTCGAGAACATTTTGTACGGTGACTATCTGACTCGTGAGAATCGCACCTATCGACCTGTGCAGGATCTCGGACAACTCAATTCGCTGCTCTCAGAGTACCTCGAAGAGTACAATATCACGTTCCCGAGCCAGATGCACTTGGTCTTCTTCAACGACGCTATGCACCACATCTCTCGAATCTGTCGCGTTCTACGACAGCCACGTGGTAATGCACTACTCGTCGGTGTTGGTGGCTCGGGCCGTCAGAGTCTCACACGCCTTGCGTCTTTCATGGCCGACTACAAGTGCTTCTCGATTGAAATCACACGTGGGTACGGCGCAAACGAGTTCCATGAAGACCTCAAGAAGATTCTAATGACCGCGGGGGCCCAGAACCAGCCTGTGGTGTTTCTCTTCTCAGACGCACAAATCGTCCACGAATCCTTTCTTGAAGACATCAACAACATTCTCAACACCGGTGAAGTGCCGAATTTGTATGCGAGTGACGAAGTGGAGAAGATCGTAGGTCTTGTTCGTCCGTTGGCGCAACAGGTCGGCAAGGCTACGCGTGAGGACATACTGCAGTACTACGTCACGCTGGTACGCGATAATTTGCACGTTGTGCTCGCGTTTTCTCCTATCGGTGCTGGTTTTCGCAACCGGTGCCGCATGTTCCCTTCGCTCGTAAATTGCTGTACAATTGACTGGTTCAATGCGTGGCCCGAAGACGCACTAAACTCTGTCGCCAATCGGTTCTTCGCTACGAATGCCGAGGAGCTTGGAATTGAAGCGCACGTCGACACATTGTGTAAAATGGCGGTGACAATTCACCGGAGCGTTGAGGAAGCTACCCTTCGGTTCTACGCCCAGCTCAAGCGGCGTAACTACACTACACCGACGAGCTACTTGGAGCTGATCAGGTTGTATGTGGATATGCTGCGAACACATCGCCAGCTTGTTCGTGCAAAAGAAGCACGATATCGAGGTGGTTTGCAGAAACTGACAGAGACTGAAGAGGTCGTCGGCAACTTGAAGAGCTCGCTTACAGAGCTACAGCCGGTGCTGGTAAAGGCTCAAAAAGACACCTCACTACTGCTGGAGCAAGTGGCGAAGGACCAGGCAGAAGCTGACAAGCAGCAGCAACTGATTCAAGCTGATGTGGAGGCTGCCAACAAAATCGCCGACGAAGTGAAGGTGATCAAGGACGACTGTCAGAAGGATCTGGATGAGGCTATGCCCGCGTACTACGCCTCGATCAAGGCACTGTCGCAGCTGAAGAAGGATGATATCACGGTGCTCAAGACATTCACGAACCCGCCGCGGCTGGTGGGTGTGACGATGAACGCGGTGTGTCTTCTCTTCGGTGCAAAGCAAGAATGGAACGAGGCCAAGAAGCTGCTCAACGATATGAAGTTCCTGGACAAACTCAAGGAGTTCGACAAGGACAACATCCCACCGAAGACGATTCGTCAGCTTCAGAAGTTCATCTCTGACGAAGAGTTCACGCCTGAGACGCTCAGTAGTATCTCCACTGCTGCTACTTCGCTTTGTATGTGGGTGAGAGCGATGTACACGTACGATACCGTTGCCAAGAACATTGCTCCGAAGAAGGAGAACCTCAAGCGAGCAGAGCAGCGACTCGAAGAGGAGCAGAAGCAGCTCGACATCAAACAAAGTGGACTGAACGCTGTGCTCAAGAAAGTGGCGGACTTGAAGCGCACTCTGGAGGAAGCACAACAGAAGAAGATTGACCTGGAGAAGCAGTCGCAAAAGACGCAAGCGCAACTTGTACGCGCAGAACGTCTGATTGATTCTCTTGGCGAGGAACAAGGTCGCTGGAAAGAGTGCGCGGAGAACTTGGCGAAAGACATGATCAATCTGGTCGGCGATATGATCCTGTCCGCAGGTTGTATTGCGTACCTTGGGCCATTCACATCTGAATATCGACACGAGCTGCAAGCGAAATGGGTCAGCTTCTGCAAGGCAAGCAACTTACCTGTGGATGATCATTTCTCCTTCCAACGAGTACTGGCGGACCCTGTTGTTGTTCGTGAGTGGAATATAATGGGTTTGCCCGCTGACACGTTTTCCATTGAGAATGGTTTGTTCACGACGATGGGACGTCGATGGCCGCTCATGATCGACCCGCAAGGACAAGCCAACAAGTGGATCAAGAACATGTACAAAGCGGCAGGCTCGCTGCAGATTATCAAGTTGTCACAAAAAGACTTCCTCCGTACGTTGGAGAATGCTATCCGGTACGGTTCGCCTGTGATGCTTGAGAACGTGGAGGAGGACTTGGATCCTTCTCTGGAGCCTGTACTGTTGAAGCAAGTGTTCAAGCGCGGCGGTCAGAACCTGCTTCACCTCGGTGACAGTGACGTTCCGTATAGCGGCAACTTCCGCTTCTACATTACCACCAAATTGGCAAACCCGCACTACATGCCAGAAATTTGCATCAAGGTAACGATCATCAACTTCACGGTCACGCTTACGGGCCTTGAGGACCAATTGCTGGTGGATGTCGTGCGAAGCGAGCGCCCTGACCTCGAGCAGAAGAAGAACGAGCTCACTGTGAACATCGCGGCAGACAAGAAACAGCTCAAGGAGATCGAGGACAAGATTTTGTACATGCTGGAGAACTCCAAGGGAAATATTCTGGACGACGAAGAGCTCATCGATACTCTGGCTCACAGTAAGGTCACCTCGTCTGCGATCAAGACTCGTATGGCTGAAGCCGAGACGACGTCCATGGAAATTGACCAAACTCGTGAAGGGTACCGCTGCGTAGCTGTGCGCGGTTCCATTATCTACTTTGCCATCGCGAACCTTGCCCTCGTGGATCCCATGTACCAGTACTCGCTGCAGTTCTACCAGAAGCTCTTCGTCATGCGCTTGCAAAACTCAAACAAGTCGGAAGTGCTGGAGGAGCGTCTGGAGATCCTGATGCAGGATATCACCATGTCGATGTTCGTGAATGTCTGTCGAGGGCTGTTCGAGAAGGACAAGATCATTTACGCCTTCATGATCGCATCAAGTATCTTGCTGCATCGCGGTGCGATTTCCTCGAGCGAGTGGAACTTCTACTTGGTCGGCGATAAGAGGAGCTCAGCCATACAGGCAGCACAAGCGGAGTCCTGTGGTCTGACACGTCCATCTTGGCTTTCTGATCGAGTTTGGAAGACTGTTATTGGCATGAAAGATATCTCGTCAGTGTTTGCCGACCTCCCTTCGTCTGTGGGGCAGCACGCGACGGAGTGGAAACAAGCAATGGTGCTGGCTGACTTACCGCACGCAGAGAAACTACCGGAGCCGTGGGAGTCGAAGCTGACCAACTTCCAAAAGCTGCTGGTGCTACGTGTCTTCCGAGAGGAAATGCTCGTCTTCGGCACGCGCGAGTTCGTCGGGCGTGAGCTTGGCAAGTTCTTCACGGAGTCGCCCCCGTTTGACTTGGGTGGATGCTACCGAGACTCAAAGCCCGAGACACCTCTGATCTTCGTACTGTCGCCCGGTGCCGATATCAATGACTACCTCTTGGAGCTCGCGAAACAAGAGGGTAAGGATGGCGCTGGTCTCAAGATCATCTCGCTTGGTCAAGGTCAAGGTCCGATTGCGGAAGCTCTGATGAAGCAAGCCAAGCAAACGGGAGACTGGGTCTGCCTCCAGAACTGTCACTTGGCTGTGTCATGGCTTGGTCGACTGGAGCAGATCTTGGAGCAGTCAGCGACAGAGGAGATGCACGTGGAGTTCCGGTTGTGGCTCACGAGTATGCCAAGCCCGCGCTTCCCTGTGCCGATTCTGCAGAACGGCATCAAGATCACAAACGAGCCTCCGAAGGGAATCAAGGCCAATCTTGGACGTACGTTCCTTGACATGAAAGAGGCCGACTACGAAGGCTGTACGAAGCCACGCGAGTTCAAGAAGCTGTTGTTTGCATTGGCTTTCTACAACGCAGTGTGTCTGGAACGCCGCAAGTTCGGTGCTGTTGGGTGGAACATCCCGTACGAGTGGATGAATAGTGACCTGAAGACAGGTATGCAACAGGTTCGCCTGTATCTGGAGGAGCAGGAAGAAGTGCCCTACCTGACGTTGAATGTCATGGTAGCTGACATCTCGTACGGCGGTCGTATCACCGACCGATGGGATAAACGCACCAATTCGAGTATCATGCGCAAGCTGTTCTGCAAAGGAGTCATGGACGACTCGTACCGGTTCACTGCCTCGGGACTTTACTATGCGCCAGCGGAAGGTTCCTTAGCCAACGTTCGCGAGTACGTGAGCTTATTGCCAACTGCAGATGCCCCCGATATTTTCGGTCTTCACGCGAACGCAGACATCACCTTCCAGCAAAAAGAGACTGGCCAGTTGCTGGGCACAACTCTGAGGATGCTGGGTGGAGGTGGCGATAGCGGTGGCGGGGGTGCTGCCCAAAGCAACGACAGTATCGTGATGGAGATGGTCGTAGCCATCCAGGAGCGAATGCCGGACTTATTCATGGAGAGCAAAGCACATCCTTCGACATTCCAGGAGGCAGCGGGTGGCAGTCGAAACTCGCTGGGCGTGTTCCTGTCGCAGGAAATGATCCGCTTCAACGTGTTGATCCAAGTGATGAAGACGACGCTGGAGATGCTGAAGCGCGCGATCAAGGGGCTTGTGGTCATGTCGGGTCCTCTCGAGAAGATGTACAACGGCTTCTTGATCCAGCAAATTCCGAGCGAATGGGAGAACGCCGGCTATCCCTGTTTGAAGCCTTTAGCCTCGTGGATTGAAGACTTCTTTATGCGAATCAACCTCACGAACGAGTGGCTCGTAAATGGCCCGCCACTCGCGTTCTGGTTGTCAGGCTTCTTCTTCCCTCAAGGCTTCATGACAGCGGTGAAGCAGTCCTTCTCACGTGATAAGCGGATCGCCATCGACGCGCTCGTCGTATCCTGCGAAATCATGGCGCACGACAAAGAGCAGTACAAAGCACCCCCGCCCTTCGGCGTGTACATCTTTGGGCTCTTCATGGAGGGCGCGCGGTACGACCGCAACACACGGATGATGGCCGAGTCCATACCTAACGAGCTCTTCGACCGGATGCCTGTCATTTGGCTCAAACCCATGCGGCGGGAGGAGTACAAGCCCACTGACGTGTACGAGTGTCCACTCTACAAAACGTCCATCCGCGCCGGCACGCTGTCCACCACGGGTCACTCGACCAACTTCGTCGTGGCTCTGGACGTGCCCACCGACAAAAGCCCTGACCACTGGATCCGCCGCGGTTGCGCGATGCTCTGCATGTTGGACACATAAGGACAACCAACCCCACAAGAGTAATACTCCCCGTCGTCAATAGATAAAAATGCACCTTCCATTCCTCTCCTCTAATGACACGCTTCCGCTTCTCGCCGCTTCTTCCAGGCCGCAATCTCCCGGTTCGCCTGCACGCGCTCCTCAGCCGACAGCGCATAATAACTCTGCTTCGTCTCGCGCTCCCACTAAATAATAGCAATGACAAGCAAGGTAAATAATAGTCAGCACACAGCTTCACAAAACACCAACACCTCCCTATCGTACCTGCTTCACCACCCGCACCGAGTGCTGTGGGGGTTCGTACGTGTGCGTGGCCTTGAACTTCTTGTTGTGCCTGGCCAGCAGCTCCTGCAGGTTCTTCATCTCCTTCTTCTCCTTACTGGCCGCCGTGGCAGCCCTCTCTCTCTTCCGGTGCGTGTTCAGTCTGTTGCCCACATCCACCAGCGGCTTCCTCCTGCTCTGCACCTGCTGCTCCTGCTCCTGCTCCTGCTCCTGCATCTGCTCCTTCTTGCCCTGGAACGGCTTGTGTGTGGCGCGCATCTCCTTGAGGCTGCGGAACTCCTTCTTCTCGCTCTTCAGCTGCTTGTTCCGGGCCGTGACGATGCTCCGCCAATCAGCAGCGACTGGACGCTGGTTCTCCTTGTCCTCCTTGAGCTGCTGCTGTTCCTGCTTCTGTAGCTTGGCCTCCAGCTCGCGCGCGAGCTCCGCGCCCGGTCGGCTGTGCTCTGGATGTACGCGGTCGAACCAGGGATCGTGCTCGCCCGCCGGGAGCGGCGACAGCGGCGCGCTCAAGTCGCGGTAGCTCTGCGGAGCGTCGAACTCGAAGAGCGGGTCGATGCGCGCCATGACGGCGGGAAATATGGGGCCGACTTCGAATTTGAAATCAGGAGTGTGTGTTTTTGGGCGCGGGAAAATGGGACAGTCGTACTTTGCCGGGGAAAGCGTCGACCACCGGAATGAAGCCATGTCATGAACAACTCGACGATGTTGAAGTTTTGTAGCGCATTGCGAGGTGCTGGCTTGCTTTTTAGTGCAGTATGCAAGGCCGCTGCGTGGCCTTTGACTAATGTGAAGACCTAGGTCGTCTCGGTATTGTCGCTATCGTGGTGGTATGGTGAATAGGACGCAGGAGACTGCCAGGCGCAGTAGAGAACGCACTGCCATCCGCGTTGACCCCGTAGCCAGTCACTGTCACGTCGAGATGCTGGTCGCTCCAGCACCTTGAAGTTCGCGGGTGCGCGCCTTGGGTTTCCTCGGATTGCCATGCCGTCCCGCGTGCTTCGCGCGGATCGCCGGCATTTTGTATAAGGTCTCAGTATGGGCGCGCAATGATGACGGCGGAGGCGGCGACCGAACGTTCGCTGTTGACGATGGGCGTGCTGACCGTCAACACTTGCTGCCAGTCTCGGGCTGTTGAAGCCACCGACATCTTCATAGTGTCTGGAGACCCCTTGCCGGACGCCTGGTTCCGGCGCACTGCGAGTCTGAAGATCTGAGCGCGGCCACCGCGCTGCTTCAGTCAAGAGCGCTGATTTGGAGGCGATGGGAGCCGATAGAGCTGAAGGACGGATCCCACACCGAGCCAGCCTCAGATCACCGGATTCGACACCGACGGATGCTCTTCATCGCCGTTAAAAAATCTGTGCCGGGCTTGCATTTCACAGGCTTGCAGAAGCGCTCTCACTTCAACGTGCCACTTCGAGCGCCGTACAGTACCTACACTGGAGAGCCCCTCGAACTGCTCGGGCTTTGAAGGCACTGGGCTCGAGAGTCGAGGGCCGGATTGCCGGGCCTTGAACTTCAGTCGCGATTGGTACAGATTGCACCCTGGTACTCTGCTGCTGAGTACTCTCGCCCCAGAGATACTGTATCAGAGCCTCGCAGCGCCCGTTGTGCCATCTTGGCCATCGGTGCTCAGGCCTCAGGACAGCTCACTTTTCAATTCCCCGCCGAAGCCGCAACCAAGTCTTCCTAGCTCCTCGCCTCGACTCCTTCTCATCAACTCACGCCGACCATGACGCGAACCTCGGACTTGGAGAAGAACAGCCTCACCTACGCCGACCTAGAGTCCCCGGACCCGACCCACCACCTGCAGCACCTGACGCCGGTCGAAAACGTGCCGTACATGGTCAAGAGTCAATTCGCCAAGGAGATGATGGCCGAGTTCCTCGCCACCTTCGTCACCATGCTCTTCGGGCTGTCCTGCATGACGCAAGTGGTGCTGAGCAGTGAGGCCAGCGGCAACTTCGTGACCATTGCGCTGTGCTGGGGTCTCGCCTTCTTCTTCGGCATCACCATCGGCGGCGGCGTCTCCGGAGCTCACTTGAACCCGGCGGTGACCACGACGCTGGCGCTGCTCAAGCTGCTGCCGTGGAAGAAGGTGCCGTTCTACATCCTCAACCAAGTCGTCGCCGCCTACGTGGCCGCGCTCTTCGTGTACATTTTGTACCGGCCGATGTTCAACGAGGTGGATCCGGACCGAACCACGACACACACCATCTTCGCGACGTACCCGCACGAGAACGTGGGCAACTTCACGTGCTTCTTGACGGAGTTCGTGGCGACCGCTCTGCTGATCCTGGGCATTTTGGCGCTGCTGGACCAGCACAACCGTCCCATTGGAAAGAAGGCCGTGCCGCCTGCCGTCGGAGCATTGGTGAGCACAATCGCCATGGGGTTCGCCATGAACACGGGGCTGGCCATCAACCCTGCTCGGGACCTGGGTCCTCGTCTCTTCATGCTGTGCGCTGGCTGGGGTTCGCGCGTTTTCTCTCTAAGTCAGTACTACTTCTGGATCCCCATTGTGGCTCCGATCACGGGCGGCGCTGCCGGTGCGTTCGTGTACGAGGCCCTCATCGGATACCACCACGTGGAGAAGAACCGTGGCCCGCACCCGGAGTACCGATTCTAAACGTCGAAAAGGTAAAGTTATCTCACTTGTAGGTTGGTTGGAGTGAGGTGTGAGCAACTTTTAGTCGTGATGTTCAATGTATTCGTTGCAAAAAGTTACCCTCTGTCCTCTGTTGTTGCCAACAACGAAAGGCAACAACTTGTTGCCTTTCGTCTATGAACGTTGTTACCCATTATTAGGTATGAGACCCATTTCATGAATTATACCCATTTCCTCATCATTTGAAGAGACCAAAATCAAGAGGCAACAGCCATGAGCAACGTCAACGGAGCTCCTCGGCGCTGGAACATCGCGGAGACGCGCAGCGTGGCGAAGCGGAAGACCGCGAGCGGCGACAAGTTCGTGAACAACTACCGCCTGCTGCAGACGCTGGGGCAGGGCCGCTTCGGCACGGTGAAGCTCTGCGAGAGGCTCGCGGCCAGCGCAACTACGAGTCCAGCTGCCAGCAATGGAGACGCAGAGCCTACAGTTGCGTCGCTGCCCCCGCCGGCGTTTGCGCCGCGCAAGGCGCGACTGTTCGCCATGAAAACCTTCTCCAAGAAGATGCTGCGCAGACTGAAGGACTACTGCGCGGAGCCTGCAGGGGGCAAGGAAGACGGAGCTGCGGAGGCAGATGCAGAGGGTGAGGTGCCTATGAGGATGCGAGCCGTAACGGCGCTGGACCGAGTGCACGACGAGATCGAGATCATGCGCTCGCTGTACCACCGCAACATCGTGCTGCTGTTTGAGGTCATCGAGGCCGACGACAGCGACAAGCTCTACATGGTGCTGGAGTACATGGCGCGCGGCCCCTGCATGGTGTATCGGCCGGATGCGAAGGACTTCTACAGCCGGGTGACTGGAGGCACTCTGCCGGAGGAGCTGGCTCGCAGTTACCTATCGGATATCCTGCTCGGGCTACAGTATCTGCACCAGCGTCAGATTTGTCACCGCGATATCAAGGTGAGTGATGACCAAGTTGAGGTGTCGGTGGTATGAGTGTATGCTGACGCTGATGAAATGTTGATACTTATGCAGCCTGATAACGTGCTGCTGAACGACACGGGACGCTGCCACTTGACGGATTTTGGCTGTGCGAAGGCGTTTGCTGCGTATGGACACGATGGCAGTGAGGCGATGCGGTTGACAGACACGGTGGGGACGTACCAGTTCTTGGCGCCAGAGTGCTGCTCCGGCGAGCCGTACGACCCCTTCAAGGTGGATATATGGGCTGTTGGCGTGGTTTATTTCATTTTCCTGTTCGGCAGACTGCCATTTACGTCGGAGAGCGCGCGAGAACTGTTCGACGAGATCACTCGCGCAGAGGTTGTGTTGCCCGGCCCAGATGAGTCTCGCCGCGATCAACCAGTTAGTCCAGAGGCTCGTGACCTGCTACATCGACTACTAGAGAAAGACCCCGCGCAGCGGATCACCATCGATGAGGCGTTTCGCCACCCATGGTTCATGCAGGATGAGGAGGAGGAGGAACCTCTTTCGTTCTAATGCGTGTCGAATACGTCCACTGAAAAGAAGCTAGATCTTTTCTGGAGTTAACGCGGGCCGTAACTTCCAAATCATTCCGGTTTGAGACTTAGTCTGTTGAAACTCGTGTTCTCGTTTGAGTAGGCTTTGAACCTGCATCCAGTTGGCGGCGCTGTACTCCCGCGGTAAATTCACGCAACAGACCGCGGCTAGCTTAAGGCGTAAGTGCTGGGCTGAAGTCTCGCAGTTGAAGTCTGGGTACGTGTGGATTAACGAGTCTTGCAGCAGAACAGACCAGTTAACACTCGGCCTACCATTACATCCAGCTTAGAAACGAGGCCAGGTTGGGGTTCATTTCTCGACTTGGCTTTCAAGACGTATGCACCGATTCAATACCCGCCTCAATCGCCTGCTGATTAGTGTTGGCTTCAAGAAGCCCAAACACTCAAGAGGGCAGAGCACGTCGAGAACGCCACAGCAGACATTGAGAACGAGATGGCGCGTACAAGTACAACCTGCTCGCCGAACGAGAACCTCCCACTTCCGAGTGCAGACTAACGATCGGTTGATTCCTCGAGACGAAGTTGAAATGGCTCCACATCCGTTCCGGGTCGGGTCCTTCGGCAAGATTTACCACGGCACTTGGCTTGGTTCGCGAGTTGTCGTCAAGAGAGTCAAGTTGGAGTCCACCAAGGCCCGCGGTGATTTCTTGCGTGAGGCTGCGATCTGGAAAAGGCTGCATCACCCGCACATCGTCCCCCTGTTTGGTGCCTGCATCTCGTTCGGTGAGAAACAGACGCAACCAGAGGGTCTCTTTGTGTGCGAGGAAGCGGAAAACGGCAGCTTGCGGGACTTTTTGTTCAACGAGACTCAGGTGGGTCGATCGCCACCAATTTGGAGAGCGCTTCGTGACGCAGCACTGGGACTGCGCTTCATGCACCAAAGGGGCATCATTCATGGAGATCTCAAGTGTAACAACATTCTTGTGAGCAAGGCCGGAGTAGCGATGCTGACGGACTTTGGACTTAGTTCCGCTCCAGCTCATGAAGAATCGTGCAGCAACCCTCACGAAGCATCGGAGCTTTTCAGTGGAAGGCACCGGAATTGTTTGAACCAGAGTGCAGTGCCCCAACGTTCGAGTCGGACGTCTATGCTTTCGGCATGTGTGTTATGGAGGCTTTACGTGGTGGTTCTCCCTGGGGACCTCTACCTGATGCTGCGATCAGATACGCCCTCGTTAAACTCAAGCGAACGTTAGCTCAAGGTGGCTATCAGAGGTCGATATCGACTTGCATCATGCCGAGGCCTGCTAACGTGAAAACCGACCAGCACTGGGCCTTCGTGAAGCAATTATGCGCTTTTGAGCCCTCGAAGCGACTGAAGCTCAACGACGCGATCACAATACTCGAGAGATTTGCAGAAGTGAGGCTTCTGAAGCCGCGCAGCCATTGGAAACTGCGTAGATATTTTATTGCATGCACATATGCACTGCGTCTGTCTACTTCATTCCACGCTGAGTCGGTTGCTCCAGTTGAGTTTTCTCGTTGTAGCACTCGTCTAGCATTTGATGCGTCAGTTGGAACACTTCGTGAACATGAACGCCATCCATGCCGTCACCAGCAAACGGATCCTCCATCGCTCTCTCCACGTTGAAGATGCCGGTCATCAACAAACTCGTTGATACGCTGAGCAGCAAGCAGAAGACGAAGTTCGTCGCCAGATACTCGTTGCCCGCGCGATGTAAACGTAGTAGGGGCCGTAAAATACGGGAAGTACCAAGATGAAAAGCCGAGTGAAGGAGCGCGTAGCTTGAGGCGTGCGGTAACACTAAACAAGCACACAATATCGTATAAACTGTCAAAGAATGAAGCCAAGCAACACACACACGCATCGCATACCTTGATGTTCTGGAGCTTTTCGATGCGTGCCTGAAGCAGCCAGTGGTATTGGTTGATTCGCGAGGCTTCGTTGGCAGGCATCCCGCAGGCTTTCATGACCTCCACTTGGTCGTGTAGCTGGCGAATCGTGTTGATAATCTGCAACTGCAAATACTTCACAGGTGTCACATACTGCAATGCCAGCTTGCGTCCATGCGTGGTGAATCGATGCCGCCCCCGCGTCAGTGTAGGCATGATCAGCAGCGACATCGTATCGTGCAGCAACGATTCAAGCAGCGTCTTGGTCTTCTGCACGTGATCCTGGGGCAATTTCTTCCCTCCATTGATTGTCGCCCCAGTTCCACAGCGCATTGGCGAGTAAAATGTTCACCAACAATGACCTCGCTGCCAACAACAACGCACCAAAAACCAATTAGCTCTGATGTAAATACAACGGTACTCTTGCAGCTCACCCTCGGCAATAATGTCCAGCGCCTGCTCTCGCCGCGTGAAGGCCTGTCTGATCTGCATGATCATCGGCGACACCACGGCGAAGGAGACGATGGTCCACGAGATGTTGGCGCCGAAGCTCGGGCCCGAGCTGCTCTTGCCCAGGAAATAATACAGTGAAGTGGTGACGATCGAAAAGAGCACTACAAACAGCCCCTCGAACGTGATGAGCTGGATGCAGAAGACCTTGGAGGCCGCGTACAGGTCCAGCACGGTGTCTCGGAAGCCCTCGCTCGCGCGGCGCAGCGCCGCCCCGACGCTCATCTCGTCCTCGCTGCTGCTGGGTCCCCATAACTCGTCCACATTTTGCGGCGAGTTGAAGGCCGGACCCGAATGCGCTGCAGCCCTGGTGCCGTACTGCGCGTAGCCACCTTCTGACACCGGAGACCTCTTTCCGCCGATTGAGTGACGAAACGGCACTAGGTACCCCGTTTTATTGACCTATGGCACTATTTTGCCACTCAAAAAACGTTTTAAAACGGAGTCGAAGATGGTGAAAGTGGATGGCTCTGCGGTGGGCATCGAGGCGTTTGTGGACGCTACTGAGGAGCGTCTAGTCATGCGTGGTCGCATTAAGACCAAGTACGTAGGGTTAGCAATGTTGGGGATGCTATGGGTTTGATGGTAACGCTGATGTCTGTCGGTGGTTGTTGTGTCACTCCATGCTCACTACAGACCGGAGGACTTCGTGGTGCGCGAGATCAGTGCCGCGGGTGACATTGTGGGCTTCAGTGATGAGAGCGACAGACTGCCAACTGGTAGTGAGCGCGACGCTGTGCTGAAGAAGATCGAGGAGGCGTCGCAGAAGCAGAAGAAGGAGAGGCTGGTGTTTGATGAGCCTGCGGACGGATGGCGAGCAGCGCTGACGGAGCTGATTGGAGCCAAAGCTTGTGAGCACGTTGAAGGCGTCGCGCAAGGCCGAGAGAATGAGTGCTTTCTTGCTTCCCCCGCGGAGTTTCGGGACCGCATTTACCTGCAAAACTGCATCCAGAACTGCTACCCGGGACTAGACTGCAAGGTGCAGAAGGCGCAGTCGAGCGAAGATCAAGCTGAGGAACAGCAGATGCAAGTGGCGATGGATCCCGTGTACAAAAAACTTCGAGATGGCGGCATGAAGATTGAGAATTGCGATCGTTTACTTGCTTTCCTTCGAAAAGGAGCGGACGATCCCGCAGCAGCAAAAGGTATGTACCCAACAGAAATTGCAAGAGGGCTCATGTGGCGATTCGTAACAGAGTTTTTTTTTGCTTGCAGGACTTGAGTTGGAGCATGAGAACACGAAAGAGGCTCGGACAGCGCTACATCGCGTGATCGCCAAGAGCTCGTCGTCTTTCAAGACGAAGACTGAGACTCGGAATGGCGTCCAGCGACTGGTTGTTCACTTCTTGCCAAAGAGCAATAAGAAGCGCAAACGCTCCCAACCGCAAGCTTATCTTCGGTTTGTACTCCAAAAGGTGGGTTACTTGTGGGTACCCTCTTGCAAGTTGCGCTAAGCGTGGTCATTTCGTTGTTTCTCGCAGACAAACCAAGAGCATTTTACTTGCTTTGACAAGTTGACCCAGTGGCTCCGTCGTCCGCTCTCAGCGTTTTCATACGCTGGTACGAAAGACAAAACCGCCATCACTTTCCAGCACGTTGTGGCGAGTGGAGTGACACCTGATCGCCTCCAAAGTGTGAACAAAACTGATGAAGGCGCGCCGACCGGCATCCGAGTGGGAGACCTTCAGTATGTTGAACATCCACTGGCATTAGGCGGGGCCAGGGGAAACAGGTTCTCCATAGTCATCCGGGATCTTTCAAGTGAACCGGAGTCCAGTTCCAAGACAATTCAATCGACTCTTGAGTCTGCGCTGGACAAGATCAAGCATCAGGGTTTCGCTAACTACTTTGGGTTTCAGCGCGTAGGAATGCCCACAAACACAGTGAGAGCCCACCACATCGGCGAGAAGATCATTGCATGCAAGTGGGAGGAAGCTCTTCGACTCATCTTGGCAGTACAGGACGGCGATTCCGAAGATGGTGCCAAAGCAAAGCAGCTGTACCTCGAGTCTCGCGACATTGACGCTGCTCTCAAGCTCATGCCACACGGAATGCCTGTCGAGCGGCATGTGCTTCAGGGATTGAAGCGCTTCGGAAGCGATGCGTTCGAGCAGGCGGTGCTGAGTGTGCCGTTCTCGCGTCGTGTGATGTACCTGCACGCGTACCAGAGTTACCTTTTCAATCGGATGGTCTCGCTGCGACTGAAGAAGTATGGCAGCAAGGTTGTCGAAGGTGACTTGATCAAGTGCGATATCCCAAGCGAGAAGTCTATCTCGGTGAAGGTTGTCACTGCAGAGGAAGCAGCCGAGCTGAACGGGACGCACGCAGACGCGCTGGGACTGGTGTATTTGCCGCTGCCTGGAACGACTGTGAAGTTCCCTTCTAACTCGATAAAGGAAGCGTGCCTCGAGGTTAGTGATACGCCCGTAGATATTCACGCCTCGAAGCTGACAGTGACCAAATGCGTTGTGTGGTGTGTTACATGTAGATCACGGAGGAACACGGCACGAAGAATGCCCTCTGCAAGTCTGGGCCGGTGAAGGGAGCTTACAGGCCGCTGGTAACACATCCTCGCGACTTGGAGTGGACGTGGCTAGAAGATGAAGACAAGGGTGCGTGCATTTACATTGACCTTCTGCTCAAATCAGGACTCTCACTGACCTGTACTCACTCGTACGCGCTGCTGCTCTCAGCGCTCTCGCTCCAGCTTTCGTTTTCTCTCGACAGTGGAAGCTTTGCTACCATGTGCCTGCGCGAGGTGCTTCACTCAGACCTCTAGATCAATCGAATGCACACCATTTCGCAGTCAAAAGCAGCATCAATTCATTATTCGGACCGGCCGTACCGGTCATTCCCCTGCCACTTCTACTTCACGCATGAATCCCGCCGCCTACATCGCCTGTCAGCGGCAGGTCAAGTCACGCAACACAATACAGGCTCTATTTCTTGGCCTCCATGTCCTCCAGCGCCTGACGCACGAGCTTGGCGCCCGTGACCATGAAGAGCGTCTGCCAGATGCCCAGTCCCAGGCGCGGCACGATGCCCTTGAACAGGCCTCCGTAGCCCTGCTCCTTGACCACCGTGCGGAAGACCTGCACCATGTTCTGCTTGGGCTCGCCGCGGTCCGCGGCGCTCTGCATCTGGATGCGCGCCACCTCGAAGGGGTGGTTCCAGCAGGCCAGGCCGCCGCCAACGATACCGGCGCCGGCCTCCTGGGCCACCGTGAGCTTGGCGTCCTTGTCGCCGTGGAACAGCACCTTGAACCGGCCGCGCACAATCTCCGTGAAGCCCTGGCGCGACGCCCAGTTGGTGGCCTGGCGGAAGGCGATGGCCGTGCCGCCCGGGTAGAAGCCCTTGAGGCCGTGCGCGCCGTACACGTTGTGGATGCGCTGCATGGTGGAGATGGAGCGGTCGCCCGTGACGGCGCCCGTGACCAGGAAGGTGCAGGGCCCCATGACTACGACCTGGCACACGCCGCCGCCGGCTCCGGCCAGGAAGCCCGTGGCACTCTGGCCCACGCCCGCCGACAGCAGCGAGTCGGAGATGGCCTCCTTGGAGAAGAGCAGGATGGCGCCCTTGGACGCCGACTCGACCATCTTGGGGCCCGTGCCGGCCCAGAAGGCGGACACGCCGCCGCCCTCGCGCATGACGTTGCGGAAGGCCTGCGTCGTCGACTCGGTGCGGTAGCGGCCCATGCGCGTCTTCCAGACCTCGAAGGGCATGCCCAGCGTCGCGGCCTCCAGGCACTGCAGCAGGCCGCCGTTGAACAGGTCGCGCGGACCCACCTTCTTGCCGGACGCGGGCGGGGGAGACATGGCTCTTGGGTGTGGACGTACGAAGGTGCTGTGCCGGCTTGGGGGCAAATCGAGGTGTGGAAAACTGAGTCTGGAGGCGATATCCATGCGGAGAGAGCCGAGCCAACTTGCGCTTGGTTCAACTAAGAGCGGACAGAGGCGCTGATATCCTAAGCTTTAAACTGAATAGTGAATAAAGCTTAGGAGATCAGGAATACAATACGGGGTCACGTCGATCTCGGCCACGTACTTGGCTTTGTGACGTCACGGTGTCGGCACTGCCGGCAGCTCGAGGACGTCAGCCTGCTTCGCCATGCTGTCCAGTTAATGCGAGGCTTTCGCCGCTTTTTCCGGGGCATTTGTCTCCGCTGCACGAGCGCATCAACAGTGTGGCAGTGTTTCCTTCTCGCCAGAGTTTTTGCGTTGTACATGTACGAGCGGCTGCAACTGTAGTTGTCGATGTCCACGCAACGTTGACTCATTGAGTATAGCGGTTGCGGGGCACTCTCGGACCCACAGTGAAACATGTGCAGGTGATCGAAGTGCATTTCCATTGTAAGATGAACCTGCGCTTCATATTCGCTGCTTGAGGAGGATCCGTGGGTGTGGACGAAGCATACAGCTACCGGTGGTAGTTCAGTACCAGGCACGAGGACAATGAGGACCCTCCGGTGAGACGTTCTTGGCGCGCTAATTTGTCCACATATGAGGGCTGCTGCCTACGGGCATTTGGTCGACCAGCTGACCCGGAGGTTGTTGCGCGCCATATCGACGTGCCCTCAGCTGTTGCGGCTTCAGCAGCCAAGCCCGATGCGCTGGAACGAGTCGCTCACTGCCTTGCACTGAACTGGAATCGGAAGGAAGCGTTTACAGTTAGTAAGCAGCGAAGCGTTTACTTCTAACGTTAGAACAACGCGCACGGTCGGCACGGGCGATTGAAAGGCATTGCACCTCTTCATGTTGAAGTGGCCATAGCTTTCTAGCTTTTGAGCTAGACCTGTAGGACCGCTCGCAACTTTGTAGAATCAGATATAGAGTCAGTATGGCATAGCGAAACCAAGCTTAATCCGGGGCCTCGGCGCACGACACTGCTGCGTGCAGAGGACAGGCGCCTCAAGCGAGTCAGTTACCTATATCGGCAGTGCATCGAGAGCTTCCAGCGGCGTCGGAACCGTCAGAGCGGAGCGTTTTCCCTCGCGGCTTCTCTTCCTGCCGCCCGAAGTCCCCGGCGCCACCAAGCCGACTACCGAACAGCCGACAGCCGCCGCCGTGCCGCCCGAGCAGAGTCAGAGGCGCGCGCGACTTCCCGGTGTGCCCTGCTGTTTCCTACGCATCATTTGGGATCGCCCCTTCTTTCCCGTCTTGTAGTGGCTGGAGAGGCAGGCAGGCGAGTTAGGTAGTTCGCGATAGACAGCGCGCCGACTGCTGGGATCGAATAAGGCGACGGACGACCCCCCGACCGACTGGCGCGCGTGTGAAGCCGAGGTAAATGGCAAGGTCGCACAGCACAGAGACCCCGTACCGCCGCTCCCAGTCCGTCACCAGCCACTCGCAGCAGCATCGAGGCACGCCCGTGCTGGAGGAGCAGAACTACATGAGCCCGTTTAGCCCGCCGTCCAACGGCCTCTACGTCATGGAGACGCCGCAAGAGCGCGACGGCGACGCGGCGCGCGACGGACGCCGCTCCATGCGCCAACTGCCGCCCGTGGACCAGAACGGCTCCTTCCGACAGCGCCACGGCATCACGCGCGGCGCGTCCAACGGCTTCGCCACCATGGACAACGGCAGCGCCATCAGCAGCTCCAGCGGGAACTACATTGACGCCATGAGCCTGAACAACAACAACAACATGAGCGCCACGGCGCAGCAGCCGCTCATCTCCACGCCGCGCGCCACGCAGAAGAACATCGTGCGCGTGATCGACAAGGACATGACGCAGCAGTTCCGCGGACGCTCCAAGTCGGTGGGTCAGGGACGCATTCGCTGGTTCGAGAACAGGAAGTCGCAGCTCCTTGGGTTCTGCCTTACGATGGCTTTCCTCGGCGTGTCGGTCGCCATGTACAGCTACCGATGGACGGGACTTATTGCTGGCTCGGTGAACAGCCTCATTTGCGGCTCCGCTGTTGTTATCACGTACTGCCGCAAGAAGCAGTGGCACCAGCACCCGAACCCGATCGTGCACAATCGCTCGGTACTGAGTATCTTCATGGCGGTGTGCTTGCTGTTGAACGTGCTGGTGGACTTCGACCCGAGTGGATCGAACACGGACTGTCAGCGACTTGCAGGTATCACGGAATTCTTCTTCTTCACAGGCGAGGCGTGGGGTCTCGTCATGGCTTGCGATCTGTTCTTCTCGGTATGTCAACTGTTATTATGCGTTGCTCTTAGCACTAGCCAGGCCTAACGTTCTTGCCTTTGACGCACAGCTCACGAGTCCGTTCACGAGCTACAAACGACTGATGAAATTCTACCACCTTTGGGTATGGCTGGGAGGCATTACTATGGGTGTGATCACGTACTCGGTCCAAGGTGCTGGCGGATTCTTCACTGTGGACGGCCAGTCCATGACCTACGAGACCGACACGGACACTGTCATCGGCTTTTGCTTGGCTTCATCGCGTATTTGCTGCGATTCTGGCGAAACCTGCCCTGACACGATTCAAAAGTGCTCCACTACCGCGAGCTTCTTGAACGCGCAGAAATGGTGAGTATTTCTCCGCTCAACGTACACAGGAAAACCACGACTAACGGATGTTGTGCGAACTTTTTTTTCAGGCCCTGGATTTTGATTTACAGCTTCGTGCTTCTGGTGCTGTTCGTGTCTGTGTGGTAAGTTCCCGAACCAAAATGGCTGTGCGTATGTGCTGCTCTCTAATAACATTTCGCTTCTTTCCGTGCTGTAGTGTGCTGACGTTGGCGTGGCACCGCCTCTACCTGCGTGGTGTCCCCAAGACATACAACATTCGCCTTCGTGTGCTGAACTACATTTCCTTGTAAGTGCATTGTTGCTGGTATCTTGCTCAACGATGGTATCTCACACCTGTAACGCTATCTGTGATGTATAGCTTCACGGGCGCGTATGTTTTCTACTGGTTGCTCCTGCTGCTTCTCTACATGTGCGCGTACTTCTTGTCGACCAAGAGTGACACGTTAAACTCGAAGGCCGTTGCGCAGGTTCTGCGTCAATTGGTCATCTTCCTCATTTCGTCGAAGGGATATCTCGACTATGTGATTTGGTTCGCTGTGAACAACATCAACAGAAAGAGTGGAAACGGACGCGATGAATCGGCAGATGTGGATGTCGACCTTAGCCCGCAGGCCAACACGGCCCTGCGATCAGAAATTCTGTACTACACCACCTCAGGCATTAAGGAGTCTGTTCGTGCTGTGACTGACGAGCTGATCACCATCCCGATTTCTGGCGAAGGCGATGCGGTACGTTGATCTTCTGTTCTTTTCGAGTTGAAACTTGGAGCCTGACTTGTGTATTCGTTTCTATCACCAACAGGGCAAGTCTATCAAGTTTTGGTCATTCTGCCCAACATCTTTCCGCAACATTCGATTGACCTTTGGAATCAGTGACGCCGACTACATTCAAATGTTTGGCGCTACGACCAAGGAACGATTCAGTGAAGGTCGTAGTGGTGCTTTCATGTTCTACACGTCTGATGAAAGTCTGATCGTGAAGACAATGTCCCCCGAAGAGTGTGCGTTCTTGCGCAAGATGGCACCTAATTATGAGGCCTACATGACCAGCAACCCCGACACACTCCTCACGCGGTTCTACGGTTGCCACTCCGTCTCGCTGTACGGAAAGATGTACTACTTCGTTGTGATGGGAAACCTGTTCGCGGACACGGACGTTGTGCATCACCGTTACGATATCAAGGGATCGTGGGTGGATCGTAATGCGAAGGTCCCGAGTGTCGGTGATAAGACCGCGTGCCGTTACTGCAACGCTTCGTACACGTTCGGCAGTACCAAAAACCAGGAGTGTGGTGACGGCATGAACTTCCACGAGCCCGACATTGTCCTCAAGGACAACGACTTGATGACCAAGGTGCGTCTTGTTGCACTTCATTTGCACAGCTCAGTGGTGGCTAACGTTGTTATTCTCTCTTGCAGATTCGCATTGACCCGGCAACAGCCCACCGCATCTACGACCAGATCCACAAGGACAGCGACTTTTTGTGCTCGCAGGGCATCATGGATTACAGTCTACTCATGGGTATTCAAAGCTCGGAGTACTTTGTCGACACAAGCCAGCTGCCGCAAGCCCGTCGCGACCTGCTCTTCACGCAACCTGCGACGAGCGTGGCTGGTCCGTCGCTCTACCATTTCGGTATTATTGACTTTCTGCAGCAGTGGTACGTCATGGCAAGCTTCCTTGGCTCCATGCCTGTGTTCGATTGATAACGTTGTATATGTCCAAACCTCCTTTGTAGGACAATGGAAAAGAAGATGGAGCGGTTCTACAAGACGTTCGTCAAGCGGAAAGACCCGGAAGGTGTCTCCGCTTTGCCGCCGAAGCCCTACAAGTTCCGTTTCCAGCAGAAGATGTCGCGCATCTTCGCGCTGTCGACGCACACGCGCGCTGAGAACGACACGGCTTTCAACCACAACTACCCGGCACTGATCGACGTGCTGGACCAGGGCAACTTCGACACCCAGCGCCACAACACCTTCATCAACAACTCGGTGATGGAGCAGAGACCGGTGTTCAACCCCGACCTGCAGCAGGACATCCGCGTGGTGTAGCTGGAATCCCGAGGCGTAGTGAGTAGGGGCCCTGAGCGTCGTGCTGCATGGGCCCCATTTTTGATAAGTAGGAAAGAAGAGAGAAAGAAATTTATAATTACGCGACTCCATGGTCATGGTCATGGTCATGGTCATGATCACGGTCATGGTCATGATCACGGTCATGCTCAAATTGACTTTTGCAGCTATCGACCGATACAAAATGCTGTTTCGAATTTTGGCCAATCAGGTGGCCCCACCTAGCGCGATAGCAGTTCCCCCTCACAACAGAAGTGCCGAGCCAAAAGCCTGCTCTCAACATGGTGAAGGTGCGTCTCGTTCGTCTCTCTCCGTGCACCTCTGCGACGGACTGGGAAGCATAGTTGGTGGTAGCTACTTAGAGGCCGATCGTATCCTGATTGCTGACCGTTTGGCTGCTTCGTGGACGCTCTGCAGGCGGCGTCTCCGAGCGTGAAGGCGATCTTTATCCTCGACAGCGATGGCAACCGCGTGTGCGCCAAGTACTACGACAAGTCGTACCCGACGCAGAAGGAGCAGCTCGATCTGGAGAAGAAGCTGTACGCCAAGACCAAGAATGCCACGTCTCGTGTGGAAGGTGAGAGCGCTGCTGGCGGTGGCATTGAAGACTGTGGAGACGGCATTCTGATCATGGTTATTGATTACTATTTGTTTATTGTGTAGCCGACATTATTCTGATTGAGAACATTGTGAGCGTCTTCCGCTGCGGGTCGGACACTACGATGCATGTGGTTGGCTCGGCTTCGGAGGTGAGGAGCAGCAGGCTGGATGGACCCAGAATGAGGAGTGGTGGGCTGATTGGAGTTCCTTATTGTTGTAGAACGAGCTGATCCTGCTCACTGTCTTGGACTCGGCCTACGACGCTGTCAGCAACTTGCTGAAGTACGTGGTATTGTTATTGAACGTGGAAGGTTTGGCGCTGAAACTCACGTGGATGACTTGTCTGTGACGCAGGGGACGGATGGACCGCCATGTCATGCTCGACAACATCGAGCTGGTGCTGCTCACGTTCGACGAGGTTGTCGATGGCGGGTACGCGGATGCAATATGCTGGTTTGCTGGATGGTGTTCATGGTGATGCTGAATGATTTTTTATTTCTCTTACTTTTGTTGCAGAATCATTCTGGAAGTCGACACGCCGTCCATCTCGAACCGTGTGCTTATGCGCGTAAGAATCTCCGTTTGCGAAGAATGCTGTGTTTGTTCTGATCGCCATTCTAACCTCTCGCTTCCTTTCTTCCTTTATTCAGGGTATCGACAACGAAGTGCCAATGGCAGAGCTCACCATTTCACAGGTGGGTTTGTGTGCAGCTTATTACTCCGTATTACCCCGTCCCTGTTTGCTTACTTCGCGTTTTCTTTTTATCTGCATAGGCGTTTGCTTCGGCTCGCGAGCAGTTCTCGCGCTCCTTCCGCAGCTAGACGGCATCCTGCGTGCCACATTAAATGTGTCTTTCTCTGCTTTCTATCCTGCTCTCCCAAACACGACTCCGTTGTGATTTTTTTATATCTTCCTGGCCTTCATGTACACATGTTGTCTGCATCCGTGGCCTGCAATGCACTTCACAGCGTCACAGCTAAACTGGACAGCATGATCGTGGTGCTCGGCATCTCTATTCGTCAGAATCAACGCCTTCTATTGGTCAAAACTAATTTTGCACTACGAGCAAGGTAGCTTGTCATTTCCCACCAGGAAAGCTGGCGACCAAGCTCTTTTGTCTGCGGCAATGGCGGCGAAGCCGGAGAAGAAGCACAAGCCGGAGCAAGAGCAGGAGCAGGCGCAGGCCAAGCCGTGGGGCCGCTTCAAGCTCGTGTCCAAAGAGCCGGCGGAGGAGAGCGACCACATCAACTTCCGTAACAAAGTGACCACGATCGGCCGCATTAAACGTCGGTGCGACCACGTGATCAGCAAACCTTTCATCAGCAGCATCGTAAGGCAATTCTACCCCAACGCGCTGTATTGGGCAATGATTGCTGCTTGTCTGCTAACGTTTGAGCTTTGGTGATCGCTGGTTGGCTTCGGTAGCATTGCGTTGTACAGTTGGAGGGCTTGGACACGAACGGAGACCCCGTGGTGAAGCTCCACGACAACAGGTCCGTCTAGTTGCGTGTCGTTATCGCTGCTAGTTTGGCAGAAGCTAATGAAATTGTGGTGTTTTGATGCAGTCGTAACGGTATTTATGTCAATGAGGAAGCGGTGGGCAAGGGAGCCTCGGCGCAGCTGGGCAACGGATATACGATTCACTTCACTAAGCCTGGCACGGCTTCGGCAGGTACGTGAGCACCTGTGCTTACCAAGCAACAACGTGGCTAATATAAACTGTGCTGCTGTGTTTCAGGAATCCCTCCGTTGGCTTACAAGTTCGAGTTTCTGAAGTACGTAAAGCAAAACCCTTTGAGGTATTCAAAGTTGCTTGTGTAAACTTACTTAATGTGCATTTGTTAGGTCTCACGAGTCGAATCCTGCCTCTCCACAGAGTGATGTGGCTGTCTCGTCGAAGAGCGAGGCAGCGGCCCCATCGAAGAGCGAGGTCGTTGAAGCATCGGAGGATGTCAACATGACGGTTGTCGCCGATGAGTCTTTTGAGGCAACGCAGCTGGCGGATCCTCCGTCTCCGTCGGAGAAGAAGCGCAAACGGGCGGACGAAGAGCCTGCAGTCATTACCGTTGCCACGCAAGAGCTTGAAAGCAAACTCAAGAAAGCCGAAAGCCGAATCGCAGCTTTGACTGTGGAGTTGGAGAAGAGAGTACAAGAGAAGGTGAACAAACTCCAGCAAGAGAATTTGAGCCTGATGTCGAAGCTGGAGGAAGCCACAGCTGAGAATCTCCAACTGAAGACGGATTTGTCCGCGAAAGACAGAGACATGGAAGTGAAGGTCAAAGAAGCGATAAAGAAGCGAGATGAGAGTGCTGCGGTAGAGATTCTGAAGCTGAAAGAAGAGCTGACTGCCAAGGATAAAACTATGGAGCTGAAGATTAAGGAAACCGTTAAAAAGAGCCAGGAGGCCGACCGCGAAGCCAGGACCCAAGAAATTGCTGCAAAACTCAAAGAAGCTACGAAGAAGTATCAGCAAAAGGTGGAGGCTGAACACTTTGAGCAGCGACGAGAGATGAGCGAGAAGATGGCGGCCTTTTCCAATGAAAACGAAAAGCTGCAGACAACACTTAGCACGAAGGAGGTAGAGCTGGCCGAATGCGAGGATAAACTCGCGAGTTTGCGCGAGAAGGTCACTGAACTGACAAGTACCTTGGCCGAAAAGGAGAAGGCGTTGGCGGAACGTGAGGAGAAGATCGGGGAACTCGAAGAAAAGATTAATGCGTCGAAGGATGAGAGCTCGGAGCTCATGGGACTCCTTGCAGCTGCAGAAGACAAGGTCGTGGCTGCTGAAAACAAGGCTGCAGAAGCTTCTATAGCCGCTGCCGAGGCCGCCAAGGCCAGCAAAAGTGGTGGTGATGCGAAGGAGCAACAAGAGCTGCAAGCAGCTATTGCATCTCTTCGAAGCGAGCTCGAAACGCATCGCGCCGAGCTTGCAAGCTCTAAAGAGGAGGTACGCAGGCGTGTTGGTGTCGCTAGCTCTGTTCACACCTAATGCTGTATTTGTATTGATGTGCAGCTGAAGCAACAACGAGAAGCTGCAAGTGCTGCTGCGTCTGCATCGACGGAGTCTCCTCCAACTGTTGCTGCCGAAAGGTAGGTCTGTCCCCGTTTCCCACGGATAATTGCTGCATGTAGTAACCTTCTGCTCGTGATGTCAACAAGCAGTATCGGCCAAGACGACGACGTCGAGACTCTGCGCGCTCGGTTGGCCGCTGTATTGAACCTCTTCGGACAAGTGCAGGCTCTCAGTGTCCAAGGTATCAGCCTGATCAGCGGAACTGACCGTCCAGAGCTGGCGGACCTCCACCTCTTGTCCGCTGCATCAGCGCGCACAAGCACGGCAGTGCCGGACTCGCCTAGCTCTTCTCCTAGCGAGGAAAACGCCGAAGATGACGCGAAGGACTCACCTGCGAAGAAGCCGACGACGGAGAAGAAGGCTGCGAAGAAAGCCGCCAAGGACGTCAGCATCAAAACCGAGAAGGCTGATCACACCGAGGACGATGCGGATGACGCTGCAGCGGAGCCCAAGTCGTCTCCGGCCAAGTTGAAGCGGGAGAAGAAGAAGTCCATCAAGCAAGCGGCGCCGCTGTCCGCAGCGATCGAAGCCGACGCCGCCTCGGCAATTGCAGCCATGGCATCGGCGGAAAGCAGCGGCAAGAGCTCCCCGAGCGAAGCGAGCACCGCGGTCGCCAATGGCGACGGTGACTGGGAAATGCTGGAGTGAAATACGTACTAAGGTTTTCGAAGTTATTCTACTATAACTGCGTAAGAAATGCTCGTGCAGTGCACCCACCGTGCCAAAGTCTACAGTAACATGTCCATGGGTTTGGTTCATCCATCCAGGCAATGCAAATCGACACTTTGGAAATGTGCCACGCACGATTTGAATCTCTTGGCCAATCAGAGACACCCATGCGCTTGTTTTTGCTACACACCATCCAACAAATTGCCCAATTTGCTGCTTGGGGACCGACCGCCGGTCATTACTCGACTCGCCCCCGACGCCTCAAGTACTCGCCATGCTGCGCACCGCCTTCCGTCTCCGCTCCGCCCTGCCGGCCCAGCGCCGCGTCGCCGCCTGCGTCTCGCGCGGCTTCGCCTCGTACCCGCCCCACGAGGTCATCGGCCTGCCGTGTACGTCACCGCACGGATATCTACGTATCTACTCTAGTGGAGCTCTTGGGATTGACGATTTGACAATTGTCTTGTATTATAAAAATTGATGCAGCGCTGTCACCGACCATGGAGACGGGCAACATGTCCAAGTGGGTCCTGAAGGAGGGCGACGCCATCAACGCCGGCGACATCGTGTGCGAGATCGAGACGGACAAGGCCGTCGTCGACTACGAGGCCACGGACGACATGTTCCTGGCCAAGATCCTCATCCCGGAGGGCGCCGAGAACATCCCCGTGGGCCAGCCCATGATGGTGGTGTGCGACGAGGAGGAGTCCATTGCCGCCTTCAAGGACTTCAAGCTGGAGGACGCTCCGGCGGCCCCCGCTGCCCCCGTGCTCTCGGAGGAGAAGCCCCCCAAGAAGGAGGAGGTTGCTGTTGACGTCAAGACCAACGAGCCCGTGGTGCCCCAGGACTTCCTGGTGACCTCGCAGACCACGAAGAAGACGGTGCCCGGCCCGGCCATCCCGGCCTCGCCCGTGGCTAAGGCTGCCCCTGCCCCCAAGGCCGCTGCGCCCGCCCCGGCTGCTGGCGCCGTGTTTGAGGAGAAGTGGGGTCTTGGCATCAAGAAGAGCGCCATCTCCACGAGCCTCATCAAGAAGCAGCAGGCGTACATTGCCCTGTACGGCATCACCGGCATGACGCCCGCGGCGCTGCCGGAGAAGAAGAAGTAAATCCGCTGCTAGTACTAGCGATAGGTTCGGCAAGCTCATGATCCCCCGTTGCGATGCAAAGGATAGCATTGCTAATTTGTTAATGAAAGCGCGGAGCTGAGCTACTGTAGCCTCGCTTGAGCTTGCTTGCAAAAGGCACTACTTAAGGATCACAAGCCTCTCGACTGAGCTACTATTGTGACTTACTGAGGAACAGTGATACTCATCGAGTGAACCTTCTCCAGGTGGTTGAGCACGCCGAACGCGTCCACCGTCAGGAAGTCAAAGAGCCCGGGGTGCTTCGCATCAAGGGCCTGCAATAAAATACAGTAGGTCAATTATTACGCTCGCGACTACTGCAAGAAGGGAGCAAGATACGCACCTGGTACTCGTTCAGATCGATGACTCCGTTGCGGTCCAGGTCGGCGTCCAGGAACGTGTTATCCACAATATGGACCAGCTGATCCTCCGACAACGAGATCTCCAGCTCTGTTTTACCCAACAAAGCACCCAAACAATGTCAGCAAAAGGACACCAACAAAACAGCCACCGGAAAGATACGCATCACGCACCGCTGCATTCCGCAAGACACGAGCGCAGGAGCTCCGTGGTCATTTTCTTGGTGATGAAGCCCGTGCCCTCCGGGTCCAGCAGATAGAAGGACAGCATGAGCTTCTGCTCGCGCGTGGCCTTCTGGCTCAGCAGCGACAAGCCCTTCATCAGGTCCTCGAACGTCACCTGCAAACACAAACAGTAGAGACAAGCTATAAGTATCCCTCCAACCCTGCGTTCCCCCTCCGTCCCAAGATCTTACGTGGCCCTTCTTGTCCATGTCGAAGATTGCGTAGAGGCGGTTGACGTAGAGGCTGGAGGTGTTGCCGTCGCCGCCCGCCAAGAAGCGGAAGAACTCGTCCTTAGGGATGACCACTGCGTCGTTCTCGTGCTGGCCCAGCACCGCCGCCAGGTGCTTGCGGATGGAAAGCATCTCGTGCTGCGAGAACACGGCGGACACGTCCACGTCCGCCAGCTTCGTCTCCAGCAGCGAGTGCGTCGGCGGCGCGGGAGGCGGCGCCGACACGGTGCGAGGCGCGGGGGCCGGAGTTGGAGCTGGGACAGGAGCAGGGGCAGGAGCCGGGGCCGACACGGGCGCGGGAGGAGCCGACAGAGTGGGCGCAGACACGGGCGCACTGCGCGGGGCGCTGGACGGCGGCGGCGACGGCGGCGAAGGCTTGGCCTGCTTGTTCCCCATGACTTGCTGCAACTAGAGAAGGTCTCGAAGTGAGCGCAGGATATTTTACCTGGTATTATATTGCTCTACAAATGTAGGAGTCAAAAGACAAAAACCCAAAACTGCTCTACAAGTGATAAGAGCACATGGCGCATAATCTGGAGAAAGTCGAAATGGTGGTGGTGCGGTCGAGTACGCGCGTGCAGGAGGAAGGCAAGGAGGCGGCGGTGGCCGTGCCCGGCGAAGTGGCCGAGGCCATCGCCATGGTTCAGAGCGACTCTCCGTTCGTGGCGGCCGAGGGCTTCTCCAAGCTCTCGCGCGCCACGTTCAACAACCGTGAGTTGGCGTACAGTATGAGAGTCAATTGAAAACCGACAACTAAATCGCTCTTCGTTCTTTGATGCAGCGGTCGGGAAGGAAGCGGCCGGTGAAGCGGGCGCCATTAAGGCCATCGTGGACGCCATGGAGCGCAACATCTCCAACGGAACCGTGCAGGAAGACGGCTGCCACGCGCTGCGCAATGTCGCATTCCACTGCTGTAAGCTGAAGTGAGGTCCTGGGAATGCATCGGAAGCTGGAGAGCTAACTGGCATGTTGTATCTCTGTGTTGCTGTTGCTTGTTTGCAGTGCCTAATCTAGTGCTGGTTCGGGAGCAAGGCGCGATCGCCGCTGTGCTCAAGGCGATGGAGACGCACCCGGAGAACGAAGCTCTGCAAGCCGAGGGCTGCTGGGCACTGCTGGTCTTCTGCTCCAACACGGGTGCGATGGCTGTTGTTGTTTTCTGGGTGAATGGAGCGACCACCTCAGCTCATTTGGTCTGATTGTTGTTGCATATTTGAGCAGACGAGAACGCCGCGGTGGCCAAACCCCATGCGTCGCTGGTGCAGAAGGCTGTCGCTGCGTACCCGTCCAACACCGACATCCAGAGCCGTGGACGCTTCCTGACGGTGCTCCTTGCCTGATCTGGTACTGTTCTCGCAGCACGGCCCAACCTCTAGGTGGAGACGCAGGAATGAAGGTGGATTCTGATATCGGCGTAGACGTAGAGCATATATTACTGTCTCTCTGCCTGTTTGCTGCAACAGCAGCAGAATCAATGGTAGGCCATGCATTATACTTATACTTGCTGCTTGAACGACCCGTAGCTCGCAGTGCCGTATCCCGTAGGCGTCTCGTAGAGGCCGTACTCCGGGTGCTTGTGGCGCTTGTGGATGTTCTCTAGCTCCACGATGCTAAGCACACTGGAGCCAAGTCCCAGCAGGCAGCCAGAGGCGAAGGGCACGACGCAGGCCTGGAACGAGAACAGCACCGAGAACGGGTCCATGAACTGCAGCGTCGACGACAGGAAGAAGCCGATCATCGCCATCATGTTCAAGCCTGCAACCAAGAAAAACACATCACAGTCAGCACAGGGTTCATATCAGCAAAAAAGGTTATGGATAGCGTGCAACGCACCAGTGACCCAGGTCTCGAGCGTTGTGAGGCGGCACGAGAACCACTGGTGGACGACCTCGACGTGCGCCAGGTAGGCGCTGAGCAGCAGCAGGAACGACCCGGCGAAGAAGGGCACCCAGTAGCCCACGATGAGGCTCAGCTCGTCGCGCTTGACGTCCACGACGCCAAAGTTGTCCGCGTCGGATCTCGCCCACACGTAGGCGCGCGCGAACACGTAGAGCATGGAGCCGAGCATGCCCAAGATGGCGGTCCAGAAGTCGATGCGGCTCGGGAAGAAGCCCACGTACTGGCGCTCCAGCACGGGCTGGGTGCCGTGGAAGTACTCCTCCAGCCAGATCTCGAGGTTGTGGCAGCAGTTGATGACTTCCAGGTACGTGATGGCGTGGTAGGCGAGGAAGAAGACGGCGGCGAGCAGCAGCGGCAGGTCCACGGACGAGTGCACCTGGTTGCCCGGCTCGCGGGCGGCCTTGTAGCCGCGCGCGCCGTGCGCCATGGCCTCGCCCGCGACGCCCGAGACGAAGAGCGTGAAGGCCACAATGGCGCAGAGGCTGGCCCAGAAGCTGAGCGAATAGACCTTCCAGGTGCGGCCGTGCCACGCGCGGTAGAGCGTGGTCATCATCTTGCGGTGCGCGCGCGAGGACCAGACGATGCGCTTCTGGTCCACGGTGTAGAAGTCCACGAGCGTGGGCGAGAAGGCGTCGACGCCGTAGTAGACCGAGTTGACGCTGTCGGGCGCGGGCACGATGAGCTCCTCGGAGGCCACGCGCGAGTAGGACGACGACACGGACGACGCCGTGGGGCTCGTGGCCGCGTAGCCGCCGTGCTGCAGCAGCGGCAGGTCCTTCTTGGCCACCATGGACGTGAGTGTAGCACGAAGAGAGCTGAGGCCTGAGAGGCGAATTCAAGACTAGGGCGAGGCTGCAGCTGGCGTACTGGCGGCTGGCTGTCGCTCGGTCTGTTTCGGGGCTGGGAAAATCTGGAAAAACTTTCCACTCGCGTTCCTGAATTAGAAGAGGAGGTCCTCGTATTTCTGGGCAAAGCTTGGCTGGCCGGGAAGTGGAGTTCGTTGAGCCGAGCGGAGCTGAGTCGCTTTGCGCTCCCTTCCTTCGAGGCGATGGACGTGCGCGCGAGCGGGAGAGATGCTAAGTGAGGGCCTCGGCGGCGCCAGCGGCAGCGGCTGGCCCCGAGACTATCGATCCGTGATAGATCTTGGGGCGTTGAAGCCGGCCCCATGCATAGACGGGTACGCCACTGGTTTTCAGTATGCCGCGTTTCGAATTTCGCGAGGGAAGCTCGCAAGTGATCCCCCCAGTGGGGGGCCCCACGCCAGGCAGACCTCGCGCTCGGAGCCCCGGGCTGGGTGCCAGCAAGCCCGCAGCGCCGGCAGTGCGGTGGCGCCGGCGCTGGCACGGCACCGGAGCTGATCCTCGGCGGAGCGGCGGCTGGCGAGGCTCGGGGTGCGCAGATAGGGGCGAAACAGCGCGCTCCGCTTCAAGCTGGGGCGGGCAAAGGAATTTTCTCGCGGATTCCGCTCGCTGCTGGCTGGGGCTCTGCTGCCTGCGGCTGTCGGGTCTACACTGCAAGCCCGGCTGCCTTTCACTTCCTGGCAGGCAAGACAAGGTGGCCTCCAGCAGCGACGCGTGCAGCTGGCGCGTGCTGCTTCATCTCGGAGCGGCCGGTCCTGGCCAGACGTTGCCGGGGTATTGCGTGCAGAGCAACCACATCCTGGCGTGGCGGCGTTACTGCGCTGGGTCTGGAGCGCCACAACCAGAACCCGCTCGGGCACCAGCGCTTCATCCTGGAGCCACGCCGGAGCGAGCCACGTAGCGGTGCAGCACCTACTTGTCTCGAGGGAGCTGCTGGGTCTCGCGTTGCAAGCCAAGGCCATGCAGGCGTCCAAGGGCAAGGCACGTCATGCAGCTGCGGCGCGGGTCACTTTCAGAAGGACGCCTGATTCCACCCAGACGCGCCGTGATTGGCTGCCCAAAGGTCGTTCGACAAAAAGTTCGAACGCGACCGTTCGCTGAACGATGCGCTACCAGCACATTTCGGGTTTCGTATCGGGCATAAAAGGGACGAAATATCACAATAGACTCCAGCGATCCAAAACTTTTTCGCGTCGAGCGTCCACCGATGGCGGCGAACCACCTGCTCGCGGCGCCGCCGGCCTTCGTGCTGCCCCTGTCCAGCGACGACGAAGGCGAGAGCGACGTCCTCGAGGTGGAAGGCGTCTACAGCTTCGGACAGGTGCGGCAGCCAGCCCCGCATTGCCGTTGGATTCCCATGCCAATTAACGTTTAATTGACGTCCAGAACACGTACGGAGAGCTGGCGCTGGGCGATACGACCGACCGCAGCGCGCCCATTCGGGTAGATCTGGGCAACAGCAACCACGGCAGACGTGTGGTGGATGTGGCCTGCGGGAACGAGCAGACTGCCATCCTATTCGGTGCGTCGGTAACCATGTACGTTGGTGGATTGGGCTGCATCTGATTGAAGCGTGCTCCATTGTGCAATTGGGTTAGAGGACGGAGACGTGTACACGTGCGGCTATAATGACAGGTAGAGTACTTCGATGTTTGCTGCTTTTGATGACCCATTTGGTTGCAATAAGGTAGTGCAACTGACCTCTGCTTTGGTTGTTTTCCGTGGTACTTGCAGTGGACAGTGTGCTATCGGCACAACGGAGCGAGTGCCGACACTGCGGTTTTCTCCGGGACTGAGCTCTAACCGCACAGTCCGGATTTTCTCGGGAAATGGCAGTGAGCACCTTGCAGCACTACATGGTAAGCGGTCTCTGTAGTGCTTAGAGGAATGTGTGTGGATATGCCTCTGACTTGTTGGGGTGGCTGTTGCTGTCCGCTAGCAAATGGCAACTTGTACACTGTTGGGTTCAACATGCGCGGACAATTGGGGCTAGGCTCGTCGACAACCGTGATGGAGGCGACACTGGTCGAAGAGCTGGCTGGCAAGCGCGTAGCTGACGTGGGCTGCAGCTACTTCCACACGGCAATTGTGATGGACAATGGCGACCTGTATGCCTGCGGCTGCAATGACTACGGCCAACTGGGCTTGGGTGACCACCGTAACGGTGAGCTCGTGCCTCGACCAGTAGAGTACTTCTTCCGACGCCCCGTCCTGGCAGTTGCCTGCGGCCAGCATTACACAATCGCTTCGCTCAGTACGTGATATCACCTTCTAGGTATGGGGCATACCAAATAATGGTGCAACGTGCTATTTGGTGCAGGGGACGGAGGTGTTGTTGCCTTTGGTAAGAATGATCATGGCCAGCTTGGGCTCGACAGTACGTCAGAGCCGGTATCACAGCCAACGCGGCTTGCCGCACCTCTAGATCGACTCGTGGTTCCGCAACTATCGTGCGGATACCACCACACCGCAGTTGTTACCGAAGACGGCGCTGTCTACACATTCGGTCGCAATGACTACGGCCAGCTTGGTCTCGGACACAAGATGCACATGGCACGCCCAGCGGTACATTAAAGTGTGACAGAATACCTAGTCTCCAGGTCGTGAAAATAATGTTTTGTGCTTGTTTGTTTGGAATGCTATTTAGCGGGTAGAAAGCTTGGCACGAATGCGAATCACTCAGGTGGCGTGTGGTTGCTACCACACTCTCGTACTCTCGGATGACGGGAAGGTGTTTCCATTTGGCCGTAACAACCATGGCCAGCTCGGGTTAGAGACGTCAGTTGACTGCTTGAGTCCACAACTCATATCAACTCTACGAAACAAAACCGTCACCAAGGTACGCGTCTCGAAAGAAAACACTGTAGCCTACATATTATTGATTAATGGCGTCGATTCTTGTGCATCTAGGTCGCTGCTGGGTTTTACCATTCCGTGTGTTTAGTTGGTCCGACTGAAGGCGAGACTCCACCAGCACAAGGATCAGGAACACTGAATGGAGACCTGCGCAAGATGCTAAACAACTCAACTCGGAGTGACGTGACTTTTGTGGTGGAGGGCCGTCCACTCTTCGCTCACAGCTGTATCTTGGTAGCTCGTTGTGAGCCGCTTGAAAAGATGCTGGATGGCCGAATGAAGGACGGCTCGTTATCGGAAATTATAATTCCGGAATACTCGGTGAGTGGGGTGTGATTGTTGTCGTGATAAACCGTGGAACTTACTTATCAATCCTGCTCTTTGATGTTGCGGTAGTATGATGTCTTCGCAGCTCTAATGGAATTTCTCTACACGGACCAAGTCGCTGCGCTTTCACTACCAGACGTGACTGCAGGTACGAGTTAGTTCGTTTCCTTGACCGCAAATTGCACGCTTATTCTTTTGTTGCTGAACAGACTTCGCGCTGGAGCTGCATGCGCTGGCTGATCAATACTTGGTCACAAGGCTTCGAAGGTACGAGTCGCTTCCTCAACACTTTGGAGTTCTCGCAGTTGATAGTGAATTTCTGTCGTTTGTGTATTATGGCAGCACGTGCGAGAGCGCATTGCTACAAATTTTATCTGTGGAAAACGTCGTCATCATCATGGAGGTTTGTACAGCTAGCTCGTCGATGCCATCTTGAGTTCCTTGCGCGATATCCTTATGTACTCCGATGCTCTGTGGTGTGCAGTCGGCCCATTTCCGCAGCGCGTACACGCTGAAGAAACGTTGTTTGAGCTTTGTATTGGACCACTTTGCCCGAGTGATCGCAACCCAGGTGCGACGGCCTTCTTCCTTTCAATATCTGTCTCCTACCTCATTGACTTATGTGGGTTTGCGTATCTGTAGGCTTTCGTCGGGCTTCCTCAGGAATTACTTCAAGAGGTGTTGCTCATGGCATCTCAACAGGGGGTATCCATCCCTAATCAAGCCAACACTGGTGGTGGAGCTTGCAGTGAGTACCTCCGTGAACGTTAGCGCCATGACGTTCATCAAAAGTGTCATTGCAAGCAACCGGGATTTAAGCGGGCGCAATACTACTACTATAAAACAACCAGCCCTAACTTTCTTATCACTAGCGGAGCATCACGGTCGCTGCGCTCATGTTGCTTTAGGGGTCGACCCCCAAAACTATGCTGACCACAGAGTTTTGGACGACGTCCCCACTTGAGGAATTTGAGTACAAAGCCGCTTGCAAAATCTAGCGCTTTATTTCCCCTTTCACGCTCCCCGATATGCTGGCTATTTTGCAAACAACATACCATTCATACGTTGTTATTTACGGTAGACTGATACACCTGACTTGTGGTTCGAATGCCAGTACACTTGTATTTTACTTATGTAATAGCAGAATGTGCACACTCGCACAACGAAAAGTGAATAAGGGGTTAACTTTCGATGTTTCAATTTCGTGGTGTGTTCATTTTCAGAGTGAAAATACGAGCGAATTATTCCAGTAACCTTTCGCGATCCATGTTGAAATTCTTCCTCCAGATGTCATCTGCACCCAGCCGCAATGGCCAATGTTGCTGCCGCGACTATGGCATGCACGGCTGTTCAAAACTGTTAGTCTGCACGCGTAGGTAGATAACCTCATGCACGTTGAGCGCAATAAGGAAACATATATAATGAACGATAACTAGCTCAAAATAATGTAGTTGAGCCTGATATCGTACCATCACACATGCATGTAGGGTATCAAAGCAGAGCTGCGACGCCCGAGATCGACCCAACAGAACTGTAATTGAGTGGGCTAATGTATTTGCTTAGTCGAACATCTTTTCATGAGCAACGCAATGAATGAATTAACGCAGACTGGAAAGGAGCAAATAATCGGCGCCTATAGCGTGCAGGAAGGACTTGGAGCTGTCTGATCTCTTCAAAGCGAAGTAGCAGGCGAGCTCGAACGGGCCAAAAGAGAGCCATTATTGCTACCAAGAAGCACCGACACGGACTCCGGCTCGTACACCCCAGCTCATCGTCCAGCTCGTCATCCGCGCATAGCCTTCAATGTAATTTAGAGAATTGCTGCTCGACAGTACCCGGTCATCAGCATGCAAAGCTGCTTGCTACTTGGCGTAGCGTTGGCGCTTCCTTGAGGCTCTGCTTGTTGATGCTTGGACTCTCTGTTGTGCGCTGGTCAAGCGATCCCGAAGGGCCGCAGACTTCTTGCCAACATGACAGCATAAGGTTTGAAAGGCAAATAGGCTTAATAAAGGGTCCTAATCGGGTCCAAATAAGGGTAAAATGTCACGTTTAAGTCTATTTCTGATGTCCTCCATACTAACGGTCGAATTTGCTGTTTCATAACTTCGACCCGCTGGTTTTATAGCATCTAAAGATAGTGACGTCGGTTCAGCTCAGAAAAATCCGTGCCGATACCACCTACCGATAAGCATATAAATGTTGTTTAACCGAGGTATTTTTTTCATTTTTTAATCCCCGTGTGAGCGATTCTAAATTGTGACCCTAACCCATTCGCAGAATTAATGTAAAAAATAAAGCGGAGTGTATATAAGAGACGTAAAAACTCCATAAAACGGAGTCTCATGATTAGGGGGGACTTCGCCCCCAAAAAGAGTGCAAACGCTGCTCTATTCTCTGTGATCAACTCATTTCTGTGAGCATACTAACCGGCGTTTCGAGGTACGCCTTCCACTGATTCGAGAAGCGAGCCATCGTCGCTCCGTCGATCACACGGTGGTCACCACTCCAGGACACATTCATTAGGCGCACGGGCTCGACGTTGCCCTCTGCGTCGTATCGTGGAAGCTTCTGGATCTGGCCAATGGCTCCGATAGCCACTTGAGGAACCATGAGGACGGGGCTCATGTACGTGCCGCCAATACTGCCGATGTTGGAGATCCTGCACAGCGCATATTGATACAGATTAGCAACAGACGACTAAATAAATAGCAAAGATGGAAATACGTACGAGAATGTTCCTCCGGTGAGGTCGGCGGGGGCGAGCTTTCCTGCAACTGCGAGCTGCTGAAGACGGTTAAGGTCCTCCGCAATCTCCATGATGCTCTTCGTCTGCACGTTCTTGACGTTCGGTACGATCAGGCCCGTGGGCGTGTCCATGGCGACCGAAATGTTGTGAGCCGCGACAAGTGTCAGCTCCGTCTCGGTATCGTTCACAGTGGCATTGAGCATGGGGTAGTGCTTGAGCGCCAGGGACGCAGCCTTGATGATGAAAGGCATAAACGATAGCTTCACACCGCGCGACTCCGCGAGCGGCTTCAACTCCTTCCGGAGATCGTACAGCGCATCCATTCGGATCTATCGTACAAACTTCAGTTAGCACCTTGAAATAACTCCAGAAAGATACTCGAAGCTCACCTCATCCGCGTAGCCAAAATGAGGGACCTGCAGTGCCGCATTCATCGACTTGGCCATCATCTTCTGGATAGCTGCATTCAGGACAATCACAAATTGTCAGCACGGGACACCCAATCCAACACGCCATAAGCAGCATAACAACTTACGCGTCAGCGGCACCACTGTGTCTTGCTGCAAGTACACCGCATTCGACCCGTCGACAGCAGGAGGAGGAGTAGTAGCCGCAGCCTTCTGGCCGCCAGACGTCGCAGGTTTCGACGGCTGGGCAGCCAGCACTCTGATGTACTCCAGCAGGTCTCCCTTGAGGATGCGACCTTGCGGGCCCGTGCCCTCCACATCGTGCAGGTCAATGTTGTGCTCCTTGGCCAGTCGCCGCACCGACGGTGACGTCAAAAACTTCTCGTCGCTGTCAAGTCTACGAGGTGCGATCGGAATCCTCGAGGCGACGGGCGTCGAGGCCTGCACGGGCGTGGGGGTTGGCGCCACAGGAGCCGGCGCCGGAACAGGAGTAGGAGTAGGAGCAGCAGCCACGGGCGTGGGGGCGGCGCGCGGGATGGGGGACGCCTTCTTCTTGCCGCCGCCCTGCACCGTGGCGGCCGTGGCCTCGTCCACGTCGATGTCGATGAGCGTGGAGCCGACCTTGGCCATGTCGCCCACCTCGTAGTGCACCTTGGTGACGACGCCGTCGTAGCGGCTGGTGATCTCCACCGTGGCCTTGTCGCTCTGCACCTCGCACACGTTCTGGAACTGCTTGACTTCGTCGCCGCTCTTGACGAACCACTGCAGCACCTCCACCTCGGCGATGCCCTCGCCGATGTCCGCGAGCTTGAACGGGATCTCGGGGAACGCAGTGACGGCGCCGGCGTGGAAGCCGCGGCGGGTGGCGGCCAGGCGCTGGCCCAGACGACGCGCGCGCAGCAGCGAGGAGCGCATGGTGACGATTCGATCGTGCGTTGGTTCGGTTGGGGCTCAAATTGGGGAATGGGACTGCAACCTGCAAGCGACGCCTTGGTTGTTGCAGTGCCTCGAATAGAGCGCCTCCGTGACGTCGCCGGTGATTAGGGCTGCTGTTCCAAACCAGAGGCAGAGGATCGGGAGGGGCGACGTGCTCAGTTAATCTCATCACTTGACACCACGTTGAAGCGGGCCCGTGTCATCTTCGAGCTGTACATGCACTACAACATCCTTCCAGTGCTGCGTGGGTCCACAGCCTTTAGCTTGGTGTCATTGAGCCGCTCATTTCCCCTTTCCCCCGCCAAGACCGAAGCTCCCCTCCCTCCTCTGTCCAGTGATACAAAAGTTCTGGTCATGACGCTCTCCGTTCAAGACGACGCGCTCTTCCTGGGCCTGGACTGCTCCACGCAGAGCATGTCGGCTGTGGTCGTGGACGCGCGCGGCCACGTGGCGTTCGAGAGCTCCTTCCGCTTCGACGAGCGCTTCCCGCAGTACGGCACGGACAACGGCGTGCTGCGTCCCAAGGAGAACGAGGTGGTGATCCCCTCGCTCATGTTCGTCGAGTCGCTGGACGCCATCCTGGAAGACCTGGCCAAGAGCCCGGTGGACGTGAGCAAGATCAAGAGCGTCAGTGGCAGCGCGCAGCAGCATGCCTCCGTCTACTGGAGCAAGGGCTTCTCGCTGGGTGCGTGCTTGGATGCCGCCGCCGAGTCTGGTGCCGCCTCGATGGTGGAGGCCATGGAGAAGCAGCAGCAGCCTGCATTCTGTCTACCGGACGGTCCCAGTTGGATGGACAGCTCCACGACGCAATACTGCTCTGAGCTGGAGGCCGCCGTGGGTGGAGCTGACCGCGTCGCTGAGATAAGTGGCTCTCGAGCGTACGAACGCTTCACGGGCAACCAGATCGCCAAGCGGATCCACGAGGACCCCGAGTTCCTGGAGAAATGCGGCCGCATCGCCCTGGTATCGTCGATGCTGACTTCGCTGCTGTGTGGTGACTACACCCCCATCGACGACAGTGATGGATCGGGCATGAACCTCCTCGACGTGCGCGAGAGGGTGTGGTCTCCTGAGCTGGTGAAGGCCACCGCCAAGTATAGCAGCTCTACGGACGCCCCCGAGAAGCTCAAGACGGCTCTGGGTTCGGAAGTTTCGCGCGCGTACTCCTCTGTTGGAGCTATCCACGCCTACTTCCAGAAGAAATATGGTTTTGCTGCTGACTGCAAGGTGATCCCGTTCTCCGGTGACAACCCGTGCACTCTCGCGGGCATTGGTCTCTCTCAGCCCGGTGATGTGGGTGTCTCGCTGGGGACGTCCAGCACACTCTTTGCGGTTGTGCCAACGGAGGCCGCGCGCTTCTCGGGACAAGAAGGCCACTTCTTCTGCAACCCGATCGACCCGGACACTGTCATGGCCATGATCTGCTTCAAGAACGGCTCGCTCACGCGCCAAGAAGTCCGCGACCGCCGCGCTGGTGCGTCGTGGGAGAAGTTCGAGGAGCTGATGCACGTCACCAAGGCGGGCAACGGAGGCACCACGGCGTTTTACTACCAAGACCCGGAAATCACGCCCTCGACTCTCAAGGCTGGAGTTGTCGGCTTCGATGCCAGCAGTGCTCGCACCGACATCTCGCTGGCCCCGCCTGAAGTGGAGGTGCGTGCGGTCGTGGAGAGCCAATTCCTGTCGCTGCGTCTGCACGCCGAACGACTTGGAGTGAACAAGCCGCAGCGTCTGATTGTGGTCGGCGGAGCCTCCGCGAACAAGTGCATGCTGCAAGTGCTCGCGAACGTCTTCAACGCCCCCGTGTACCGCCTCACCTGCGCGTCCAACTCGGCTGCGCTGGGTGGCGCCTTCCGGGCCCGTCACGGGTACGCCTGTGCCAGCAATGCCTCTGGTTACGTGCCGTTCGACGTGGCCGACAGTCTCGACTTCTCGCTGAGCGCCACGCCCATCGACCAGGACGCCAAGACGTACACGGCCGAGCTCCCGCGCTTCGAAAGCCTCGAGAACCAGGCCGTCAGCCTGCTCAGCTAGGCAGGCAACTGCTGTGTGTAGCTCCTGTCCAGGGAGCTCTTTATCTTTCTTCGCACTGCGATTCATGTGCAGCTCTAGCGTATCAACCAAACTAACCAAATGCAACTTTGCCGTCGTCAGATGATCGTCATCACCAAGGCAAACGGCAACGTGGTGGGTCATCCCTCCTCTGCCTCGAATAGTGCGCCGCGTGACGTCGCCTCAGAACTCCCAAACCCTGTCAAACCGCATTGAAGTTGGCGACAAAGCCAAGCGAAACCGGTACTGAACCGGTGCTAGAAATGCGCAATGTCTTGACTTCATTAAGCAAAATGCGATGCGCATTTTTTCACGTACATCATCAAAACATTTACCGTGATGCAGACGAAAAGCCGTGAGCAAAAACGGGGCGGACTTGGACACCTGGATTGGAGAGCTCTCCAAGCTCAAGGTCAAGCTCAAGGTGGCGCTTTGGCAGTCCCTGAATAGCCCCGCTCCGTGCAAGTGCAAGCGCTGCCTGAACTCGATGCCAATGTCCCTGCTGACCCCGTCCCGCCGTGCCCTGACGCGCCGCCTCCTGCGCTGCGCCCCGCTGGCCCGCGCGCTGCACGCCGCCCCGCCGCTCGCCCAGGCGCAAGAGGAGGAGGACGACGCGCTGCCCGTGCTCGAAACGGCGCAGATGAACATGTTCACGGCCATCAACGACGCCATGCGCGTGGCCATGGAGACGGACCCCTCCGCCGTGCTCTTCGGCGAGGACGTGGCCTTCGGCGGCGTGTTCCGCTGCTCCGTGGACCTGCGCGAGAAGTTCGGCAGCGACCGCGTCTTCAACTCGCCGCTGTGCGAGCAGGCCATCGCGGGCTTCGCCATCGGCTACGCGTCCACGGGGCGCACGGCCATCGCCGAGATCCAGTTCGCCGACTACATCTTCCCGGCCTTCGACCAGATCGTGAACGAGGCCGCCAAGTTCCGCTACCGCTCGGGCAACGAGTTCAACTGCGGCAAACTCACCTTCCGAGCCCCGTACGGAGCGGTGGGCCACGGAGGCCACTACCACTCGCAGTCGCCCGAAGCGTACTTCGCGCACACGCCCGGACTCAAGGTGGTGGTGCCACGCAACCCTGCGGCGGCCAAGGGCTTGCTGCTGGCGTCGATTCGGGACCCGAACCCGGTGCTCTTCCTGGAGCCCAAGGCGCTGTACCGCGCATCAGTCGGAGAGGTGCGTTGCATGTTTTTGGACAATGAGTGCATGGTGATAACTGCTAACAGTTGCTGGTGTGCTTGCTGTAGGTGCCGGTGGGAGATTATGTGCAGAACTTGAGTGAGGCCGAGATCGTGCGGCGAGGCACCGACGTCACTGTAGTTGGCTGGGGCGCGCAAATGCGGGTGCTTGAAGAGGCCTGCTCGTATGCTGAGGATGTGGGCATCAGCTGCGAGCTCATTGACTTGCAGACCATTTTCCCCTGGGACGCTGACACTATCGAGCACTCGGTGCGCAAGACCGGCCGGCTAGTCATCAGCCACGAAGCTCCGGTATGTTGCTGCAAAAGTAATTTTCTTGCTGGTTTGGCGTTGATGCTGACGACATTTTTTTTCTATTGCTTTCAGAAATCCGGTGGTTTCGCCGCCGAAATCTCGTCTAGTATGCAGGAGCGGTGCTTCCTGAGTTTGGAGGCTCCCATCCAGCGCGTGTGTGGCTATGACACACCGTTCCCGCTGGCGTATGAGTCGGTGAGTTCCCCCTCCATAGCTTTAGTTTATCGTTTCCAAGTATCTTTCGCTCACAATTTCTATCCTTTTGTTTTTTATCAGCACTATCTTCCGGATGCACTGCGCAACTTCGAGGCGATCAAGAAAGTGGTGAACTACTAGGCCGTCCATCCATCTCGGATCATACACTCAATACTTCCAACGTTCGTCATGTGTACCATCAAACTTGAATTTTAGTTCGCATACTGCTTCTGAACCTTTTGCGCCTCTGGCTGCAGTAGACTCTCATAGTACTGGCAAAATAGTTGCGTCTGCGTGAACTCGTCCAAATAATCCTCGTACATGCTGTTGCGCACCTCCTTGGCCACTTCTTCCTGCAACCGGTCATAGAAACTCTGTCCTCCTGGAGAAGATAACAAAAGTGATCAGCCAGATATTAAACACCTTCATGCGCTTGGCGCCTACCTGAAATCGAAGCCGCCAAGTCCTGCGAAGAAATGTCGAAGCCCATATCACGTAGGAAAATCTCCGCCTCCTGCATCGTCAGCGTAATGATCGTGTCTTGCTCGTCGGAGAGCTCGTACCATGGTTTCCCCGTGGGACGCAGAGCGCAAAATCGTTCCTTCGCTTTCCGAAGGAGGCGGCACAGTTCTACACCATTCGGGATGGAAGTGGGACCCAAATGCCTCGTCACAGCTGGCACCGCGATGCGATCTCTGTCGATGTCGTAAAAGCACACATCGGACCATTCCGAGGTTTCGTTGAGCGAGTGGCATCCAGCGAGGAACGGCACGGGGGAATGGAGGAAGTCCAGTAGCCCTGATGGCAATAACGGGATGTATGTCGATTGCCACTGGAACGGAGCGAGCAGAAGCAAAAGTGCCGTGCAGACCGCAGATACTTTGGCGGGGCTGTCACCCATGATCACAACCTGCTTCTCCAGCAGCAAGTAGGCCATAATTTCCACCACTTTGTCCGGCGTCAGGAATCGTAACACGACACCAATCGCCCATCGATCCGAATGGCGCTTCGGAAACTGGTAACTAAAGTCGTACGATGGAAATCGAGTGGTCGACCAATGCCCAGGATCGCTGATCTTGAATCGACGTGCTCGATGTAAAATCTACAATAGATAGTGACAAGCAAGTTACGGGTTAGTAGGTGATTGAGCGGCCTACGATGGTATGTAAGAAAAGGAACGCACGTCGATAGAAGAGGCTGATAAGCACCGCCGGTACTTCGATCGTTTGGTCGGAGATTTTGGTGCTGTCGAGGAGTGAGGTCTTCGAAAACGCAAACGCATTGGTCTATTTCCTTTTTCAAGCAGTGTCATCGTTTGCTCGAAGGTCATTGATGCTGCAAGAATCAAGAAGCAGCAAGTTAAAAAGGGGTTCCGAATCAAGGATACAAGCAACTCCGCACCTGTCGCGATACTGTCGACTGCTTCCAAAATGTCGCCAACGATAACCCGATCATATTCCTTTGGTCGAGTAGCGTCAATGCTCTTCACCATGGGTTTATCCATAATCCACGCGTTAGTCCCGTTGTAGTTGCCGATGTCGTCGGTGCTGAGACTTTTCCGAAGCTGGCTTGGGCGTCTTCTCGTCTCATTATTCGCCTGAGTGTCTTCTTTTTTGCTCAGGCTAATGTTCGTATCCTCGCTTAGTACCGCACGTTGCTCAGCTGAAGACACGTTCAGTTTTGAAGCAATTGAAGCCAGGTTGGGTTGATCGGTCGTCTCCACATCATTTGGTCGATCTCGTAAGCGCGGATTTTCTTCGTGATAAATCGTGAATTCCATTGCGAGATCCAGCAACGGCCTTAAGACAATTTCAAATTGCTCGTCTTCGCTGGCTTCAGCCCCTGGTTCGTTGGTTGACATTTTCTGCTGTTCTGTTTCGTTTTCAATGATCGCCCGTAGTACCTAAACCATCATTTACACCAGATTAGATATGCGCTTGACAGCAAAATAGAGAAATCATGCCCCAGAAGAGAATCTTACCGCAAAATGGAAGCGGTAGAACGGGAATTTGCTGGTGAAGCAGTAGCATACAGGTGCCATTTTGCTCGTCATGGCCGACCGATTCCCTTTGCTAGATGGTGACGAGGAGTTCCCACTAAGCCAGCTGGGAGTCCAGCTCGAACGAGGGCTCTTCGGTGCTGCGACGCTACTGGATGCGCTTTCTGTCGTTGTTACATCCTTCATCACTGCAACACAAAATCCATACAGCACTTCGCCCTTCGCACCGGTAAGACGAAAAGTATAGCCACTGGTTTCAGGGGCCTCCTTGATATGCTTCTGGAGGGGCTCGATCTCGGTGAACCACTTGGACACTGCTACGCCTCGGATAGACGCCGCTTGCTCGGGGGTACACATCATCAGAGGTACACCACGTGGAAAACAAAAGTCGGCGACGGATTCATCAGGAGGGTCATTAATTCGCTGTCATAGCAACAGAAACACAAAGTCAATGAGAAAGCATCAGAAAATATCACGGCCGATAGTACCCACGTACGTTCGGGTAGTCAAAGAGTAGTTTAGGTTTCCAGTAGCCAGCGAGCCCAGACGGTTGATGCTGTCGTTCCGTCTCGCTGAGAGCCATGCCCGTAACGAAAAACCGTTCGAAGATGTGCTCCTTCTTGAGGTGCATGGAAAACATGATTGAACGCGCCACATTCTGCAGCTTGTGCGGGTGGGCTCGCGCGTGCCAAATATCGCGCGATGACGGCTTAGCATACATGATGCGGTACATGAGGTGTTGCTGCTGTGAGTGGTCACCGTCGACTCCGTTCTTCCCGTCCATCATTCGCTGCGACGATCCACCAACCGCCTCCAGTGCAGAACCTGTAGTTGACGACCGGTTCACTCTTCCCGGGGCTCCTACAGCATTAAGATGATACATGAGCGACTGCCGGTCTCGCAGCTCCAGTGCAATCGACGGGTTGAACGGTTCGCTTCGGTCACTGGTTCGAGTCGGGCGGCGTATCGTCTCCGGCTTGGCATCTTCTCCTTCTGTCACAACTTCCGACTCATTTCTCGTCGCATCCACAAGTGGCGGCGGCGTGCCCGGAGCTTGGCCGCAACTGTCGTCACTGTCATCTTCACTGGAATCGTCATCAAAGTCGAAAGACGACAGCGTCGGACTCAACAGATTGGCCGTGTGGTCTGGACTACTGCTTACAATTGGCAAGGAGAGCTCAAACCAACGTCAAAACACTGACTTAACCCCCTCCTTATAGCATTGCAACCTCACCTGAAGAAGGACGAGGTTCTCTCCACCGTTGCAGCGCCGGTTGGGTCGCCGTCTCCGTTTGGGAGTCGCTCGGCGCGCACTACGAGGTCCAGAAGGTCCCTAGCCGTCTTCTGCCGACGCCGCTTCTCCACCAGGTACTTCTCCTTCCACTTCTGCGCCTCGTACTGCGCCAGCACCAGCTCGTTCTACCTCAAACAGCAGCAGCGAGTCAGCACAGAAACACACAAAATATAAGGAGGGGAAGAGCGGTCGTCTCTGAGCGGGCTAAGCGCCGTAGAGGCTGTTGCGTGGGGGTCACACAGCCCTGTAGAGTCTGCGGAAGTGGACGCACCTGCAGCTGCTCGAACTTCTCCTGCCACGCGTGGGCGGCGGCGCTCTCCGCGCTGAAGCCAGAGCTCATCGATGGGGACTCGTCGGCGGCTGTGCAAGACGATTTTATTTGGTGATTTGTATGGACTCAGATTTCCAATAAAATACAGTTGAAGAGCATACTTGCGCTCTTAGAGACGGGTGCACTTCAACTTCAACGTTGTTCCCTCTTTTTTTTTCATTGACCCGACACGGCAACAACAGCGCTACGGCAGCTCAGCTACCCGGTTCCAACAAATAAATCACGCGGACTGCTGGTGGCCGCCCTCCTTCCTACCAATACTTAATAATCAAAATCATCATCGGCTCGACGCCGCATGCACGCTACATAATGGCACAGCTGGACTGCTCGGCATCCTCCATTTCAGTATCCTGGTCAGCAGGAGCCGTCGCGCCACCAGCTTTCAGACTCTTTTCCATCTGCAAATTAGCAAAGACAACGAGGTAAGCACAATAATCAAAACGACATGAACCGAGAGAATACACTTGACGTACCAGGTCTTGGGTGAAAAGGAAGGAGCTGCCCACGGAGAACTTGTCGCCGTTGTCATACTGCATCAGGTACATGTCGTTGTCCAGCTGCTTGAGCACCACACCGCGGACAAACTGCGTGCAGCTTTCGCCCACGGTAATCTTCGAGTATAGGATCGATCCCACGGAAAACTCGTGGCGCTGTTTGCGCGGCTCAGGTACTTCAGGAAACGTAGAGGGCACTCTGGTCTCGTTGCTCGCGGTTGCCGCAGCATTAGCCCAGCTATTCGAGCCCGGCTGCGTCGCTGGCTCGCTGCTAGGCTCGCTTGGTGCCTTGGGGGAACTGGAGCTACTCTTGACCTCATTTGGCGCGACAATCGCCGAAATCGCCGTCCTGTACGGCGTGACCGCTTCAATGTGGCTGTTTGTGAATGCTGGCACCGTAAATGCCGGGATGACCTGCTCGTCCATGTTATTTGTCACCGTAACAAACACCGGAGATGAGGACTGTTGGAGGGGCTCGACCGCCACGACGCCCCCTGCCGCTAGCTCAATAGTTGTGACAAACTTCTTCATAACATCCCGCATCGACCCGCTCAGCTCCAACCATAACGCCTTGAACTCGCGAATCAGTACAAGGCGCACCGACTCAGGTAGCACCGACTGCTTGTCCTCCCATAACTGCTGCTGACCCTCTGCAATCTCCATGATCACTTGCGTGGAGCTCTGCGTCACGCCAATGAATTCGCGAATACGACGCTCAATGTCGCCCTTCTTGATTGGTGCAGAGTCGCCAAAATACTCGTTGTGGGCTGCGAGCGCCTTCTCCTGTTCTTGCAATTCCTCCTTGGCCTTGGACTGTTGGATCGAGTGGAATTCGTAGTAGCGGCAAAGCGCACGCGCCAGCATCGGGATAAACGTTTCCAACGCCGCTGTCGCGCGGGCCATCGAAGCCGTGCGCGCTTCCTGATACGACTTGCAGGAGTTCTTCAGTGCTTCTTCACGTCGCTCACGAACCTTTCGGAACAGAATGCTCAAGTTCTTGTGAAAAGCCAACGCATGATTGGCAACCTGCAACGCCTGCGCCGACTTCTTCACGCGCTGTTCACTCTCACTACGAGATGTCCAGAGTGCCTGCACCTCGACGTCGTCTCGCTTCCAGACTTCAACCACAGACTGGAGGCTCGCCGAAGCTTCTGTCTCCCCTTCAGCGATGAGTTCTTCATGGCGCTTCTTTACAAACACTAGAATTTGCTTCGATCGAGTTTCCTTCGTCTGCTTGGCTTCTACCAACGTCCCCTCCGCTTCCTTCACGTCACGAATGCTCTTGTCCGACAACGCAGCAAGCTTCTGGTGTAGCGTCTCAAGTGCGCCCTCCACTTCCGTGCTGTCTTTGCTGTTCCTCTCATTTGTCTGGTTGAACCAGTTCAGCCGATCCATGTACGCCTTGCAGGCCGATGACAGACACTCGATGGCACTCTTCGCAGCATTGGCGCGTGCATAAGCACTCAGCTCAGCCATCTGGGTTTCTGTTTGCACCAAAGCTGCAACCTCTTCGTCTTTCTTCGACAACACCTCATCTTTCGGCGAGCACGCCACCGAGTCAGTCGCATTGGCTACATTTGGAGGCAAGCTGGCCGCAACCTCAACGGTCAGCACTGCACCCCTCGTCCGAATATCCTGCGCGTCCTGCGTGCCAACATCCTTCACCCAGGTGGCCAAAGCGTCCACTGTCAAGTTGAGATGCATGACCAGCTCCAGCGTATCAGAGACCTGCAGAGTTGTCCACACGTCATTCGCCCAGTCCGGGTTGCGCAGCGGCTGGAGACCAGCCACACGATCTTCCACGGTCTGCAGCAGCAACTGCTGCGCTCTGGCACAGTCCGCACCAGTGGGGGCCATCTCCGAGTCCTGCTGGGTGTCCAGCGTCGCGTCCTTATCGTGTGTGTGCGTCTCCTCTTCTCCCTCGCTCTTCTCCTCTGCGTCCATGAGCGCAAAGCTGTTGTGCTCCTTGCGCCTCTTGCTGGGCGTCACATTCGCGTCCACCGACGACGCGCTCATGCGCCGCTTCTCGCGCTCGCGCTCCGGGGTCCCCATGCTGCTGGTTGTGGCTGGCGGCGCCGACGCTGGGATCGAAATGGCGCGTTGGTGGCGGCGGCTCACCTTGAGGTATTGGTAGGCGTCTTCCGTGCGGTTGTCGCAGGCGTGCAGCGCTCCCACCAGCTCCTGACTCGTCAGCGGCGGCTCGAATTCGTACATGGCGAGCACGCGCAGCTGCTCCAGCTCGCGCAGACTCGGCGCGTCTTGGCGAGGCTTCTCCCAGTACGAGTCGTACGTGGTGCCTGTTCCCATGATTCTCGCACCCCAAGAAAAGAGCGAATGGGGTCCAGTGGGAATATTTGCATTTGAAAAGCTCACAAAGTGTGAGAGGAAGAGAGAAAAATGACGGTAGTGATTACAAAAATGACGCAAAGTGACCTATCGTTAGTATGCGGCTTCCTCCTCCCCCGCGTCGTCTTCTTTCTCGAGCTGATGGGAAATGACTGCTGCCACGCCCCACTTGTCGTCGAGCGGATCTTTCTCGAGCTGTAGGATGGTGTACTGACCCAACCGTAATGAACCTGATACCATCGAGTCAATTAACTTCAGTCACTTAAGTCTCCGCTCGCTCATACCCAGCCAGTTGCACCATAGACGCACCTGGATAGATCAACGGAAGCTGCGCGTGCGGGTGCTGGTCGCTGCCACCGATAATTTCAATCGCCCGAGGCTCCTCTGGCTTGTTGGACTGCAGCATCGGCAGCAAACCGGCGAAGAAGGAGCTCTCCACCACGGGCAGTCGGGTCTTGACCGCCGAGTCGCGCAGCACCAGCACCATGTCACGATCCTGCATGGGGTTTTTGCCGTCGTTCACCAATCTGTCAGCAAGCAACAGCAGCAGCAGCGGAACTGGTTTTAGTCAACTCTTCATCCATCACGCCAAGTACATGAGTCAGCGTTACTTGAAATATCGCGCTTCGCCCATGACAGCCACGCCTTCAACGAGCTGGTCCTCTCGGCAGTACACATTGGACGAGTACTGGGTCAGCGACGGCGCCGACGCGACGATGCTGCGCGTCGTGGGCGGGTCGTTCTGCTCCACCGTAAGCAACACACACAAGCACAGCCACCCATCAGCTCCTGGGATTGATCCACGCAACCAGACAGCGCGCGCACGTCGTCCGGGATGTATAGCACGCGGCAGATGATCATCTCGAGACGCGAGATGAGCGCCATCATGTCTCCTTCGGCGGCCGCCACGGCCTCGAGCGCCTCGTAGTCGTGCTGCCCGCGCTTGGCCACCAGGCCGCCGGTCACGAGCACGGCATCCACGTCGCAGTCCTCGGAGCTCACGATCTCCTCGCAGAGCTGGTTCACGCGCGCGGTCTGTCCCTCGAGGTCGCTCAGCAGCAGCAGCTTGAGCTTGGTGGGCATGGTCATCGTCCAGAGCAATTGGGATCAGCTCGGCGAATTTGATGGTGTGTACCATCATAATGGTACACACCATAGAGATAGCTTGGCCAACGTCGAGTCGAAGTGAGCCTGAGTATTAATACTCAGGCTCAGCCTTGGCGCTGCCAGCCACGGGCGCGTGCGCCGAACGGAAGCCGGATTAACCCGCGCTAGTTCTTGATGAGCTGCACATGTTACTGCGCCGCCTATCGACCAACAGAAACCAGCGCCAAGTTCTCGCCAACTGTTGGGCCAACGCAGCGCACCGGAGCGTTTCACGGGCGAAACCAATCGGTGACCGCCACTATCAGCTATCAACTTAGTCAAAACGGCTGCTCCATCGCATTGCCGACGCCCGTGACCAAAAGAAACCAACTCCAACACCAACACCTTTCAGCATAGCAACAGCTTCAACGTGCTGTTGTAACGTTTTGCTGTGTGAAGCGACGGCGGTACAACGATTCACTTGGTTTTCGTATGGTGCGAATCATGAAAACTCGTCCCAGTTCGTTCTTTTTCACATAAATCGTGTCACAAATTTCATAAAAACGTTCTATTTTCCCCTTTTGCGTGTCGTTCGACCGTTAGTTTCGGCTTCGCCATGCGATGGGGAGAGCAGAACCGGGAAGGGGCACAGCGTCCCCCACGCTCCATTCCTCCATTTCACGCGTCCGCGCGCGAGCTCCTTCGCTTCCGGTTCCTGCACCACTGGCCATGAACGCCGCGCAGTACCTGCTGGACCGCATGCGCACGTGCAAGGCGCTGCACGAGATCGGCGACAAGAAGGCGCGCGGCTGCTTCCAGTCCGTGGGCAGCGCCACGCACTCGTTCCACGGCGACGACGCAGTCGGCTTCGGCCCGGGCTACATGGTGGTGGCGGACGGCGTGTCCGGCACCATGAAGGCGTCCGGCGTGCTGGCCAGGATGCTGGTGGCCGAGACGCTCACGCACCTGGCCAAGCTGCGCAAGCGCTCGAGGGAGGAGCCGCCCTGCGCCGAGGACTTCAGCCAGAGCATGCAGGCGGCCATCAAGAGCGCGCGCAAGATGGCCAAGCGCAAGGGGAGACTCGACTCGACGATCTCGGCTGTTTATTTCGACGAGGTCTCGCGCCAGATGTTCGTCTACACGATCGGCGACTGCAAGTGCGTCGTGTTCCGCGGCGACGCGCTCGTGTTCGAGAGCGACTCCATCATCTACGACTTTAACGTGCCGGCCGTGGTGTCCAGCAACCAGTCTATCAACTACGCGGCGGAGGTGCAGATCCAGGTATTTGAGTATGAAGAGGGTGACGTGTGTCTGCTCTTCTCGGACGGCGTGCACGACAATATATACGTTGACGACATTGTGTCGTGCGTCGCGTCGGCTTCGACGTCGCCGTCGTCTCGATCGAAGGGCGGCGCGGCGGAGGAGATCGCCCGCAGGACAGTGCAGCGCGCCAAGGACACCTTCGCGTGCAGCTCGCAGTACATCCCATTCGCCGTTTCAGCCGCGGGCTTCTGCCGCGAGGCGTTGGCCGAGCTCGAGAACAGCAAAACCGTCGACGCGGAGGAGTTCGAGCGGTTCCGACAGAAGTGCGAAGCCATCCCATCTCTAGAAATCCAGCGCGCCGCCTTCACCAAAGAGCGGCGCGTGCGCCAGCTAGCGTTCTACAGCGCGTCCAACCTGCTCGCCTTCGCACACAAGAAGCAGGGCAAGCGTGACGACATCTCCGTGTGTGCAGCAGTTCTCGCGTGACTATGCTCCATTGGCAGGCATCATTCTCCTTTTACCACGCAGTATGGTACGAAATCCCCCAACAACGACACTCCGTGTGGGGACTACCTTCGCCGCATACAGACAGAAACCAAACCATAGTATATGACTATTAAACTAGTAACACAGATATATTAGCCACAGTACAATTGGTCTCAGGTGCTTCATCGGTGCTTGTAGCTATGCGATCATTCTAAGGAGTCATCGGTGAAGTAAGCCAGCCACTTGGTAGACGAAAAGTGAGTCAATGCCTTTGACTCTTAAGGTGGTGACAAGCACGTACAAAGTGCGAACTTATCAGTCATAGTGCGAACTTACTGCTGTCCAGTGATGGAAGCTGGCAGTGCGTCATTCAGCAAGTTTTCGAGACCATGGGCAAGCGATCGCGCAACGGACGAGGCGGAGGCCGCGGTGGCGGCCGCGGCAGCAAGAAGCCGCGCGCCGATGGCAAGGCGGAGGACTGGCGCGCCGACAAGTTCGCAGACTGGGTGTACGAGAACGAGAACTTCGACGCGTACTACAAGGCGCAGAACATCATGGCGGACGCGGACTGGGCCGCGTTCAAGAAGGCACTGGCCACGCCGCTGCCCACGACCTTCCGCATCAACAGCTCGTGCCCGTTCGCTGACCGGTGAGTTCATCAGTGTATATTGCAGTGGAATTTCGAGTGTGGGGGCTCGTTTTGAGTGATTTTGGTGCTTTGGTGCAGTATCCGCGAGCACATTGAGCAGGACTTCAAGTTCGACGGCCTGGTGGTGGACGATGAGCCCGTGGAGCCCATCAGCCCCATGCCCTGGTACCCGGACAACCGCGGCTTCACGTGGTCGGTGGAGCGTCGTCGTGTGCGCAAGCTGCCGATCCTCAAGGAGTTCCAGTCGTGGCTCGTGGAGCTCTCCAACAGCGGCAGCATCACGCGTCAGGAGGCTGTGAGCATGATCCCGCCTCTTGTGCTGGGCGTGGAGTCGCACCACAAGGTGCTGGACATGTGCGCTGCCCCCGGCTCCAAAACGTCGCAGTTGCTCGAGTCGCTGCACTCGAAGGAGTTCGAGACGGGCAAGACCCCCACTGGTGTGGTGGTGGCGAACGATGTGGACCTCAAGCGCGCCTACATGCTGGTGCACCAGTCCAAGCGCATCAGCTCGCCGGCCCTGCTTGTCACCTGCCACGAGGCTCAGAACATCCCGTTCCTTGGCGAGGACGGCACGGAGCGTGACGGTGTTTTTGACCGTATCCTGTGTGACGCGCCGTGCAGTGGTGATGGCACTCTGCGTAAGAACCCGCTCATCTGGAAGAACTGGAGCGCCAAGAACGGTATCGCGCTGCACCCGCTTCAGCTGCAGATTGCCAAGCGTGGCGCCGCCTTGCTCAAGGTTGGTGGCAACATGTGCTACTCGACGTGCACGTTCAACCCGCTGGAGAACGAGGCGGTGGTGGCCGATCTTCTGCGTTGGGGTAAGGGCTCGCTGGAGTTGGTGGACGTGTCGAACACGCTGCCGCTGTTGAAGCGCCGTCCTGGTATCAACACCTGGAAGGTGATGGATTCGAAGCTCACGGAGTTTGCGTCGTACGAGGACTACGTTGCCCAGGACGAAAAGGAGAAGACCAAAGACAAGATCCGTGCTACTATGTTCCCGCCTACGGCTGAGGAAGCGGAGAATCTGCACCTGGAGCGTTGCATGCGCTGCCTGCCTCAGGACGAGAACACGGGCGGATTTTTCATCTGTCTGCTGAAGAAGGTGGCGCCGACCCCGGATGAGAAGGAAGAGGCTACTGAAGTTAAGGCTGATGATGTGCCGATGAAGTCCGAAGAGACCGCGGAACAGAAGGAGGAAACGGCACCGTCGAGCGATGCTGCGGATGTTGACACCAAGGTTGACGCGGAGGCTCAGAAGTCTGCGTCTGACGAGGCCAGTGCTGAGGAGGCTAAGCCGCGTAAGAACCGTCGCGACGACCGCCGTAACAAGAAGGGCGAGGTGTACGTGGCGTTTGGAGCCGACAACTGGACCAACGTTCGCGAGTACTACGACATTGCCCCTGAGTTCTCGGCATCGCAGCTGATCACGCGTTCGGAGGACGCAAAGTCCGTCACGTTTGTGACCGAGAGCATTACGATGGCGTTGCTCGAGGAAATGAAGCGCAAGAAGCTCAAGGTTGTGTACGCCGGACTCAAGATGTTTGAGCGCAACGAGACTACCGAGGGCGGCAAGGTGTACCGTGTGTGCCAGGCCGGTCTGCCGCACATTCTGCCGTTCATGAACAAGCGCAAGGCGAAGGTGTCGACGAAGGACTTCCAGATGATGCTGGAGCGACTTGGTGATCTGCTGGACTTCGACGAGTTCGAGCCGGCCACTCGCCAGTATTTCCAGGACGCTCCGATTGGTAGCGTCGTGTGCATGCTTGACCGTCCGGGCCAGACCAACGTCGAGTACGTTGCCCTACTTGCATTGGCCAGTGTCTGGTTGCTTGAAGCAAATGTCTGCTAAACTAACTATTTTGTGTTTGCTGGTTCTACAGGTCGAAGGTGATGAACCTGGTGGTGTGGCGTGGCCGTAACTCGGTTAATGTGATGGCAGCCAAGGCGGACGTGGCCGTGCTTTTGGGAACGATGAAGGAGATGAAGATCTACGATCCGGCAGTGCAGGAAGCAGTGTTGGAAGCCAAGAAGGTTAAGGACGCGGAGCGTGCCACTCGGGACGAGCAGCAGCAAGAAGGCGACAAGCCGGAGGAGAGCGACAAGAAGGCGGAGGAGGCCGACGCTACCCCCGCCGTTTAGAGTCATGTGCTAGCAAGGAATCCTTTTCTCTTTGATAGACAACTGCTGCTCTAACAGTTTGGCAGTGTACGTGTCCGATTTGCACAGAAGCGTTTCAGAAAAGTATCTGCTAATCTTGGGGGCCTTGTCAAGGTGAGCAGGAATAGCAAGCAAGCACGATCGTGCCTTGCCCTCCTCCTCGTTCTTCTCTGGTAGTTTATTTCTGCTCGCGGCTCGGCAAGATCGCCATCTTGGGTTGAGTATTTATTTGTCGCCAAAAACGCTGGGCTTGGAGCAGTTTGACCCCGTAGGCGTACGATGGACCGCAATTCGTCGGCTGAGATGCTTCGGTTGCCAGATCACCTTGATACGCCGACGTTCACATGGTACGGAGCTTGTGTCTGTAATACGGTACGGATAGCATCTCTAACTCCGAGTTTGTTTTGTTTGTCTGTGCAGTGAGGTGTGCAAAATCTCAGTGCGCTCCGCACAAAAGTTGATGGACCACGTGAACTTTTCGCCACTGCACCAAGCCTCACTGGGTCTGGGTAAAAGCTCAAACTCCGGTGACACCAAATCGCGTCCCATGCGTCGTCTGCTGTACGACGGATCCAAGTTGTTCTGGCGCGTCAATGAGACCCTTGATCTCTGCATCTACGAAGACATGACAGCGAACTGCGTCACCATCCGAGCTTTCCCGCAGAAGACACCTCAGTCCTCCGAATGTGATGCGAAGAAAAGCTCGGTCGGCTCCATTCCGGCATTGGATGTGGACTCGCGTCGCCTGCGTCAGACTCTCGGGATTGAAGCAGCACCAAAGGCTCCTGGTCTTTTCGGAAGAATGGCTTACCCTCCTCCGACAACGATGTCAAGCATCACACTTGCTAACAAGTCGAAGGCTGGCACCACGTCGTCGACCCCGGAACATTCGGGCGAGATCATCACCAAGTATTTGCTGGCTCGGTTGCAGGCACGTCGCGACTCGCACGACCGTGTGCACCTCGTCCTGCAAATGATAAACGATGACGACGTGGATCCAGCCGACTTGTTGCTGGCCACCACCGAAAGCTCGCAAGCTCTGCCTACCGACCTCGCAATCCGTCGTCGCCACACTATTGATGACGTGAAGGACGCGCAAAAAGAGGTTTCCGTGGCAGCCACTCGACTCAAGAACGCCCGCATGAAAGCCGAGGAGCTGTCGAATCTAGCGCGGATGACGTTAGATGCTTTCTCACGGGACCACAGCTCAAACGACCCTGTGGCTTCGAGAATGGTCACTCGCGAGCAAGCCAATGTCGCGACACTGGCGTCTTCCGCGTCCAACACGATTCTGGGCTTGGGTGGGGGTCGACGCTTCAGTGTTATGAGCAACAAACCCGCAGCTACCTGGATGCGCGCTTACGATCGTGTGGTGCTTCAAAACGCCGTGGAGCGCAGTAAAGAAGTGATTGAGCACCTTCCTCACTACGACGAGAAAATGGGGCCGATTGACGAGTCGAAGTAGAACCTATCTTGCAGGGATAATCCTTTTCTTAATTCACATCATGCCATGATTGAAACTACAGCTTCATCTGTTGTTCATGCCTTCTACATGTACATCAGGTACTTACACGTTAGGAAAGATATTCATGACAGCTTCACTTTGACTCAATTGATAAACAAGCTTTGGTATTTATTTTCCTTGCGTTGTCGAGTACATGTATACTACTTAAGTATTTGTAGCTATGACGGAAGATTCTTCCGCGGGTCATCCCAGGTTGTAACACGGTTGATGTGGTCGATGAAGAATACTCGGCCCTTGGCGTCAGTCTTCTCCTCCCACCCGACAGGAAGTGGATCGATACTTGTCGAGTTTCCAGCTGAGTTCCTCGGTGACATGTCCGTCGTAGCGTCTTCCTTCTGCTGGGCGATGTACCGCAGTAGCGCTTCACAATAGAGATCACGCGCTTCTTGGTTGGAGAAGTCCAACCTTCCTGTGGACTTCCAAGGCATCGAATCGTGCTCAGTTCGTGGCGTCTCGGATGGTAGTCTCTTGCTCATGGTCAAGACGTTAGGAGGCTTGGGACTGGAACCATGACAGTACAGCATTAGTGCTGCTCTTGATCATTCATTTCGCAGTATCGAAGACGAGTACTTACTCTCGAATGCGGATGGTTGTGCCCGGTGAGATCTTCTGTGTCTTAGGGTGCATGGCTGGAAAGTTTGTTGTCGCGGTGGTTGCATGCAGTCGGTCATTTTCCTGGTGGGGATCGCCATGGGAAAACATTAGAAATGAGGGGGATCACTGCGAGCTATTGCCGACACGTACTCGGTTGTGGTAGTCTGTGATCCGTCGATTCATGTGAGCGATTCGAACTTCATGAGCAGCTCTCTCTTCGCGCATCCGCCTAGCAAACGTGCTCAATGCTTCGCTACGTGTCTTCCTACAAAAGCCACACCCGTTAGTCTCGTTCTTTTCGCCTCTTTATTTGAAGACGGTGCTTACGTTGGGCTGCCATCCTGGAGCTCGTCGACTATAGTTTAGATAGATTTCACGGAATCACGAGTGGGGTCAATTGAAGGGCGGCCACCAAGTCCATCCGAAGTCTGGGAGTGCCCACCTTTCTCGCCGCAGTCGACCCCAGCAGCAGTGTACGCTACGACGTGCTTGAAGCGGCGAAGCTCTGCCTGCGTTTGAAATCTTCCGCCAGCGTTGCGCTCGTCGAAAGCACAAAAGCCTGCATGCGTGGCGCGGTTCATGATCCTCTCTTGTGCTGGAAAGGTAGTGGTCCTTCCACGCCTGAAGACAAGAATTACCCGGAAGGATATCGACGTGCGCTAAGATAAGAGCGCCGAGCTCGTCTCCGCCCCGCATTCCACTAAAAATACTACGTACGTTCGATGATCCGAAGACGTAAGCTGCATTATGCTGCGGGCGCGACGGCAATCCACTATGCACGGCAAGCTGCGCGCTAGAGAAAACGATAATGATCCTGCAATGGTTCTCACGAACCCCTTCGATTTGGCACTGTACACACCTCAATACAAGCAACCAGACTCGCCAGCCAAGAATTTCCATGACGGTGACGCTGCGTGGACGAGGTTTCTTGCTGCGAGGCCGTTGTTCTATCTTCCCGATCGGTCTGCTATCACGGATGAAGACCCGATCAATCGTCACCGGCGCCTGTGGACCCATCATGAGCTCCAAACGTTTGGAGATGTAGTAGAAGAATGGACCTGCGCTCAACTGCGCGCCCAAGAGCGCACACTACGCCGATGGCACCAGTCAGCGACCCACGTACAGCGCTGCTTCCGCGGTATGCTCGACAGAATGTACGTGCTGAGACTGCGGCAAGAGCTGTTCGAGTATGCTGCAACACTCGAGAGGGCCATGGAGCTTGCTCGTGAACGACGGAGGCGACGGAAGGCTGCTGTTGCAATCCAGAGAGGATACCGGTGTCATCGGAAGCTTGTCATCCGTCAACAGCGAGCAGCAGTCGTGCTGCAAAATGCAAGCAAGCGCTTCATGCAACGACTAAGACGATGGAATGCCCGAGTGACGATGCAGCGCGCTGCTCGGTTTTTTCTGTGGCGAGTTCGATGGCAACGATACAGGCAGCGCGTGAGAAAAATGCTCGATGCTGCAGCAAGACAACGAAAACTCGCTCTGGCAACGAAAGCCTTCCTCAACGCACGAGAAAATGCCCTGCATCAACGCCAAGTAAAAACCTGGGCTGATCATCCAGAACGAATGCAAATGTTGTTGCGGGCACGCCAACGACAGCAAAAGTTGCGACTGGCAACCGGTAGCACCCTTCCTCCTCTACTACGTTCTTCTAAACAACTCAACAGTCCAGCAAAAGCCACGTATAGTATTAGGTCGTTCTCGACTTCAAACAAACACCAACCGACTCTACCTCTGATTTCTCCTTCTAGCCGCGGTGAATAATTGCAACATCTAGGAAGCCGATTGAGTAAATAAAGCTGAAGTAAATTAACAGCTACGTGGACGCATCATGTTAATGATCTGTATACATGCAGCACAACTAAGCCAACGATTCAACTCACGTGTACAGTTATTACTGCAGCGACAAGCCTGAGCGCAGATTTGCGCACACACGAGCAACAGCGGCGGTAACAGGACATCCTGGTCGTCCATTGTCTTCGGTCACAGTCTCGAAACGTTTGATAGTCATGTCAAGCACCGCTGGTGGTAGCCAGTTGCGATGGACCAGCCAAAACGCTTCAAAGTTCTTGCTGAAACTCAGCAACTCGCGTTGATGCTCGTCTTCAGGGCTCGCTGCAGCAATTCCTCTTCTCTCTTCAAATACATTTCCGCAGACAGTCCGGAGACCCTCACAGAAAGTATTCAGGTAGATGAGCATGTCGCTTCCAAGAGAATTTAACAGCTCTTCAGGCGTCCTCGTCATCTGCTGCTGCTGCTCTTGTGCACGGCAATCCATTAATTGGGCAATTGTAAAAGTGAGAGTCTGCGCGGCTCGGAAGAACACACGGCGCAGGTCCGCTTCCTGTGCTTGACGCACTAGCGCGTTTCGGGAGCGCTTGCTTCCCTCAAAGTGCTTCTGAACATCAGCAGTCAAACGGAAGGTTTCGTCGAAAATCCTCCACGTGCGCTCGGTCTCCTCAATGCATTCAGGTTCTAATCTGCTGCGGCAGCACTCCATAACTTTAGCCCACTCCTCCGCCGCAGTATCCATTACGAATTCGTACTCTTGCTTGTCTTCCTGGAGCTGCCCGACCTCTTCACTGCACGCTTCAATTATTATCTCCAAGTGTGCAATCGTATCATTTAGTGCACGCTCCCTGCCGATGTTCGTCCTCGAACACTCCTCGACCATCAGCCGCCACTTCTCCATCATCTGGCGCAGCTCACGCAGCACAGCCTGCTGCCCACGCACGCCCGGCTCCATCTTCACCTGCTCAGTCGCTCGCTGTCTGCTCGACCGTCTCCGTACTAAGCTCAGCACCTCGCAGAGCACCCAGACCAAGTCTTTGTTCGCTTGGTACCGTCGGTCATGGCCTCTGGAGAACGCCAGGAGGTCGACCAGTTTTTCGCACGCGAGGCGAAGAGCGCGGTTGACGTCGGCGGACGCCGGAAGACCAGCATCTTGCAGCAACGCTGCGACTGCTTGCTGGTCCACTCGCAGCTCGCGGTGCTTGGCCAGCAGCAGGAGCTTCTCGGCCACGTCGGGCCACGGCAGCAGCGGAATCCACGGCGCGTCCTCGCTCGAGCTTTCGCCCTCATCGTCGCTAATGACGATCACTTCGTGGTCCGCAGACGCAGGCGGCAACGGCGCAGCGCTCTCCATAGTTCCGCTACTGAGGCTTGGTATGCCCGTTGACATTTGGCTCAACTTCAATCAAACCAGATCATTTATCGACTTGCACAGGGTGGCACTAAATACGCCTTGTCGCATGTCACACTATCGGGGTAACCGAACCGTCCGTTCCCCGGTCCGAACCGTCGAGCCAGTGGCCGCTCCCAGAGAAGGGAGAAAAGACGCGAGAAACCACCCCCCATACATTCTCAAAGAAGCCATCGAGAAAGAACTCTTCTCTACTAAGTAAAGCGAGCGAGCCATCAGCGGGCTGGGAGTTATTCCGCTTTCTGCAATCCTCCCCTCGACCGACGCAGTGTCATCCATCGGCGCCCCCCCCCCTCCGTAGTGTCCCCGCCGAGCGATCGAGCGTCTGATTCCTTTGCATTCCGACTCGCCCGCCTCTCAGTGTCAGTGTCGGCCGTCTGTCGTCCCGTTACACGTCGCTCGCTGTCCGTCCGTCCGCTTCTCGGCGCAGTTTTTGGTCTTGCGTCGACGCACTGTCGGGCCCTGAACTCTACCGCCAACCCAACACATTGCTCAAGGTAAATATTTCAAGCTAGGATTTCTTTAGTAGAGTTAGGCACGAGATAGCTGCCGTGCCGTGCTGCATTGACGCATGCACACACCACTGGCATTGCACCACGCACTCCTCGCACCTCTCCGACGTCGTGTCTCTCCCGCCCTTTACGGGCGCGTTGAAGCTCTTTTTGCGGCCATTGTCGCTTTCAGTGTTTTCTTTATGAAAGAAGAAACATGGGCCTGTTTAAGGGCTTTTTCTGGTGCTAAAGGTGACGCCATGACTGAGGTCTTGACGCCTCGAGAGCTCACCCAGCCGATCCCATGATGGAGAGCGATCTTCAACTCGACTGTGACGTGTCGGTGGTTGCTGGTGCTGGTGATGGTTGAGATGGAGTGCAAGTATGGCGCCTGGCGTCGGCAGCACTGCGTCTTGTGTCTAAGGAAGACGTGGAGATGATACAGAGTGACTCACTTGTGCACTGTGTGCAACCTGTCTGGATTGTAGACCATGAACGTCAACATGGAGCGAGCCAGCTTCACGAGCCTGCTGGAGCACTCGCAGTTCGGTGCTCCGCTGCAAGTCCCGCAGCAGCCGCTGATGCACCCAAGCCACGCACAAGCTCAGCCGGCGTTCGGACTCCAAGGCATGGTGTCCCAACCGATGTCGATGGGTGCGCCGCAGTTCAAGCAGCAACCAGCTCCTGCTCCGGTGAAGCTCCCCGCAGACCAGTCGGTGAGTTGGCAGTGTAGACATTGTGGTATCTTTTGTAGACTCGAGTTCTCACTATTTATCATTCGACGTCTTGTTTCACTGCTGTAGGTCCCGAACGTGCTTCAGAACATGATGAGCCGCAGCAATAGCTCCAAGCTCACTCCGTCCAGCGCGGAGGCCTCTTTGCTGTCGCTTGTGGATGGTGAGCTTCGCGTGTCTTCAATCTCAAACCTCCCGGTGTTCCTCAAGATTCTGCCTCGCTGCAAGACGGAGCCTGAACAAACTCTAGCACTCGTGGTGCTGCGTGCCACCTCCACCGCCAGCGACGCCAAGCTGTCTCACGCTTGTGCTGGTGCCTTCGAGAAGAGTGGCGGCCTGCGCCTTGCGCGCGCCTGGGTCGATTCGGCAGTGGCTTGGCAACACAATGACTTGCTGGTTCTACTGTTAGAAGTCTTGCAGACTCTACCGTTGCAATTAACTAGTATTACGGAAGCACGTATCAATGAGCCTATCGTCAAGTTGCGCAAGAACGCTCGTGAAGAGCGGGTCAAGCGCGCAGCTCAGGATCTTCTCAAGTTCTGGCGTAGCAAGTTTACAGAGAAGGAGAAGCCGGCGGCGCCCTCGTCGGTAGCCAAAGAGAAGACGCCCGACTCTTCCAGCAGCTCGAACAAGCCGTCCTCATCAACGACAGCCTCTTCTGCAAAGCCAGCGCCTTCGACTGCCTCTAGCTCAGCTCCTGCCAAGCCGGTGCCAGCTAAGCAGCCTAAGGTATTGAAGAAGCGTACTATCAAGCGGTTAGAGCGGCTTCCTTTCGGCGGCGGCAGTGCGGTGTCGAAGTCCAGCGACTTGATTGGAAATCTCATGCAGCGCAAGTCAGCTAAGGACGCCGCCGCTGCAGCGGAGAAGAAGAAGACTACGGCGTCGGCCAGCAGTACGAGCGATGGCAAGGTGGATGACTCGCAGTCTGCAAGCGAGGGCTCCACTTCCGCCTCGAGCAGCGTGGACGATGCGTTGTCCATGCCCCTTCCCACGATTCAAAGCTTCAAGGCCGCATCATCTTCGACTTCTTCCTCAAAAGAACGCAAGCGCATTCGGTGGGCGGACGAGAGCGGCGAGGAGCTTATCAAGGTGAAGCTGATCGAGTCGTGGCGCGATCTTGTGCCCTACGACCCGCGGCACGATGACCAGAGCTTCAAGGACGCCAAGCTCCGTGAGCACGCCAACGAGCGGCATGCGATGCTCGCTCAGCATCACAAGGTGCCACCAGCTGTAGCAGCTTCAAAGTCGCGCGAGTGGACTACTCCAGCATTTATTCGTCTGCCGGAAGCTGTGGCAGCGCGTGTCGACAGCAAGACCGATGAGATGCATGTCCAGGACAGCCGTCGGCGTCATGTGGACGAGTATGAAGTGTTAGCCGGTGAGATGCCGATCCCGAGTCCGAAGGAGTGGGAACGCGTCAACGAGCCCCACCGCGGACCGCCTCTAGAGATTCCGCTGAGCGATGTGGTCGAAGGTGACCCTTGCGCTGCTGCTATGATGGCCCCGCCTACCTCGTCGGCCCCGCCTACCTCGTCGGCCCCGCCTGACTACTCTCGAGAGGGGTATCCTTCTGGAGGGTACGACCAGGCCCCAGGCTATGATCAGCGTGGTTACGACAACCGCAGCGAGTACAATGGTCGGCAAGACCCCGAGGCGGATCGCAAGCTGCGTGAAGCCTTGGGTCCTCTGCAGGAGAACACGGTCGCTCTTTTGCTCGACAACCCCGACGTGGTGCCGCAGGTGCTAGAGGAGGCGCAGCGCCATGGCAACCGCATTCCAGATGCTCGTGTGTTTGAAATTGTGGATCAGTATCGTCGCGGTCGCTACCAAGCCCCGCCCAATGCTGGTGGGCCCCCACCTGCGTTTAGTCCTTACGGTAGTCAGCAGCAGCAGCAGTATGGCGATATGGGTCCTGGTGCGGGCTATGATCACCAGTACCAGCAGCAGTACCCGCCTCAGCAAGGCCCGCCAGGAGGGCCCTTTATGCCTGGAAAGCGGAAGGCAGACGCCATGGGCGCTTCGCACAACGGCCCTATGCTCGACGCTCCGCAGTCCAAGCGGCCATCAAAGAAGAACCGCGGCACGCTGCCCTGCAGGTACTTTGCCTCGCCGATGGGTTGCAAGCACGGTGGCAACTGCCACTACGCGCATGTTCAGCCGGCGCCTGCTAACGGCCCCGAGTTCGAGAGTATTTATAACAGCCAAAATGGTCCCATGATGGGAGGACGAGGCGCAGGACCCATGATGGGCGGCCGAGGAGCTGGTCCGATGGAGAGATATGGCCCTGCGGGCATGCAGCAGCCGGGTCACCACATGCGTGGAGGACGATGATGAAAACTTGGGAATAAAAGCAAAGTCTCGATCTCGATGTGGGCAGAGAAGAAGCCAGCCCAGCCCAACGATGGTGCTCATGCTTTGCCCTTTGAAGAAGAATACACACGTCGGAAGACGCTTTCAGTATCGACGCAACTCGCTTTTGGTAACTCAGTTCGCCGAAGCACTTGCTTCGACCAGCTCGTAAGTTACTTTTAGTTCATAACTTCTCTTTCAAGAATGCACATGATACACATGAAATGACAAGCGTTTTGCCTCGAAGTTTACAATATCAAGCCATTGACAACCTTGACGATCAAGTAACGAATAAGATAAAATACAGATGGAAAGGAAGTTTGTTTGCCAAATGGAGCATTGTGTATTGCCTTTTGTCCTGTTCGTTATTCGAACCCACACCTTGCCAAGAAAGCAGGGCGCGGGGAACAACACGTATTGCAGAGGAGAGATGCCCCAGGACCGTCCACCTTTCAATAGGTGAGGCTGAGCCCAGGGCTCCGAGCCCGCTAGCGTGTTGCAGCTTACGCCTTGACCGACGAGGCCTTGCGGCTGCTGCGACGCTTGGCGATCTCGCTGGCACGACGGTCCTTCTGCTCCTTCACGCGCTGCAGTGCCATAAGGCGAAAAAGGAGCAGGATAGTTCCAACATCCGCGCATACAATAAGTCAGTATCATGGCGTACAATAACTACACAGACGTCACAATAGAGGAATGAGACGAACCTGAGCGTGGAGGCGGTTGTACTCGGCGGCCTCGCGCTGCACCTTCTCGCGCTGCTGCACCTTCTTGAGGGCGATCTGGCGCTTGTGGTGGAGCGTGCGCGGGGTCACAAGACGCTGGATCTTGGGGGCCTTGTCGTTCTTCTTGCCCGTCTTGGAGTCGAACTTGCGACGGATGACGTACTTGCGCACGTCGTCCTCCTTGGTCAGGTTGAACAGCTTGCGGATGTTCGAGGCACGCTTGGGACCGAGACGACGCGGGATCTGCACGTCGGTCAGGCCGGGGACGTCAGCCTCGCCGGCCTTGACGACCACCAGGTTGAGCACCGAAAGGTCCGGGCCGACGATGCAGCCGCGCACCGACTTGCGCTTGCGCTCACCCTTGCGGCGGGGACGGTAGCACGTCTTGCCCTTGGAGAGGAGAAGACGGGCACGGCCGTTCGAGAGCACACCCTGCTTCATGGGGAAACCCTGCTTGTCGTTACCGCCCGACACGCGGAAGATGAAGCCCTTGAACTCGTCGCCGAGCACGTCGCCCTCAACCTCCTGGGAGATGCGCTTGTCGTAGAAAGCGCGGAGCTTGTGCTCGTCATCGACTTCGAGCACCTTCTGGGCACCCGTCAGGGGGTTGGCAATGTTGAGCTTCATGTTGGAGAATCTGTAGAGCGCGCAGGCAACAACTTCATCAGTTTCTGTGGTTCAATTGGGGCAGGCTTTAATGGGCTGCTATGCTGCTGACGACGCTGCACGTCTCCGCTATATGGTGAGCGGGGGCGCAACTTTCGGCGAGAGCTGTAGCAGCCGCAGACAATTAGCGCGCGAACGGATCCGCTTACGCACCTCACAAGACAATAAGGACAATGGCTATTGATGCGGCTGTCGGCGGCGTCCAAAGCCTCGGGCTTCCCCAACCACCAACGCTCCAACGGGACCGACACAGGCCAACCAAGTGCGTTCACTTCAGATAAAGTTTGTCAAGCTACACTACACATGTCGGCGTAGTATCGATATCCGCATCTTGGTAAATGTATGTGGGGTCGTCGACGTTAAGTTCGGTTGACCATAGACAGGGTGCTAAGTACGGGGTCCCAAAATAGACTATTTTGGGATCCGATATGTTGAATCGAACTTTGACGGAGCGTCTGCGTAGCCGCTCGTTCACCAGCTCACTTTTGCAAGACAGATCGAATCGACATGGGCAACCAGGTGAGCACTCCTGCCGCGGCCGACGCTGCTGCTGCCAGCAAGCAGGGCGGCTGCCCGGTGCAGCACGACGCCAAGAAGGCGACGACCGACGGATGCCCCGTGCAGCACGACAGCGCCAAGAAGATTGAGGGCTGCCCGGTGCAGCACGACAAGAAGCCGACCGTGGCCGACGCCATGGCTGGCGGCTGTCCTGTGGTGAAGGATGGCAAGGTGGAGAGCGAGGTCTACAACGTGTACGGCCAGCGCATCGACCCGACCAACATGATGCCGTACAACCCGAACCAGGACCCGAACGACGAGCAGCGCTACCCGCTGCCGCAGGAGCGCGTGCAGTCCACGATCCCCAAGGGCGGAACCGAGGGCACGTGGCTGTACCCGTCGGAGCAAATGTTCTTCAACGCGCTCCAACGCAAGGGCAAGGGCGAGGACGTGCACGAGGGCGACGTGAAGGCGATCGTGTCCATCCACAACAACATGAATGAGCGCGCCTGGGCGCAGGTGGAGCACTACGAGAAGGTGTGCCACCCGGACCTTGAGAGCTCCAAGCTGCTCAAGTTCTGCGGTCGTCCTGACAAGCTCACGCCCATTGCGTGGATCAAGAGCATGCTCGGATACGGCGAGCCCTTCGACCGCCACGACTGGACGGTGCTGCGCAGCGACAACACCCAGGTGCGCTACGTGATCGACTACTACTTCGACGATGACAAGTCTGCGCAGGACGAGGTGCCGGAGCTGCACTCGGCCGACAAGGTCAAGAGTATTTCCATGTATGCGCGTCCCGCGGTGGACTCGGTGGGCGCTCTCGTCGACCGCATTAAATTCCCCGTGATGGCTTTCATCAACGATATGAAGGGACCCGATATCACTGCTCGATCTGCGCTGGTGGAGCGTGCCCAGGAGGAGAAGGACGCGCCGGAGCCGCTCTCCGTGGAGGAGGTTGAGCAGACCTTTGCGAAGATCAAGGACACGTGCAAGAGCTGCATGCAGGAGGTCAAGACGTGCAGTAACGAGGTGCAGTGCTCGCAGGCAGCGATGGCCCTGCAGCTTTGCATGGGCCGCATCATCTGCCCACCGCAGGCGGCTGCGTTTACCAAGGCGCTTGAGGGCGGCGATGAGTCCGCAGTTGAGTCTGCTTTCGAGGCCATGAACAGCAGTCTGGAGCAGTTCCAGGAGCGTGGCGCTAGTGCGATGCAGGAACAGGCTGTGCGCGAGTCCCTGGCCAAAAAGTAGGTATCACATAGACGACAATGGGATTCGTACGCAGCTAATAACACAATCTAGACGATTTTTATGCCAGTTTGTTGTTGAGTGCTGAAGTTTTCGTAGTCTAACCGGCAGGGTTAGTCGTCGTCATCACAGCATACAATCACCTGCCCTCTGCAGTCGACGTATTGATTCCGCAGATGACCTGCACGCTCCTGCTCCACCTTCAGTTTGGTGAAGAAATGCTCCGCTGATCACGAGCCACAATGCAATGCAGCACACACAGTCAACTGGAATGTAATTACAGTACAGCACACACCCAAACTTACGTGTTTGAGACCAAGTAGCAGCCAACGCCCCGCGTTTTCGGTTGAGCAGAGTAGCTGTTTCCTGTCGCTCTTTTTCTTTGAAGCGAACTTGCTCAATCGTGTTGTAGTGAAGAAGCAATTGGTACAAACTCTCGTAATTATGATCCCGTGCATACTGCACGGCGGATACTCCCTTTCGGTCGCAAATGAAGGGGTCCGCACCGTTAGCTAGAAGCAACTTCGCACAGTCGTGAAGACCATACCGAGAGCAAAACTGCAGTGCTGTCTCCCCGAATGCGTTCTATCAAGCATACGGCGATAGTTAGAGGGTCCTAGATCACTTCGAATGTAAGCGTGGTGTCCATCCTACCTGGGCATTGACATCACATCCTCGTGCTATCAGGTCTTTAATGATTTCTTGAACGTGCTGGCTCCGCAATATCAACGCAGCCACATCCTTCACAGAATCTGTAGTTCCAAGCGTCCAATTTCTCCATAAGAAATGCAAAGCCGTATCCCCGTTAGCGGTAGAAAGCCACACCACTGTGCCGTGGTCCAGCAGGCATCGCACGAGCTCAACGCACAGGGCGCGGCAAGCTGCCATTAGTGGCGTCAGCCCCAACGTTCTGTCTTCATACACGACAATCTCACTCGCGTTGTCCTTTAAGGCAAGACGTACAGGTACGTTAACGTCCAAGAACGAGTGGAACTTTAACCAGGCGATCACTTCACTGCCGTCATGAACACGAAGTGAGCAACAACGTAGCTAGCCTCAAGATACCGTAGCGCCGGTCAAGTACAACGCAAAGCGGATGACGTACCGCTTTGGAGATGCATGCATCAGCCTCCAGAACTGCTCCATGCCTTCACGGTGCTGCACCTCACAGAGCCGGATTTGCCGTTCAGCCCTCGACCGTCGCACCTGTTCCTGCTCGCCTTTCAGGTGTGTTGTGAGCTTACCAACATAATGCTCCTGCTTTGAGCGTCCGTGCGCACGGTCTAAGCCAAGGCTAAGGACGCCACCCTTCTTCTGAGAGCTATAAGAACTCCTCTCAGCGAGCGAAGCCGCATCGGAAAGCAGTAGCTTCTTCTTAGCGGCGACCTCCATCTCGCGCTGCTTCTCGAGCGTCAGCTGCGAGCCTGCGATCGGATACGCATCCTTCATGTATCGCGCATGGTACTTCCCGCGCAGATTCAACTGCGTCTGACTGCTAGTATTACCAGCTTGCAGCCGATTTGCCAGCAACTGTAGCTCTTCGCCCCCCAGGTCGTCGAAGCGAGCGTAAATGCTCGGCAAGCTGCGGGTCGGCTTCCATGTAGACGTCGGCGCATTGCCCACAGCTTTCCCGTCCTTCTCTGCTGCCTTTGCAGCGCGGACTTCATCCCTCCGAGCCTTCATCGCAGCGACATCAGCCCCTTGCTCCTCCCCACGGCGTTCCTACAGGATTTAATTAGTAGGATAAATGGGTCAACATTTGGTGATAGTGAAAGGTATTCGCAGTGCAGCGTAGCGAGCGCACCGCCTCGAGTCGGTACCGCTGCTGGATCTGCTCGCGGTGGCGGCGCAGATACTCCACGCGAAGGCGCTCCACCTCGCGGGGGTCATCCAGCTCCTGCTCCTGCTCCTGCTCCTGCTTTGCGCTCAGCATGTTGAACAAGCATTGCGGAAAATTGGCACATTTCAAGTGACCATCATTCTTCGTACACCAGGGGCACACCATTAATCGACGTGGAACTGAGACTGAGACACAGCAAGAGAGGGGCTGCAGAGACACTCGTTGCCGCGCGCGCGTACATCAGCGAGGCCTGCAGATTCGACGCAGGCACACACCAAGAGACGGCGGCGATGCTGTCGTCGGCCAAGTCCATGGACGACGAGGCGGCGCGGATGGCGGTGCTGCGCGACCCGAAGCGCATGGCGGCGCTGCTGGTTCGCGCCTTCTCCTCCTCCATGGCGGACGATTCGGACGCCGCGCAGCGAGAGCGCGCGCGTCGACAGGAAGAAGAAAACGACGAGGAGGTGGAGGAGACGCAGGAAGAGTTCCAGGACCTGGAGCGGCGCGCGAGCGCGGCCGACGCGCCGCCTCTCCGCGTGGTGATCCGCCCCACGATCGAGGAGGACGAAGAAGACGCCGATGAAGCCGACGAGGAAGAAGAAGACGAGGAAGATGAGAACGAGGACAAGCCGCTGGACGAGGAGGAGCTCGAGGCGGCGGCCACGGCGCTGCAGACGGCCACGCGTATCGTGGAGGAGCTGCGGCTCAAGATGCTGCTGAAGGAGGGGCAGCAGCAGCAGCAACAGCAGCAAGGCAACAACAATGACAACGAGCCGCCCTTTTCGTCGGTTGGTTCGGTCGTGATGACGCCGCCGCTGGCACCTCGCTCGGAGAAATGTCCGTCGACAAGTGAAGGCCCCGGTGTGCCCGTGCCACGTGCTCGTGTACGATATAACTCAGGTTGTCAAAGTTGCGGCAAATCGTTCAACCCGTTCAACCGCGCTAAGAACTGCACGGCATGTGGCTACGCCTTCTGCCCGAAATGCTCGTCGAAGAACATGGTGCTGCCGTCATGCTTTGGCCATCAGGATGAGTCCGTGCGCACCTGTGATCTCTGTGTGAAGTGGCTCCAGAAGGCGCTGGACACATACTTTGACGCTATGGAGATGGCGAAAACCCACGATCAAGATTCGACGGTCCATCGAGGTAGTATGGGCGAGATTATGATCGAGGAAAAACCGCGGGCCATGTCGGTCAACAACAGTTCGGTACCTGTGAGTGACGGAGTGCTGTCGGTCATAACACGGCAACGCTCGTCTGTTTCATCGCCTGATCCTGTTCCAAGCTGTCCCAATGAAGAAGACGCAGAAGACGGTGCTGATAGAGAGGAACAGCGCGCTGCTTCGTCTTCCACGACGTCAACATCAGCTTCGACATCAAGGCGACGCCATCGCCATGGGTCAATATCGTCTACCCCGTCTCCGTCAATGAACAAGAACAAGCCCTGGTTTAGCGGCCATTTACGCGCGATCCATGTGAATGACAGGCTTCCTCGAAAGAAGAAGGTCCGAGGTGAGAGTGAGTGTGACAACGAAAACAATAGTCCGGAGCTGAGATCGCGGAGGAGCCGTTTAGGTAGCGTGGCGTCGACCGCATCCAACACGCGACACACGAGCGAAGACGCTAATGAGAGGGCTGAACAACGCCAAGGTTCTAGCGAGCACACCACAGGAAGTAGTCCGCTAGACACCGAAAGTGGAACAGACTCGACAGGTGCCCCGAGGGATGCAAGCACGGAAGGCGATGCATCTCAAACACCTGCCGATGGTTCTGAGAGCAACGATACCTCTCGACCTCGAAGGAAAGCGCGACGCTCCAAGTTTTCGAGATCAGCGAGCTTTGATCTTACGAATCTGCAGGCCGCTGCATCCCCCGATTCGTCATCTGGATCTCCAGCTATGAAACGTTGCCATACCTTTGGTCCTGATGAAGCGAGAAGCATTGCTGCTGATGTTGCTAGTAATGGCAGTAGTCACTCGAAGAAGGCATTTGATGACAGTGATATTGTGGATGAACGTGCGCAGATCGACTCACCGGAAGTGAAGATGAAAAGTGAAGCAAAACTATCTGCGGCTGTGTTGCGCTTTGCGGTTTACGAAATGGGTGCGAAAGAGAACGCGGGTCTTCGTCGCACGTTTGGCTTTACGAAAGCTAACCCAGTGCTGGACCGGTATACTTTGGAGCTTGATTGTCGCCAGCGTATCGTGCGAGCGAAGTCGGTGTTCATGCATCGCTTCTGGTCGTTCCACTGCGATTCTGTTCAATCGTTTGTATTCGGGTCTTCAGAAGGAATGGCACGTCTCATTGTGTTTAATGGCGGGCAGGGCAACCAGTCTCTCGAGTTAAAATTTGCGAATGATGACGAAAGAGAGCAATTCAAGCAAGCGATGGATAGCTGCAGGTCAACAAACCTGGACCGGATGCGTGGATTTGCTTTGGGAGCTGCGATGTCACTTCCTGTGCGCCCGGAGCTTCCTCCATCTCCTGTGCCAGACAACCTGCAGTCGCCGCTAATACCCCCTCAGCCGAGCACCACGTTTTCAGGAGATACGTCAACGTCGATTGAGTCGGAGCTGGGACTGGTTCGCGATACAGGCGGCAAAAATTCTGTTGATTCCCCCGTTTTACAATCCATCCATGTGCCACTTTTGCCTGGGGAGGTGGTGGTGAAAGACACTGAGCTTCCAGTAACACTGCTAATCGGTCCAGCCAGCGAAACCTTTGAATCAACTCTCGTGTGGGGGCGTCTGAGAGGCAAGGTAGCCGTGACAAATTACCGGGTGATGTTCATTCCATTCGACCGAGTGCGAGCGATTCAGCCACGGTGTGGTGGGCAAGGCGGAATCGCATACATACCATTATTTGCTATTACGAACACCCAGCTACTTTATCCTGGAGGACGGCGAACAAAGTCTGGACGCACTTACTACGCAGGGATGACAGGCTCTGCATCAATCATCTCCATCAGCTGCAAGGACATTCGTGTTTTGCGATTCCAGTTGGACACCCATCCTTCCGTGTCGGACGATCACGCGCACAAGTTACGGGCAACTATTGCGAAGATGGCCGATGCGTCTCAGCGATACACTGTCGTAGAACGGGGCAGCTCTTCACGAACGAGCTCTCCAGGTCTTGCTCCCTTATCTAGTACGACAAGTGGCACCGATACACCGCCCGAGAAGGATGGTGACGCCAGCGGTTCTTGGCAGGAGCCTTCCTCTGTGCTTGGCCATGCCATGTCGCGAACTCCTGCATATGCAGCATCACCAGTCCTTCGCCCTGATCGGCTTCTGGCAATTCCTCGCGAAATTAGCGGATCTTTCGCATTTTCATACTTGATCGATGGTGTGTCTGCTGATCAGAACGGCTGGAATATCTTTGTGGACGAACGTGAATTTAAGCGCCAGATTGGCGGCGATCCAGCAGTCTCACCGTTCCTGAAGGTACGATAACACTGCCTATTGTGCGGTTTTCTTTGCCGAGCTATACTCCACGCAATGACTGACCAAACTGTTCTTGGTGCCCACTGTCTCAGTTCTACAAGAATGACAGAGGCAACATTTGCAAGTCCTATCCGTCAAAGTTGCTTCTTCCAGCCTCCATGAACTCCTCGACGCTGGCCAAAGTGGCTGATTTCCGGGCGAAAAACCGATTACCTGTGATCACCTATTACCATCGCCGCAATCGGTGTGTCTTGACTCGTTCCAGCCAACCACTGCTGGGAAGTTTGCTTTCGGGAAGTTCAAACGTGTCTGACCAGCTGCTCTTGGGAGTGTATCGCCGACTTCCAGACATCATCAAAAACCAGTCGCAATCGTCGACTTCATCGCGGCCGATTTACATTTTTGATGCGCGAAAGCCGAAGGCCTCCACCGGTAACCGGCTTATGGGCAAAGGAGGCGTTGAGACACCGCAAGATTATCCAGGCGCCGTCGTCCACCATCTCAACATCGCCAACATGTATCGGATGCAGTCTTCCTTCATGGGTTTGATGAAGCTGTTCTTGCCTGGCGGCATCGAGGATGCCGATCGCACGTGGCTATCGAGTGTGGAGTCGACGAGGTGGCTGGACCATGTGCGCCTTGTGCTGGATGGCGCGCTGAAGATCGCTCGTGTGCTGGAGTTAGAAGGAGCGTCCGCGCTGGTGCATTGCAGTGATGGCTGGGACCGCACGCCTCAGTTGTGTGCTTTGGCGCAGTTGATGATTGACCCGTACTTCAGAACAATCCGTGGCTTCGCAACTCTCGTAGAAAAAGATTGGCTAGCGTTTGGACACAAGTTCGCTGAGCGCACCTCTGGAGACCGCAACCGCGACCCGCAGCGCAACAAAGCATCCCCCATCATGTTCCAGTTCATTGACGCCGTGTGGCAGATGCAACGCCAGTATCCCCGTTCGTTCGAGTTCAACGAGCGCTTTTTATTGCACCTGGCAAACGCGATGACCTCGGGTCTCTACGGGACGTTCCTGTACGATACGAGGCTTCAACGAGACGTGAACGAAGTCAAGTACAACAGCGTCTCTGTTTGGACACCCGTGCTGATGCAGCCGTCGCTGTACACAAACAGCGACTACGAAATGTACGACGGTCCTATCTGGCCCTGGGTTAGCTGCAAAATGATTCGTCTGTGGGACAACTACTTCTTCCAATGGCACCCCAAGTTTTATAAGTGCGAGTGGGCATGCAACTTGGTCTACCATGGCCCTTCAAGCTCGCGTGGTAACACCAGCGAGAACGGGGACGGTGTCAGCGACAGTGGAGAGGAACTGAACGAGACACCGCACATGCAAACCCCACTTGTTAGGGACCCGCCAGCTTTGGATCTACTGGCGACACCAATAACTTCCGCCATCACTGAAGATGACAACGAAGTACCGACAATTAGTCTGTCGTCGGAAGAGGGCGACACCGACGGCAAGCGATCCCGTACCTCTAGTGGAACGTACACGCGGAAAGCCTCGAGGCGAAACCTTTTTGGACTTAACCGCGGGATTCGCCAGCGAGCGCAAAGTGAAGAAAAAGGTGAAACGTGCTAGATTCAACCACCGACAAGCGACGACTTGACTCAAAATGCTGTGCCAACGTAGGAATTGAAAGCACAGCTGGACGACAGTCGTAAAAATGTACGTTGACCCTGTAACCTGATGGGAAATCATCTTCCTGTCCATACAAAACATGGGTGACGCTTGCGCCTGATGTACAGAAGTGTTTGGCAGATTGATTGTGTACTTGTGTGCTCCTAGGCATTGTTTGCTACAGGCTCCTCAGGACAAGTATCAATTACGATGGTTCCAGGTCCAGCAGTGCCGCAAAGTCTTGATCCGTAAACTTTCGAAACAACGCCGCTGATGTTTGACTGCGCACCCAGTCCACTGACCGCCTGCCCCACGGTGTACTTGGATACCTCGCTGCTTTGGAGCTCAATGTATCGCTCAACGACTGTGGCTTGCTTCACGAATTCAGGATCGTTGCCCAGTTTCTCGAAGACTTCGACTGCCTCCCCAATCGTTTCAGTAACGAAGGACGGCGGAGTTTCTCGGAAGAAGATGTACTCTTTCGTGGGAGTACTGCCAGGGTTTCCAAGCTGGACACGTTTCGGACCCGATCTTGACGCGCGCTTCCGGAGTGCATATGCAGAGAGCTGCTCAGCATTATCACCATCAGCCCCAGTTGGCTGGTCTGGGGAAAGTTTGTTGCCTTCCTCGTCAACATCGTCGAATCCCATCGCGCGCAAGTCCTTTGCCCGAGCCATCGGCGTCGACCCAGGCTCACCGATGACTGTCCCATGTGGCTGGTGGTGAGGTGTGGATCCAGGGTGGTTGAGGCGATTGTAGTCGCCGCTGACTTGGCTGTTAAGCGGAGTGCCGCTCGAAATCGTGTCAGCGTGTTTATCCAAGTTGCTGGTGATCACGTTCAGTGCAGGCTTTCGTCGGCTACTGGACGACTCCTTCGTTCGTGTTTTCTTTTCGTTTGAAGCTGAGCGATCCTATGCATTGCACAGATAAACAGTCAAGACCCGGGGTCTGTCAACCGCTTTCACCAAGACAGAGCTCACCTTAGCATTACGCTTCGCTCTTGCTCTTATCTTCGCCTCGTTTGAGCACACGAGGAATCGCTCCAACAGAGATTGACCCGCGGTCGGGTTTGTTGCTCGACTGTCGCTCGTGTCGGTTAAGCGTTGATCGAGCTGCTTAATCTCTGCATCATCCAGCTGCGGCATGGGCTGGATAGAGCGGATCGCATGAATTAGTGCTGGAAAGACAAGTACTAACAGGAAAGTCAACTTCACTTACCCGTTCTTGATCGAGCATCTTTACCACGTTTTCGTGGCAGTGCATGAGCAAAAACTCCCGTACGAGGTGGTGCACAGTCAGCCCCTGGTTCGACGCAGCGAGATTCCTGAGCTGTCTCTCCTTTGGGAGCTGTCGCTCCGGTGTCGATTCGTACGTAGGAGCGAGCTCACCGCCTCTGCTCCCAGAGTCGACGGACTGCACCACATCGGCGGAAATAATTTCGTTGGCCTTGGCACTTGTTAACTCCGTAGTGGCGCTCGCATCGCTTCCTTTGCGAGTTTCATCCCGATCTTCTTCGTCGTCGCTGGCTTGCTGTTCGTCCACCAAGAACTCAACCCTGCCTCGCTGCTTCCTGCTCTGAGACTGCGATTCGGCCCCCCACCCCGAGGTCGACGCAACTTCCACTTCGTCGGCGAAGCAAGCCTTCTTGACTCGAGGCTTCGAAGCCACCGGCTCGTCGTCCAAAGTCCAGACGTTCATCGTGGTCGTTCGGTGCGAGGTCGATGGAAAAGTGTCATCCTCCTCATCCTCGCGCCTTCCGGCGGCTAAAGCAGACCTCTACTGGTAAGACCAACCGCTAACAATAGCCACCCGCTGATGGCATGATGCTTGTCAATCAAAAAATAGATCTTATTGTGGGTGCAGCCATTTCAGAGTGGAACCCAACAGTACGCATTTAGCTGTTCGACACTGTAGCCATTTCACACGTTTCATGACACGATGGTCGCCGCGACACGCGTTCGCTGCAGCTTCCGTCGGCTTGCAGGCTGCATTTACATGTTGCATTGTTGAGTTGTCGAAAGAAAGGTTGGATGTCGCCGCTGCAGTGGGGCGGGCCGCCAGCGACACCGACGCTTTGCAATCAAGCTCAAGTCGTCCTCCCACGTCAACGTGGATGCGCCGTGTGCTGGCTGGTCTGCATTGGTTGGTCGGGGGATGAGCTGCTCGAGACACCCCGCAGCGGATTCACCGCGGACCTCACCAACGATGTTCCTGGGACCCCCGGCGGCAACGAATCTCGCGGCGCGGGATCTGCTCCCTCGGAGCGGTCTCCGATTTCGCTTTACGCCATCTGCCAGCGCAGAAGACTAACACGATGTCGATGAATTTTGGCGGGCCCAGCATTGAGGATGAGGCTGCAATGACAAGGTCTCCGCTACAAGTGAAAGACCCCCCTTCGGTCGAATGAAAGTACTGGCATATGAGCCATGCCATTGGTACAGGTCCCTCCAGCGCCTTGCTATCAATACGGTTGAGCAGGAGGACTCATTTTGGATGCAGCGTTTACTTCGAGACTCCCGAAGCCACCTCTTGAGTCGGGAGGTGGCTTCGCGCACCTTATGGCGGAGTCGCCTACTCATCTCGTGGTGCCGGCTTTACATGCTGCCGCACGAGTGACTCGCCTTCATCCATCGACTGTTCGTCCCGCTCGAAGCTCGAGTCGCTGCACGAGGGTTGGTTGCCTTGGAACGACACGGCCCACCGGCTCAAGCATTGAGCGCGTTGGCTCCTGACGTAGAGTCGTCATGTACGAAGACTGCGTCTTGTGCAGCTCGCCTCGCGCTTTGCGCGCTGTATCTGTTGGGAAGTAATGGGGACAGGCACACAGGTCAACTTTGGTTTCCTTGCGCCGCCTAGCGACATGCCCAGGACGAGAGCAGCAGACGCTGCTCCACAGTGTACACGTAGCACGCAATTGACGACAAGGGGCGCTTCTCTCAAGCAGTTAATCTCGGCGAGGCAGTGCGGCTTCCGGCGAGAACCGGGGGCCAGGAATCCTGGCAGGATAGCGCCAAGATGGTGTTCGCCCTGGTCCACGCCGACCGTCGGCGCTCTTGCTCGGCGAGCAGATCCCCAGGCACAGCCGACTGCAGCTGTGGAATGATTTGGATCTGCGGTCCGCAGTGCGGAGGCTCGAACACTCCATCCAAAATGGCTTCGACACGGTCCGTGTTCGCGTGTTCTGCGATTGTTTTGTAAAAAAATTGGGCTCCAGTGATCGAAAGCGTCGCCACATCGACAGCAGCAGCGCTTGCCCCGCAGCCGAAGCCCAGAAAAGCGGTGCAAAGGCGCAGAGCCTGCCGGGGAATCCCGGCTCATCCGCGACCAGCTCTGCTCGCTCGCAGCGCTTCAAGGCGGAGGCTGTACGGTCTGCTTTGAGCGCTGAGCTGAGCTCCCTGCGGGGCACACATCAACTTGGCGCTCTTTTCTGCCGCAGGAGCGGTTCAAGTGCCTGAGCCTCAATCTCGTTGAGTGAGCATGTGGGCCGGCCCACACATCCCCCTCCATCTTCACGTGAAAAAAGATCGCCCCGGTCCATCGCCCTGCAGTTCAAGGCTCTGCTTGCATCGAGCGATTGACCCTGATTTACTTACCATCGCTGCGGTTTCCTAGCAGACGTCTCACTGAGACCGACCCTCCGCAGTCCGCTGAGAACAATAATGCCTTACGGGCACCCGAAACATCCGAGACCCGGAGCTATGGGGATCTTGGTACGTCTGTTGCAGTCAGCGGAGACTGCAAGCTGCTTGCAGTCTCCACCTCGAGCCCCTCTCTTCCGAGCGAGATCGCGACCAAACTGCTCGGGCTCAGGTCGTATTTTTATCGCACCGACGTCCGCACTGTCCAATCTCGGTGTCACGCCGGCCGGCATCTGCCCCATTGCTGCGCGAGAGCCTGTAGCCAGACGGACTGCGGCTCAGGATGGTTCTGGCGGGCAGATGGTGCGGCAGGTGGCTGCGCCGAGCTGCCGGCGCGACCCGAGGCGATCAACGCACTCCGTCACTCCTGGATTTGCCTTCTGTTGCTCAAGTGCCTCCATTCCCCACCTCCCCACACCCCTCGATCATCGCAATGGACGCCTGCCTGCAGAAGTTCGAGACGAGCATGGGCTCCGCTCCGACCGCGGCCTCCTCGACCGAGCACGTGGCCTCCACGCCGCGCCGCGTCGCCCACTGGGACAGCAAGCGCGAGAAGTGCAACAACTGCGAGCTCATCTACCTGAAGACCCTGAGCCAGCACTCGGGCTTCTGCTCGGTCGACTGCAAGTCCAACATGGCGTATCTTCAGAAGGTGAACCACACCATCCGCGCCATGAAGGACGCGGTGGACGAGCGCCAGCGTCTGCAGGAGCAGGAGGTCCACCAGGAACCGGTGGCCCCCCAGCAAGGGCCGCAGCAGCAAGTCCACGTCGCCCAGCAGCCGGCTGCCAAGCTGCCGCCCAGCGAGGCGTCCCCCGAGGTGGACGCTTCCGTCCCCCACAGTATCAAGCACGTGCAGTCCTTCGCTGAGTTCGGACTCGAGACCCGTATCCTGGACGCCAGCAACGTCGAGTGGTCTTTCAGCGCCGTGTACTAAAGAGCCAAGAGCCGAGTGTAAAACTAAAAGCCCCTCACGATAGAGAATGCCACGTGAGATGTATATAAGCAAGCGGCATATAATAGAGCGCCACATAGAGATTTACATATTCAAACCGTTGAGCTCCTTCTCTTTCATTTGACACGGAGATCTTCAGTTACATACATTGCGATCTCCCAGCACTTTGACCCAGCACTTTGACGGACGCATTAATGACGCATATCAGGAGTCTCTGCTGGACGTGCGCAATGAGATTCGTTGCAGCGGTTCCTTTGGGCTCGTGCTGAAGCACGCATGAGGGTGCTTAGGTAGACGTAGGCACTTCACGCCCGAGCTCATATGTACATCCGGAGCTCGTCGAGCAGCTCGTGAAGCTCTCTATGAGCAGGGGCGTCGCGTTCCATTCCTGCTAGGAGCAGTCTACCATGTGGGTGACGATCCGCATGGCTGCCAAGGAGGCGAGGCACCGTACCGCAGCGCTGGCCGCAGGACGCGTTTCAGGCGGTGGAAGCAACAGCGCCGACGTGGCGAAAGATTGCGAGTAACGGATGGGGTGGGGAACTAAGCGCCCAGATGATCAAGGAACTGGCATAGCTGGGCCCGGCGACCACTGCTCAAAGCCCAAGATGCGAGCATGAGAAGCTCCAGGCTGGAGCTCGAGCGTCTCCACCTCGCCATGGCGGCTCGGCTCGGCTCTGGCGAGGAAGCGAAGCGCCAGTGAAATGCTGAAGGCGGGCAGGCAGGCGCTGAGTTCCGCGCGATTTCTGGTCCCGAGGCTGCGGATCTCTCGACACGCGGGCAGATCGACGCGGAGAGCGCGCTCGGTCTGCGCGCGCCCAGCTGCAAACTGGGCCGAGGACAGGGCGAAACCAAGATGAGAGATGACTAACGTCCGATCGCGCTCGCCGCGCCTGCGAGCGTTTAACTCTGTCCGAACTCTGGGTGAACCAGTCGCGCGCTGCTTGCGGTACAGCAAGAGAGAGCGAGAATCAAGGACGTCTGCGACGCTGCCGGCGCCAGCGCGTTGAAGCGCAGCTCGCCACGTCGTCGGGTGCGGCATTCGCGCCGGCCTGTCCGCTGCTCTGGAAAAAAGGTGAGCCGGTCTCGCCGAGCGAGCCAAGAGAGGGGTCCATTCCAGTGCCGCCTCGCTTGCTGGCCAATGCTCCTGAGTCTGCAGACGAGGCCGTTGCTCCGCCCTCGACAATGGTCTCTGCAGCCGAGACCGTTGCGGAGACCGTCAAACCCTGGCGAGTCATCATGCAGACGAGGAGGACGGAGGAAGGTCCCTCCTGCTTGGCGTGGCTCTCTTTCCCGGGCTCCGGCTGCGCCGCTCCGGCCAGAGCAGCGCCAAAGTGCCGGCGGCATGACGCAGCGCCTCCCTGCCGATGCTTACCGGCGAGGGAACGCTCGTCCCACACATGCCACGGAGATCTGCAAAGCGGTGGCATCAAGCCGTTCGCGGGGCGAGACACGGGCTGCACCGCTTGGGCCGTGTTTGCTGCTACAGCACGGTACAGTACAGGCAGCGAGCGAGACGTTCTGTAGCCTTCAGTTGCGCCGCGCTTCAGCCTTGGCCTGCTTGGTGAAATGGCTCTTGAGCTGGTCCATGCCACGATCGATTGATGAGAACTCTGCATGGTTTTGCTGCGGTGCCGCTTCATGCGCACTATCCATGGCTGAACTTCGAGATCCATGAAGCCTGCTCCTGTGCTGTGCTCTGCTCTGCTCCTGCCATGGCACTGCCATGGAGCCCAGGCAGGAAGCTCGTTTCCCAGGATTGGAGACGGAAATCTGCGACGTCGAACTGGTCAGCTCCAGCACCGCCGCTCCACCCAGCCCCATCCATCCTCCTCCTTCCCAAACTCGCCTCGATGGTCGAGTGTCGCTCTCGAAGCTCGAGTATTCCACGTGGCAAAGGCTCTGAGTTTTTCGAGCCAAACAAAGAGCGCCCCGTTGTCGCTTTTGTTGCTGCGAGCGCCGAAATTCCAGCGGCGGGAAGCGAGCCAGCTTCCAGTCACAGTGGAAGTTCCACTGCGTTCGCTGGTCATGACGGCGAGAGGTCCCGGATCTGTCGACGAGCAGCACACTCGCAGATACTTTGCAAATTCGAGCAGTCGTTGAACCAACTAACTCTACCGTACAGTGTACATGTAGCCCGCTGACCAGCAACTCAAAGATGGCTCAGACGCTGTAGATATGAGAGACGCTTGCTGAATGCTTCTTGGCGACAGGCAGCGAAGCTCTTGAAGCGATTGCTGCCCGTACACGAGCGCTGCGAGCGCTCAACGGAAGTGACAGCGATATGCGTGACTGCAATGCAATAGTCTTTGCTGCCGACTGGTGAATGCCACTCGCATTCATCGCTTCGAAAAACTAACTTCGGTCTCGACAGCCATCGAACAGTGCCGGAGCATACAGTATCCAGTATTCGAGTCGCAGTGTGTCGACATCCTCACTGCATTGAACTAAGTTGGCGACTCAGTACACCAGTGCCAAGCCTAAACCAGTCTACACGAACGATTCAACCTGTAAGCTTAGACAACAACCCCTTCAACCTCGAAGACAGGTTTCCCTACGGCAAAGATGCTTTCTAACCGGCCTAAATGGAAGAGCTCGCGCCGGTGAATAATCTGGTTGGCACTCAAATGTATCCAAGGTATTAAAACTGCAATGAAATTTATGCCTTTCCAGGATACACTTCTTCACGTTGCGTGTCAAGGTTGCCACGTACCCAAGTGTCTTTTTAGCCACTCAAATCACTCCAAGTTAATTCTCTGCACCAATCACCGCATCCTAACCAAGGTGGCCGCTGCATCATCGCCGCCAAGGTCGTGACGTTCCTGCAGCACCCCCGACACCCCCAGGACAGCCCGAAGAAGCACCGCACGCCATGGGCAACCCGCGCCATGTTATTGTCGACGAACAGGTGACCGCGCTGGGGTCCAGCGGCGCGACGACGGCCTTCGAGTTGGGTCTGCTGGTGGGCCAAGTGAGCTCCTCGAATGCTGGCGACTCCGTGCTGGCGGTGGTGCCCGTTCCGTCGGAGAGCGAGACCGGGGAGGCTGCGACTGCACTCAGCGACGTGTCAGTCGACTGGGTGCAAGAGGTGGCTCAGCAGGTCGACCGCTTGCTGCCCGGAGGTATCACCGTGCTGGGGCTGTACGTGGTTTCGGCTCGGGACGTTTCGACGCTGCTTGTGCCGTACCTGCGCGCCACTGCTGAGGCGGTGGCGCTGCCCTCCAACGTGAACGTCGGAGACAATGTCCACTACCTGGCACTTGTGTCTGCGAGCGGGGATGTTGCGTTCCAGAGTTTCTACGACGTGGCGGATGTCAACAAGACTCAAATGTTGCCTGCGGAACGCAAAACCCCGACGACAGACATGAAGTTCAAGCAGTACCGTACGCTGGTTGACCTTGACGAGCCCACCCCGTTCGTGAATGTCCCGCCAAACGCGGCGATGGCGGCTACGGAGGTGGTTGAGAGACGTATGAACGAGGTGGAGAAGCAGTTGAAACCGTTCTTCCGCCGGGTGGAAGACTCCATTGCCGTTCCCAAGCTCACGGGAGATACGGTGGCTCAGCACATGAACCTGCTGACGTTGACACCTCCCGAAACGAAGCAGTTTGTCGAGGATGTAAGTGGCGTACACCTTTTTAGTTTGCGTCCGAGCTGTACTAACGAAATGGTTTTGTGTCACTCGTGTTTTGTAGCCGCTGGGTGGCATCCACGGGTCTATTAGCTGCGTGGCTTTCGTGAACCAAAACGAACCCGAGGCGAACGAGGTGGCAGCGAATTACCTCAAGCGAGACTTTGTGAAATCCTTGTTGGTGCGTGTGGCGTTGGCTCGTGAGAGGTGGGCTGAGGACGACGAAGGTGGGCTCAAAGATCTCGAGAAAATCTTGCACATCAAGAATCTTGTTGCTGATCTTCTGATATGTGTCTACAGTTGAGCCCAACGCAGTGTTCAAGGAAGGTGGCACCATTCGTCTCGCGCAGCGCGGTCTCGTCCCGTGGCGCTCCGCAGCCGCGTCGAGTCCGCACTTTTCCGCAACGATCCACGTGTTCCCCGACGAAGACGTGGTTCAGGCGGTGAAGAATGCGCTCGAGATCCTCGGCGGAGGCGCTAACAACGACGCCGCTGGCTGGGCTGCAATGGAGATCGGCGGCCAGTTAGGCTCTCCCATGGATCTGACGTTCGGGGTTACCGAGTCGGAGCACTTCAAGTTCGTCTACTACCTGCTGCCAGTGGTCCTCGTACTGATCCTTCTGGTAGCCCAGTACATCATGTGAGGAGGACGTTAACCTAAAAAACATTGCGAACTTCATTTCTTACGAGGAATCTCGTTGCCTGAGTTTTTGGACTTGGTACTGTGCTGTTGCCGGCTTCATCTGAATGGATTATTGATGTACGAACGAACTGAGCTCGTGGTGTTTTTGCTGTGATAAGCTTGGTGTGTTGCATTGAACTTTTAGTTTTCTACAGATTTCTTGTATACATCTAGATCTACATCGATTCTATCCTCTATCGCGAACGCGTACTTGTGCGCGCGCGTTTAATACATAGCGCTGAAGGCCCACTCGACGTTGCTGGCCTCAAGAATACGGGACTCGAGGCCGAACTCGGCGAACGTCTTGCTCTCGGCCTCGACAATCTCCAGCTCGTCGTCCTCCGACGCCTGCTGCTGCTCGACCTCCTCCTTCTCCTCCTTCACAGGCTGCTGCTCCTCCTGCTTCTGCTTCTGCTGCTGCTCCTGCACCGCGTCCTTCATGGCGCGGATGGTGCGGTTGACCTTCTCGAGGTACACCATGTTGGACTTGCAGTCCACCGAGCAGAAGCCCGGGTGCTTGCTCAAAGTCTTGAGGTAGATGTGCTGGCAGTTGGCGCACTTCTCGCGCTTCTTGTCCCAGTGGGCGATGCGGCGGCGCGGCAGCCCGCGGGGTTCCTCGGCCTGCACGCGCGAGTGCGCGCTGGGGCGGGCCGGGTACGAGCGAGGGCTGCCGGGGGCGAGCAGCACCGGCTTCTGCTGCTTGGTGGCCTCAGCGGGGGCCGACTTGGCCGAGGTGAACAGCATGCTGCTGGCGAGCTTCTGCAGGAAGGCGTCCATTGTGACAGAAGGTAGATTCGAACTGTGAACTGTAGGAGGCACTTGCGCTCGCTGCGGCAAAAACTGAAGTGAGTTGCTAAGTGCTGAGCTGGCCGGCGGGCCATCTGGTCGAAACGCTGCCCTTTTTTGCTAGTAGGAGTGGCACAACTGCAGCAGTCGATACAAAGTCTGGCAGGGTTTTACCAGCCCATCTCCCTCTGGCTTGGGCTATCCACAGTGCAAGAGCGGCAACAGAACGGAACAAGGGACGAGGAAAAATGAAAAGCCGGAGATCAGAACAGGGGTAAGTTGCTTTCCGCCCTAGCCCCCGCTCGGGCAAAAGCACCGGCAAGCTTGCCTTCTGGCTCAAAACGGCTGGGCCAGCCATCGGCATTTTGACTGTAACATGGCTCGGCCTTGTCGTGTTGAGCTCGCGCTCGACGCCGCGAGCTCAATTCCACGGACATGAAAGGTTGCACGCTGCAACAGTACGGTACAGCATCTGTAGTGTAAATTTCGCTGGAGACAGCCAGAGCGCTCTATGGGTGTAGCGATATATTCCCGAGCTTTGGCAGCTCTCGCTGGCGTTCACCTACACCGCCGGAGCTCATGACGTTAGAATGTTTGACTAGCTCCTGGGAATTGATCTCGGCCAAAAAGCCCGTCGATACCGTTTCTCCGGGATTCCAGCTGCCGCTGCGCGCGATGAGGAGGCGAAAGTTTGCTAGCTTTCAAGTCGAGCACTCCCAGATGTGACTACAATTAGTCAAGTAAACTTTGGCAGAGCCACCCCCGGTATACCCGCCGAGGATGAATTGACGAAACAAGCCGCATTTATAAATCCATATATGTTCGTACAAGCTGTCGTCACTTAACGCTCCGTGCTCTGAGCGGTCGAAATAGGTCGCCCCGCATGGCGTATAACACTGCAGTACAAATGTAAATGTAGCTCGTGCTTACGAGAAGCCGTGTTTGCGGACGATCCTCCCATGCCATTGCCGGCTGTGGAAACCCGTCGTAAAACACCACCACTTGCATACATACACCCCAGTTGGGATCTAGAAATGCTTTGGTACTTTAGGCAAGATACGGTCTGACGACGAGAACTAACGTCTGGGGAGGTTTGGTTTGCCAGCTTACTTAAGAGACCCCAAATAAACCCGCTGGTACATGTGTACATGTACTGTATTGTGTGTTGTACCACAACCGCGGGCTGAAATGCGGCCGAGTGATGAAATGAAGGCTGTGCTGCTGAAATGGAACGGTCGTCTCTGTCCGCATCTTGAGACGAGAAGCAAGCTCTTGAGAAACTCGAAGCTGAAAGAGAAGCCGCCGGCTCTCCTCCTCCGCTTTACACTCCGCCGTCGATCGTTCACAACCTAATGTTAAAGCCGCCAAGGCAGCTCTCCTTTTCGCGCCTCGGGAATGCGACGTTTGCCGGTGCAACACTTTGAACTTTGAAGTGCAAAGTTGCTTTCGTCGTCGCGTTGAATCCACTGCAACTTCAGTTTTCAAGTCTGCGCCAAAGGTCTCGCAGGGATACGGAGCCCGCGGCGTTGGGTAATGCCGAAAGACTGAAAAGCTGGGCTTTGCCTCAGCGACGGCCAGCTTGCGACTCGCACCCTTCGCAACTTGCGTGGCGTTTCCTGGAATCTCCACACTAGTACTGTACGTGGCAATTTGTACATGTAAACCAACAGAATGACGCGTCGACAACCCCGGCACAGGCATTGTGACACCACCCCGTTCATGCCATGAATCATGGGCGACTGTGCATTGCATACGCGCTCCAAAAGCATCAGCGAGGACGACAACACCATGTGGAGTCTTCAAAGCGGATGAAGTGTTTCATTCGTACAGTACAGTTGGCAGCACAAAGTCATCCCCACGGGTTGCTGCATGCATGCCGAAATGCGAGGTGTGTAAGCTTATCACCTCAACTTGGGCCCCTTGTTTGGATGCCGCTTGGGACAGTTTCTCGTGCTTCCTATCCTCGTCACGACATACCGCTGCCTCGGCGCATATTTCAGCAGCACTCGATCGAGGATTGCTCGAATGGTATCATCAGCAAGCGGGCTGGGCGCCGGGCACGCCTGACTCGATCCTCCTGCCCCCCCCCCGCTTGTCGTAATTGACTCAGCAAGGAGTGGCGGTCATGTACCACTGCAGTTCTTGCAGGGTGTCCAAGCCTGTTGCGCTCTACTGTACCTTCATCTTGCGAACGAGCTTGATGACTCGTCCATTTCTGAAGCAGGGCCTGCCTGCTGCCTCGTCACTGACTGGGCTGATGGACTGCGCCGGTGTGCAGGCGCCAGGCAACGACTGGGTGGTGCAGAGTGCCCCGGCAAATGAGACAGATCGGCGCCGCAATGGCGGCGTTGGCGCTGATGAGTGTGTGATCCGGTGTCGTCGGGTCGACCGAGTTGGTTGAAAGCGCCGACCGACAGGGCGCCATCATCTTGAAATGAATGGCTCGCGAAGTGGCCTGGTGGCGGGCTCTCTTCGCCGTGTCTGTCAGCATGACGACCGAGTCCCTGCTTGCATCTCGCACTGTCTGCCAGGGCTGTACGGCTCTCTCGCTAAGAGTTGGGGGCCCCAACTTGGGGCTCTCGGCCAGAGTCTGAAGGGGACTGGGCGGGCCAACGATGCAGGCATCCCTGGCTACAGTACAGTGTACCATTCCCTCGCCAGGCAAGTCGCTTCATCGACGAGAGTAAAGGATACAGTATCCTTTTAGGTCTGCAGGATACTTTGGCTTCAAGCCACAGGGGTTGAAACTGAAGTCAAATCGGCACCCGCTTGCAGCGGTATCGACAATCAAGGGATCGACAATGGACTAGTGGCCCGACAGGTCTTTGATTTACGAGGTCGGCTACGCCGTCTGCTTGCTAACGCTACGTATGCACCAAGCGCCTACATCCTTCTCCCTCCCTTCCGAGGCTAAACGTCACCGGATATGCATGTCGGGAACATGAACGCAAGCAGTTCAACCGTGCCTCCCCTCCTGGCTGACTGAATAACTTGACTGCTGTCCGGCCAACTCCGCGGTACTTCCTCCTCTCGTTTTTCTTGTCTTTTTCATGATTTATCTTCTCGTCCTCGCTCGCCCGGGCTCGTCATTTATCACGCCGAAACCCACGGACGACACTTCCTGCTCCTTCGCTCCAAACCACACTGGACTCCTCAGCCCGCTTCCACGCGATCGGGCTTGCTCTCCGCCTTCGTGACTCGTTTCGATGCTCCTCCTCTTCGACCTCCTCCCTCAAACATGCCCCATAATATTGATAGCGTAGTGTGTTTGCCTTCGTCAAGCGCTCTAGTTGCTGGAGGGCAGCGAAGCAGCGCCGCCGCTCTGGGCAGTCATGTCATTGGCATTGTTGTCCATGTGGCCAGGCATCTCGCCGAACATGGGGCCCTGGTTCTTCTCCTTCTTGTGCTGCACTTTGAGGCGCTTGCGACCAACCTGGAAGCCATTCATGCCCTTGATGGCAGCTTCGGCCGACGGGGCATTGTCGTAGCTCACGAAACCTAAAGATACCAATAAAACCAGTCAGTCTGCGTAGCTCTTCTCTTACAGCGCGGGCTGCTGCCACGTACCAAAGCCACGGCTCCTTCCCGTCTCCTTCTCCACCATGATGCGAGCGCTAATCACGTTGCCGAACGTGGCGAAGTAATTGAAGAGATCCTGGTTAGTCATGTCGTTCGGGATGTGGAAGACAAACAGGTTGCATCCAGGGGGTCCTGCACGCAACAATACACAACACGCAATGTTTCCAATCACGCACACACGTGAAGCAAGTGTGATGATTTTCAACATTTAGTTTCATGCACAACACACACGATATACAGGCAGGCAGGTAGAAATGCACTCAATCATGACTCACCTTGGCCGCTCTCCGTGGTCTGGATAGGAGGGCCCGGACCCACGATCTGCGGCGGGTAACCTTCACATTACAAAGCAACGCGACGCAATGCACATCAGGAAACGTCCATACACATAAAGCCCTCTCTTGCCAACGTACCGTAAGCCTGCGGGAACGGGTACATGTAACCGCTGCCACCGTACGGGGGCGGGTACTGCATCGGCTGGCCGTAAGGCTGCGGGTATCCTCCGTACGCCGCGGCGCCTGCATCAATACACGCAACACCGCCATGGTAGGAAAAAGGATCAGCTTCACCGCTGCCACACCTAGCTATCGACGGACTGTAGTGTACTACAGCCGACACAAGAAGAGGATCGCGGACGCACCTTGCGGGGCCTGTCCGCCAAGCTGTGGCTGCTGGAAGCCTCCAGCCTGCTGCTGCTGCGGCTGTTGCTGAGGCTGCTGCTGCTGCTGAGGGGCGCCAGCACGAGGCAACTCGGTTTGCGGGGCTGTGAGCTCGGCCGGGCTGCAGGGCCGAAAGATAAGATACACAGAGGAAAGGTAAGCGCCGGACGAGGAGCTACGTTAAGAGGATAAAGAGAAGACGCACCGCTCCCACGTGGACTCGCCCGTGACGGCGTTGTAGTAGTACTTGCGGCCATTCGGCGCGTCGTGCTCCGACCACTGCGAGGCCGCGGGCGCTTGGGCCTCGCCGCCGGCGTTGGGATCCACTTGGTCGGCCATGGTGCGTGGCTGGCTGGTGGTATGCAATACACGCAAAATGAAAAATGCAGCGCGGGGGGCTACGGGGCTGGCGGCCTGCTGGCGGCCTGCTGGCGACTGGGCTGCGGGCGGGCTGGGCTGGGCTGGTCGACGACGACGGACGAGGCTGTGGGCGACTCGATCCGCTGCTTCACCCTGAGTTTCCTTCGTGCAGTGCAGAATATGGGGGTAGCGGGGAAGCGAGGGGGGACGATTCTCGCTTGAGTGCCTTTTTACCGCGTTTGTGTGACAAATGGTCACTCAAGCGCGGGAAATTGGCACTCAAGTGAGAAACGTCCCCCTCTCGTTCACGAGGTTTTCGGCCAATGGAGATGCTAGACGGACGCCATTGGCTGAAAAGTGAAACGGAAGATCGCATCCAACTTGAAGCTGCCTGCAACCGTCCTCGGCAGGGCCAACCAGTGCCATGGTAGGAATAGTACTCGGCTGTGGTCACAAGTATTGTACAGATCGAATCGCGATAATGAAGATTGGTAAGTAGCCGCAGAGTTGAGGGTCAAATTGTCGCTGTTGAACCAGGATTGAAGCACATTCAGCATGTGCATGTAGCGGCAACTTTGTATTGACGATCAGTCGTGTTTCTTGGCATAACAGAATGAAGGTCACCACGATATGCCACTGGGTCAAGTCGCTGTGGAAAGTTATCAAAATGAGTGGTGCATGTCAAAATATCTCCGGTATGAGCAGACTTTATAGAGCAAACGGTCTGCGGAAACGTCGTAGTTGCGATGTCGTAGTTGCCACAGACATCTTGCTCTACATGTAAAAACTCTGATTATACCGGAGATAACTTGACGTAGCTCTGACAGTGACAACCTGCGTCCAACGAACGCTAGCCTACGCCATTTCGAGTGCTACTCTCTATCACCCTTTCAACGTAACGGAACTTCTTTGTGCTTTGGTCCGTGCACCATAGTCTTCGCCGCCGCCCTCGTGCTGGAGTTGGCAGTGAAAACCTGAAACAAAAGACCCGCAGCAACGTGAGGGACGATCACGATGTGGTACGTGTACAATGTAAGCTGTTACGCTCGACTTACGCCTTTCATCTCAGTAAGAGTATACCCCCGTCCAGATACTCACAGCATCACATCGATCTTTATTTGAGCTTTTTTAGTGTCCTGCGGTAGTGGCTGACAAGTTGCTAGGTTGTTGCTTTGGGAGCTCAGCGAGCCGAAAAGAGTTATGCCGGATCTTGTCTAGAACAGCGCCAGAAGGCCGGCGTTCAGTGATTGATCGGGGACTAAATTATGCCCAGAGGTACATGCGAAGATCTCATGTACTAACAGAGGCGCGCACTCGTTGGATATGCATTGTAAAAGCGATTCTAGGCACCTAGGTCGGCTTCATTGAATGGCAAGATCGCGAAGGACTCAGAGGAAATACTTGCGTACGCGCTTGACAACAACTATGTTGCTCTGAATCGGAACCAGCTACAGCGGTAAATGATATTACGTTGAGCCAAACTGCGGTAACATCAGCGACTTGCTTAAACTATTCAAGACATCATTGCAGTTGCAGGATACACCGTCGGGGCGATTTATTGGCACAACGCCCCAACATTGCTGCCGTCATGTTGATTTATCAGGTTGCTCCTCATTCCCTGGGCACTTCGATGCTGTAATGCAGTAATTTACAGCGACCCTCCTGTGGCGTTGGAAACGTCTGATTCTTGCGCAGTACGCGCTGGTGTTCGACCTTCTGGCGTGACTGCGTCTTATAAGGGCGTTTGGTTCAACGTGCGAATGCGCGGCGGAGGGTTGTTGTCGCTATCTCCACGCAAGACGCATTGCTGTGTACCGTATTATAATACACTGGCCATCAGACTTGAGATCGTTGTGGATGAGGACCACACCGAGGCGGCTCTGCCCTGGGAGCTCTTATCATGCACGAACAGCGAGCCATAGTCGACAGGCGCATGACAGGCGCCGCCCGTTTCGCTAGTGGCGCCACGAACGCGATTGCAGCGGGTGTTCGGCCCGCGTCCACCGTGAAGCGGGGAGCTCGAAGATGGAGACGCCAAGGACGCCAAGTGGTCCAAGCCCGCGGCGCGGGCATGCCCATCAAACGCGTAGATTCCGCCACGTTTTTTAGTCTGAGAGACTAACCCATCTGGCGATTAATTCTACCCATAAACGAGTCAGTTCGCGGCTCGGCCAATCACGGAGCTCGAAAACTCGTCAGAAACGGAGCTTCAACCCTCGCGTCCTGACGATACCGGTACTGTATTGCCCCGGGACAAAAATTCGTGGGTGCAGGACAGACCCGGCATACTGGGGGCAAGTGTTCAGTCTCCGCTGGCCCAGAAGCCGGTAGAGGCTGTGAGCTGTTAGCACGCACGCAGAGAGAGAGACGGCATTCCCAGTTTTGCGTCGCCTCCCGCCAGCCTTCGAGGAAGCAGGAAGCTACTGCACCAGCAAGTTGAGGAAGGAGCTCTACCCCTCCCACCCTCGCTGCTGTTATCCCCCCCCTCCTTCAAGCAACTAACTACCCGCGATGGTGGCCGCCCGCAAGGTGCTCATCGTCGTCGGTGTGCTCGTGGTCATCGGTGTGGCCATCGGCATCATCGTCGGCGTCACGAGCGGTGGCGACGATGACAGCGCCAACACCAGCAGCGGAGAGACGACCTCCAGCAGCTCCGGCTCGGGCACGGGCACGGCGTCGGGCAAGACGTCCACGTCCACCAATGTGAGCGAGTCGGACCTGCTGACCAACACAACGGCCAGCGGCAGCGGATCGGTCAACAAGGAGCCGTCGAGCGACCCGGAAGAAGCCAAGGCCGCCCTCACCATGCTCGCCATTGGTGACTGGGGCGCCACGACGGACAAGCCCGGCTCGTGCTGCAACAAGTATCGCAAGGTGGCCAACGACTCGCTCGAGATGAAAATCGACTACTGGGCGCAGATCAACATCGCCGAGATCCTGGCCCAGGCCGCTGGTGACATCAAGCCCGTGCGTATCATTGGCCACGGTGACAACATCTACTGGAACGGTGCCGGTCCCGACGACATTGACTACCGCATGGAGACCACGTTCGAGAGCGTGTACGACCAGCCGGAGCTGGAAGGCATCCCATGGATCAACGTCGTGGGCAACCACGATCTCGGCGGCTCCGAGTACATTTGCGGCGACAAGGACTACAACTTCCGTGAGTGCGAGAGCACCGAGGAGATGCTCAAGTACCTGAACCTCAAGTTCTCGCTGCAGCAGGAGTACAAGAGCGCCAACAGCGACCGTTGGAAACTCTCGGACCACTACTACGTCGAGAGCGTCGAGGAGAACGGCGTGTCGGTCGACATCTTCAACATTGACACCAACTTCGCCGACTCGCACGGCGTCATGCAGATCTGCTGCCAGTGCTACGGCTACGTGAAGAAGAAAAAACTGAGCGAGAAGGAGGCCAAGGCTCTAGGCAACACGTGCAACGACCGCATCCCCGGTGACGAGCTCTGCGCTGGTGGTGACACTGAGATGTACAATGCCTGCGCCGACACCATCAAGCAGTGGTGGGACGACTCGCTTGAGCAGGTCAAGAAGGACCTGGCGGCCTCGACCGCCACTTGGAAGATCATCAACTCGCACTACTCGCCGCACTTCCACATGAGTGAGGACAAGATGAAGGAGTGGTTCATGATCACCAAGGAGGGCGGCGCCCACGTCTGGTTCAACGGCCACACGCACGGCTTCAACCACGACATCAGCAACTGGGGCACTCACTTCTACGAGAACGGTGGCGGCGGTGGTATCCAGTCCGAGACGTCGGGCATGCCCCCTGAGGTGGCCGAGAAGTATGTCGAGCACGCGTGGATTGCCGCCGGCAACCCGTACGGCTTCTTTATGCTGCACTTCTCGGAGGACTGGCTCAAGACCGAGTTCGTCACCTTCGACGACAAGTGGACGTTCAGCGTCAAGAAGGACGAGATCGTTAAGGGCGGCTATCAGAAGGGTCACTGCTGGCACGTGCCGGTGACTGTCGGCGCTGGCAAGGAGTGCACCAGCAGCAAGAGCACAGTCTAAACTCTGTAACCTCTTCATCAGCGCGTGCAACCCAGCTCGGCGCTTTTAGTGTTTGTAGAGAACTTCTTAGTGACCGACAACCGTCGTTCACTGTTTTGCCCAGCAATCCATCGAATCAATATCATTGCTAAACTCAACTCAACTTGTTAAATACTTAAACTGCGCAACTGCGCCGCTAGTCAACTAATGCCATGTCGGCATGAGCATCTGCAGGGGTCCTGGACTGCCCACCCATTTGGAGGTGACTTTGCCCTGTGCCACCTGGATGCGATTTGGCTCCGTTGTCAGCGAGGCTGTTGGTAGACGACGGTTGCTCCTGTTGGTGTTGATGCTGCTGTGGTGCGGGATGTAGTTGAGATTTCTCCGAGCCTGGATCGTGGTGCGGATTTGGGTGGATAGCTTTCGATGTACTGCAATGGTCGATCGTTCCACCCGACACCCTCTTGACGACCAAAGGCGAATCCTGCCTCCCACCTTCGTTCGTTTTCCCGTCCTGCCTCCCGTTCACCGGGCGGTTTTCCGTGTTTCCAATAACCTCCCCGTTCCTTGGCTGCACTTGAGTCTGGTGGTTTGGTGGTGAGTGAGTCTGCGCGGGCTGCTCGCTATTCCTGTGTCGCTCTTCCTCCTGCTGCCGAGTCTGATTCACCTGCGCCTTCTCCACCTCCAGTTCGTCCACCTGCTTCTCCAATAGGTCGACTTGCTTCTCCAATCCTTCGTTCTGCTGCTCTAACTCCTTTACCCGCCGCTTCAGCGCTTTATTCTCCGCGCTCGTCTTCGCCACGAACTCCTCCGCCTGAGCACGCAGCGCCGCCCGCTCTTCTTCGAACTGGCGACTTAACTGCACCTCCATATTGCTCACGTACTGCTTGGCTTCTTGCACTACAGTCCCGTGCACGCGTCCGAATTCCGCGATTCTCTTCAGTTGCTCGTCTGTAGAGTACACCACAAACGGGTTAGTACCAGCTCCAAACACTAACAGAAATGCACCAAACCTACTCGTAAAATGGTCTTCAATGTGCATAATAACCCTCTGCTGCCACTTCTCGAGCTCCGCGACGGAGATCGTCACAACCGCTTGTTGCTCCTCCTCCTGGTCGCTGGAATCCTCTGCTACCTCCTGTCGATGGATCACGCCGTCGTCTCCGCTGCTCCGTCGCTTGCGTCGGTTCTTCCGTCCTGTGCGAGTATCCTCGCCAATGGGTAACGCTGAGTGCAGGCTGTGGAGCCGAGAGTTCGGCAGTTGCACGCCGTCCGAGGAGGACTCCGTGTCCATCGCCGTCGGCTCCTGTATAATGCCTCCCGACCCACGCCGAGAGGGCGGAGACCCATCGTCCGCTCGACTGGACGCCTCGGAGTCAGCTGAAGACGAGCGCGAGGCATGTGGATCCACGTAGCGCCGAGCGGAGTACCTGCGCGTGGGTGACTTGGTCCTGCCCATCGTTACTGAAGACGCCACTACTGGATCAGGGTTTGGTAGTAGTGAGAATTTCGGCTAGCAGTGATACTACTACTACTACCCGGCTCAGAGCCGATAGCACTAATACTACTATTAGTAGTCGGAGAACGCCATTAGTAGATATCACTACTAATACCACTACTATAGCACTACTATAGTACTACTATTCCCACTATCGGCGAGATAAAGACGCCCGTGCCGCAGTGTAATTGGTCTGCGTACTCGATATTTGTCAATCCTAAGAGCGGGAGTAGTATCCTGGTATTTCAGCCAATCATGTTCGTAGTGGCCTCGCCACGAAGTAACCAGCCGGAACACACGTTCTAGGAACGCTGTTGAACAATCACGCCCCAGCTAAACTCGAGCATGTGTAGCAGCTGACTGCAACGTCGACGAGGACATCAGCAAGTCTAAATTTGTACAGTGAGATTTAGCAGCTTCGAGCACAACAGTAACTCAGACACGCACCAGGACCAGCCACCTTACGGGAAATTGCACTTGGATCCCTGAAGACAGGACAATTGTGAGCACGTCTCCGGGTTCACGCACAGCAAAAAATAAGCATACATACCTTGTCCTTGTAGTAGGCGAGCTTCCACACCATGGACGATGTCGTCGGGGATGCTGTTACTGACTCTGCTCCTCCGGTGATCTCAAGGTTCTTGAACTTCAGCGCTGCTATCCTTGAAGAGCTTGCTGAGGCGCGAGCTGCTGCAGAACCTGCTGGTAGAAGTATTAGCCAAGCTAGATGATGCATGTTGGCAGCCCTTCCGTTTTGAGAGGTCGACGGACTACTCGAATGGTGAATACACGATCGAATGACAGGCCTTCTACCGCGCTTTAACTGCTTGTTCCCCGCTTGAGTTTTCAGAAATGAGCTAGGGGGCGCGAAGTGCGGGGAGGGGAGGGCTGAGAACCACCAAATTTGCGCGCCTTTTAAAGATCTGACGTGGGTTGATGTTCGGGAAAGTAGTAGTGATATTATCACTGCTATTATCACTACTAGTGGCGTTTTTTATCGCTACTATAGCTATATTACTACTATGAATCCCAGACCCCAGTGCTATAGTAGTGCTATAGTAGTAGTAATATTATCACTACTATCGCTACTACTCTGCTGACTACTACCAAGCCCTGTACTGGATTGGAACTGTTTGAAAACAACACAAATGCACTCCACGATGATAGGCCAAAAAGCGCTTATTGAAGACATGTGATTGGCTATGGGGTGATTAGGACCTATAGCCGGTCAAAGTCAGCGGAGCTGCTGCAGGATGCGCGCTGGAGGACAGAGGAGGACAATTTGCGTTAGGTACATGTTGAAGGAGATGATCACCAAAGTTTGCAAAAGTGATCGACGCGTACCTGCGAGGACGGCGGCACCGAAGCCATTGTCGATGTTGACGACACCCACTCCAGGCGAGCACGCGTTGAGCATTGTGAGCAATGGAGCTAGGCCGCCGAACGCCGCTCCGTAGCCAACGCTCGTAGGGACTGCGATCACTGGTGAAGATGTGAGACCGCCCTGTAAGCAGCACGAATTGAGTCAGTAAAAATACGGAACTGGAATGCTGCAGACAAACAAGCGCCATACGCACCACAACGCCGGGCAAGGCGCCGTCCATGCCAGCAACGCAAATTGCGACGTCCGATGCCCGCAGGACGTGCTGGTTGCGCAGCAAGCGGTGGATCCCAGCCACACCCACGTCGTAAAGTTGAGTGACCTTATAATCAGCCAGTTCTGTCAACAGCAGAGTGGTTAGTACGTTAAAAACCTTCATATTGCACGCAGGAAAGGAGTTGAAGGAAGCTAAAGCTCTTTACCAAGTGTAACAGCGGCTTCTTCAGCGACAGGGAGATCTGAAGTTCCCGCGCAGAGCACGCATGCGGTGGGGGTCTTCTACCAAAAAAAAGTTAGCGTAGCTAGTCGCAAATATGACAACTTCGCCATTCCACGAGCAGCATTTACCTTCTCCTGATCCTCAGTACTTTCCTCCTTCTTCGCGGCGTCCAAAGATTTTGAGGCCAAGATACGAGGCACTTCGTAGTACGTCAAATGCTGACCCTGCCAAGCCATACCAAGTATCCATCGACTGTCAAAACACAATCCTTTATCGCGACTTCAGCACCTCCCTTCTCAGTTCGTACCGGCATCAACGCTTGAATAGCATCCGCAGCCTCCGGCGTCACGCGCGAAGCCATGACATTGTCCTCGCCCCCGTCAATCATGACCTTCATGATAGCCGCCACCTGCTCTGGCGTCTTGCTCTCGGCATACACGACCTCCGGGAACCCCGTGCGCGCCTCCCGCTTGGTGTCGATCTTTGCAAAATCCCCCACTGTCTCGTACTCCGCAGCGGGGCCACAGAGCTCCGCCGCCGCTTGAGGTGAGACCTTCCCCTCCGCCACTCGCTGCAGCAGCTCCAGGATCGACTTTTTGTCCTCCGCCAGCGGACTCGACGAGGTGGATAGTCCCGCGATGCGGGACTTCGGGGCAACACATTGTCCACCGTTTGCAGCGACTGCAAAACGTAGCGAAGACGGACGACGTGCGCGCAGAAGAGCACCAGCGAGCTTCATGGGTCCGTGGGGCGGGAGGAGCTTAACTTTGATCAGACTGACACGCCACGTCAGACTATCCACACTATTGCAAAATTCACATTTTGAGCTCCCTATTGTCAAAATTGTGCGTCGTGTGATTGAGCTCCTCGACGATGGCGACGACTGCCACCCCCGCGTGCCCCCGCTGCTCGACACTGGAGAAGGAGCTAGTGGAGCTTCGAGCGCAGAACGAACAGCTTCAAGCACAGTTGAAAAAGGCCCAGACACCGGATGAGACCGTTATCAAGCCTCAAGAAGACAAGACCGAGGAGGATTCACCGGATACTTCGACGTACTCGCCGTTCTCAAGGGCGGAATTGCAGCGTTACGGGCGGCAAATGCTCGTTAAAGAGTTCGGAGTCGAGGCGCAACTCAAGTTGCGTGCTGCGCGCGTGCTGCTGATTGGCGTCGGGGGACTTGGGTCACCAGTTGCAATGTACTTGGCCGCTATGGGAGTCGGGACGTTGGCTGTCGTGGATGGGGACCATGTCGACCGTAGCAATTTGCACCGTCAGATTCTCCATGACGAACAGGGAGCAAAGCAACGAGAGAAGAAGGTGGACTCGGCCAAGAGACGACTGCAAGAGATGAATCCGTTGGTTCACTGCATCGTGTACCCGACGCGGTTCACTGCTGCCAACGCTTTGGATCTTGTTGGCGAGTACGACGTCGTCGTCGACGCCTCGGACAACGTCGGGACTCGTTATCTCGTTAATGACGCATGCGCTCGCCGACGCAAGCCGTTGGTATCGGGAAGCGCGCTGGGTCTGGAGGGACAAGTGACGGTGTTCACATACAAGGACGATGGAAGTGCAACGGGATGCTACCGGTGCTTGTATCCGACACCGCCGCGAGTTGCGATGAGCTGTGCGGAGAACGGTGTTATCGGAGTTGTGCCCGGAGTGATCGGATGTCTTCAAGCAATGGAAACCGTCAAGGTCGTCACGGGGGTCGGAGAGCCCCTCGATGGTGTGCAGTGCTTCTACGACGCGTACGACGGACAATTTCGTCGCTTGAAAATCGGCAAGAAGCGGAATCCTGACTGTCCGTCCTGCGGCCAAGGAGCCATCGGCTCTGAAGTGATGTCATTGGACGCTGCTCTACTTGTTGAAGGCACTTGCAATGATGGAAAAGCGGTGGACGACCTTGGACCTGAGTTTCGTATCAGTGGTGAGGAGTTCCAGAAGGTGCGCAAATCTGTTGAAGGCGAAGGCACGCAACGAAACTATGTGTTGCTGGACACTCGTGCACAAACGCAGTTCAATATGGTGCACTTCCCCGAGGCAGTGAACATCCCAACGGCTCAGTTGATGAAGCAGGACCCCTCCAAAGTCATCGCAGTTTTGCATGATGGAGTCTCAAAAGCTGCTGCTGCGTACTCCAACCGAACGTTCGTGATCTGTCGTCGAGGCGTGGACTCTGTCAAGGTGACACGATGGCTGCTCCGCGGTGGCGTTGAGAACGTGTTCAACATCAATGGCGGATACACCGAATACGCGAAAGAAGGCGGCGTAGACCCGACGTTTCCGATGTATTAAAGCATGGGAAGTATAGCTGATAAAGCAGCGTTCATGAGAGATTTGACTGGTACTAAATCGGGGATCCTTATGATTTCATATGGCATTGGTAAGGGTATAAATCGGTGTAAGGTTAATAAAATGGGGGTTGCCTCATTACCCGCCAGAAATACGACGAGCGACCACTTACCGCCACGAGCTGAGTGATTCGCGTACCTACTAACGAGAAATAGCATCACGTGCATTAAATACGCTTCTGTGAGCTTCGATGTGTACTGCTATCTATTTATCAAGTTCTGTATTTGCGCTGTCATTTCTCGTCAGCATTAGCGTTTGTCGGTTTTACGTTAAATCGGCCACCGAATGCCGTGTGGGTGTCGGACATTCGGGCTGATTAGCATGCAAATCAGCCGTCCCGGGCTTTGTAAGCCGTGAAGCAGCTAAATCAGCTTGCCACATGGCGTTGTAGGCACAACTGACCGCTCTGTCAAATCAGAGTACAAATCTTAGTCTGTCGATCTAATTAGGAGGTCGGATTTAGCAAATCAGACCCGATTAAGCTTAATCATCTACTTAATCAACCGATTTATATCCCAATTAGACAATCTAATCGGTTTCCACAATACATGTAAGCCTACGCGCAAAGCAAACCCTGTATTTTAAGCGATCGATGATCGCTGCATCTAAAATTTTGCTAAGATTTGGGCCCGTCGCATGACGTGCACGAGTGCGGGATTGCAGCTCTACGAAAGCAGCCCTTCGTGCATCGAGACGTAGTCGACAGGAGTGCGCGTGCGATGGCTGCGCTTTTCGTCCGTTGGTGGTGATACTTCGTCGTGCGACGCAGCCACAGTAGTGGGCGATGGCTGGTCCGACACGCTCTTGGATTCATCTTCCTTCCCCTCCTTACCTTCTTCACCCTCGCCTTCGTCCTCTTCCTCACTTCCGTCTTCATTATCCTCCTCTTCATCAGGCTCCTCGTCGCTTCCTTCTTTGACCTCGAAGGTTTCATCCTCTTCGCTGTCCTCATCCTTTCCAGCAAACATGAGCTCGTTGAGCTGGCGATAGTCGACATCGGTGCGTTTGCGCTTCCCACGAACAATCAAAGCCGCATCGGCCTCCGAGTCGCCGCCGGTTTGGTCGGTGTCGCTGTCCTCCACCGCAGCGCGATTAATCGCAGACATCGTCTTGCTGCGCGTCAGGTGCTCCGAGGACCCGTCGCGGTAGTCAATGCGCCAGCGCGAATATCGTCCTTTAGTCGGTGGCTCATACTCGGCCACGACCCCAAGAATCACTTCCCCAGTCTTACGATCAATCTTGGCCGCTGGCTCACCCACAAGGTTCAGCTTCTGTTGGACAGGCTTTACGGGGCGGCTAACACTCTTTGACCGCGTCGATCGACTGCGTAGGATCGGAAACAACGACAATGTTAGATACAAGCTGCTTCACTCCAAGTCCCTTGCTGCAACGTACTGATTCAGGTCGATGACGTCGTCCTTGCTGAGGTAAACCAAGTCTTGAGCACTTTCCGGGACCTCCTCGGCCATCTCCTCTTCTTCGCCGTCTGCCTCTACTGACACTTCGTCATCTGCGTCGCTTTCTCCCTCCTCGTCGTCCTCATCATCGTTGCAAACGAAATCTTCATCGTCATCGTCGTCGTTGTCAGCAGGGGCAGCTCCGCTCTCCTCGCCCGACTGAGCAGCACTGCTCGCGTCCGTCGTTGGTTGCTGCTCAGCTGCAGCCAGCTCCGGGAAAAGGTCGTCGACACTTTCGTACGTCGTACCGAAGACCGAATTGATCGACTTAAGACACTCGAACACGGCCAGACACACTTCACAGAACCAAGGCTCCTCACCTGCCGGGATATTGACAGTGAGCACAATCGGCGTCTGGCACTTTTGATGGTACGCGCGATGGCACCCAACGCTGTCGCACAGCAGGATGTCGTTGTCCGCTTCGGTGTCCGTGCTCCCACAGCGCGAGCAGTGCACTTCTTCGAACTTGGCGAGCAGTGGCACTTGCGGTTCATTCGCGTTCAATGCCTTCAGCTCGTTCAAACCATCGATAAGAGCACGTTGGCCCTTGGCGATCTTGCGGTGCTCCGTCTCAAGCTCCTTGTTAGGCTTGAGCTTGTCACGACTCGACTTATTCCAGCCTTCGGCTTCGTAAGCCTCAACGAAGGCGAGGGGGTACCTCAGTCGATGCGCCTGAAGATGAAAAGCAGTATAGGTCAGAACTTATCGACTAACTGTGCCAATGGTGTTCAGTACCCTTCATACCTGGGACTTGATCTTGTTCTCCAGCCGCTTGAACTCTGGGCGAGCAGGCGTAGGAGGAGCGGGAGGAGCGTTCCCGTCAGCATCAGGACTCACTTCCTTGGGCTTCCGCGATTTCCGCGGCGTGTCGGCGGGCGGCGAGAATGCCGTGGGGGTACGACGCTCGCGTTGCTCTCGCGGCTGCGCCTTGCTGCAGTGCGTGCACAATAACGTTGAAGTTAGCGGCGTGTATCAAAGCCGTCCACAAAACAGAGTCTGCACCAGGCCCATCGACTCCTACTCGGGAGGTCGAGAGACCTAAAGCGTATCTAACATCTTTTCGTACATTGCCGGACGGCGAGCGGAGGCCGGTGGCGCATAGGCGTCGTCGCTGTCGCTGGACGAGCGCGCTTTCTTCCTGGTGCGGGGCATCGTCCTCAACTTGGATGAACCCGTCTAGGTGGTGACTAGCTGGCGGGTTGGTTGACGAGCCTGTGCTTCTTTATGGCTGGACTTTGGACTGTCGACCTGTCTCGAAATATAACCTTTTTAGTTTGTACACTTACTGCGGCGACTAAGAAAGGCTGACGACACTGACACCCCGAGAGTGCCAGTTGTAGCACAAGAGACAAAGTTAAGTTACCTCTTCGAGTCTGGGCGTGCGTTTGGTTGCGGTTGGGTGGGGAGGGTGACGGTAGTGACGACGCTCGAGCCAATTGCTGCCGTCGACCACCCGATACTCAAGTATCCTCCAAGTCGAGTGGAATCCAATGGTGCGGGCGACTCGGACGTGCGAATCCAAGTTGCTGCCAAGTCTGCGCGGGTGTCGGCTGTGTCGAGTTTCAGGTGGAGGAGGGTGACTCACTCACCTCACACTTTGGGACAGCTAGCTTCCTGCTTGTTTGTTCGTCCAAAACTTACTGCTGATTCAGCGTGGGCATACATATACTGAGGGTGAATGTCTTTTTCTCATTGGTTAAAAATGCATTCGGAACCCTCTTACGATTGGACGAAAATAAGTCGATCGATTTCGCCTTCAAGGGGTGCAGACTGTCAAGTGCTGACTCTTGGGCTCCGATACATGGAGTCGCTCACGGACGAGCAGCGCGCGCTGTTCGCCGATGGCGGCCAGCTGGACGACTACGAGGTGCTCAAACCCATCGGCAAGGGCAAGTTCTCGGTGGTTTTCAAGGCCAAGCGGCGCTGCGACGGCCAGGCGGTGGCGCTCAAGAAGATTGCCATCTTCGACATGATGAACCTCAAAGCTCGCGAGAAAACGCTCAAGGAGGTGCGTCTGGAAGTTGCGCCAATGGGTTTGCACTGCGGAAAAGTTGGTGATGAGTTGCCAAAACTGTTTTTTATTTGTTGTGTTGCAGGTGCGTCTGGTGCAGTCGGTCAGCCACCCGAACATCATTCAGTATCTGGATGCGTTCGTGCAGAATAACGAGCTGTACATTGCCTTCGAGTGGGCAGAAGCGGGTGACCTCAAGCGGCAGATCAGGAAAGCCAATGAGAAAGGGGTGAGGTTTGACGAACGCACCATTTGGAGATACTTCACGCAGCTCTGCGGCGCCATTTTGTACCTGCACCAGGCGCGTATCATGCACCGCGACCTCAAACCGGCGAACATATTTTTGACGTTGAAAGGAGTGGTGAAAGTCGGAGACCTTGGCTTGGGGCGGTATTTGAGTGAAAACACAGTCGAGGCTCGCTCGAAGGTTGGAACCCCGCTGTATATGTCACCGGAGGTGCTGCGTGGTGAAAGTTACGACTGGAAGAGCGACGTGTGGTCCATGGGGTGCATCTTGTACGAGCTCGCAATGCTTCGGTCGCCGTTTAAGTCAGAGGGTTTGAACCTGGTGGGGCTTTTCCAGAAAATCAATAAAGGGTACTACGAGGAGATTCCGGAGGTCTACAGTGACCATCTGCGCGGCCTCGTCAAGCGGATGATCTCGCTCACGGCGTCTGACCGTCCAAGTGTGCAAGAAGTTTGGGATGCCTGCCGAACACGACCGCCTAGTGCAGTATTGCAGGAGCGAATGCGACGGCATCAAGGCGGCACTGAGATTAATAACAACGATCCTGCAACGAAAGAACCGGAGACGCGCTCGTCTCGATCGCGAAGCAGTAGAAGCAAGAAATCACCAGAAAATGAGAATCCATCGCGACCTTCATCTTCTGGCCAGCAGCAAGAAACTCCACCTCAATCACGACCTCCATCATCTCAGGGGGATACCAGTAATGGTCAGACCGAGGAAATGGTTAGAAGGAGGCATGCTGAAGCGCGAATGGAGTTGATTTTTGAGAAGCTGAAGATCTTGCGGTATGAAAAGGTGCTCAAGAAGAGCATTTCACCTACATACTTTTCGTCTGACAGCCGAATGCTACCGAGAGTGGCGCCACAAGCCCGGTTCGAAGACATGCGGATATTATCACAATGGTTATTATCTCTCTTAGGCGGTGGTGATTTACATCTTGATGATCAGTACGAAAGCCCTCCAATTGTGGTAGCTCAAAAGATTCTTTTGGCGGCTGAGAAAGTTGGTGTACCAGAGGTGGCGCAGCTTAGCGCCCCCGCGCTAACCAGCGGTGTTAGCGTCGAAGTATGCATCCTGTTGGACGCCCTAACTACTGCTGTCGTAAGTGGAGAAGAGTATTGCACCACCCCGCCAGCATATCCACGAGAGCCCGTCGAAACGTTAGAGTCGAGCGATGCGTTGGATGTTACTGACGATGACGGACAGCAGAATGCCAGTACCGACGGGGTTGGAGAATCAACGGCCTCGCTAGATACCGAAGTCGACGACGTTTTCTCGCGGTGGCTGGTGGTGAAAGAGGAGCAACTGCTTTCTGGGCTAACCGAGGACGCAGACAATGGAAACGCCATGATTCATACCGATATTGACCCGGCTGCTTGGGAGCTTGAGCGTCGTCGCATGCTCCCGAAACTGCAAGCTGTTCTGCAGGATAAGCTTCATCGCCGCCCAGCTGAAAGCTCGTGGCGTGTTCGATTGGACCAAGTGCAGACACATGCTGGGTCAATAGTCTCAGGACAGGATGATATGAAGAACGAAATTGCCAAGATTCAAGCGGTAGGTCTCGACATCACTGTAATATGCCAAAGTTCGCCCTCTCAGCCCCTGACTGCCTCCTATTGATGCTCGTATACCTATTCAGAGTCGTCACAAGCAAACAGATGAACTGGAACGGTACGAAAAGATGCTGAACAATCGTTTCCTGCGGGCGAGACGTCTGTATCATGAGGGCACGACGAGATTGTCCAAGGCACAAAGCCTGATGCAAACTGCTCAGGTAAGCTAATTATCTACAACTTTAGCCATGATCTACTGCTGATAGTCTTCTCGATTGCCCAGGAGAATGTGAATCAAGCGACGGTGGAGATTGCGAGGTTGCAGGCAGCTCGATCCGAACAAGCCAGCGCGCTGAACGCTGCCGACGCGCGGCTCACCGACAACTCCATGCTTTTAGAGCGCAAGCGACAAGTTCGACATCTCAAAAACGAGAACCACGAGCTGGGTCTGAAGCTGCAAGTGCTGCAGGACTACTGGAACCGCAAACAGCAACATGCAACCCAATGTAGCCATCTTGATCCCGTTTAACAATTATCACAAATCACAGATTAATCTGATTCTAGCCAATCGGCGCTCATCTGAGTTGAACTATCAGCCAATCCCCACGAATGTAGCCATATCGTTCCGTCGCAATTCTCCTCCGCCCCACATTTCGAGATCCCGCCGACGACCAGCACCGAGCAGCTCCTTCCGCCCGACCTTCAATGCCCCCGCGCATAACACTAGAGCTCAATCCCAACCACTACGAAGCTGAAGCTGAATCCGATTGCGAGCACGATGAGACCGGGCTGGGCCTGGATCTGCTGGAGCAGGCCGAGCCCTTCCTCACTTTCGAGAGCATCCAGTTCGACGCGGACTCGCGCCTTGCAACGTTCCAGTTCCATTTCTGCGGAGGCCGCCGCTTCCAAGCCGCGATGAGCTTGGCTGGTCCATTGCAAGGCTTGGACGAGACGTCGCCGGTTCTGCGCAATGCGTTGCTGCACATTGGACTCTGCATCCTGCCGTGGTTCTGGATGGGCTACAACTGCAAGTACATTCGGATCGAAGCGGGATACCTCAACCCGGAGCAGGTGCGATGACGCTAAGAGAGATACGCTGAACTGGTAGTTGTAGCTGAGTGACTGGTGAATTGCTGGGACTGGTGGTGTAATCTGCAGGTGCACTTTTGGGAAGAGTTCTACCAGAACGTGCTGAGCGAGTTTCTGTATCTGCACGGGCTGGACCGCGATCGCCTGTACATTATCGTGGATGCCCCTGCCAGCGAGGCTCTTCCGGTGCTGCCGGATAGGAAGCTGGAAGAACAGAGCAAGGCCAAGGTCTTGGTTCCATTGTAAGTGTGCTGTCCTGGACTGATCTTGAAAAGCTTGGTGGTTAACGCTCTGGTTTCTTTGAACTTTTGGAATGCAGGGGCGGTGGCAAGGACTCGCTTGTGGTGTACCAACTGTTGTCCTCGAGTGACACGCCTTGTGCCTGGTTGCACGTGGGGGATCGTCCGGAGGAGTTTGAGCGTAGCTGGCGGTTCAAAGAAATCGTCGAAATGACGCAGAACCGCACGGGGGGCACTGCGTTCCGTTTCGAGCACAACATGGATGACAAGACTTGGGAGCGCGAGGTTGGAGGTACGAGATACCAACCCGCCGGCCACCCGTGGGCTGCGCTCGTTGCGTTCGACAGCGTGCTAGCTGCCATTTTGGGTGACTTCACGCACGTGGCTGTAGGCAATGAGCGCAGCGCGAATTACGGCAACAACATCGTGCACGAAGGTATCCTGGTGAACCACCAGTACGACAAGAGCTTCGACTTTGAGACGCGCGCGCACGCGTACATTCGGAAGTATCTGGTTGAAGATCTGCACTACTTCTCTGCCCTTCAGCACCTATGGGAGGTTCAGATCGCGCGTACTTTTGCGAGTCGGTCGTTGGAAAGCTCGGAGAACTTCTTGCCCGTCTTTTTGAGCTGCAACGAGGCCCCTGACGGCGACAAGTGGTGCTGCAAGTGTGCCAAGTGCGCGTTTGTGTTCATCCTCATGAGCGCCTGGTGCTCGGAAGCGCAACTTGTGGAAATCTTTGGTGAGAATCTGTTTGAGAAGCAGTCGATTTTCTCCGACTTCCTCTCTCTGCTGGACGAGGAAGGCGTGAAGCCCATGGAATGTGTTGGCACGGCTTGCGAGACGTGGCTGTCACTGTACTTGGCGCTGCGAGTCCACGGCGAGAGCACGTTTTTGAAGGCCCATGAGGAAGAGATTCGACGAAAGGGAGCCGAGCTCATGCACCTCCTTGACGACTACAACAGTGAGCACTTGCTGCCGCAGTTCTTGGAGCCAACTCTGCGCCAACCTATTATGGCACTGGAAGCTTAAAGCAACGACGGGTATACCGCATTCAACGTGGCGTCTATTTCGTGTTAATGTTCGCGTAGTAGGAACTAAAGTCTGGAAGAAGCAAGATAATACAAAACTATAGGGTCACCGTCGCAAGGTACTCGGCCGCCTCGTCGTCACCAAGCGCCTGCGCCACGGAGAGAGCCGTCTCGCCATCGACGTCCTTGATCTTGGGGTCGACACCCTTCGCAACGAGCAGCTTGACCAGCTCAAGACCGGAGCAGCCAAAGAGGCACGTCTGGCCGATCTCGTTCAGAGCGTTCAAGTCAATCTTGTCGCTTCCAGCCAGGAGCTCCACGACCTCCTGCATCTCGAACATGACAGCCACGTGCAGAGCGCGGTCGCCGTTCGAGGGCAGAGCGAAGTTGACGTCCGCACCCAGAGCGAGCATCTCCTTGATCACGCTGATGTGGCCGAAGCGGCAGGCCTGGAACAGTGCGCAGTCGTCGTCCTCCGCGTCCTCGTCCTCCTCACCAGCACCCGCGCCCACCGAGGGCGTGGTGACGAGCTTCGTAGCGGACTCAATGGCGCCGTTCTTCAGCAGCAGCAGCGCCACAGCCGAGTGCTCCGACTCGACAGCCAGGTACAGCGGGTTGGAGGCGTCCTTAGAGGTGCCGCCGTAGTTGACGTCGGCCTTGCGAGCCACCAGCTCCTCCGTCAGCTCGAGGAGTCCCGAGTTGGCCGCCTGCATCAGCAGCGTCCATCCGTGGCGGTCCACGACAGCGTCCGGGTCCTTGACGCCCAGACGCTGCACTAGCGCCATGGCCACCTTGCCAAAGCCAGTCATGAGCTTCTCGGCCTCAGCCTCCATCTCCTCCAGGTCCTTCTCCGCCTGGCCCTGCTCCTGGTCCTCCCCGTCCTCCTCGAAGCCCTCCTGGATGCCCAGCACGTGCACGAACGCCTCGTACTCCTGCTGCCACGTGTGCAGCCAGTCCATGAGGTACACGAGCGGCGACTTGTCCCCGAGGTCGCCCGCGGTGGCCAGGAACTGCTCCACGTCGCCGGCGATCACGCTCTTGCGCACCGCGTCCAGCGTCTCGTCCACCTGGACGCCCTCGTCCCCGAGCGACAGCGTCGCCACCGACAGGTCGTCTCCTCCGGCCATGCTTGAACTGCTTGAGTTGCGTTGAGCTTGTCGTCGATTAATCGCCAAATGAGTTGACACGCGAGCGGTGATTGGATGGCCCACATGGCTTCGCTTTGGATGGCGCTGATTGGCTGCAGACGTACGTGGCCACGATCGATCGACAACATGTTGAAGCCACTTTGTGCAACGCGAGCGAGTACTGTGCTCGACTGTCGAATTTGCTAGGCTACGAAGCGAGGCCAAAGTGCTAGCTCCGTGAACAACAGTTTGTGCGTGGGCCTCGATCAATGCTGATACTATCATCGTATATCTGGCGTCTCGCTTGGGAGTTAAAAGCTTAGAACCATTGGCTTGTCGGATCCGTTTCTTGCTTCAAGAGCAGCCACAATATTGCCCTTCTTTCCGTATGGCTTCTGCCATCACCAAATGGATATGTTCGTAGTAGCGCGTGCTCGAAGAGCCATATCGTGTGATGCCTGCCGCAAGAACAAACTGGATCAAAGCAGGTTGTTGCAATCTTGGGTCTGTCTCGTAGCTGATCCCATTTCTTGAAGCACACTACCAAAGGTTAGCACCTCTCACAATAATAGATCGCGACTTGGTAGCAGGCAACGCGAACCAAAGGTACTGTTAAAGTTACTGGGAAATACTACCGCTCTGTTCCAAGAATATTTGGGTTTTACATTTAATATCCTTTATATACACAGCAGCATGCTGAGAAGTATGAAAGCCCAGCAGGAGAATCACGGTCCATGCTTCACCAGGTCTAGCAGTGTTGCAGTGGTAGCCATTTCCGATGATGTAGTCGGAGCCAAATCTCCTCCACTAAGTACGTTCATCGCGCCATACAAAAATCAAGTCAATCATAGCTCGGCGAAACGTCTTGGCCAATTCAAGCTCAAGCCCACGCATCTCTCCGCTGGGCTGCCACCTTCGCCTCGCCGCGTCATGAGTGGATCCGCGGTGCTCGAAGCTCCCTCCACACCCGCGTCTCTGTCTCCTACGCGCGCCGCGCTGGCCAGCGCATCCGAGAAGGCGGCGGCCAAGCCCGGCCAAGTGATCGTCGGCCCGCTGCGCATCCAAGGTACGAATTAGGCGAGGAATTGGAGGCTAGGAGTGCGTTTTTGACAGCTGACGCATTTTTGACAGTCTTACAAGCGATCGACTTACCGACACCGAGACCTGTCGAAAATGCCACACTGACTTCGGCTTCATCATGGCTACATTTACCTGGTCGACGGACGTCTCAGCACCAGAATGCACCAGGCAAAGCCCAGCACGAAGCAGTGCCCGATATGATCTGTGTGCTGCTACAAGCAGCGAAAAACAATGGAATCTATGCAACAGAAGCGCGACCTTGGGCCAGCGCCATCTGCTGGGACGAAGTGAGTAGTTGACGCTGTCAAAAATGCAGAATTGTGTCGATTAATGGCTAATGCCGTGGGTATTGCAGGAATTTTACATGGAGCAGGTGAGTTCCAGTGACGAGTTGGTGCTGTTTTGTGTGGATCGAGCCAGGGATGAGACCCACGCGAGTCTACCACTTGAAGGGGATGTCAGTTCTTGCCCAGGGTTCATCGGAAAAGGTAAGAGCGCTACGTTGCAAGGTGTCGAAGGATGTTGTTAACTTACTCGGTTGTGTATTGGAACTTTATTGAATGTTACAGTGAGTTTACCGCTTACGCGTCTACCGGAAGGGCAGGAGGTGGAGCAGTGGTATCCCCTTGTGTCGAAGGAGTCGTCATCTAGTCTGCGCACTGCGCTGCGGGTGTCACTTTGCTTCGTGCCTAATGGAATTCTGACGACTCGGTCACAGAGCCCCGAGCGACGAAGGGTAACGCCTACGTCAGTGCTGATATCGTCCCCAGCAACCGAGATTTCATTAGCTTCACCCGTGACCAAACCGTTGCCAAGTCCCGACTCGGTGAATTCTGCTGCTATAACGGTGAAATCGGGTGTTATCGACTATGTGATCGTGGTGGGGACAGCAGCAGGAAATGACGTTCCGACAAGCCTAGATGAGGCCCAAGTACGCTTCCGATATCCACTTACAGATCGACTCGACTTCCCTCTGCCGACAAAAATCGAATGGTTTTGCTTCCCTGGTGGACCTGAAATTGTTACTCAAGCGGAACGCCCGAAGACGAAGCTGTTTTCTTTCGTGCTTGTGGGTGGTGATGACGGACTGTGCAGGTCTTATGTCGTGTGTCTTGTGGTGTATCATCGCCGAGCAAAGAGCAAGGCTGCTGAGGTGAACGAATGGCATTCCACCTGCGTGGCATTTTTAACGCGTATCCCCGTGATCGAAGACGTGACAACGTGCCTTTTGTCGGTGGCACACGCGTGGATGGAAGCAAATGAAAGAGAAGACAACGCTGCCGAAGCCACTGACAAAGATCGCCGAGCAGCTGTCCGACAGCAACTGGTTAGCCTTTGTCACGGCATCACGCTCCCTGTTCGCGGTGTATTTGGCGTTCAATTTGACATCAACAACCTGAAAGTGCGGCTTATGGTTCCTTCTATGACATCCATCTACATGATGAAAGAAGCGGTGCGACCGGAGCTTCGTCGTTCGGCATCGGCCCAGGGTCCTCAGATATCACCGGTGAAAGTTCGAAGCTTCATCGCAATCCAACAGGGATTTCAGCCGCTTGTGTACTCTCTCGAGCCGATATTCCAGCTCTTTGACATCAAGACTATCATTCATCTCGTGACGTTGGTGCTTTGTGAATACCGAATTCTTTTACACTCAACGCAGCAGTCCTTGTTGTGTCCCGTCGCGGAAGGACTTTGTGCTCTCATTTACCCGTTCCGGTGGCAGCATCCATACGTGCCAATTCTACCTCGAGTGCTATCGGAGTATCTTCAAGCTCCTCTACCGTACATCTTGGGGATTCACACAAGCTGGCTGCAAAGCATGCTGGAAACTGGCCGTCCTGAACACCTCGTGGTTGTCGACATCGATCGCGGGACTATTCAATTGCAAGAATCTGGCGGACCTGTGCTGCCTCACAAGTTGGCAAAAGGTCTACACAAGCAGCTAAAGATTATCTTACATCCTTCTTTGTATGGCGAAGCTGAGACGAATTGTCGGACCAGCATCGAAGAGGAGCATAATACTGCTGTCGATTTGGAGGAGTTAAATCAAACAATTGGTGAAGAACAACGTGATGTCGTGGAGTGGGGACCTGAAACCGAAAAGCAAGTCCGAATGGAGTTTGTATGTTTCCTCGCTGCGCTGGTGAGGGGCTACCGTGAATGTCTTTTCTTCGTGAACCAGAAGCTCCCAGTGTTTAACAAGCGCCGCTTCTTTGAGAGTGATTCGACAGACAACGAGGTGGTGCCACTAGTGACTCGACTGTTTTGTACGCAGTCCTTTCAAGCGTTTCTCGAGAGCCACAGCTCGGCTGAACTCAGTGTTTTCCATTCGGTGTACCTGACCCTTTGTCGTGGGCCGAAGGAGATGCAGTGGTCCCAGTCTGTCAGGGCGCTCACAACGTCGAAAATCCAGCATTCTTTTCTGGATACAGGTCCGGCAAGAACAGATATCCCCGTCCTCGTGATAGATGAAGCTAACAAGCACAGAGAGGAGGATGACAATGGCAACGGCAGTAGCGATATTGCACCTGTACCACAACCGAAAGCAGTCCCGTCAGCAGTAAATGATGCGGATGTGAGCGTGACCGGAAAGGAAACGACGAAAATCCTGGGCGAGAAAATCGAGGCGTTGCTAAATACAGAGAGGAATATGAATTGGGACCCATTTGCACTGGAGTCAAGCGATGTTGATACGCTGGCAGCTACGCCATCCCAGCCACCGGTCAAGATGAATCACGAACTTCTGGCGCGGAAACTTGGCGTGGAGCCTAAATTGCTGAAGGCAAATGCTCATCTATTGCAAAACCCACATCAAGTGAATCAGTACCGACTCCATCTTGATAGCACTATCGCTGCGGCATTGGCGGGGTCGGCTGGGCCTGGCGGTCGATTCCTGTCGTCAGAAGACGAACGGATCGAGCAAATGTTGCACAAGTGCTTGACTGCGGTTTTCACATCCGACGACACATTGAGTGAAGAAGAAGTTCGGGTTCGTAATGTGGAATGCTTGTTATTGACAATAGCTTGTGCCTTACTCTGTTCTGCTGCCTTTAGGCTTGCGAGACCCACTTCAAAAGCGCCCATGCCCGTGATCTATTTGTCTTGATCTTGATGCAGCCGAGCAACCAGTACGTCGAGAGCGTGAACGGTTCTCCTAAATCGAGCGGTACAAAGAGCTCTTCAGCTTGGTACAACCCGAAAGGATCGGGAAGCTGTATCGGCTCAGCTGGATTCCAGTTACTGGCGAGGTTAACGTCGGCGTTAATGAACCAATGCGCGGTTCACGAGGACTACTCCACAGCACGAGGCATCTTACAAGTAGCTACCCAGTATTACCAGTACGTCGAAGACAAGCACAGCGGCATCGGATTTGGTAAGAATTCTCTACGAATTGTTATGCGTTTACAAGATTTTCTCACACTGACACACTTGTTTTGTTGTGTATTGTAGCCAAGAAGGAGTATTTGGTGACGCCATTACGTTTGCTGCCGATCTGTCGCTCATTAGACTTATGGCAGCACGCCTTCACGTGTGAGATTGATGCTGTCAACCAGGCAGATCCCACCGAATCCGACGAAGAGGCTGTGGAGACTGTGGGGGACGAACTGTTCTTTTCAGTTATTGGGAGTCTCATGTACGACATGCTCAACTTCGAAGTGCCGCTCCAGAAGGTGCTGACGTTCGTGACAGTCATGTGTTCCACCTACCAAAAGGGTCCGGACTTGTTGGACACGCTCAAGCAGCTCGCGGAGAACGTGTATCGGGCGCTCGATATGTCCAAAGACATCAAGCCTTCGCCCCCCAAGGACGCCGTCCAGCACCGAATTAACCATAAGCCGACAAACAACCACGTGGCTGCCCCCTCCTCCCGGACCGAGTTACCGCCGAAGCCTTCAACTAGAACAACCGGCGACACACCGTCGACACCAGGGATGGTCTTCGCTGAAAGTCCTGTGTTATCGCGGGAGTACGACCTCAATACGGTGATTCGCCGTAAGATGTCCGTTCGAGAGATGCCTCAGTCCAGACAAGGCAAAACCAAGCTCGGAAGCCTGAACGATGACCCCACGGGTAACAGCAACCAGCACGCAGCCGACTGGATGAGCAGAACGCCGCCAACGCGCAGACGAAGGTCCAGCGCCGTGTTCCCGAGCGCCGTGCTGACCAGTTCGGGCTCTCCTGTACTGAGTTTGGCGACCGATGGTGGTCGTGCAGCCTGTGGGATGGCCGACGCCCGTGTGAACGTCGTGGATATCGATCCGTCCGAGTACGAAAAGGGCTTGAGGCTGGACGGCCACTCTGACGCTGTGGTGGCTGTGCAGATGCGGGGTAACGCTCTGATCTCTGGGTCGCGGGACCATACGCTGCGTGCTTGGGATCTACGTGCCACGCCCAAAAAGCGGCACATGTTCGCGTTCTTCTCACTACCGTACGCTACCAGCAACACGTTGAATTCGACCGAGGACAGCGAGGTTGATGGAGCGTCGGTATCGAAGCGCAGCCTGGTGATGCGTGGCCACTTGGATGCGATCACGTGCATGGAGCTTGGGCATCAACTCGGCGCCGGTCGCTCTCTTTTGGCGTCTGGTTCCGATGACGGCACTGTTCGGCTCTGGGAGACTACACGGGAGACCAGCGTGGCTCTTCTTAGTGGTCATAAGGGCACTGGCAAGCCTGCGAACAATGGTGGAGTTAGCTGTCTGCGTTTGCTGGCTAGTGACGACGACTTGGCGTTGGGGTATCGCCGACGCACGCTGCAGATCTGGGACCTCGCCGTTTGTAAGCTGAAAGTCAACGTGCAGGCGCATAACGCTGGAGTACGGGACCTACAAGTGTCGGGCACTCGACTGGTGACGGCTGGGAATGATCGGATCGTGAAGGTTTGGGATACGGGATTCCGTGGTGTCGGTGGTGCATTGATGCCCGTTCAAGAGTTGTGTGAACATGGTGGCCCCGTGCAGTGCGTGAGCCTCGGAGGACCTGCAGACCCGAACATCTGCACGGCTGCCGCTGACGGCCTCGTCCGCGTGTGGGACCTTCGGTTCGTGCAGCGAGGTCCTCGACTAACGCTTCGAGGCCACACCGGCCCAGTAACGCGGCTGCAGCGTGACTTCACGAAGCTTGTGTCTGCTGGAGAGGACGGGTGGCTCCGAGTCTGGGATATGCACTCTGGGGTGTGTCTACGCGAAAAGCAGGCGCACGCTTCCGGTGTCACGTGCCTTGAAATGCACGACTCGCTCGTGTACTCTGGCTCATGGGACGGCTCGGTGCGCGTCTGGGATATCGAGAACGTCAGTAGTTCAGGCCAAGCTGCTGTCTAAGTGGTGACTTGGCTCAAATCTATAGACAGATCCGCTACAATAAGCGGCAGTTATAGTACAACAACAACCAAGCGGCACCTCGCTCGCAGGGAAAGATGCCGAGAGTGACGGAGGCGCCCTCGCGCTTGCATTCGCCAGCGTCATGGTCACCACTGTCGTCACCGTCGTCCTCGTTGCCAAGCGTGTGCTCTCCAGGGTCAGCGAATCTGTCACGTGATAGCAGACGCAGCACCGAGGCCAGACCCCAGCAAGCGAAGACGAAGAAGGAGGAGAAGCCCAAACTCGACCGAACAAGCTCTGGGAAGGTGAATGATCGCCACAAGCCAGCTACAGCCACCACGACGTATGCAAATGCTACGGATGAAGAGACTCGCTCGAGCAGTTACCGCGGTCGCGACAACAGAGTCGAACACATGCAAGCGGTCGATAGATCGAGTGAGAATGATAGGAGCTCTTGGCCAGTCCTTGTGGCTGTAAGGTGTCGTCCGAGGAAACGACAGCGAGCTGGAGGACGCTTTGCCGCTGTACTTCGTGGGGACGACGAGATCTGGCGATCTGGACTGCTAGACTCGAGCTACAGCAGCAGTGACAGCAGCAGCGATGGAAGAGGAAGCAACTACCGTTCGTCCTCCAGCAGCGTTCAGCGCGGTGTCTTTGAATATTCTGCCTGCAGAGATTATGACTACGCAGCGACGTACGACTCCACGCTGCCGCCTCCGCGTTTGCAGCGTCCACGCCGATTGTACGTGCAGGCTCCTTCACATACGTCTCAAAGTGCGTCTGGTCGGCGGAGCTTTGATTTCGACTTCATTTTCCCGCCCTGGAAGAAACAACGGGACGTGTACGAAGCTTGTGTGGAGGCGCAGATTCGCCACGTCCTCGAGGCTCAACAACGGAGACAGCAGCAGCACGCAACGGTTGTAGCGTACGGACAAACTGGCACGGGGAAAACGTACACTATGGGCATGCTAAGCGACTTTCGAGATGACAAGGAGCAGGGGCTGATCCCCCGCGCGTTGTCTCAAGTGCTGGAGTTTGCTGCTGGTGAGGAGACTGAGGACGATTCAATGGAGACGGTGGTGACGTTGTCGTTCTTGCAGATATACCTCGAAACGGTTCAAGATCTTCTCGCCTTGCCTGGGTCCAGTGCAAGTGCTGACCGAGCGAAACCGTGGAGAAAGAATGATTCACGTCGAGATTGCAGTGCAGCTAGCAGTGACCTCCCTGTACGGCAAGGACGCGACGGAACATTCTACGTCACAGGCTTGAACGAGTACGAGATATCGTCGGTGGAGGACGCCCACGCGTTACTGGAGCTAGCGATGCGTAACCGGGTCTTGGCTTCGACTGCAAAGAACAAAACCTCCTCTCGTAGTCATACACTGCTCACCATCTCGATCAAGCGTCGGCGTCGAGGCGCTAAGAGCAGGTACCCTAGCAGTGATGACGAAGATGAGAACTGCGATGCAGGCGGCAGCTTTGACGAATACGATGATCCCAAGCAAGCTTCGACGATCTCGTTCGTGGATTTGGCCGGCTCGGAACGTGTGGACGGTGCTTTGCATTTCCTTCGAGCCACGCGTGCGCGGCAGGAACAGCGGATTCGGGAGGCGAAGTTCATTAACCGGTCGTTGAGTGCGCTTGGAGGTGTCATCGCGGCGTTGGCGCAACCAAAGAATGGCACGCCTGGGTCTTCCTCTGCGCACGTTTTGGCTCGTTTACGCTCGTCCTTGTCGGATAGGATGCAGCCTCCAGTGGAGAGTGATCAAAGCCAACCGCACATTCGGTTTCGAGACTCACAACTGACTAAACTACTCCAAGGTCGTCTCATGGGAGGTCGTGGACGGCTGCTATTGATCGCGACGGTGGATGATCAGCCTAAGAATGTCTCGGAGACGCTGTCAACGCTTAAATTTGCCGCACAATGCCGACGTGTGGAGCTTCAACCAGGCTCAAAGCTTCGGGGGGATAGTTCTGCTCGCTTGCGACGACAAAAGTCTCTGCTGGATCAGGTGTTCAACGACATGAAGATCATGCACGAGAACCGGGAAGCAGCGCTGCATGTGAGTGGCCGGCTTCGTGTCCGACTTACTCAACGTCCTACTAACAAACTCACTGTTTACTGGCTCTGCAGAGCGAATACCAAGCGCGAATCGAGGTTCTGGAGCGAGAACTAGAAGCAGCTCGAGCGACGGCTGCATCCCCATTACCATCTTCGGATCAAGACGCATCCAGTATACACCTCGCTTCCTACACGGCGTTGTGCTCACTGGTGGACACAGTTTGCTCCGATGGAGACGGTGACAAAACCCACCCAAGGATTGCCGATTTCCAGAGTGAAAAAGACATGCTCGAGTACGTCGCTGGGCTCTACGCCAAGCTGAAAGACGCTCTACTCGCTCAGGAGCAGCAGCAGCGACTCAATCAGGAGCAACGCGGGCCAGAGGGCATGGACCAAGACACTACCTCCAAACAACTCGTTGCAGTGAACGATGACGCTGCTCCGCGCGAATCTATTCGAACAGCTTCAGTCCCGACTGCCATCCCCTCGAGCACTAGGAGACCACGCAGTAGCATGCAACTATCAGCTGAACAAGAAGCCGAGTTCCGCGCCGTTGCACGGCATCTAATATCCACTCGAGCACTCGACTCGTTCGTTGTCAGTTCATCTGACGAGGAAGCGTAAGATGTTACTACGAAACATGACAATGATCCTGACCATGATCGTCATCATGTTGTCATTGCTGTTATTGTTTGTTGCTGTTTGATGTGCATGAGTTCCTTCACCCGCCTCTCGTTCTTTGCATGGAGTTGTTTGTTCGTATGTTGCAAGCGCGGCGAACGTTGCCTCGCTCTCGACGTGCGGGCACGTCGACGCGCCGTCACACGGACGAGCGCGAAGCGATGAGCGTCATGGCGGCGCCTCTCGGGATACGCAGCGAGCTCTGCAGGTTGGACAGGCACTGCTCGTGCAGGTAGTCGCGCAGCAGCGTCTTGAGCGAGCGGCAGGCGAACTGGTAGAGCTGCTGGTAGCTCTCAGGCGGCGTGGCGAGCTGCGCCGGCGACACGTGGAACTCCTGCAGACACAGGTTGAGCCACAGCTCGTCGTCCTTGCTCAGGCGGCGCCACGAGCGGCACACGCTGCGCGCGGCGCAGAGCGACGGCCCGTCCAGGAAGCTCAGCACCGCGTGCACGTTCTCGTCGCACGTGAAGTCCAAGAGGCTCAGCGGACGCAGCGCGGGGGTCTCCGCTGACGGAATGGGGAGGAGGCACCGCGCGCGCAGCCACTCGGCCACCGCGCGAGCCTCGGGCGACAGGGCGCCACCCACGGGGGCGACCAGTGGGTGGAGGATAATGGCGCGAGATGTAGGGGCCATTGGCATTGGCGTTAGGCAGCTACAGGCAAGGGGCCGCGGCTAGGAGCTCGAGCTCGAGGGACGCGATGTCGAAGTTGAAAGGGTAAAAGATAACACGTCCTAATAGACGTCCTAAGATGTCCTATTGTCCTAACAAATGCGGTATATTACTTGCAGTTTGCTCATAAACGGTACCAAAAATTAGGACAACACAGCTCGTTTTAGGACGAACGGGCTGGTTAGGAGCTGTCCTAAAGGACAGCCACGATTCACTTACCGAAATCTGTCCTAATAGGACAACAACAATTCACCTAAATGAGGATCTGTCCTATTAGGACACTTAGTCGAGTAATAACCGAGAGCTGTCCTACTAGGACACTTAACTGCCTAGAACTGGCAGTTGTCCTATTAGGACACTTTGTTGACTATAACTGGGAGCTGTCCTATTAGGACAAATGGAATTTTTTGGCAACTCGTTAGCAAGGGCTCTCGTTGAAGCAGGACTGCATTATCAGCGTCTGAACACCGTACTATCCTACTTAAAGTCCGCATAGCCAGCTGGGATGCCTGGCACTACTGGCGGAGCATGCTGCGGAGCTGTCTGGAGTCCCTTCTTGATGTCGTCAATGCGCTGGAGATAGCGGGCTGCTTCTTGCTTGGTGCCTTCAATGAAGGTAAGCAGGCTAGGGTGTGTACCCACTCGCGACGCGAAGTCACGATTGTACTTTTCTAGCGGATTGTTGGTGCGGTTAACGATGTCAACACCGCACCGCACCATTTCATGAACGTTCCAGGTCGTGACATCAAATCGCTGCGTCCAGGTCTTGAGGAAATACTTCCAAAAAGTATTCCATTTTGTTTTCGCGCCGGTCTCGTCGACAATACTCCTCACGTACCTCACACCCTACAACGCAGCCATATATCAGAATAGGTCAGACACAAAAAATTGGTCACCCAAAAAATTGTCCGCACCTTTTCAGTGATTTGGTCCTCCGGGATAACCGTGAGAGTGTCGAGCTTTCCTGGGCTGAGAGCGTCCTTGATTTGGTCTTCGGGTAGCCGCAGCTCAAGCATTTTCCGACGGAGGGCCTGTTTCCAGTGGAACAGGCACCCAACGAGGTTCGCAGTCGGAAATTGCTCCAGCACAGCGTTGATAAGGGCGGACTCAAAGTCACCCGTGACATGTTCGGGCTCCAGCTGGCGGTTGCTCAGGATCACGAGCTCGTTGAGAACCCGCCAGTACGTTTCTTGGGACTTGCCTTGCACCAGTACATAGCAAACAGGCACGTAGAGGTCGACAGAAGGCTCGAAAGCCATCACAATCAGACACTGACTGAACGGCTTAGGAACCACCGCAAATGTTCCGTCAATGAACAGCGTGATCTTCGGGTACCGTAGAATTCGAGCCAAGTCGGGATGGGCCAGTCCGATCAGACGTTGCATTCCGGTGCCCGCGGCGGTGGGGTGGACCACGCTGAACTGAAGAAAGGCCCTCGCATCCATGTCACTCACGCACCGAACAGCTTGGGTCAGAATGGCTTCAAAGACATCACCGCCAGAGCAATCCTTGCGTGTGTGCTTGATGATAGAGACGGCCGGTTTCGCAGGGATGATCTTGAGCGCAATACCTTCTCCGCCGTAGCGAAGCTTGAGATCGTCGTACACCTCTTGCCACAGGACCGCCGGTGGGGTTGACATCTTGGTGATGCTAGAGCGCTGGAGCTCCACTCTCATCTCCTTGCGCACGTCCACCACTTCTGGCTTGGGCTCATCCTTACAGCTGTGCACACTCTTCTCGGTGACGACGGCTCCTCCTCGGACAATCAGTCTTGCCTTGCATCCCTCACGAAACTTCTTGCAGCTGTAGTAGATCGTGTTTGTTTCCGGGCATGTGCGCTTAACGCAGAATGAATACCCACCGTGGTCCATGACAAGAAGGTTGGGCTCTCACACTTAGGCTGCAAAAAGTGAAATTGCTGGCAGCACTGCACTGTGGGGGTCTGACATTCGACGAGTGGCTAGGATGAGCTAATTACGCGTAAATAACGTTGCGAACGCTCTAAATTACGCGTACCAAACATTGTGGTCACCAATAAAACGCGTAATATTCATAAAACTAGGTTTTAGGACAGCTCGTAGGACGTAATTTATTATATTCTGTTACGAAGGATTATACGAGTTTTAGGACATCTCACGGTAATTTTCGAGAGTTTTTTAGGACAATTAGGACACTTTAGGAATCGTTTTAGGACGTGTTTCCGACACCGAGAGTGATCGGCAGCACTGTACAGTAGTGTATTTGGTTAACGTCGTCGCGAAGATAAGTGTAAAGTTCGAGCAACATTAGAGCACCATTCTAGTAACATATGAAAGGGCGTTTGATAAAACTGCTCGCAGCACCACGCCGATAATGGAGCGTGGGGCAGATGTCGAAGCCATCGTGGACTTGATGGAGAGCGAGTTGGGGCCTTCTTCTAGAAAACAAGATTCTTCAGCCCGTGCGAAATTCAACACCTTCTTGAAAAAACACGTAGACACCAACCTGACTATGGAGACGCTGAGGGCAGCACAGGTCACTAAGGAAATGCTTGGTAAGCTCCTTACCTTTCTGTTCAATGATCCTGACATCCACTGGCAAACATCGATGAACTATCTGAGCTCTATCAAGAGACAACTGGAGGAGAAAACGGGAACGGACCTGTTCCGCAGTGACCCCGAGTGGTATCGGCGTTGCCGACGCCATTTGCAAAAGCAATATCTCATGCTTGCCATCTCGGAAGGCAAAAAGCTGAAGAACCAAGCTCCACCCATGACAATTGATGATCTTCGCTCAATATCAACCATACTATTTCTCAAAAACGATAAGAAGGCGCTACTCGACCGCACTCTTCTTAACAACCAGTGGCTTGCAATTGGTCGTAGCTCCGACGTAGGAATGCTACACTTTACGGACTTGCACTGGCATGGTAGTTTTCTTCTCATTGATCTGACACGGTACGTGCATATACTTTGGCTTTAGCATTGTAATAAGTAATTGACCTGTGTGCTGCTTCAATAGCACCAAGGTGCAGCAGCAACAGACTATCTCAATTTTTTGCTCTCCGATTTGCTGGAGCATCGATCCCTTTCACACGTTGGCTTCTCAGCTGGTTGCTGACCCATACAATACCTCGCCGCGTGTGTTCTCGCAAGTGACTGAAGCTACAACAGACGAGCGTGTGGCTGCATACATTAATCGAGTGTTAGAATCGGTGTCAGTACGACACAAAGCGAGAGCTGACGCAAAGCCTACAGTCACACTCAGCGCGTCGAGGTGGCGCAGCGCATGCAAGCTCCAACGCTAGCGTCAACCTGGCTGATTTGGTCCACCGGGGGCTCTGGTCCATGGATGGATTTGCTACCTTACTCGAATACATATCGCCGACGACGGCTAGCGACCAGAAGTTTATCCAAGTGTACACGAGCCGCCAAATGTAACCACTATCTTCGGCCGAGTTTTGATGTTGTGCAGGGGCCGAAGTTAAGGCGAAGATAGGCGATACAGTATATGAATCTAAACTCTTGCGAGCAAAAGATCTGATACCGTACAAATTCCAAATGTGCATAAAACGTCGTCGGGTCCAGTACTGTACTTACCCGTTGACCCATCTCGTGTGTACCACATGACCCTAATATTTTGAAGGTTTGAATTGCGTCGTCCAAGAGCTCCAGTCGCGGGCAAGCCGAGTGCCACGAGGTCTTATCATTGATCTGTTGATCGATGGCCGTCATGTCGCCCCAAGTGCCCTCGGGCTCCTTCCTGTCCCCCTCGCGCGCCGGCGGCGCCCTTAAGAAGACGAAGCGCTCGTCGGCCATGGGTGACAAGCCCCCTGCGACTCCGGGCAGCGCCACCGTCGGCCGCAAGCGCAAGAGCCTCAGCAGCAGCACCCCCAGCACGCAGGCCAGCAGCGCGGCCTCCACGCCCCTGTCCAACAAGAAGAGGAAGCGCCTGTCCATCGGCACGCCCGGCAAGGTCACGCCCCTCACGGGCGTGCGCGAGAAGGACGTGGAGCGGAAGTTCACAGAGCACACCGTGTCGGACGTGTACAGGGCCATCCGCAAGCAGACGGGCAGCCTGGGAGGCAACGCCGCCGGCGGAGCCATCTACGGAGAGATCACCCAGGCCTCGTTCCAGCGCGTGGTCGACTACCTCAAGGAAAACTGCGAGCTGTCCACCTCCAGCCGCTTCTTGGACGTGGGCTCCGGTCTGGGTAAGCCCAACTTTCACGTGGCTGTGGACCCGGGTGTCGAGGTGTCGTACGGCATCGAGCTCGAGGAGCTGCGCTGGCACTTGTCGCTGCACAACCTGCGCAGCGTTCTGTCGCTCGACTCGCAGAAGAACAAGTGCCTCGCCACGGTGTTCACGGCGGGGGACATCACCCACGCGCACACGTTCGAGCCGTTTTCGCACGTGTACAGCTTTGACGTCGGCTTCCCGCCCGACGTGATGGACAAGATGGCCGACATGTTCAACCGCAGCACGGCACGGTACTTTGTCAGCTTCCACTCGCCCCGGAAGGTTGTGGACGCGTACGGCTTCTCGGTGGAGAATATTGGACGAGTGGCGACGTCGATGGCTGGCTCCAGTGAAGGCCACCAGTGCTACTTCTACCGGCGTGTGGCCCCGAGTGACGGTGAGAGCGAGCCGGAGATCGAGGTGAAGCCTGAGGAGATGTCCCCGTTGAGCGGAGGAAGTGGCCAGCCGTTGACCGTGGACCCGCTCTTCAGGAAAGGTATCGAGCTGCTTAACAACGGCCGTGAAGGCATGCTCGACTGGATCTCCGACTTTTTCGGCCAGGAAGTGTACGCGGGGCGTACGCGTCGGCAAAAGCGCATCCTACGCGAGCGCCCGATTGAGTCCTACTACCGTACGGTCAAGAAATCGTACGCTACTACGACTTCGAAGGATTCTCCGCGGAAGACCGCCAAGGCGACGCGGACGACGAAGCGCAAGATCAACCTTCGCGCCTGAGCTCGTGTTGATGTTTATAGGCTGCTCCTGCTCTTTTGTATCGCAGGCCCAAGCAAGACAAACAAGCATTACTCGAGTACAAGAAACACCGGTGTAGTAGTTGATATACATGGGAGGAATCAAGCAAACAAGCACACAGACAGATCGAATAGGAATACAAGCTGCATACATGCATATTACGCTCTATAGCCTTCAAGTGTGTGTGTGTGTGTATCTACCTTCTCCTCGGATTTATTCCGTCTCGCGACTCGCCTCGACTGACTCAACGAAGAGCTTCTTCTGCAGCGGCGAGAAGATGTCGCCCCCGGCGTGGATGCAGGAGATTAAATAGGTCACATCCTTGCTCTCGAAGCGCTCCTCCTGGCGGAACTGGTCCAGTTCATCGCCGAACGCCGTCGTGAACTCCTCCATGTACAGCTGCCGGAACTCGTTTTGCACTGCAGCATCCACCGTGGCCGATTCACTGGCCAGATGGCCCTGCAGTTCGTGCTCCGCCGACGCCAGCAGCTCGTGGCTGGCGCGCGCGGTCTTGCGGACGACGCCAAGGCGCGCGTACTTCTTGGCGGCGTCCTCGGCCTCGTCGCCGGCCGCCACGAGGTCCTGCAGCAGCAACGTGGTGGCCTCGTCCTCTTCAGTGTCTTCCTCACTGTCCATCGACTCGTCCTCGTCCTCGTCCTCCTGCTGGCTGTGGTCGTACGCGTCCTTCAGCGTCTTCTGCAGCTTGGAGAGGGCTGCAGACGCCTCCAAGCTCTTGGCAATGAGCTCTGCACAGCGCACGCTCTTGTCGGTGGCGGCGGCCAGCAGCTTCTGTCTCTGGGCGTCGTCCACGGCGTCGTTCACCGCTGCAGAAGCGTCCTCCACTCGCGCGCACACTCCAGTAGAAGCCTGGAACGCATCTTCGCCCAGAGCAGCGATGAGGCGGTCGTAGCGCGCCGCGAGCTGCGCAGCCTTGTCACCCGAGGCGTCCATGGTGTTGAATGGCTGGCGATGGTAAGGTTCGACGTTCGCAGAGTATTGAGGGCTGAACAAAGTACGATACAGAAGTACTGAATTACGATAAAAACGAAAATTACGTCCATCTGAAATGGACATTTATTTTAGATCTTATGACTAGACTACCCGCTCGCCATGTTGGGGCTGACGGCAGTGTCTCCGTACTTCTACACGAGACGCCGAGTAGAGCGCAACTCTAGCACATCCATTTTGTCCAACTTGCCTTGTCGGAACTTCTTCGCAGAAGCAGCAGCAGCAGTACATGTAGCAGCAACAAGTTGCGACAAGGGCAACGGGAGACAGCTTCGCTTTCAAAACAACTTCGTGTTAACAAAATTATATACTAACATGTATTAAGTACCAAACAAAACAAACTTTACCGGCAAAAGCAGCAGTACTTGCTGCAAACCTCTTGCTCGCCTCCATTCACCTTTCGAAGCTTCAGCCCTTGTCCTGCAAGAAGCGAGCAAACAAACGCTCCCTCTCCTCGCTTTGCGTCACCACCAGCCTCATCCGCTCTTCAGCATCTGCACCCGCCTTCACGAGGAGCTTCAAATGGTCTTCGGCGACCTTGGCTCCGCTCGAGGTGTTCGCTTGCTGGGCAATCGCGTCATGGACGGGCTTTCACTGCTTGCGGTGAGCCTCCATCGTGAGTGCCTCGACGGTGTTGACTTGTTCACAGAGCACCTTGGACACCTTCACCAGAACTGGTTCGTCGTCGTCCGAAGTGTCCTCCTCGCCCTCCTCGCTCTCGTCTTCAGTGTTGTCGGTTGCAAGAGTTGAGCAAGCGTCTGCGTCTGCCTCCTCGTCTTCGGACGCTTGAGTCGAAGCTGCCTCCGCCAGCACCCCGAGCTTCCGGGCGCGGACCTTGTCAAGCGTCCGAAATGCGGTTTGACTCAAACTCAGCAGCACCTCGGGCTCTGCGCAGCGTCGTGAGGCCTCGCGTCGACAGGCCTCCGTGAGCTCGAACCAGGTAGTCCAGGAGCCGTAGCCATTTGCGACGAACTGACGGGCTGTCAGCACCGCGCGAGTCGCCGCTTCAACTGCATCGCAGGACCGAGCGCTGCCGCCTAGCCGCACAAAGCTCGGATGGAGCTTCGACGCGCACTTTGGGGACTGGAGAGCAGGAAAGCCAAGATCTTCAATAGCGCGAGTTAGCAGGTCCAGCTCACGTCGAGTCCAGCGAGGCTCACACCCACGTAGAACGCGCCCAAGCGCTGCAGACACCTCTCGGTCAAGCTTAACGTTGCTACGGAACTGCGCCACGAGCCTCTTCCACTTCGACGCCGTCGCCAGCTGCGTTCGTCTCGTGCTGTGGGCCAGCTTCACGAAGTTGTCATGGATAGCGGTTTTCATTGCAGGCGAGGGGTGGACCAACGATTCGTGAGGGTGCGCATACAACGCATTTTCGCACGCAGCAATGAGCACCAAGTGCTCCGAGCGTGCCCAGCTTGGCATGGTGCGAGGAAACTGGGAACTGGACGCAGAGAAAAAGCCAACCAGCACCTCGTCCCTGAGCGGTGGTATATTGAGCGCAATGGGCACCTTTTTGTTCAACACTATGGGAAAAACTTTCATTCTTTGCCGCTGCAACTTGCCGCTCGCTACCGAATGATCAAACCAACTAGCACTAAACGACGTCCAGTACTTGCTGGTTGCACTTGCTCAACTACTTTTACTTGTTCATCTTTCTCGTGCGTCTCCAGCCTCCGTGCGCCAAACTTCCAATACATCGACCTCTCTCCTCTTCATCCGGACCCCACAACTCGTCATCAAACCCATTATCTTCCCCGAGTTCCCATGTCAGCGTGGATGCCACGACTCATACGGTAGCATCTTCAACACCGCGACTGGGCTCCTCGTTCTGTCGCGCCACCAGCATCTGCATCAGCTTGGATCGAACGGTGTCTTCGCGCTTCCGCATCCGTGCTCGTCACCCTTCCTTGCATACTGAACTGCTAGCTGGTTGAAGTGTAATGCAAGCACAACACCACCGGCAAAACCACCGGTCCAAGCAACTCCTCCTTACGAAAGCCTAGCATTTTCCTCGATTTGGTTGTCCACCACTCGTCCGAATTCCTGCAGAGCAATAGCTCTCTTTGTCAGCAAACGATCGAAACGCGCCCCAATCTCCCTCTGTCTCTTGGTCGCAGTAGCGTCATCGAGGATACCATTTACAAGCTTCCGCTGTTGCTTGTGGGTCTCCACTGCGCAAGAATGCATCTCTTTCATAGTGCGTGCAACGACTCGCTGCACTACAGCATCGTGAAGCTCGCCATCCTTCGCCTTCTCAGCTGCGCGCACAGGGTGCTCCCCCGTACCAGAACGTGGTTCACTTCCACGCATATCCGATCCACGTTGTTGGGCACCATTTGATGGTTCGGCAACAGTGTTAGAGGTCTCTCCGCTGCGAGCTGCGACTTGATCCAGCAGCCGGAAGGCTTCTTCACTCATGCGCAGAAGGATACCACGATACATGGACGGACATTTGCGTGCTAGCTCAAGCCGGCGGGCTTCCGACAGCGCAAGCCATGAGCTCCAAGAACGGCGGATCAATACAAAACGCCTTGCCTTGAGCACGGATTGACTTGCGGCTTCAATTGCACCTCGCGTTCGGCGCTGGCCACCACCCAGAGCCAAGAGCTCTGGATAAACTTTGCTCACCAGCTTCGCTGGACATCTGCGAGCTTGGTTCGCCAAGGCGCGACAGAGCAACTCCAGCTCCTCTCATGTCCACGGCGCTCGGCTACCAGTAGTCTTCTTTGAACGCGCCATTTTTCACAATGAGCACGAATCTCGATCAGCCCTGAGAAAGGAGAGAAACGCACTGCAACCGGCGGGTTTCTTTGTATTAGCGGCATACTAACGGTAGTATCGACGGAAGCAACGCCATCCGCCTCTAAAGCAGTAATATGCTACGTAAGTTGAAATGGACAACCAAGAACACTATCTTACGTACTACCTTAGTCGGAGATATCCGCTCAACCATTTCAGTCAAAACTACACTCACTTGCGCCAGCCGCCTCACTTGTCCATCTTCCATCAGCGCCTCGCAGGAAACCGCAAGATCAAAAAGCCCTCTGCCTTCGCATCTCAACACCAAAGCAATTGCCTCCCCACCAAGCAGGAGGCACCATAGATCGCCTTCCACTGGCTCACGTTCCTAACTCGGGTCAAACCGTGCATTCGTCATTGTCGATCGTGGAGTTCCATTACCCCCGCCGAGCCCACGCCCTGGTCGAGCTCTTCATCTGGGCGTTCAGAAAGGAGTCGCGCTGCACCAAAGTATCCAAGTGCTGAGCCAGATGCAAGTCGAATGGGGTGACATCGCCATCACCAACTGCTGCAGCGTCGGCGGCTTGTTCCAGTAAGATATCTCTGGCAGCTTCACCTGGTCAAGCCCACAGATTCGCGTTCACACTGACGACCTCCACCGGTCAACACCTCTGCACTTGTCGCGCCATCATTCGAATCATGCGGTGTTGCCGCCATCGAGTTATCACCAACGGCCCCCTGCGGCTCACTCTCGCTAGCGGGTTCGCGTTCTTCACCAGTGCTCGCTTCTTCCTCCATCGTTTCGTCACTTGGTTCTTGCTGCATGGTCGCTGAGGAGTTGGCAACGCTAAGCTGCGACCCGCCCTCAGGTTCGAGCTCTTCTTGGCTGGGCATTTCTTCCTCCATGATATTGTTATCTGGTCCCTGCAAGGGTGCAACTTGCATACTCGACTGAGCCTCACCCTGATGGACTCCTGGATCTGCCTCTTGATTGCCCAGCACGCCCTCACCCTCGGTATCTCTGCTCGCGTCCCGCGATACATAAGATGCTTTGTCCGAAAGCGCTGCCGCTTCATCCAGCGAACGAAACATAGCTTCGTTCATGCGCGGCAACAGGAACTTGTACTCCTTGCCACAGTGCTGCGACCGATTGCGACGATCCATGTCGGACAACAACAGCCACGAACTCCAGGAACCGATCGCCAACACAAACTCTCTTGCCTTCAGCATCAGTCTAAACATTGTCGTCATCGCCTCTTGGGTTCGTCCAGTATCGCCACCCAGCTCAAGATACTTCCAACACAGTTTCTTTCCGACGCCGGGGGATCTTCCCGATCCAGCACGAGAGCGAACATCCACGTAGGCCCTCACAAGCCGCTCAAGCTCTGCCACCGTCCAGACAGCCCCACTAGACAGCAGTTGCGTATCTATTGGGGTGACTCCATCCAGTAACGTCGCGTGCTTTTGAGCAAGCGTCGACAATGCTTCATGAAGCTTCTTGCCACCACCGGCTCTGCGCGGTTGCTTCTGACGTTTACGCGTTGCCCCGGCGCGTTGACTCAGTTGCTGCGTGGACTTCCACCTAACGCAAGACTTCGCAAGCTGCTTCAACTTGGTGGTTGTAGCTCTCTCGCTTCGCTTTGAGCTGCCGCTGAGCGTGACAAAGTAACCATGAACACTGTCGAGGAACGGACGAGAAGGCTCGGCTAACGACTCGCTTGGGTGTACGCGTAGTGCATGCTCGCACGCAGTTACCAGCAGATTCTGCTCCTTGAGCGTCCAGTTCATCTTGTTGCAATTTCCGACATGAACGCTCAATGGTAAATACGATGTGGTCTTGTTACAGTTGGTTACTTTAGTCCACGAGCACGTCCAGGAAATCTCCGAAGGCGTTGAAGAGCGAAGCAGCCTCTTCACTATCACACACTCGAGTTAATGAGGTGAGAAAGGGGTTGAGCTCCTCGTCCGAGGACGAACTGCTGCTTCTTTCGCGCTCGAACGTCTCCTCCGCGAGTACCACGGGGCTATGCGTCGAAGCCTCCTCCTCGGCTTCAACAAGCTCGAACCGTGGGCTGTCATCTTCTCCTTCCGAATCTCCAGCGTCCGAGGGCCCTTTCCCAGTTACGGCGTGCGAGACACCATCGGCCACTTCATCAGACACGTCTGCAACGAGTGCAGCGGCATCCAGCAGCTCGTCGAACGACGGTAGCACGCTGTACGCCTCCTTCATCACGTGCACCACCTTGGTAATGCCCGTAGCTGCACCCACGGACTCCCCAGCGTGGCGGTAGTTCTCTTTATCCATCGATTCATGAAGGACATCTCGACAGAGCAAGAACCCGTCGTGTACTTCTTCGCTGTTGACAGTTTCGTAGGCCCACTTGAGCAGGTAGAACGCATTCTGCGGCCCCAACAGCTTCACCAGCATCTTCACAGCTGCACGGGTTTCATTGACAGCATCCTCCTCAGAGAAGCACTGCTGCACTGCAGGCACCAGCGCCTTCAGCATCCGGTAGGACGGCACTGCAATAGCATGACTCAACACGCTCACAGACGCATTGCCGGTGACGTCCATGCCCTGCCACACAGCGTTCGACACTGATGGCGGGATCACGTAGCTTACCGTCCTCACGGAAGCTCCTACAGCTCCAGAAATAGTCGACGCCGTGAACGATGCCGTGGACACCGCTCCGTGTGTGATGCCTCTGGCCACATGCATTCCCGTTCTCGCCACGACCCCCGTGGTCGCCACCACCGCCGACGTGGCCAATGCATGGGACGTCGACACAGCGCCAGAAATCTTCCGGCCGCTGTAAGTTGCCACGCGCGTGGGGATCGCCACGGCTGAGGACACGCCGCTGTGCACCAGCCGCACCGGCAGGAACAGCAACTGCGACACCACGCCGCTCTGGTGCTCTGCCGTCTCTGCTGTTGCTGGTTCCTTGTCTTCAGCTGGGAACACCTCCATCACCTGTTCATTGCCGCTGCTGCTGCTGCTGAGGTCGCTGGTGGAGCTCGTGTGTTCTCCGAAGAGATCCGCGTCCTCTTTGTGCTCGTGTCCATGGTCCGCACGACCCCAGGACTGCGCGATGCTGGCGCGTACGTGGTTGGTGATGTGGATGGGCGCGGAGACCGCCATGGTCGTGGCCTGCACGGCCGCCTTGCCCGCCACCACGTACGGGAGCAGCACGAGGTTCGCGGCAGTTGAAGCTACGCCCAGCGTCGTCTGTAGAGCGGAGCGCTGCGCCTCAGAAAGAGCACCAGGCGGCGAGTCCAGGTCCTCCATGGTCACGACCGTCTGGATCTGCTCGTCGTCGGTCTCGGCCTCGCTCTCCGTAAACGCCTCGCTCACGAGGCACTCGCCGTCGTCCGCCATGACGCTTGCTCTGCCTTCGACTTGGTTCAGGACTGAGATCAGTTATTAAGAAACATCGAATAGAAACGTTTCTAAATCGAGGTTTAAAAGTGACAGGCTGCCGTGGCGGGCGACGTGGCACGGCGACGCGATACGACGACACGACGATCGACTAAAAGTGCGACTTCTAGCATCACGAGGAGTGATTCCCCGCAGTTCGACGCAACTTGCATCAACCGCCAAAGTCACTGCACCTCGACTGCGGCGCGATCGTAAAGCAGGAAAAGCAATGCCCGAATAAGATGGCGTCGGGCACTGGTCAGCAGTAATTCTCCGACGTTCGTCTCGACAGTGTCTCGAGCCGCGCAGACCAGACTTGTCCTCGGCGCGAAGGAAAGCCGCCCAAGTGTTTTCCGAGCGGCAAGCAGATGCCTGGAGCCGGCTCCCGAACGAAAGCAGCGGACGCTGGAAACCCCAATGGCACTTGATACTGTAGCGAACGGCTGCCGTTGGTCGTCTCGCTGGTCGCGCGCTTCGGTGGACGAAAGATGGAGCTGGGGCTCAGCAGCAAGAGCAGCGTGGTGCCTTCCTTAAGGAACTTACCAGTGGCACTGCAGTGCGTTGGAAGCGCAATGTATTTCCTCTAGACGGTGTTGCTTTATGGGGTGCTGGGGCCAGCGTGTTCCGGTTCAAACCACAAAGTGCCAAGGTGGGCCGCGGTCGGCGAACGCACGCGAGATTTGCCTTGTCCACCTTCCTACACTTGGACCCGCGCACCCGCCACCACTGTCGAGCGTTCCAGGGCTTATCTCGCCCGAAGCGTGCCGCAGCTCGCTCGTGTTGGGCGTCCGCGTGTTGGGTAAGGAGCTCCTCCGTAACGGAGGCTCCGTTGCATTTTGGCTCCGCTCGAAGGTACGGTACCGTGTCCCCTAACCAGCGCTCCATACGAAATCCAATTGCATCGTCGGGACTTGGCGCTCGCAGCGAAAATCACCATGCTGGAGCCAAAGTTGCCCGCAGGTAGCAGCCCAACGACAGCAGTCTTTATGGGGCCCATATCGCCCATACTTACATGCACTGTACCGGTACGCCACCATGGCAGACTGGCGCATTCAGTGCTTGCGACGCCAGCACAAGCGAGCGCTTGCTGCCGGCCGAGCCCCCCCCCCCCCCCGATTCAATCGGGGGGCCGATTGTTGGTTTGACATGAGCTAGGGGTGTGGTGATTGGATGAAACGCGCCCGCCCCGCCCATCCCCATTCAACATACGGTCCAAGCGCAGTTCGTGTTTAGGAGTCCCCGGTCTCTGTCCGATTACAGACATACAAAGCGCAGCATCGATTCCATCTCTTGCTGGCAACCAGTTGAAGAGCATTCCAGGGCAATTTTCCAAGAGCGGTCGGCACCACCGCTCGGCTGCTCACTCGCGGCCTGATTCAGCGATCCGACCAGCAAAAACTTGCTCATACTGTAGCTACTAACAATATTCACGACAGGGCTGGTGGCCCTGGTCTCACCAAGTCTGTGATGCATGTAGCAACTGAGAGAGTCGAAGTGGTTGGCGCTCGGTGCTCCACAACTCAAGTGCTCTCGGCTCGACGAGGACAAAACACTAAATTATTTAGATGGAGAACACTTCTCCTCCTTCTTCATATACCAAGACGGCATCCTCGCGCCCCGAATGTCAAGGCAGCAAGCACCCTTCCACAGAAAATGGTCCACAGTATTGCTCTCCAATCGCAGTTCGGGTTTGCCAGCAAAAGAGCCTTTTACCCGGGGCTGTTCTCTGCGCGGTGTCTCCTCTGCCCTCCCTTTTATACGTCCGTCTCTATTCATTCCTCCCTCAGTCCCATACTGCCGCTCACAGCCCAAAGCCTCAACAAAGGCCCGCTCTGCTCGTGTAGTGTCGGCCTTCCTGCGCACCTCCTCCTCCTCCTCCGCCCGCGCGCTGACCCGAGGACTGCGGACTCCGCCGAGGCGGGCGGCACACAAGCTGAGCTGATGCTGGACTCGCTGTCTTCCACGCACTCCAAGTCGGCGCTGCGCTCGCCGCTCACGTCCAGTCTGGACGAGCAGGGCAGCACGCCCAGCGCCTCGTCCTCGTACTTCATCGAGGGCCCGTGGGAGCAGCGCAACCGGCGCTTCCGCAACGTGCTGCTGCACGTGTGCAGCTTCATTCTGATCCTCGAGTTCGCCGAGCGTGTGAGCTACTACGGCATCAACCAGGGCCTCAAGAACTTCATGGGCAAGCTCGGCTGGTCGCAGGTGGGCTCCAACTCCCTCAAGAGCACGTGGACCTCCATCTGCTACCTGTCGCCGCTGCTGGGCGGCTACGTGGCCGACGAGAAGTGGGGCCGCTTCCGCACGCTCTGGGTCTTCGGGGTCTGGTACACGCTCGGCGCGTTCCTGCTCACGGCGTCGGCGCACCCCAAGTTCATGGAGCCCGAGCACGGCAACCACATCGCCGCCAACATCCTGTGCCACATCGGCCTGTTCGCCGGCGTGGCCGTGGGCACGGGCGCCATCAAGGCCAACGTCATCACGTTCGGCGCCGACCAGTTCGACCCGAACGACCCCAACGAGGTCACGCAGAAGGAGCACTTCTTCAGCTACTTCTACATCGTCATCAACCTCGGCGCCATCTTCTCGTACGGGTATCTGTCGGTGCTGTGTGTGGAGGGTACGGGTGCTGTCACCAAGGAGTACGGCTACTTCGCGTGCTTCCTGATCTGTGGAGCGGTCATGGTCTTCGCCTACGTGCTGTTCCTCTTCGGGGCCCCGAGATACGTGCACTTTGCACCGCAGGACAGTGCACTCACCAAGCTTTGCACTATTGTGCTTGGCAACTGCGCCTTCAGCTACGAGGCCAGGATGCTCTACTACGGCCTTATCGCGTTCGGCTCGGCCTTCCCGTTGAACCTGTTGGCGTCTTTTTTGTCTGACTGGTTGTCCGTGGGCCAGTACCTGTCGTATTTGGTCGTGATGTGCTGCGCCTTCGGCATGTACGCGTGGATCCGCTACGGTATGAACACGGCGTACATGGACAAATCGAAGGCCTCGAACGGCGGCAAGTTTAATGACGAGACGGTGGACGAGATCAAGATGGTCATCCGAGTGCTGCCCTTCGCGTCGTTCATGATCATGTGGGAGTGCGCGTACGATCAGCTGGACGCCAACTTCCAGTCCATCGCCCAGCAGTGCGACCTCCGAGTGGGCGCCGAGGACATCAGCGACTACGACGCGATGCAGATTCCAGGTGCAAGTCTAGGTATCTTCGACCCGCTGACGATCATCCTGCTGATCCCCGTGCTGGACGGCTTCGTGTACCCTTTGTGGGGGAAGATCTTTGGGCGGCCACCGAGTGCCTTCGGTAAAGTGCTTACGGGGCTCATCGTGGCGATGCTGACGATGATTTGGTCCGGATTCTTCGAGATCATCCGGCGAAACAGCGGCGAGATCGTGTACCTGGACGCGAACGGCACGTTGCAGACCATCCCCAACAACGGGTCGAACGAGCCGATGAACCACACGTACTGGGCGTACGCCATCCCGATGTACGTGTTCACGGCTGTGGCCGAATGCCTGATCAACGTGACAGCCTACGAGCTGTTCTACACAGAGGTGCCTGTGTATCTTAAGAGCACATGTCAGGCTATCAATCTGTTCATGGTTGCCATGGGAAGTAATCTGACGTCGACGTTCACGCTGCTGTTCGAGCACTACATCACGAACAACCTGAACGACGGCCACTTTGAGTACATGTACTGGACGCTCGGCGCGCTCAGTCTGGTCAACATCATCGCCTACGTGACGGTCATGAAGTGGATGGAGTTCGGCATGGTGCGGTTTGACGCGGACGACGAGTTGCTCGACGGAGCCGTGTTCGACAGCCACGGGGTGGACATCACGAGCATCCAGCGGCACTCGTCGTTCGAGAGCATTTCCTTGTCCCGGGGGTAGCGGCCCGATTTGCCGTGTACCCGGGCGCGTGCTGCTTCAAAGGCAAGCGAGCAAGCGCAGTGGTGGTCTGTTGATACGATTATTATGGGTAGGGTGAATACACAACTTTTTTTGCAAGCTGGTGTTCCTGCTAGGAGATTGGGCTGGATTCGATGCCATTACGATGTTGGTGACAACTAGGGTACGTGGGTTGCCTTGAGGTTTGTGTGCGGAGTTTCGGTCAATTTTAGGCAAAGTGTCGCTTCAAGGGGAGAGCGTGGTGGGGGGGCTTCATGGCAAGCAAGAAGACCCGCGCGCGTAAAGCTCACGATGGAATACGGCTGAGCTCACTTTCGCCTGAGAAACGAGGGCCTGGCAGCCATGGAGCAGCGTGGGGGCAAAACAATAACGTGGCGGAGCTCGCAACCGTCTTCGCCTACAAGGAGATTCCGAAGGAGGTGCTGGTCGGCACTGATCTAGATTTGTCGGTAAGCCACTAGCAAGCTACTGATCCACTTGCTGGGCGGATGCTCAACTTTTGACATGTTTCCATCCTTTTGGGGGAAGGTTTGGTCCGTGGTGGCGTCCGATGCGTGCTTGATGCGTCTTGGGCACAATTGTCCGGGCTATCGAATCTCCAGCCCAACGTATATTCGACCACAGTTCAACCTGCAGTCAAATCAGCTCGCCGACTTGCTCTCCTCAGCTGTGCCAGCTGCAGCCAATGCTGCTTTCAACGATGCATCGACTGTGGCGCTGCCAAAGCAGCAATCGATCATTCGACTAAACCTTGCGGGCTCAGATCAGGTACGCGAAGTTGCGAACTTTTCAAACGAATATGCAAATGCAATTGGCTTACAAGCGATATTTCGTTTTCACCTAAAACGACAGATTACAGATAAAACTGCGCACTTGATCGCCACCGCGTGCCCCGACCTAAAGTTTCTCAGTCTTGAAAGAGCTGTGAAGGTGAGCTACGCGGAATAAATCTGAGTTCTTGGTTTTTACGCCAAAGCTAACCTGTCATGCGTCCTTATTTCTAGTTGACAGATGCCGGCATTCTTCACATCGCGAGTTGTTGCCGTAACCTGGAATCACTCAACCTCAGCTACGTGACAGCGCTGCAAAGCCCATCTCTAAGCTGCATCGGAGAGCTTCGACTCCCCTTACGGTGTGAGCATCACAACCACAGCTTCATCGACGATTTAGCTACTCTAACATCATGTTGCGTGCTATGTTCTGGTAGCTCTTGCGATTGCTGGCTGTATTCGAGTGCCAGACTTTTCGCTGCTTCGGCTCTTTCAAGCTTGTCCCACGCTGGAATCCCTCGATCTCTCCTTCTGTGCTAGCGTGACCGACAACGTTTTATTATCTCTGGGAAAGAACTGCAGCAAACTCCGACAGTTAAAGCTTCGAGGTTGCCGCCAGATTTCCGACACTGGCGTGGTGGCTCTAGCGAACTCGGGAGGCGTCAACAGCCTTGTATTGCTCGACCTGGCGCGGTTTGATCTGCAGTACAAGTTCAACGACATATCGCTGCTGGCGCTAGCTGAAAACTGCCTCGTGCTCCAAACGCTGATTCTCTCTGGCTGCGATATGCTCAGCGATGTCGGGATGGATTGGTTAGCGTCCGGGTGCAATGCACTGACCCACCTCGATGTTTCTGGCTGTGTGGCTCTGACCGATCTATCGTTACGTGCGATCAGCGAGAGCATGTTGCAGCTTCGACACCTCAATATTCGGCATTTATCTCGAGTTTCAGATCAGGGTATCCGCCGGTTATCGATGGGATGTCCAGAACTAACGTACCTAGACGCTGAGGGGCTTCCACTTCTCTCGGATCTGCACACTTCGTCTGGCAACGGTGGTGGCGGCAACGAGGTGTACCGTCAAGGCATCGCTGCGCTGGCGGCAGGTTGTTCAAAGCTGAGGCACTTGGACTTGTCCAACTGTGCTGCGATTTCGGATGGAACGCTGCATTGTGTAGCGACATCGTCCGCTGAGCTAACCACGCTCGTGTTGTCAGGCTGCTATCGTATTACCACAACTGGAGTGAAAGACGTCTTAGCTCACTGCACCAAGCTGGTGTCGCTCAATGTCGCGGAGTGCGATCAGGTAACAGATCACGCCTTCACGGATATTCACCACCACAGTCGAAATCACTCTCCACTGAAGGCTGGGATGTCTGGGTATTCATCGAATCAGCTTCATGTGCTTCGTTTACGCGGCACTCGAGTTTCCGACGTGACGTTGAAATGGCTAAGCCGCTATTCGCCGCAGCTTCGTGAGCTGGACGTGTCGGACTGTACTGGGGTGACGGACATGGGTTTGCTGGCGCTCACTGGGGCTACGATGGCCGGAACTCTACGAAGTCTGTGGCTTCGAAACGTTGCTGACATCACGGAGACGGGGGTGTCCTGGCTGGCTGAAAAGTGCACCAAGCTCATGCTGCTAGACCTGACGGGGTGTCCAAAGATCCGCTCGTTTTCGATCAAGGCCCTCGCTTCGTCTTGGAAGTTCGCACTCTACGCGTGTAATGAACAATTCAAAGGCATGACACCTCGCCACCGTGCAGAAGATTGGCTGTTCATCGAAGAGTACGGCAACTGCTGGCGAGCTGCGATTCATATTCAATGCATGTATCGAGCTCGAGTGGCTCGGCGGATCGCGCGTCAGAAACGGGAGGAGCGGTTGATCCTGTGGGTGGCAACTCGGCTCCAGAGTGTATACCGCGGACGCCAGGCTCGGAAGTACGCCATCATCTTGCGCTTTCAGTTCAACAAGGAGACGGAGGCTGCCACTAAAATTCAACGGGCTTATCGTGGGCTTTTAGCGAGGAGAGAGGCCCAGAGACTTCGCGAACTGCGTCATCAAGCGGAAGTACTGCGAGCGGCAAGGACGATTCAAGCTTCCTGGAGGAAAAAGAGACTGAGAGAAAGGTTGCGGAGCCGACACCTCCGCCGTCTAGCATACGAGGACAAGCTGCGTCGCTGTGCTATCCAGATTCAGCGGCGCTGGCGAGGCAAGAAAGACCGCGAACGCTTCAATTTAATTCGCGCTGCAAAGATGGCCAAGGACCGAGAAGAGTTTGAGGCCGCTAGACAGTTGCAGAGCATTTACCGTGTCCGCGCAGCACGCCGAGCCGCGAACCTCAAGCGTGAAGAATTAAGGAACGAGGAGAAGCGACGAGAGCGAGCTGCTATGACGTTGCAAGACCATATAAGACGGCACCGAGCAAGGAAAGAGCTTCGTGCAATGCGCGCGTATGTGGCTGAGGTGAACGGTGCTGCAGCCCGCATTCAAAAGGGGTGGCGAGCGAAGAAGAGGTACCAGGCCAACCAGATCATTGTGATGGTCCGACAGAAGAAGCGCGAGAATGATGCAGCCGTGAAGCTCCAAGCAGCTTGGAAGCGACGGAAAGCGAGGATCGAGGTGAACTTAATGCGCTTGGCACGAGACTTGCAGCAGCAGAAACTTGTAGACGCGGCGTTGATGGTGCAGACGAATTGGCGGGGTAGACATGGTCGGCTGGAGGCACAGGCGCTCAAGCAGACTGCGATGGAGAAAATCACGCAGCTCTTGAAGATCCAGAATCACGCCGTCACGTTCGTACAAGCACACTACCGTGGATGGAAGGGCCGAGAATTGTATCGAGAGGCGAAGCTGAACAAGAAGAAGCGCTGGAAAGAGATCGTCCGCCCTGAAAATGGCGAGAAGTTCTACTATGTGAGTTTTCTGAGGACCACGACCACCGTCTTCGAACTGGTTGAGACTAAGTGCTCGCATTTGTGTTACCGTTCTTGTAGAACCGAGTGACAGGCGAGGTGCGATTCCGGAGACCTCAGGACGTTTTGGATCTGCTACCGAAGCCGCTTTGCGAAAACTGCGGTACAGTCAACCGTGAAGTGAATTTGCGGAGTGTATTGATACTAACCCGCTATTCAATTAAAACTCCCAGCGACGAGTGAGGCGACGATGGAGTGCAAGGACTGCGGTGAAATGTTCTGCGGCACGGTAAGAGTTTGATTGCAATTTATTATCTCGCGTTGACGACACCTTCAACGAAATTTCAAGTGTTGCTCATCATGAAGTTGCACTTGTTGATGTGTTGCGGTACTGTACTGTAGTGCTGGGCCAACGTCCATTCGGGTGGTCGACGCAAGCTGCACGAGTTCCGAGCGCTGTACGACTACTACAACCGGCGCGTGGACTATGGAGATTGGGAGTTCCCCTCGCGGTGGCCGTCCGAGATTGAGCAGGACGAGATGGACGGGTGGGGGTTCCGAACGCACCCGCGGCGCAGGCCGGACGAAGTACAAGGCCCCTGGGAACGCTACGTGGACCCCGACACGAATCGCGAGTGGTTCTACAACCGCGAGACGGAGGAGAACAGCTATACTGCCCCAGAGGGTTTCGCGGTGCAGTCGAGCGGCGCAGACTCAGCCGAGTGGATCAAGTACTACGACGAGAAGCAGGGCGCGCACTACTACTACAACATCAGGACGCAGGAGAGCACATACACTCAGCCAGCAACGTACGCCACGCCACGCCTTGCGCCGGCCTCCGCGGCGGTGCCTCCGACCGCCAACCAAGACGGATGGGAAAAGCACATCGACCCGCAGAGCGGCTACCCGTACTACTTCAACCGGTTGACCACGGAGAGCGTGTTCGCCCGCCCCATGGGCTTCGTGACGACGCGCGAGGCGGACGCGGGTGCGACTGCGCTCGGTTGGGCCAAGTACTTTGACGCGTCGAGTGGCAGCTACTACTACTACAACGCGCAGACCAACGAGAGCCGCGCCGACCGGCCGGACGCGTTTTCGACGCCGCGGATCTCGGCGGAGGACGCAGCAGCGACAGCGGTTGGGGGCCTGGCCGAGTTCTACGACCCGGGCACAGGCAAGACCTACTACTTCAACGCGCAGACCACCGAGTGCCGCCAAGCTGGACGCGACGTGCAGCGCGCGGAGTAATCGGTCGCGAAGGAGAAGCGCAAGGACAAGAGGCACGTTGACGTTGAAGTCGACGCCCTCGTCGTCAACAACAGCCGCGATTGCCCCACGCGCTCGGATACTTTGCGCAGCAAGAGACACACCGCACTATCCTGCGTCCTCTATGCAGCGCGTGTCTCGCCGAAGCGGTCAAAATGGTCCAACCGCGCCGCCGACACGCGCGAGTCACGCCCGGGAGCTTTCCATTTCGCTGCGCGGACGGGAAAATTTCAGTTTTCCGGATCGAAATGACTGGCGTGGAGGCACAGAAGGCGGGTCACGCCACCGCGGTCCGTCACCTTGGTGCTTCCTGGCGCCCTTACAAATCTTGCCGGTCGCATTGCGCTGCCGGCCGGTTGGTGCTCGAGAGCTCTTTTGCATTGCCGGCGACCGGCATTCCGCTGGCGTGTTTGCGGCTGGGCAGGTCTGCCATAATACACCAAAATGGACGCACGCGCACCCAAATCCGCGCGGAATCGCTGTCACACGAGGGCAATCGCTCTCTGGAGAAAACGTCTTGGAATCAACACTCTTCGTGTCGGGAGAGAAGCATGTAGCCATCGCCATGGAGCTAGGAATCCGCTAAAATATATATTAAAAATCGACCTGGGATCTCATACTATATACGGTAGAAGTTACCAGCTCACATTTGCCTACAGCACGGATACTGTGATGCCAGGCGCGCGAAACCATAAATCCGGCGGACGAATGCACAGGCTCGATCGAATATATCACATTATTTTGCCGCAGTGGGTTGGTTGGCTGTCGCTCGAGTCGAAAGTCTCTAGTCTAAGAAAGTCTCCACCCGATGACATCACTTCGCTGCGAGTTGACTCCAGCGAGCCGGAGCGGCTACACGCCATCGCGGGCAACGCTCGGTGGATCATCAGTTGGCGGATTACGGGGCCCAATGCACTGTGGCAGCAGGACAAGCCCCGGAGCGCTTCGCCTGCAGTATAAACGTTATTAGACGACGGCGTCCTGGCGACATGCCCTAGGGGCACGCTGCTTCGTTCGCGTTGTAGTTTGAAGTTGCCGGCGCGTGTTTCTCGCGTTATTTCTTTGCGGTCCCGTTCACTTGACTTGTCGAGTCCCCGGCGTCGATGGGTCCGCGCAGAACGAGTTTTCCGGCACATTTACTTGAGGGCTTGAGGACGCATAGGGCGTTAGTTGAGTCCGTCCCGTTTGCAGCACTTCAACCTGGTCGGGACCCCCGCCCAGCGCGACGGCGAGCGCAGACCACGTCCACTTGACATGGTCTGCAGTCCACAGAGCCCCGAAGCTGCATCATACCGCGCGTTGAGCACCACTAGCACCACTTGACAGCTCTTGCAGCTTGGTCCTCTGACTGCAATTTTCGACCAGCATTTGTGTCGCGAGACCGTCCACTCACGCCTCCGTGAGTTAGAGCACGGCCTACATGTATGGCGATGCGCATCAACACGGCTCTGGATACCTGTCGCGGCTTGCGACTGCAACGACAAAAGAAGAGGCATGAGCCGTCCGGGGTGTAAGCCATGACGGCCATGGAGCTCATTCTGCAATTCCCTGCCCTCTTACCACCCCCATGACGTTCATGGCGCGGCACCGCCCCGCCCAAGCGCAGGACTCGATGGAGAAGGAGCTGAGCGCGTCCAGCGGCCTCACGCTGGGCGAGTCGCCGCAGCACGCGGCCAGTCCGCGGCGCAGCATCTTCCGGCGCCGCAAGGGCTCGGCCGACAGCTGCGCCTCGAGGCTATCGCTCTCGCTCACGCCCGACGACCGGCGGCCCACCAAGCACCTGCCAGTACACGACAAAGGCAAAGGCTGCTCCAGTAGCACCAGCAGCAGCAGCACTAGCGGCGCGCGCCGGCCGCTGGCGCTGCCGCACACCATCACCGAACGACACGGCGGCCAGGAGCTCTGGGTCAAGGCGCCCGTGGTCTCCGGCTCGCTCGAGAAGCGCGGCTTCCGCTGGCGCAGGAAGTGGAAGCTGCGCTTCGTGGAGCTTGACGGCCGGCAGCTCGCGTACTACGAGGACTCGGGCGCGTTCAGCGCCACCACAGCCTCGGCCAGCGGCGTCAAGCGCAACTGCAAGCCCAAGCGCAAGGCCATGCTCACAGCCGACGCCCAGCTGGAGGACGTGGACGACACGACGCTGAGCATCACGCCCGCGCTGGACGAGAAGCCGTGGCTGCTGCGCGCGCGCGACGCCGCCACCAAGCAGCGCTGGCTCGTGGCGCTCTCGGACTGCATCGACATCTTGGTCTGGCTACGTCACTACAAGCTCGGTGCTGTGCTGGGCGTCGGCGGCAACGGCGTCGTGCAGAGACTCGAGGACGAGCGTGACGGGACCGTGTACGCCGTCAAAGTGCTGGACGTGGCCAAGTTCCGGCACCGCGAGCAGGTCGTGGCCGAGGTCGAGATCCTGCGCAACATCACCAACAACATCAAGCACCCGAACCTCATCAAGATCCACAAGGTCTACGAGGAGCACCAGAAGGTCTACATCATCCAGGAAATGTGCACGGGCGGAGAGCTCTACGACCGCGTGGTGCAGCGCGGCAAGTACTCGGAGAGGGACGCGGCCAGCATCATGCAGCAGCTCGTGTCGGCGCTACAGGCGCTGCACGCGCACAATATTCTGCATCTGGACATCAAGCCCGAGAACATTTTGTTCTCGTCCAAGGACCCGGACTCCAAGATCCTGCTCACGGACTTTGGGCTCGCGCGGATGATCAACGGCAAGCAGAACCCTCTGGAGCAGGGCAAGTCCATGGCCGGCACCATTGGGTACATGGCCCCAGAAGTTATCTCCTCGCACGTGTACAGCGAAGCCGCCGATGTCTTCAGCGCCGGCGTCATCCTGTTCATTTTACTGGTGGGGTACCCTCCATTCTACGGTGATTCGGAGGTGGAGATCCTGCTGAAGATTGCTCGCGGAGACTTCACGTTCGACCCGCAGGACTGGGCGCACGTTTCAGGGTCGGCCAAGGAGCTGGTAGCGCGCATGCTGGAAGTGCGCGCGCAGGATCGCATCACGGTGGACGAGGTGCTGGCACACTCGTGGATCACGCGAGAAGGCCCCAACAGGGATAGCGACAGCTCGGTCCGAGACCTGAGCGCCAGCATGATGACCAAGCTGCAGCACTTCAACATTGACCGGAAATCTCAGAGCATGGGCTCGTTCTTGGCGTCTATGCTGGTTGACGACAACGAGGCTGACTTCCAGGCTCTCGTGGATGAGGAGACCGTCGAGATGATGATCCGTCAGATGTGCGTCGATGGCCACAACCGCATCCCGCTACGCGGTGCGCACGTGATCGCGAAGGGCCTTGGCCTCTCGCCCTACATCGACGAGAAATCGTTCGTGCAGTTCCTGGACCAGAACCGCGATGGCTTCATCGACGCGAGCGACTTCTGCGCGGGCGTAAGAGCACTGCGCAACCGCCACCAGTCGTTCGCTACGATGGTGTTCTCGGCGCTGCTGAGGATGAACTCGCCTGAAGAGAAGGGCGATTCGTCCGATGAGGAAGTCCCCGAGTCTGCAGTGCTTACCCGCGAGCACTTTGCTGTGGCGTTCAAGAAGCTGGAATGCCCAGAGCCGCTAGTGGACGTCTTTTTCAAGTTCGTGGACGAAGAGGAGGAGAAGCTGAACGCCACAGAAACTGGAGAAAATTCGTCCGCCTCGTCGTCCTCGTCGTGGTCGGTGAACGAAGCCGAGTTCATGACACTATTTACACAGTTCTCTTTCCTGGGCATGCTGTTCCTGCGCACGGTAAAGGACAACGTGGTCTCCATGGTCAAGTCGCACAGCGTTGATGGCATGCCGCGTATCTCCGAGGACTCGTTTTCCTCGCCGTAGGATACGCACTAACAACCCGAGCAAAACTCTATAGACTGTAACGTAATATTAAAAACCTGGCGTCAAGCGCCAACTTTATTTAATCCGTTTGATCATGTAATGATGCTCAGCTTGGATGGCGTCGTCGAAGGCGTCGACGATGCTGGCGAGTCCGGCGGTGTCGTCCGCTTGATGTCGGCGTCGGGCTCCGCATCGAGAACGCGCGCCATCCAGGCTTGGATACGCGGTAGCGCGTAGTTGTAGCCAACCTCGATGATCTCCTCCATCTTGTTGAACTCGAGCGTGCCGTAGTCCTTGACCGGCGGGCGCAGGTACAGATCAATGCATTCCTCCCTGATGCGGTCCTTGTGCTGCTCCGACGACACGTACGCCAGCGCCGCAGACACGTCGCCCATTGAGGGCACCGCGACAGTCTTGGCGAACGGGTTGAGCTTGTTCCAAAGCAGCCACCACCCGGACAACGCGCTGCCGTAGTCGTAGAAGTCGGTGCGCGACTCGCTGCCCACATCCACGGCGAAGATATACTTGATACCGCCTTCCTCCTTCATGATGTCCGCAGGAAGGTTGTTCATATATCCGCCATCCAACAGAAGCGATCCATTTTCCGAGATCGGGGGGAAGTAACCCTGCAAACTCATGGACGCTCGCACATACTTCCACGCCGGTCCACTGCGGTGCACGCTCATACGGGACTTCGCGATATCCGTGGACACACAGAAGTAATTCAGCATCAGGTCCTCAATTGACAAGTCGTAGAAGTGCGCGCGGATGCTCTTGTTGAAGCGTGTTCCATTGAAGAAGGACGAGATAGGCAGCGTCAAGTCCCGGAGCTTCTCGAAAATGCTGCTCAGACCTGCAGATAGCTGCTTCACCTTGGACTCGATCAGATCGAGGCGGTTGGGGTGAAGCGCATAGATACCTCCAATAAACGCTCCGATGCTGGTGCCACCAACGACATCCACGTGGATACCACACTCCTGAAGCGCTCGGAGCACGCCAATATGGGCCAGGCCTCTTGCACCTCCACCGCCAAGCACCAAACCAACAGAGTTGCCGGTGATTCGTCGACTCAAACGCATGAAATCCGATCGATGATCCTCAAACGGGAGCTGCACGTTGTGGTAGCCGCTGATCCACTCGTATCGCTCCATGGGGAGAATAAATCGAGGCAGCAAGGGGCTATCCATTCGCAGACGCAGCTTCTTCTTCAGTGCATACGAGCGCGAGGACCCATTGGCCTCTTGCTTAGCAGCGGCTTCGAGAGCAGTCAAAGTCCAGTCCTTCTCGCGAACACGCACGACGTTGATTTCGGCATCTCTCTTGTCCCACGCATCCTCGAGAATAGAAATCATGTCACTGACAAATGCCTGCTGCGGGTGGGCGTCCGAGCACAGCAGGAGGACGTGGTCAGCTTGGCGGATGCAGAGCTTAGTCCAAGCCGTCAACTGCGGGTCAGCCTCGTAAATCACAAGTTCATTTGAGCTCTCAATGTCACCCATCCACGCAGTAAGGTTTGCTCTTGAAACGCGCGAATTGCTGATCCACTGGTCGCCCAGGAAGGCCTTGGCTTTCTGCGATGATACTGTTTCCACCGTGGCCAGCGTCTTCAGCGACTTCTCCAAGTGAGAGCAGAACGTCTGAATCTTGGTCTTCTGGGTCAGCGAAATCACAGCAACCGTACCTATAGGGAGGTTGCTTCCAGTCTTCTGTCCGTCGGTAGTGGTAGGCCTCGAGCCCAGAGACAGCAAGTAGTTACTGCGAGCCTTGAGGCCACTAGCATCGGGCTTCAAGGAATCCACGCGAGGGGTCGGCATACGGCGCGCCAGGTTCTTGGTGAATTGAACAAGCACGGTGGGGTACTTGTTGACCACGTAGTCGAACACATTGCGAGACATTTGTGATATTTGGGAGTCACGAATGGCAAACACCGACGAGTTGCTGGCTCCCGCTCCAAGCATGTCCATCGCACCCAAAGTCGCTCCTCGCACCAGTTCATTTGTCGTCTCCACCTCCTTACCACGGTAGCAGTGCACTTGCACCGCTCGCAGGCGGCCACTGATGACTGTGAACACAGAATCGCACAGATCGCCACGATCGAACAGACTCTCGCCACTGTGGAGGTGCAGCCAGTCGAACGATGTATCAGCTACACACACCAAGTCGGAGTACTGCTCAATCAGGTGGCGCGCGCACTTCACCGCTACCGGGTTGATCTGCAACAAGCTGCAGAACAGCGCGTCCGGGATCCAAAGCAGCGTGGTGTCTTCCTGACAAATATTGCGAGTTGCGAAGTAGTGTGATCCAACGAAGCACGTCGAAATACCAACTTCACATCCCTTCGTGGCCTTGTACAGTTCAGCGTACGTCTGGGTAGCCGTGGCAACCTGTACACTGACTGATCCGCTCAGAACGATGTGGACTCCCAGTGCAGTAGAGTCGCCCGGCTCTCGGATTGTCTGCTTCTTGGTACGCTTAATAATCTTAACGCAGCTGGCCAGCGTCGACCTCAGCTCCGAGTCGTGCAAACCAATAGCGTCCGCCACACTTTCCACCAGGTCCTTGACGGGGGTAGCCTCCGCCGTCTTCTCGCCTTCTTCACCGCCCAGCAGGAGCGGGTGCATGAGTGGCGTGGCGCTGATAATCTTCGACGACAGTCCGAAGTGGTCGATCAGCGACTTGGCCGTGATCTTCTCCACCTGACTCAGCGCCGCCTGGGAGAGGCGGTAGAAGGCCTCGGGGTACTTCTCCAGCACCTCCTTGATGGAATGCGTCGGGATCTTGAACAGGCGCGTGCCGTCCTCTTCCGCTCGCGCAGACAAGCTGCCGCACACCTTCTTCACCTGCGCGCTGCACTCTCCATGCTGCAGTTCGTTCACGAGCACCGTCAGCAGCGGCAGCGACGACGTGAGCGTGTCACCACGCCCCAGCAGCTTGGAGAAGCGTTGTTCCTCCTTCTCGCCGTGGATGGACAGCGAGGCGGACCCATTCACGATCAGCAGGATGGATCCATCCAGCTCGCCCTCGTCGAAGATCGTGTCGCCCTTGGAGAAGCGCAGGATGCGCAGATCTCGCGCCAGCGGCTCCACGAACTCGCCGCGCAGGAAGGAAAAGACCTTGGACAGCGTGTCGTAGATGAACTTGAGGTTCTCCGGGCCGCAGTTCTGTCGCAGCTCCTTGGGGAACGTGATGTTGTCTTCGAGCTCGAGCTGGCGGTTCTCCTGCATGCGCTCGTGCTCGGCCTGCAGCAGGTCCGAGAACGACTTGGAGTGCTTCGAGTTGTGCCGCAGCCGCTTGGACGTGGGCGACGACGGCCGCTTCTCCAGCTTGGCGGGCGGCAGCTTGCGCGGCCGGACCTGGCGAGACGCCACCCACACGAACAGCACGCCCAGCAGCAGCGCGACCGCCACCAGCGTGGCGACGCCGCCCACCGCGTACGGGTTCTGCTCCTCCACGTGGCCGCGCACGTCGGCGGCCAGGCGCGACGTCTTGTGCGCCGCCTTGGCGCCCACGCGCGTGAACGCGGCGAGCCGACGCTGCAGCCAGGCCCACAGGTCGGACGAGGCCAGCTCGGCGCGCTGCACGAGCCGCGTCAGCTCCAGCGTCATGGTGGCCGAAATGAGCGGTGGGCCTGCAGTATGCATTGGTGGGCCTGCAGTATGCATTGGTGGGCCTGCAGTATGCATTTATAAGGTTCCCTTTCCGAAAGGGCACCTCCCATAGGTTATATCTGGAGGCCACATAGGGTTCCAGAGGGAAAAATGCTCTTAGTGGCCGTGGGCGTTCTAGAATGGGCGTTCGTTGCGTCCTTGAAGTGCGGACCCGACCAGCTTTGCAGGACCATGAAAACACCTGCAGCTCTGTCGCTCTAAGGTTGGCGGCTCTCCTTGTTGAGTGAGACTCGAAGAGAGCGTCGGTACATGCAGTCTTCCAATACCCAAGCAAGTCCATCTAGCGGTTCATGCTGTAGATTTTTTTCACTTCGACATGCACGGTTTTTTTAAGTCGTAAACGCTCTCTTCATGTATTATACATGTAGCGCATTATTGCTGAGCTCTGGAACATCATCTCCCAGCGATAAACAAAAAACAACTAACCACGATACGTAGTCGACAATTTAGAACGTCATTTCACTTAGGCAGTGACGTTATGTCTACTGTATTGTGACCGGCATGGGGTGAATCACGTTCCAGCCGTAAGAGGTTTTGTAAGATTTGGCATCTCAGCTCGGTTAGCTGTAAAGTGCCCCTGACACCAGCACAACGACAAATGCCCTCGGGGACCAGCACTACGACAAATGCCCTGGAACTGCACTACACTGCACTCTCGTGCAAGGCGCCACAAGTACCACGAATAGTTCAAAGCGACTCGGTTTCAACAGTCTATATTTGCTGAGCTAGCTGCAAATATCCGCAGTGAAGGGCTCACCAGCATCATCGATCGTGGTCTTTACCGCTTGGTACGTCATGAGCGCGGTGCCTATGACCACAGCCGCGCTAATGCAGAGCACGACGATCGATTGACGCCCACTGCGCCTCACGTATGCAAGGATCACCACCTGCGCTGCCGAGGTTACAGCGAAAGTTACTGCGCACAACAGAGCAGCCCAGTCCCACGCGATCATGTTGAACACCGTGTACTTCGCCGTTGCAGCCGCTGAGGAGTACAGGATCATCAGAGCCATCGTGGACGACGCTACTTCGGGCACGATTCCCATCTCGATCCTGATCGGCCCAGTGATGATGCCTCCGCCGACGCCGAACATGCCCGCAACGATGCCTCCAAGCGCACACCCGAGAGGAAAACATATCACAGCCTTTTGCGTCCAACGGATGTCGCCTTCAATGTACAGGTAACCCACGCTAGCTTTGCGCTGATAGGTAGTGCGAGCTGAGCATGATGAAGACGGCCACCCACGGAATCTCCGCCAACAGGATCACCCAGTCGGCCACGCCTCCGCACGACACAGATGCATCACCGATACTCGTAGCAACTACGCCGAGGTAGCATACGAGGATGGCTCCGTGCTTTCTCCAGGCGAAGTGGCGCTCCTGCTCCAGTATTTCTGCGAGCACTTTGCTGGCATCGGCATCTTGTTCATTATCAAGTGGCACGTTGAGTGACACGGCTTGCGCCGATGCAGACGCAGATTTAGCTGCGGAGGCATCGCTGTCAATGGAGGGGTTGGGCGTGAATGCTTGAGCGTATGCGTCGGGGCTCATTGCTGCATCCGCCGTGTCCTTGGAGTCAGCGTCCGCTTGTGCCTTCTTGGTACTCTCAGCTCTGTACAGCTGAATTCCTTTAATCATCATCCGCGTTCCGCTGGCAGCCAGCACCACGACGAATAGCAGCGATACGATGTAGCTCGGCAGCAGCTTGTTGATGAGCGCGCGCCTCCGATTACGACGGGGATCATTCCGAGCGCGAGATCAGCGTCTATCAGCGGTCGGTCTGCAGACGGGTGGCGCTTTTGCATGTTGAACCAAGCGTTCGCCAAAGCTCCGCCCAAGATACCCACGTTAGAAATGGGCGTCGCGCGCTTGATGTCGAAGCCCATGATGAGCACCATGGCCGGTACCATGATGACACCGCTGGCGGACACGGCCATGCCCACAACGATGAAAACAATGGCGAGTGCGTCGTAGGTGTCAATCTCGGACAGGCTCGGCATGGTATCGTCGTCGGTGCTGCTGTCATCGACCGCCACGACGGTCGGGGCCGCGACAACGATGGTAAGCAGCACGAAGAGGACCACTCCAGCCACACCCGGATGCGATGAGCGGAGCCTGGGCGTCAATGACGTTCTCATAGTGGACTGGGGTCACTTGTAGTCCGGAAAAACTGAGAGTGGGGCGGGATCGTGTACGGTATTCGGCAACTCACATTTGTGGCATGAAGCGTCTTACACAACTCACTGCTGGCAGGACAAGTGGACAAGCTGTCTCAAGACCGACGACCATTGTACGAGCTGTTTAGTCACCTCGAGTGATTGGAAGAGTTTTGTGGTGCAAGCGGACGAAGGCTCATGAAAATGCTTAGCCCCGCTGGTACAGTACTTCGAAGTAGTTTCTATCGCCAACACCAACAAGCAATCGTCGGTTGGCAACATCCGCCATAAACCCGGCAACATCCCGAACAAAGTCATAATCAGCTAGCTAGATTACGTGAAGAGCTCTCACAACGCTGTCGTATACTGTACAGCTACTGCATGCGTGCTGGTGCAGGAGTTTCCTTTTCATTTCATTAGGCCGCGATGCTGTTGGCCACCGCGTCTTAAAATTACCGTCAGCGCTATCCTTTTCAACATGGAGTTTTCGCAGACGCCCATCGCGCTTTATTTATTTAAGCGAGATGCAGTCTCGACTTGTTGAGTCTCACTACAACAGTTGCCTGCGGATGATGTTCTGCTCCGGAAGCCCGTGCATGATGTGATGGTCCAGCTAGCAGACACCTCGAGTGGAGCCAAGGTTTGCCACCGGTCACTTGAGGCTCCTCGTAAATGCTGGTGCAGATGCTCAAGAGTGGACGAGACTGGTTGTGATGCAGAGCAAAATGACACGAGTATTGCTGCGTGATTCCTAGTTGTGTTTTAATGAAAGTGGTCTTTGCAGAGATGTCGGTAGATGCAGCAGCATGAGTACATGTTGGCAACATCCCAAAGTGGGAAAGGTAGTGTGCAACCGGATCTATCTAGCTGGGACGAGAACTATTTTACTGCTGCCGTTGCTACTGCGGATCATTCTTCTACCAAACTTGGCGAAGATGAAGTGGGTGAAAGCGGAGCAGCTCCAACTCGTGTCCGCCGCCAGGATGACGTTAAGGCGGTTTCCCAGCGAGTCTCTGGCGCGACCCCGTTTGGTAGTGAAATACACGCTGCACTACTCCTTCACGGAGCGGGGCAACATTTGCCTGCGCTCTGTGGAGGAAACGATGACTCAAATGCTTCTACTCATCGACCGATATAAGCTGGCGCAGTCGCATCTACGGAAGCAGAACCACGGTACTGTTCCGGCACAGATCGACCGAGTCGCCTACAATCGCCACCTTGGTGGCTACTTGGATCTCGACGTCTACGAGGCCTTGGAGCAGCTCTCGAAGCGTGTCCGGCGGCAGCACTTCGGCTTGAAGTTCCAACAGCGGGCGCGGAAGCGCTACAACCTGCTTCTTCGCGTCTGAGACGACGAAATTTGAGATGGACGTCGGCCGAGCTGGAGCTGCTAGCCGACGCGTTGGTCCAGTGTCAGGAGTACGGCTGCTTTAGCGCTCAAGTTTCGCGGAAGTTCTTGTTCCTAGGTGGTGACAAGAGACGCAGTGTGGCAGCAGTTAAGTCGACAACGCGGCTTCTGCGCAACGCGTGGGAGTTTATTAGTGAGCGGTTTAGCTCTTGGTCGCTGTGGTTCGACATGTCGCCTGGTCGGCGCCGCGAACTTCAGGTTGAGTGTCGTGTTAATGCTCGGGGCACTCTGAAGAATATGACCCCTGCAATTTGCCGCAGGCTGGACAACCTTTTCGAATGGAATGACCGCGATTCGGAAGAGGAGGAAGAGGAGTCGGATTTGAGCGAGGACACTCCAGCCCCCAGTGCGCCACAACATCCTGCCCTCAGTGACCGAGTGGACGACCAGGAAGCTGCGAGCGTGAGTTCGTCTACTGGTGGCAGACCCGTTTCGTGTGATCAAGTGGAGTCAGTGGTTCTCCGTGTGTTAAAAGCGTGGGGTCTCATTCAAGGTGAAGGCTGAGAAGCTTCTTAGCCGCAAAAAGCACAAGTCTCAACTTGCATCCAGAGAAACTTCAGATGAATAGTGATTGCTGGATCAAAGTGTCTCCAGCTGCTGTAGTGATGCAAGTTTGCTTTCGTTTGCTTCGGTTTTTTCCTTAATGAATGAATACTACGTAGGAGTTTAGCCACGTTCATTGGTCTTCTAGCCAACTCACTTGTATCTTTGTCATCTCTCAAATTATCCACCTTGTCAATGTTTTTATCTATCCAGCTTCCTCTTACATTTAAGCGGACGTGAAGTCGCCCCAGTCTTCATCATCAACAGCAGTCGTCGGTTCCGCCACCGCCGGCGGTGGAGCAATGGCCGGCACCTTGACGGCCGTCGACGGCGAGTCTCCGGGCGGCGGCGGGATGAGCGGCACCTTGGCCGGACTCACTGCACCCCCTCCACTGCTGCTCCGTCGAGGGCGCGTGGCCGCGCGCTCTCCGTCCTCAGCTCCGTTGGTCTTGAGGTTTATCCGGATGGTGGTGCCTTGAGGCAGACTCAAGTCGGGCTTCTTGGGCGACGACGAGCCGCCCGATCCGGTCTGCTGCTCGGCGGCTTCGACCTGCTCCACCTCCAGCTGCCGCAGCGCGTACTTGGCGTAGTCCTGCAGCGTGGCCTTGAAGTTGAAGGCAGCCGTGCGGTCCGGGAAGCCGATGCCCACGAAGGCGCGGCGGTCGCTCTGCTCGTCCTCCACGCGCAGCATGAAGTAGCGCGACGAGTCCACGCAGTCGTGCACGTACACGTCGAGCGCCAGCTCGCGCGTGATCTGCAGGGGGCACTGGGCGAAGAGCGTGGGGGTTGCGGCCGTCTCCGCCTCGTCCTGCTCGGCCGCCACGGGCTCGAAGAGCTGCACGAAGCACGCGTCGCCCCTCTGCACCACGCGCACGGAGCCCGTGAGGAACGGGTGCTCCGGGTCCCACGCGTCGGCGCGCGGCGCGAGGCTCGTCACCTGGTTGGCCGGCACCTGGTAGAACCACACGCCCTTCTCGCTGAAGAGCGCGCGCTCCAGCTCGAACGCGTCCGAGGAATCCGTCATGGTCTCCGCTAAGATTTTCTTGAAATGGGTCTGGAGTTCAAAGTGTCCCTGCGATGTGGCTACCGTCACCAGATGCGTATTGTGGATATAGCGAGGATGAGGGAGATCTGATAAAGGCACACCCGTGTGATGGAGGGGAAACTGTGGAGTGAGAGTGGGATCTGGAGATGGGAATGGAAGGAGATGCAGACACAGGTTGTTGAGGACGACGACACCGACTGTGTAAGACCAAATGTAACTTTATATACGCGGCATGGTGCCAAGTGCATGCACTTGCGGCTGTCTATCTACATCTCGTTGTAGAGCTCGCGACGGATCTCTGGCGTGATCTGGTGGTGGAAGTGCTGCTTGAGCAGCGCCTTCATGGCCTCCTTGTGCTGCTTGGGGATGTCGTTCTTGTAGCGCTGCGCGAAGACCAGCAGCGACTGGTGCCACAGCACCGGCAGCTTGCGCGTGTCGGACGTGAAGCGCAGGAAGTGCTGGCTCAGCTGCGAGATCACGCGCGTGGGCAGACTGTACTTCTTGTTGAGCAGCACACGGATGAACATGCTGTTGCCGCCCGAGTACTCCATGGACGCCAGCTTCATGAGCGTGGCGGCGGAGTGGATCACGGGCACCGACACCTTGGACAGCACGCTGCCGATGATAGCCGCCTCACGCAGAGTGCAGTTCCTGCTCTCGCATAGCGGGATGATGATACCCTTGAAGAACGCCTGCGGCTTGTACAGCGCCTTCTTGAGCGCCATGTAGAGGTGGAAGTTGAGCCGCTTGTTCTCGTGGATGTCCTGCCTCACGTGCTCCAGCAGGAAGATGTTGAAGAAGCGCTGCGCCATCTTGGGGTTCAAGTTGGACGCGAACAATCGCGTGGCGGCGCGCATGGCGTGCGGCGACCACTTCTCGGGGCTCGTGAGCCATAAAATGTCCTCCCAGTAGCTCAAGCTCGGGATGACCTTGAACGCCTTGGGCAGCTTGCCCGACGTGTACCGCTGCAGGATCTTGCCCACGCCCGTGTACACCTCGACGATCTTGGGGTCGAACTTGCTGTTCTGCGGGGCTTGGCTGTCGTCGTCCATCTCGCCTCGCTCGCGGGCCTCCTTCTCGAAAATCTTGTCCATGATGATGTCGGCCAGGTTGCGGCGCTCGGGCGCGCCCACCATGAAGTTGGCGAGCGCCTCCTCGTCGTCCTCGCAGATCTCCACCTCCTCCACGTAGCCGTCGTTGATGCGCACGAGGTCCTGGCCGTCGTACTCGTCCGTGTCCATGTCCTGGTCGTCGTCCGACTCGGCGTCCGACTCGTCGCTGCTGTCCTGCGCCTGGGGCTTGGCGGGATGCGCGGCGGCCTGGCGGGCCTTGCTCTTGTTCTGGCGGGCCTGCTCCTCGGCCTGCTGCTGCCGCGCGAGCGCCAGCGTGCGGCGGCTCAGCTTCTCGGGCACCACGTCCTCGGCCATGTCGTCGTCCGAGTCGTCGGCATCGCGGCGCGCGCCCTTCTTGCCGCCGCTCTGGTCGTACCACGGCTTGTTGTCATAGGCCAGTTGCTTCTCCAGCGGGCACGCGCGCTTGGGCTTCCCCTTCTCGGCCTTGGGCATGGTGATGGAGGCTTAATTAAAGGGCTCTTGGAGTCTGCGTCCGGCGATGATAAATGGCTGCGCGCTGCGTCCACTGTGACCACCAACGTCAGTCCACAAAAATGGTGTGGTGTACATAATTCGATGCCAAAATAGTGTAGCCATCTTGTTTCGACAGACGACAGCATGCGAAAGATCGCAATCAATAATGGAGAAGACGGAGACGGCGGGCGGAGGAGATGCAGTGGCAGCTCACAGGGCGAATGAGGCTACGACGGCTAGTACGATTAGCAGTCGAGACAGCGAGAATGGCACGTCGACGTCCGACTACCGCGTAAGGAGCTGCGCATCGTCCGGAAACGTGTTAGCCGAGCTATTGACACAATTTGGTGCTGTGGAATTTGCTGTCGTTTTCTTGTTAATGTTGCCAATAGATGAGCAGCCAGGCCATAAAGTCTGTGAATGAATTACTGGAAAAGGATGCAGAGGACGAGAGCTTGCAGAGGTACAAAGAGCAACTCCTGGGGGCTGCAGCTCATGGAGATCGAGGAGGTCTGGCATGAGTCTTTGAGGTTAGTTTGGGGGTGTTCGAGCTCGTTCTAACGTTTAATTGCATGGCTGCTGACTGTAGACACAACGGACTCACGTCGTGTTGTGGTGGAGGAGTTCAAGGTGGAGTTTGAGGACGGGAGGGAGGATATCGTGTACAATTTGGACACGCTGCAGGGCGTTGAGCATATGCGCACGACGCCTTTCGTCATTGAAGAAGGCTCTCGCTACCGTTTCGCCATCTCCTTCCGCGTGAACCAGACGATTGTGAGTGGCCTGCGCTTCCACAATAAAGTGAAGAAAACTGTGCTGGCCACGCGCGACGAGATTGTGCTGGGCTCGTACGCTCCGCGATCGGAGAACTACGTGTTTGTTTTCCCTCGCCACGACTGGATGGAAGCTCCGTCGGGGCTGTTCTACCGTGGCAAATACATGGGCAGATTCATCTTCGACGACGATGACCACGTCGAACACCTTAAGTTGTTCTACACATTCGGTACGTTGGTAGTGGAGTGTCAAAGGCAAGAAGAACAAGCTCATTTATATTTTATATGTTTCTGAACTTCCTCGCAGAGATCAAGCGAGCCTAACAGTGCAGTCTACTCGAGCTGGTTAATTGAAATGTTGTTTAGCTTGATTGGGAGGGCTATTGCAGGGTTGCTGTCTTCCTTTCCGTTGCGAAAGAGGCTTTACTGCTTAAGTTTGAGCTCCTCCATGAACCGTTTCTGCTGATCGATCATGTACGTGATCTCCATGATATCGTTGGCCTCCGCGGGGTTAGTAGGAGGCGTGCGGAGGTTATGCATTGCGGAGCCGCCCATGTGCAATGGGATCAACTCGGTGTCCATGTGCTTGGCCAATTCAGCGGCGCAGTCGTGCATGAGTGACACCTTGCTGCGCAGACGCACAGGTAGGAACGGCCACAGCCACGACGTGATGTACTTGAGGAATCGAGTCAACGGACCGGCGTAGACGAGGCCAATCCGATCAGGGAAGTTGGCGACACACACATCGAGCAACCCGCGCATAAGGCGCAGGTCTACCTGCTTCATGCCCAGCCCAGCAGAGTCTGTCACGACTGTATACGTCGTGACTCCAGGAGGCATAAAGCGGCGGCACCCCAGTTCCAGCAGGTACACGTGCGCACGGACCTCAACATCGCGTCGACTTGCCATCGTGTCCCAGTCTTTTAGCTTGGCCCGAACCCAAAGGATCGGGCGATTCTGGAAGTCGTAGCCATACCAGTACATACTGCCAGACACAAGCTGAGACTTCACGTCATCCCAAGCGATGGTATCGACTTCGTAAACGCGCCGCCACTCGACGATATGCGCCATCTTCGTTACCGCGTATGCAAACGCCCGGTTCTTGACGCGCAGAACTCTGAAGAGGTACTCATCAGAGAACACGTGAGTCACCTCGACAGGGACGCCAGCAGCTTGGGCAATCGCCAGTCGAAACGAGTGCACTTCAGCTTCCTCCGCTTGCGTCAGCACGATCACAGCTCGATCCATGGACTCGTGCTGCATTGTCGCCACTGCTGCTGATCCTCTTCTATTCGTGGACGTGTTCATAGGCAAAGTTGACACAATTCGGCTAGCAACATCCAAAGTATCTTGAGGCGCCAAATGAGATTGTGGGAGGTCGGGCGCCTTCGATTCCCGCTCGATTCGTACTTGCGAAGTTCCGTTGAGTTCATCTGCGTGGCTGCGTGGCTGGAAATTAATAGACAGTGTCGCCGTGCCACCACTCAGCGTCAGCCACAATAGCAAGCCTGTCACAAGGCTCAGCTTCAACGGACCGGGTAACAGCACTGTCGTCACGAGCGCGTCTAGCAGCACTAGCACGCAGCAGAAACAGAAGAGGTTGAAGAGACGGAAATACCTCCCTTTCAGCTTCTCGATCTGATCTTGTAGACGGCGACGTTCCTCCTTTAACCGTGCCACTCGCTCGCTCGAGACAATAGCACGACGCTTCTCGTCGCCGTCATCACTCCTAAGCTCATGATCCGCAGGTTCAACGCATACCTTCTTGTATCTGGCCGAAGTGTTCATCTGGAATGCAGCTCCGTTTTCATCTCGACTAGCAAAGCATTCCACGATAAGTTGGTGATGCAGCAGCTCATTCGCGAGCGCCAATGCCGTTGGGACGCTATACGCACCAAACCGCAGCAGAGCCTGAACGCCGTCTGTCCCAGAAACGCCATCTTCTTCTCGATCAAATTGTGCCAATAAATGCTGAAACGCGCTGTCTTGTAGCCACAGCAAATGCCCACGACACCGCTCCCTACTCGGTCGATCCTCGTCCTCCAACTCCCGTTCACTATCCACACTCAGCATCTGAGCTTCCTTCACCAACCCGTGGTCGCTATTCACGCGGTACACTCTGTCCACACGATACACAAAGCTGCACGAGCAGCAGAAGGGCAGCAGCACGTCTTCCTCCACGAGCTTCCTCGCCAGCGTGGACGCTTCACTCGCCGTAAAATCCGCAGCGCTGCCATCTCCAAGTAAAATGTCCTCCACATCGTATCCCCTCACCACCGCCGTGTCCGCGTCGCTCTCCGTCGCTGCCACGAGCATCTCCACCGCCTGCTGCATGTCCAGCAGCGTCAGCGAGCGCGTAGTAGCGCCCACCGCATCTCCACCTTCCTCTACATCCATCAACGACAAATCACCACGCCAACTGCTGCTAATATTCGCTCTGTTACGAGCGCTGGCGAACAGGTCGATCCACATCTGGCGCTTGCCTCTGGTGGTGGCGTCCACGAGGAACTCGCGGCCCGAGCGCAAGTCTTGCAGCCGCACCGAGTGCATGTGGGCCGAGGACACCACAATGCCCTCACAACTCAGCGACCCATCGAGCGGCAGCGTCTCAGCGGGCGGCGGGGCCTTGGGCTTGCTGCGCTGTCTGGCCAGCTTGGGCTTGGGCTTCTGCTTGAGCTTGGGCTTCGTCTTCTTGGGGCGCCCGCCCATTGCTGCAGCTGCGGCCTGCCACGCCGACGGCGGCCCCTGCAGCACGACCGCATCCTTCTCTAGTAAGGCCACGCGCTCCCTCCACACGTAGTGGGCGTCCCGCAGCAGCACGCGCCCGATGTCCATCCTGTTGAGACTGTACCGCTGATGAGCTGCTCGCCGTATCGTACGTTTGTATGTACCCATGTCAACGGAAGTTGATTGGATGAAAATATCAACATGGATACATCTGAAGTTGCAGTGGTAAGGCTACTTGACTTGCGATATGTGTCATTCATTGTTAGCAATTAGTTATCATTTGAAGCTGCTGGAAGGGAGCCATGTTATTTAGCGGTGGCTGTCGATGGGGGAGTTTGAGGTTGCGGAGGGGAGTTCTGCTGGGCGGGAGGTGGAGGGCTTCTTGGGTCGGATTACTCTGGCTTGGGGCGGGATGACGTTGAAGGGGCCTCGGGCAGGGGCCCGCTCCTTGGGCATGAGGCTCATCTTGATGTCCTGGATCTTCTTGGTGGCCTCTGCGACTTGCTTCGATTCGAGGACAGACTGGACGTTGCGGTTGCGTTGCAGCAGACGCTTCGAGTCTAGGTTGCGCTGCTTCAGGTGCTCCTTGCGACGGCCGTCGATGCGCTTCAACAGCGCTGCTAGTTCTGCTTGCTGCTGCTGGCGTAGCTTGGCCTCTTTGCGCGCGAAAACTGCGCGTAGCTCCTCGCTCATCTTGGCGCGCTCGTCAGCCTCGACTTCATCCGCGATCTGCTTGATCTTCTGCGCCTCAGCGTAGCTCTTCTGCTGAGCCAAGCGATGCTGTCGACGGCGCCACTCGATCAGTTCTTTGGAGAACTTGGGCGGACGCTCCAGAATTTCCTGCTGCAACTTGTCTTGGAATGCAGCAAGGTCTGCACCGTGCTTCTCGGTCATTTGCTTCACGTACGCCTGCGCCATCCGATCGTACTCCTCCATGTACTGATCCCACGCCTGGTTGAAGTCGTTGAACTGCATGTTGTGCGCGATCTGCACGTCCTGGCGCTCAGCGATTTGACGGGCCTTCAGCGACTTGGACTGCCTTTTGAATTCCTGTCGGCGAAGCGCCGTCAATTGCGAATCTGCACGCTGCGCCTCCAAGTAGTTTCCGTCCTCTTCACACTTCAAGCGGTACTCCTCCAAAATTGCGATGAACTCCATAACTTTGGGATCTGGACCGGGTCGTAAGCGATCGCCACCAACTCCTGTACCACCGCCTGCAAGTTCCTGCTCCTGCTCTTGCTGCCTCAGTACGTGGTTTTGGATGAGGGACACAAAGTCTTCAAAGCTGATCACGCCGCTTTCACCAGCACAGTCATCCAGCTCGTTCAATAGCTCTGCAAACAAATTTAAATAAAGGTTAGTCATCCCAAACTAAACCTTCATTGAGCATTCGTGACTCTCACCTTCAGAGGCATCTCGACCAAGCTTATCTAGAATTTCAGGGATGTGTTCCGTGGGGATGCAGCCCGATCCATCTTCGTCGTACACATTGAACACGGCTGCATAGAAGAAAGCGGCGGGTGTCAGCACAGCCTCTCAACAACAAACTAATTGATCAGACAGCAACACGAACCTCGAAGAGCGCCAATCTCCTCGGCTGAGAGGTCGACTGGACTCTCGGACATGACGAGGTAGAGGCTGGGAGGCAAGCAAGACGCAACAGCGCAATTGATGGCGTCTTGCGTAGACGGCTTGAAGTTCCTCCGTGTTGTGAAAAGCTCGGCTTGTCTTGATCAATCTTGTCGGCAAGGCTTGCTATTCTTGTCCTTCCATGATGCCATGGCAGCTTTAGCCTGCAGATCAACCTCACCTTCCGTCAGTTTTGATACTCAAAATACCATGTAGTCCAGTGCTTGCCTCAAAGACCCAGCCATTCGATCCGCAATGCCCCGCAGGGTGATTTCATTCTCCGCACGAGCATCACCATGACAGCTCCTGTCGCTGCCAAGCGCCAGCCCCGACTCGACCGCCTCTATCTACAAAATCTACTCCTACTTGCGCTGCTCCTTGCTGCCAGCGACTTCCTCCTTCACCGCATCATCCACGTGAGCAAGCCACGGGTGCGCGAGGCACTCTTCAGCCGTAGCACGCTTGGCTGGGTCGTAGCGAAACATCGGACCCAGGAAGGATGAAAGGCATTCAGCATCGTGACGCGAGAAGTGATACTTCTCCATAAGCACTTGCTGCAGGCTCCAGAACTTGAGGTTACGAATACGCTTCAAATCGCCCTTGCGATTGAAAAACTCACGCAAGCCGCGCTGGCACCCGGTGAAGGACTTGGGCATGCGACCTAGCAGCTCAATCATCTGCGCCAAATGATCCTCGTCACGATTGAAGTTGCGTCCAGTCTTGGGGTCGAAAAGGAGGTCTCCAGTCAATAGCTCGAACACAAAGCAGGCCATGGACCAAATGTCCGCAGACGTGTCGTATCGTTTGCCCAGGATGACCTCAGGACACCTATACTGACGTGTCTGGATGTCGTTCGTGAAGTGCTTCGTCGTCCAGCACGCGTTGCCCAAGTCACAGATCTTCGAGTCAAGCTTCATGAGGTCGAACATTTCGCTGTTGGCGAGTTTGTTGAAGCGTGAAGCCCAGCGACCGAGTCGTTCCTGAAGCGGCTTGGCTTCCAGAACATTCTTGTCCACAGATCCAGCCAGCGGCACGAGGTTAATTCCCTGTATTACGACGTCGAGCATGTCATCGTCAGTGGCAGCGTCCTTAGTCTTGGACTTTGCTGCGGTCTTAATATCTTCGTTGCACGGTGGAGCTGGAAGAAAGAACCCAGGAAGCGCTAAGCCAGAAGATGTCGACAAGTTCATGAAGCGAAGGCCCTCGACACGACGCTCCAGATAGTCTACATGAAACACAAACACAAAACGATGTTAGCAGATAGTATGGGGGACAGAAAGTATAGGATAATTAAACTCACCCAAGACAGCGTGCGTGTATCTTGCATCAAACTCCAATCTCCACAGTCGGTACTTCGCCTTGGTCGAAGCAACAGTCTTTTTAGGAGAACTGCCTTCACGCAACTGCATGACCTGTTCTTCGATCGATTCCACCACGTCCTCATCCACGTGGTCAAGATACCGGAGAACAAACGAAGTCTCCACAACTTCGTCTTCGTCTTCGAGGTCGTGATTGTTCGTTGTTTCACCAGCCGCCTTTGATGACACACGCAGCGTGAATTCGCGCTCCTTCCGTTTAGAGCCAGCCACGCGGCCCTCAGGGAGCAGCAGCATCACTCGCGCTGCAAACTCGGGAGGCAAATGCACCCAGTCCTTGTCTTCTTCATCGCCTGTCTCTCCAATCTGGTGGTACCATGTCCGTTCCGACGAATCCTCCGCCACAGCGTCGTCATCCTGCCCAGAGAAGTTTGCCTTGAAGACGTGGTCGGTTGCTCCATTATTACCAGCACCATTTGATACCGCGAGTTGGGACAAGGTGGCGCTCAGCTTTTCGACATCCTGAGAAGTGCTGGTTGCGAGCGTGGGGCGTGCTGGGCTATCGAGCTTATCGTTGCCAATACCACCGTCGACAGAGGCTTCCCGGTCTCCACATTCAGCCTGCTTCCTCTGCTTTTGCCGCTTCTTTTTGAGTCTGTTCTTCAGACGCTTCTTCTCTTCTTTCGACAGCTCTGCGCCATCTACAGCTGAGTTTGCTGTAACAGGCTGGGCGTTGGCGCCCGCCTTGGCCCCGCTTTTAGACGCCTTTGCCCCCTTTTGCCGCCGGGCAAGGCGCATCGCACGGAACTCTTCCCACTGCGACTTGCGGATCTTCGGGAGCTGAGGGATGTGGTGTGAGAGCAGCACGTTCTCGGGCTTCAGATCTGTGTGGATGATCTGGCACTTGCTATGCAGGAACGCCAGTCCTTCCATCATATCCCTCGTCAGACGCTGCACGAGAGGCATGGGCACTCCCCGGTAGTTGTAGTACTTGATCAGCGTCAGCAGATTATCCCCCATCATCTCGAACACCATGCACACGTGGACGCCATTCGGTCCCTTGTGTTCGAACGAGTCCACGAGCCGAACCACCTTGATCACCTCCTGCTGCTCCACCGACTTGAACTCCTTCCGCGCCGCCTTCACGGTGCACTCCAGCAGCTCGATCTCGTCCTTGGCAGCTTCCGTGTAGTGGCGAGCGCTCTTCTGCACCTTCATCGCCACCATGGCGCCCGTCTGGCGGTCCAGACACTTCCACACAGTGGAGAAGTGGCCCCAGCCGAGCTTCTCCAGCACCTCGAACCGCGAGTTGTACACTTCACCGACCTGCACGCGGTGGTAGCCGCCGGGTTTGTAGCTGCTCTCGCCCTCCTCCTCGCTCTCGGACGAGTACTCGTCCTCTTCGTAGTCTTCGCCCTCCTCCTCTTCACTGCTGCATCTCTGGCTGCTGCTGCCGCTGAGCGGCGAGAAGGAGCGACGTGCCGTGGACGTGGAGCCCTCCACGCTTCTGGACGAGCCGGACTCGACCTCCTCCAACGCCTCCGGGCTGGAGGATGGCGTCGCAACGGGGGTAGCGACTGCAGCAGGCGCCGGGGCAGCTCCGCGGCCTTTTTTCTTGCGGTTGCGCGTCTTCTTGGCGGCTGGCGGGGGTCCCTTTGTGGCCGCTAAGGCGATGAACAAAACATTGGAGAGGGGGGTAGTGAGCTGGCTGTAGGGAGAATTGAGGGGCGTTGAAGCTGTAGATGGATACACAATGGAGCGATCTATACGTACAGCTGGAGGCGGCGGCGGCGCGCGCGGCGGGGGCGTCCATGGAGCTGCGAGAAGAGCGGGCACGAGGAGCTGCTCGCCTGCTTGGTGGTGGTGCGTGGCTGACCTGCCAGTGTCCGCATTGGCTGTAAAGCGGCGGCGTTCCACCAATTAGATGGAACTGCAACGTTTGCGTGAGCCACACAAGTGGTACACAAGGTGCGCATTGAAGAGCGCGAAACGAGGAATTACCATGATCCAGTAGAAAAGTACTGGATCGTCCCCCATTTTCTTCATACAGTAAAAAAAAATGCTAAGTACGCCCGGCACGCCACTTGCGAACCTATCAACCATTTATGGGCTAACTGCGGGACACCTGAAATAGATACGTGGGAGGTAAGATTTCGAAGGCTAGTGCTAAATAAAAACCAAGTAGACTTGAATAATAAATAATTCTCTGAAGGGTGATTCACAGCTATATTCTGCTGCATTGTGCAAAAGTCCAAGTCAAGAGCAAGAAACCCCCCAAACTACGGCTCTGCTCGCTTTTCACTCGACGTGTCTGATCTCGAAGCTGCCAAGGAGTTGGAACTACTCAGGGACGATGTTGCAGTCGAGTCGACGAACCCGACAAGCTCAACGTATGGCTTGGCCTACCAGCTCCGAGAGAATATTGCCAATTCAGTCTTTTCTTCACAAAAAGTAGTGCAAAGATTTGGCTGTGAGGTGCGGCTTCCCGATTTTTGTGAAGCAAACCAGTGTGAAGGCCGCCAACTCCGGTAATGCGCAATTTGCGTGCAAGGCGCTCAATGGAACGCAATATTTCGACCGGACTACACCAGCTGCCCAACTCACGTGTCCGTTTTTCGTAAATGTTCACGGGAAATCGGGGAAGTGGAAGATAACCCAGGCAAATTTTGCGCACAATCACCTCAAGTTCGTTGGTAGTGCCAAGGCCCCTTGTGTTGAAGGGTCCATCCCGTTGCCGTCCAAGTCCACGCGGAATACCATGCAGCAGATAAGCAAGCTGACAGCGATTGTCGAGACCGAGATGCTTCCCGCCCACGATGGATCTTCGGCTTCTATGTCAGGCGCCGCTATCAGGAAGTTTCTGAAATCGAAAGGAGTGGACGTAAGCGCTACATCGGTGCCCCGAATGAAGCAGAAAATTGACGACAACATTCACGGCGACTTGGTAGAAAGTTACCAAAAACTGCGGGCGGACTTCGAGTTGATGGCGCACAAGAACCCCGGATCGGTTTGGAGAGTGGAAACTGCCGCGGACGGATCGTCGTTTGGTCGAGCGTGCTTCATCCCTAACGCTGGTATTCACATTGCCCAGAACTGCAAAAAGATGGTCGGCTTTGACGGGGTCCACCTTAAAGAGGAAATGCACGAACAGGGCATTTATCTGGTAGCTACCGTGAAAGACTACAACAACTACATCGTTCCAGTTGGACTCGCGCTGGTTTCACAAGAGGACAAGGTCAATTGGATTTAGTTCCTGGGAGCATTCAAGGAGGCAGTTGACTGGGAAAAGTTCACGATATTGTCGGATAGACAAAAAGGCCTGCTTCCAGCTGTCGCGACAATTTTCCCAAACGCTGGTCATCGATACTGCCTGCGGCATATCATGGACAACATTAAGAGGAAATGTTCCAGGTTGTCCCAGGAAGACCGTGCGTGGGTATGCCGAATGGCACGCAGCGACTGTGAAAATGACTATAAGCTGTATCGAAGTGAACTCGCCGTGAACAACCCTGCCGCTGCGAATTTTATGGACGGAATCGAACGTGCTCACTGGGTGAAGTACAGTTTCCAAGAAAAGTTTAATCTCCCGACTTTCGACGAAATAACCTCAAATTTGTCAGAGCAAGCGAACAACTGGATAGGTAAAGAGCTTCGGACCGCCAAACCCTTGGACGGATTCCACTTGTCCTTCTTGAAGCTGAGTTAACTGATGTCCAAAAGGCGACAATTGATTGTAACGTGGACAAAATCTGGCGCACTCTCGGATTTAGTCCCCAAGTTGTTAGAGCGACGTACAGACCGCCAAGCTGCAGCTGATATGTGCGAGTTTACACCCATTCTCGAGTGTGCGTACAGCGTCTTGTTCAAGGACCCTGTTGCCATACCAGGATATGTGCACCCAGACCGGGTAGTGGATTTGCCAGCGCTGGAGTGCACGTGCGGCAATTGGCAAGACCAAATGTTCCCTTGTGTCCACGCAATTTGCGCTGCTTCAAAGGATGGCCGACGAATCGAAGACTTGTATGACGCCAAGCGTATGTCGATCGAGCACTTCCGCGATACGTACACATTCAAATTTCTCCCTTGGCCGACAACAGCAACCTTACAGCGGGACGACACAATTCTTCCTCCACAACTTGAACCCACTCCTGAACGGATTGGTAAAAGAGGGTTAAAGCCGGGGAAGAGGCCACAACACAAGCGAAAGATTGTGAAAAACGCGCTGTAGGGACAAGAATAAGCTTCGTCGGGCAAAGCCAATTTATACTTTATCGATCTGTATTTTTGACAAACAACACTTCATAATTAATAGATATTGTGCTTTCCGACGATTCTAACCAAATATGCAAGTGTTGCTGAGTCATATTTGGGTAAGGTATATTAAAAATCTAAACCGATAGATCTCTAGTGTTGTGCCGTAGAACACGCGAGTAAAATATTTCGTGAAAATCTCTTAAACGCTAGAAGGAGTAGGAACTCTACGAATGTACCACTCCATGGTACACCCTTTTTGTATAATTTAAGCCGCAATGGTGCAATATGCTACGTTGATCTGCAATCTGAATTTTGCAATTTAACTACGTTAAATTTAGCCAAATCACAACCTGACCTCCGGGCTGAAGTCTACTGTATTTATTTTAAGGCAACACTTAGAATAGAAATAGACTGCGAACTACATTTTCAGCACTTCGGCAAACCCCATTCTGCTTTGTGCTCAATGCCACGCCTTAACCCACGACAGCGCCACGCCCGGAACATCCAGCGCCGGCTGGACGGCTCGTTTTACCGTCTCCCACTGAATCCCGGTATTTCCGCTCATGACGTCAGCGACGAAGACACCGACGAGCAGGAAGAGGAAGAATCATCAGTCGGGGGTGGACTCCGAGAAGAACGACGTAGGGGTGGTGGCCTCGTCGCAAGCAATCGAAGGGCCCAGAGAGGCGTGGATGGGCAGCTATATGAGGTAGAGCGAATATACGCGAAAAGGTGGATCAACGTAAGAGTATATTATCTCATCCAATGGGTTGGGTACCGGGAGCTTACATGGGAATCGGGAAGCCACGTTCCGATGCGCCTGAAGCTACGGTTCGAACGCGAATCGATCGACTTCATCTGGGTCTACCAATCGACAAGAGGGAGACTTCGGACTCGCCATCGACGACCGACACGACGCAGCGCAAGGATCCAGTCTCGCAGAGAGTAGGTAGATACGTCTTGATAAATATGCATCACGAACTTAGCAAATACTGTGACAGTAGTTTGTTTTTCGGTCGGCCTGGGGGGCGATCCAGTACTTTGCTACTGGATCATGGTAATTCCTCGAGCGAAACCGATGAATCGCACAAGTGCTTCCTTGAAAACTAAGCACTTAAGTTGGATATCGGTGTTGTCCAAACAACTCTTCGAAGGAGAAGAAGACGAGCATTTAGATTACAAGATTCTCTACATTAAGTCGGTTCGGAAGAGTTCATTTGATGAAGCGCCGGAAGGTTTAGCGCGGCGCTCATCAAGATTTTTTTCTAGACCTCCGCCACAAAGCGAGCTTTGTCCTTCACAGTTCGCGCTTTCCGTAGTTTCATCAACCGAGATGGCTCCTCAAAACCAACGGATTCACATCCAGGTCAATGGAGGATCACCCAAAGCTGATTTTGCTAGGAAAGCGGGTTACATATGTATGATAGCTGAGCATGGTACTGAAGGAAACGATGCTGCTAGCGTCGCACAGAATTCGCACCATATTTGCTCTTGCGATAGAGGTACATACTTGGTCAAAGCGTACCAAAAGTACACGGTCACTGTGTCACGGTGGCTATACCGACTCAACTGTTTGCCCGTCTGGCTGTGGGGCTGCTGGGGCACGGCACTCCATCGACGCCTCCGTCTGCGAGCTCGAGCGCCATGCGGACAAGCCAGCCAACCCGGCCGATGCTGGGCGTGCGGTTCCGGTGGAGCGCGCGACGCTTCGAAATTGAGTATGACTCAAGCGCGCAATCGCCTCGCTGGCAGCGAGTCGCTGCCGGCAACACGCAGACGCAGAGAGCAGAGCTTCCTCGCTCAGAGGGTGAAGCTGAAGCGCAGCAGGCAAGCAGGCAGGCAGGCAGCAGATCGATTAAGCCGGGCACCACCGCCACATAGTAGCTGTCTGACCATCTAACCGTTAGAGGATTGTGAGGATATCCAAAGCAAGAAAACGTGTCTTTGAGATGTTGCCTCTGAGGTGTTGACCTGCCTTAAAGTTCACTTGAACGCGCGCCTGTCATTATAAGAATGCAAGAAAACATTGTAGCCATTGTATCGAAGTATGAATCTATTGGTTGTCTGCTGCAGCGGGCTTGAGCTTTTTGTGCTTCTTCTTGTTGCCATCGCGGTTGTTGTGCTGCTGCTCCTGGCGCTTGGCCTTGCGAGCGTGCACCTTGTCGTCGAAGCCGCGCTCAGTCAGCTTCATCTTCGCCACGCGCGTGGCGGTGGTCACGTCGTTCAGCAGCTCGAGCACCTTCTTCTCGGGCGCCTCCGCCTCGTAGTCGTCCATCTTCTTGCCCACCTTGGCCTCGATGTTCTGCAGCAGCTCGATGTCGTGCTGCGTTACGAGAGAGATGGCTTGGCCGCTGCGGCCGGCTCGGGCGGTACGACCCACGCGGTGAATGTAGTCGTCGGCGTCGCGCGGCAGGTCGAAGTTGAGCACGACGTCCACCTCCGGGATGTCGAGACCACGACTCGCGACGTCCGTGCTGATGAGGATGTGGCTGAGTCCGCTCTTAAACTTGCCCAGCGCGGCCAGCCGCCGGTTCTGCGACATCATTGAGTGCAGCGTCACGCACTTCGTGCCGAGCTCGTTTCCGATCTCGCCCACCAGCTCGCACATCTTGCACGTGGACACGAAGATCATCATGGAGCGCAGCTGGCGCTTGGACGACGAGGTGGCGGCTTCCAGGAGCTGCTCAAGGTCCTGGTCCTTCTTACCCTTACGGATCTTGGGCTTGTAGTTCTTCTTCTTCTCTTCTTCTTCTTCCTCGTCCTCGCTCGGGTCTAGCATCTTCATCAGGTACATGAGGTACGTCATCTTGACCTGCGCCGGGATGAATAAATAAAACTGTTTGAGCGTGGCCACGGTCTTCACGCTAGGCGTGGTATCGAAGCGGAACGCGTCATCAGACAGCGCGGTTTGCTCCAGCCTGTCGAGGTTGGCCGTCATAGTGGCCGAGAAGAGCAGCGTCTGCCGCTTGGCCGGCAGCTTGTCGAAGATGAAGCTCAGGTCCTTGGCGAACGATACGTCCAGCAGCCGGTCGGCTTCGTCCAGCACCACGTACTTGACCAGCGAGATGTTGGGTGGCTCCACGCGCAGCAGGTGGTCGCGGAAGCGGCCGGGCGTGGCCACGATAATGTGCGGTCGCTGTTGCAGCGTCAGCGACTGCTTGAGCATGTCCACACCGCCCACGATGACGGCGCAGCGCACGGCCATGGAGCTGCCGAAAGCGTTAAACTGGTCTGCGATCTGGAAGGCCAGCTCGCGCGTGGGCGTGAGCACCAGCGCGTACGGGCCGTACGGGTCCTTGCTTAGCGTGTGCAGGATGGGCAGTGCGAAGGCCGCCGTCTTGCCGCTACCGGTCTGCGCGCAGCCAATGACGTCGCGTCCGGACAGGATGGGAGGGATGCAATGAACCTGCACTGGCGTCGGGTGGCGGATGCCCAGCAGCTCGCAGCGCTTGACCAGCCATGGGTCCACGCCGAGATTCAGGAACGAGATGAGCATGTTGGACGCCGAGTCGGCGTTCTCCACCAGCACCTTGTCGTTCTTGCCATTGGAACTGGAGGCGGGGGGCTCTCCATCGGAATCGGAGCTGGACACAGTGGGCTTGGGCTCTTCCGTCTTGGGCGCTTGGCGACGACGCTTACCGAACAGGACGCTCATGCTGGTGAAGTTGATGCAATGAGCGAGAATGGCTGGACGGTGGATAGGTGGTGTGGACACATAATGTAGCCATTCCATGACGACATGTTCCAAGGAGAAAGCTGCTGCATGTCCCCCCACCGTAGTTTGAAGGAAATCCCATTAGAATAATTTACTTATTGTCTTGGAGAGAGGAGCCATGGACTAGAGACGCGTGTGCTCTTGCCATCAGGCGCTACATGGACGACAGGTCTTACCGCTTTCGTATCGCATCATTTTCCACTCACGTGACAGCGCTTTAGCTGTCGATTCCGAGGTGCTTGAGGTACTTGAAGCGGAGGTCGTGGGACGAGCGCGCTCGAGGTGACACCAGCACCTGCTTTTGGGACAGCGTGAGCGTCGGCACGGACGACGACATTGTGCTGGAGCTACGACTGAGCGGCGGCGACAGGCTGCGACGAGCTGCTTCAGCCTCGGCTGCCGACTCCGCGGCCTTTCGCTGCTGGGCCTCGATGGTACGTTGACGAGCCTCCTCGCGCGCCATGCCCTCATTTTCCAGGTACTCGTTCTCCAGCTGGGCCTCGTACTCGCGCTCCATCTCATCGTACACGGCGTCCAGATTGCGCTCTACCATCGCGACGAACTCGGAGCGTGTATGCCACATGCAGTCGCGTTGACGCTTCGAGTAGTCGCGGTGCAGCGGGATGTAGAACAGCTCGGCCTCCTCGTTGAAGCGCACTCCCTTCTTCTGCGTGGGGGTATCGACAGCGGAACTCGCTGATACTCGAGACAGCGACGACCGGAGTTGCCTTGCGCTGGTAGAGCGGTTCTTGTCTTTCCGCGACTTGTCGTCGCCGCTGACGGCCGTGATGGGCGCGTACCAGCTCGTGATGAACCGGAGGAAGCCCTTGGCGCCATTTTCATCCTTCAAGCCAGCATCGTTCAACTGCACCTTTAAGCCTTCGCGACGCTCCTTCTTGCGGCCGGTACTCTTCTCCAGGTCGCTACGTGATAGACTAAAGCCCAGTTGGCTCCAGTATTGTCTCCGAATAGCCGCCGAATCTTTTCGAAGCAAAGGGACGGCTGGCGCAAGCACGTGGTCGTTGGTGGGTCCTCCTACTACTGCAGCTTGCAGCGCCGACGTGTGCTTCCTCTCTTTTGCGCTGCTGGGGCGGCGGTTCCTGTCGACAATCGTAGCGCTGGCAACAGAGGAATCAACATTGCACAGTGTCGGTGAGCTACCGCTGAGTCGCGTGCGGACCATGATCGGGCTGGGGGTTGAGGGAAGGCTCTCTGCGTCTCGGCTGGCGCCATTGAGCGGTGCGTTCTTGCCGTTCGACTTGTTTTTCAGGTTGCGGCGCGAGCGTCTCCTGCGCTTCTCGTCCTCGACGGCGAGGTCGTCCACGGGGCACACCTGCAGTCTCGAGGGCATCGGCTTGACCAGAAAGTGGCTGGCTGAATTCTGCTGCTCGTCGTCTTCGTCGTCGTCATCCCCCTGCTCGTCGTCGTCGTCGTCGTCTTCATCCTCGTCTTCAGACGACGACAAGGCGTGCGCACCGTAGTCGTCGTCCAGGGCGTCGGCGCTTGAGTCCGAGCTGGAGCAGGAGCTGCAGCGGTCGCTGCTGCTGCTCATGGTGCTGTCGCTCACGGTGCTGGCCTCGATGGGCGTGCTGGGCGATTCGCTGCTGCGCTTCTCCACGGCAGCCATGTCCTCAATGGCTGAAAGCGCGACTGTCGTCAGCTCCGCCGGCGCGTGTGCGCTTGCGCTTGCACCTGCACTTGGCGCGGATGTGCTGCCCCGCATCCGGACAGTGTATGTGTGAATCGATACAGTCGCTGCAGCCGGCTGCTGCATGGTGGTGGCGGTGGTGCGCGGCTTAATCGATCTGCTGCCTGCCTGCTGCGCTTCAGCTTCACCCTTCTGAGCCAGGAAGCCCTGCTCTCCGCGTCTGTGTGTTGCCGGCAGCGAGGCGATTGCGGGAATGAGCATAAGGGCGACCGGCTTTGCTTGGGTGTGGGACTGTCGATGAGTTCCTTCTCGGCAGGACCGGCTATGCAAAAGGACGAGTATACGGCCGGGTATACTTGTAGTGGTGTGCGCCACACATGCCCGTGTTCGCCACACCAGATTATACTCCTCTTGCAGAGGTGCACAAACCGTTTCGCCAGACTGCCACGGAAAAGCTCGCGATGCCGGCCGCAGCAGCTCGCGCTCCGCGTCACACACAAAAAAGGTGGGCAACGCGCCCGCCGCCTTTGTCCCCGACAGCCGACGACGACGACGCGGTCCGGATCGCGCGGAGCACAGCAAATCTTCAAGGAGAGTGGTCGCGGCGGCTTGCCAAGCATCAAGTTGTTGTTGGAACATTGAGCGCGACGGTTGCGTCCGGATAACGGGCTAGCGTATCGCAGAGCTGCGACCTTTCGGCGAATTTTCATTTGGCTTCAGTATGCACCGCCCAAAGCTTGAGGTGCCACACTCGGCTAGGTGCGATCACGCTTGAGTCACCGGACCGGAACCGCGCGCCCAACACCGGCCGGGCTGGCGGGCTGGCTTGTCCGCATGGCGCTCGAGCTCGCAGACGGAGGCGGCGATAGAGTGCCGCAGCCGCAGCAGCCAGCCTGCGCCGGCAGCAGGTGCGCTCCGGATGATTTACAGGCTGCTGGCTGGTCTCTCCCTCTGCGCAGTCCATCCTCGCCGGCAACCTCGTTTCTGGCTTGAGAGCGCGCTGTGAAGCGTCGTAGATACTCGCTTTGCAGAGGCGGGATGGCTGCGCTCACCTTCCCGTTGTTTGCGGACTTGGACCGCGCGGCGCCCGCGGGATTGCATGCATTAAGACTCCTAATAGGACGTGTACTGTAGCTGGATGCTCAGCTCGCCGGTCTTGCTGCAAGGCAAGACCCGCTAATCTTTGGTTTAGAGCGCTGTTTCAGACTGAAAACTGCAGAGCTGCTGCGCAACGCTCGTCGCGTTCCGGATGGAATTTGGATCGGGTGATACAGCACCGGTCATGCCCGGCTCGCGACGCCTGATTGGCTGCGGTGGAGCGTCACACTTCAACATGATCTGTTCGTCACCGGTGCCGCAGTTGCAGTCGCTGTTAATCGCTACAGTGTCGCTGCAGCTTCCGCCATTGCCGATTTCGCCGTGCAGCCCTCATCAAGACGCAGGAGACCGGTCACACGCTGACTCAACGAGAGCGAGCATTATGGCAGCGTTCGCTGGCTGGCGATGAATGGAGCACGCTTGCCGGACTGGACCGACGCAGGAGCGAGGTTGCCCTTTGTGGGTGAAAGCATCATTGCTGCTGCATCAAGCCGGCCAGGGCCAATTACCTTGCGAATTTCGGGTGCACTCAGCGTTTGCATGCAGGAAGCGTGGGATCTCGAGGTCAGCGGTCTGCTCAGCGGACAGCCGAGTCGGTGGCGCCGACACAGTCGGCCCGACAGCGGAGGGCCCATCCGATGCTTGGTCCTCGATGTAGGAGCGTACAACTCTGCCGGTGTTTTCGGTCACGCGTGGTCTAACGTCAGCGCTGATCGCGGCCCGCCCAATGTTATTCTGGATGTCGATATGGATCGAGTGACCGACCATAAGTTAGGCGAAAGCAGGCGACCATGATGCGGGCTCGGAATCAAAAATCTTCAATGGATGCAGCGGCACGGATCTACTCGGACTACAGACGCTCTCAGCTGAAACTTTTAGTTGTGCCAGCGCAGCGATCGGATTCTGATAGCTCTCCAGTTCCTCGCAAAATCGTGCGGAGAAGTCATTGCTTCCGAGAGTGTGGCAAATGGACGATATGAGACGCGCGTGGACAACGGGCAAGCACGTGAATCGGTATACCCACCGTATAACTGTTCTTGCGACTGCAAGCGTTTGGTGCGTGTTTTTAGATACCTACATAATATTATTGTGCCTTGCGTGCTTTCTGTCTAAACAATGACGTAATTCGTTGTTTTAGCAAATCACGGTGATTAGCCCATCATTGAGTTAAAAAATAGGAGGCTAACTCGTCGATTTAAGATAGAATAGCTGCTAAGACAACGAGCTAACGTTGAGTTATGCTCACTTTCGTTGAATGGCTGGAGTAAATCCGACAATACTACGGCCCTGACATTCTAATTCTAACTCGCTCGCTTTGTCTGATTGCTTTCTAGTCGATGATTGACATGCGTTGGCGATCTATCGTACGTCTACAATTGTAACAGGACATGGGCAGATGGCGGTCACGGCATGGTGACCACGGAGGCGAGCAGCGGTAGCTGGTCGCACGAGTCGGGCGACAAGTGGGGCATGGCGGACGAGAGCGGCTGGCATGGGTGCGCGGTGGCGGGTCGCGAGATCCAGACGACGGTGGGTGCGGAGAGCCGCACGAACGCGATCTTGGCAGCGAACGGTCGCTCCGAGGGCAGTGGCAGCCGGAACGGACGGCTGGGAGTGAGTGGCTGACGAAGAAGATCTCGAAGCTGAAGGGTCGGCAGTGCGAGCTGGCCTTCGGGCTAGAGAAGAACGAGCGGTGAGGACGGGGAAATTTGCGCGGTGAGGCGCAAGCGGTTGAGAATTAGCGCGCTTGGAGCAAGCGAGCACTTACGAGTTGGGTGGCCTGGTGACGGGTTGCCGGACAACGAACGAGGGCGAAAGCTCTTGCTGGGGGCGACAGCTCCTTCCGGACGAGTGACGGACAGGTGGTGGTGGAGTGTCGACGGGCGTTCCGCTGCTACTGACGAACGAGTGGAGGGTTAGTAGCTCACGTGCGTGGGTGAACTCTCTTTGTATTGACTGAGTGTAGTTAGCTCGAGTTGTTGGCTGTGGGCTGATAGCTAAGAGTTGGCTGAGGACTATTGAGTAATCTAGCCTCCTTAATAAATTGGATACGTTCGTGTGTGTACGGACGATCCGGCGCAGTAGCTCGATTAGCTGCTGTCGGCCAGCACGGCGTCAACTTCCAGTTCCCGCGGGCGAACGAACGCAGCGGAGCAATACGATCTGCCCCACGAGCTGGGCAAGATAAGAAGCTCGTTACACAATATTGAAGAACATCCCTGTTCTTATATCGAGGAGCTGCAAGCAGCTTTAAAGTCAGCGTTTCCTGCACTACCAAACATTTCTAGTAGAAATTTTCTACTGCTACTATATGCCGTGCTCTGAAATTCGAGCTTGCGCAAGGCCACGACGAAGAGAGCGAAAGAAAACGTCCACGCCGAAATCGGTGCTTACGATTATGCAGGAAGTCGGCGCCATTCTATCGGGGACCTTATCAGTTTGTTTTCTTGCGGCGACAACCGATTTATTCTTGCAGTGGCAACCGCTCCGTTCTTGCTCTGCGTTGTGCTTGGTACTGGCGGTTGATTAGCTTAACTTTAACTTAGAGTTAGGCTGCGAGATATGATCACCGGGAAGGATTTGCTCGTTGGTTTAGAGCCCTTAATCGCATGCCAAAGTTCGTGCAAAGCACAATACATGCAGCCCTTACAAGGGTCGTTGCAATAAATGTTTGCTCTACGAGCGAAAATTTAATGCACTGTTGTCGTGACTCAGCGCTTTCAACTCCACGCAAAATCCGTTTAGTGCATCCCCGGTGGTCATTACCATTAGAACGTATGGGTGGACACCACTCAGTCTACCGGCGGCTATCAAACCGTAAGAGTTTCCTGACCCGATGGCTCGAGAGCGCTATAGTTAGCGCATGCATGCATCATAAAGTGTATTGACTCACCCTTCTGGGCTGTCATGCGGGCTGAGGATGAACACAAGGGGGATGCCAGGAGAACCCCTCGCCAGATTCCTCGAGACGGCAGCGAGCTCATCAAAGATTTCGTGCAAGAATCCGAGCAGCGCCGTGTTGCTTGTCGGTAAGATCAAATACACGCAAGCTTAGTTCCATACATGTCTTCTTACGCTGTACTCGTTAAAGTTTTGCTCGGACAGGACGAGGACTTACGCCGCGGCCTCCAGGGCATCGGCAAACACACACACCGTCTCGACCGCACACACGAACGAGAGGTGGCCATCCCGAAGATGATCAAGTGGAAGTGCGATCCGGGACGCCAGTGTCTCTCTCCGACAACCAACAGGAAGAAGACACTGTGGCGATAGTTGAGGGGCTATTCAACACCAAGCACGCGCAGCAGCGCAATCGGCAGATATCGCTCACTCCGGCGATGCTCCCCGCTGCGGCGGCTGCAGCTGCATCTGGACTTGGTACCAACAACAAGCCGATATTCACGTTCACGAGACGCAAACTTCAAATGGAGAGCGTTCAAACTGGAACAGCGCCAATTAGGTCGCCAATTGCGCCACTGGGAAGCCCGACGGCTGTATCAATAACGACTTCACAGCACCTCGGCCATCGATCAAGAACAAGCAACTTGGCAGCTAAACTGGATGCCATGCTGCGCAGCTCCCCTTGGATGCGGCGCAAGGTCGTACTGCAGCCCCAAGTGAAGGGTCAGAGTCAGCGTGTTCTCTCTAATACGTCAACGCTACGGCTGCTGGCAGGCTACTCCTCGCCCGTGCCTCCGGCTCACAACCATCACGAAGCAATCGATGTATCGTCGGGCAATGCAAACGAGAAGCACCACAAACAGCGGAAGGCGGGGCACCACTTCAACGACGTCGACACCAGCGAGATGGAGAAGCGGATTATGGCCACCTTCCAACGATGTAAGTGCCTTGAGCTAGCTATCATATTGGAAACTAATGCTCTGTTGTGTATGTGCGTGCACAAATTACAGTCGTTCGGCTTTGGCGTGAGCGAAAGCGACGGTCGGAGCAGGCAGCTCTCAACATGGTTCACGGCAACGGCTCCGCTCAGCCTAGCACTACCAATGGGAACAACAATACGTCTGGACGCAACGGCGGCAAGGTGCGACGCGAAGTCGATGCACAGTCCTCTAATGTGGCGAGCATCTTAAGTCGGCGGATGATTGGCGAGGTGCCCGCACTCAAGTTTTTCGACGAAGATGAACCGATTCATGCCGACCAAGCTGTTCCTGACCCCATACTGATTGCCGCCGCGGCATCGCGAGCTAGATCGTTCAATAACGAAGTGGCCGACGGGATTTCTTCATATGGTGCAAGACGTTCTACTAAGTTACATACTCGGACACTTGGCGACTTGATGGTGTCGTCTTCGCGTGGAGGTGGCGCGCTGGGACTATCGCCGCACCGACGAGTGACACCGCGAGGAGTTTGCTACACTCTAGACAAATCAGGATGTCGGCGTATCAAAATGCAATCAGGTGCTGTAGCCCGCACAAAAAGTGGAGCTATCAAGGCCCATGGCCCACACAAGAATACCGAAGAGATCACAGTGGAGAGGGCGACGGGCAAGAGCCTACGGCGGAAGTACGTATCGACTGAAAGCAAGTTTGAACTGAGTGTCGTTTGCTAACCCTGAACTTGTACTAAAGGATGATTCGGCGCGTGAAACTCAAGCATCAAGCCATCGGAAGGCTCAGCGACGATTTCAAGAGGTCCAGGAATGCGCTGACGGCAAAGCTTGGGTCTCAGTTAGGTGGGATGTTCAACGTCACCAGACGAAATCGCTGACAGTGATCCTAACGCTGCGTTGATATCCATTCACAGCACTACGTCAGGCTGAGGGTGAACGAATGTTCGGCAAGCGGTTGTCCTTGCTGCTATCCAACAATGTCGAGCTGCCGCCGCACATGGCAGCAAAGGAGTTGGCGCTGGCCCGACTGCGATTCAAGAAGGCGAACCTGCAGGCGAAATGCCAAACCTTAGCAGTATTCGGTGCTGCGCTTCATCACGTTGAAACGGCAGGCGAAGTGAGCGGTCTCGAGATCTCGTCTGGCGAGCAGCAGTTCCTGGAGCTCCTACGCTGCGCTGTTGAAGGAGACCATGCGTTGACTCCTCTCCTCGTCAACGGCATCCTTGGGCAATTCAACGCCGAGCAACGGCACAAGCCACTGGTGGCGGTAAGTCATTTGCTACAGCAACACTACCGGAGTCATTACCCCACGTTAATGAGCTGCTTTCACGTTTATCAGGGTCTCCTCGGGCTACTGGAAAGAGCTGCCCCGCCCGAATCACCCGCCAGCCATCACATCTTCACCGTCTAAACCAAAACCAAGCAAAGTTTAGTCGAAAATGTTCCATTAGTTGCTACTCATTTGTTTCTGTGTGGTTTCTTCTTACTTACAATGACGTCTTGGCGCCGGATTCCATTTGCATCTCGCTGGTGGGAGCGAAAAAGGTGGTACCGGATCCACGCTGACGCAGATCAGTGCTAGCAGCGCCTCTACCTGAGGCCGGCGAGGTGGAGCCTAGACTAGCAGGGCTAATGGGGTTGGACTGCTTCCGGCCACGCAGATCGTCCAGCAGCAGACCATCGTCTTCATGCTCTTCCGCTGGCGGCGACGTGTCCATATGCTGGAAGCGGTAGACCACCACTCCGACGATAACAATGGCTGCAATAGCTGCAGCCACACTGCCTACGACAGCAAGCCAAACGGGCCAGCTGAGCTCGGACATGACGTACTCGTCGCTGTTGGCGAACTGCACACTGGCGTCGAACTGCAAGTAGACTCCATCGCACGTGCCGTTCGGCTGGTTACGGGTCTGAAGCACGTAGCACGAGTTGATAGCCGAGCTGTTGGCCTGCTTGGTGATCAGTGTCACACTCTCCGACGACCAGGGCACCGAGTAGAGGAACGTCCCCGCCTTCATGTCGCTTCCACGCGAGCCGTCCGACACGAAATAGTAGACCGTGTCCCCACCGGAGCTGCTGAACGTGACGCTCTCTGACGGGTCGATACTGGAGCTGTTGGTCTTCCACACTGCCAGCAAGTTGCCGCATTGCACGAGGCCGCTCTGGTGGAACATCCTGACCGCGAGGCAGTCGGTGGACTGGCACTTGGTTCCCTGCTTGAAGTAGATCCAGTCGCTGGCCACATTGGACGCATTAAGCGTCGTGAGTCCCTGGCTCAGTGCGCACTGCTCGAAGCGCCGCAACAGCGTCGTGTTGCCCAGGCAGCGGCGGCGGTTGCGCGCCTGGAACAGGTTCGTGCAGCCCACGACGGTGCTCACGCACTTGTGGCCGTCGGCGCATTGGCACTCGTCGTCGTTGCAGAACACGTCGTCAATCTGGATGTTTCCCTTGGCGTTGCACACGTCCACGCTGGAGCTGGTGCTTGAGGCGTTGCAGTTCTTGGCCAGGTATCCGCACGCGGTGCACTCGGAGGCGTTCGCGACGCCGGCCAGAGTCGAAACCAGCACGGCCAGTGACACGACCCACACCCAACGGAAGCGCGGCGTCTGGCGCATTGAATGAGCTGTCGAGCGCACCGATCCGATGTCTGTAGCCGCCATACCGAGCTGGTGATCACGACGTATCCTTTCGCTCCGAGTTGCTTTGCGTTCTGATGATGACACAGGAACCGACTTCCAGCTTCTGAACTGGACAAGCCGAGGGTGTCAAACACTGATCACGTTTGAAAGGTTATGTGACACACACATGTTTGATGTGGTGCCCACAGTGGTTTCGCTTCGTGATAATTGAGCTCCTCAAGATGAGCGCAGGCGTGGGCTACCGGCGCCGCGACGCGAACGCCTCGGACGCGATCGCGGCCATCCTGCACCCGGACGAGGGCTTCCGGTACGTCTTCTACCTGTCCCCGCAGTTATAACAGCAGACCATCTCCTGTTAAGGAGTTCTTTAGAGTTGTTTAAACGAAATTTAAATATTTGCTGAATGTGAACTGCAGGGAGAAGCAGCAGCGCAGAGGCGTGACTCCGAAAGACTTTGAGCGCGAAAACAAGCTGCGTGTGAAGAAGTTGCAGGCGGAGAACCGCGAGCGCCGGCGTCGCGAGGTGCGATGGGGAGATGGTGGATGCGATTGTAGGAATTTTTTACGCTAATGGTGGGGTGGACGACAGGAAGCCAAGCAGCAGCAGGAGTTCAAGCTGACGAGGTTCAAGAGTGTGAGACCGCGGGTGTTTAGAGAGGAGGAGGTATGTCGTTGTGGCAGCGGAATGAACGATTGCTGGTTGGTGCTGACAGGTTTGCGTCTTTGTGTGCAGGCTACTAGTGGAGAGCAGGTCAAAAAGCACGAGTATCTGCGGCGAGGTGGACGGCCCTCTTCTGCTGCATCGGCCCCTGGATCGGTGTCCTCATTGCCACGGACACCATCGGAGTCGGGCTCGATGTCACGGCTGCAGTCGCCGTCGCATTCGATGACAAGTAGTGGTAGCAGACGCCATATCTACCACAAAGCACCAGTTCCATCGCTGAGGGAACTCGAGCGGAGAGATGAAGAGCTGGCGGAAATCGTGGGTGCTCGTGGATTTGATGGCAGGTTGTTTAGATGGCTGTGTAGCTGACGGGGGTTGTGTCCGTAGAACAAGAAGGAGCAGGTAGACTTCGTTAACGCGAACGCGTGGGAAGTCATCAAGAAGACGCCTTCTGTACGCATCCAGGAACCGGAACCTCGACCTGTGAATCGCAACTTCGGCCGCATTCCGAAGTACCTGCTTGACCGCAAGGAGCAATGGGCCCGAGAGGAAGAAGAAAGGCGAAGAAATGCTCCAGATCCAGATTGCCCTCCGGGCATGGTACTGCTTGACGAAGACGAGCGCGTGCGCACCTTAAATTTGCTGCGCAAGTCGCTAACGGAGGCCCAGCTGCGCATGAACACGTTGCCCCTCCGCATCGAGACTCTGAACCAGATTCGCCGGAAGAACGAGCTGGAAACAAAACTGCAGGAGATTGAAGACGCCATCAAGGTCTTCGACCGCGCCAAGGTGTACGTAGCTGCGCCTCTCGCTAGCGACTCCGAGGACAATCGGGGACGCACGGCCAGCATTGCCGCATAACTGCTATCCAGAACTCTGTGTATTAGTTAGCACCCACAGTTAAGTGAAACACGCAGTTCTGCCATTTAGCTCATTGAGGAGAGGAAGGCCTCCACATCCTCCGAATCGAGCTCGTTGAATTCTTCCTCGCTAACCACTGGCTGCTTCTTGGACTTGCGCTTGAGGTTATAGCGATGCCACTCGGAGCGGAAGTGCTCGCGGTACTTGCTCATGTCGGCGCTGAAGTCACCACCGCACGTACTGCACGGTCGTGCCTTCTTCGTCTCGCCACCAGTAGCCGCCGCCGTAGCTGCTACGGGCGCCGGTGTGGGCGCAGCAGCAGCAACAGGAGCATTGGAAATTCCGAGACGCTCCGTCTTCTGTGAGATTTCGTCATCGATCGTGTGCTCGCCCTCCTGGTGACTCTTCAAATCGATCACCTCCAGCGATCCCTGACCGCCAGTGTGCTCCTGCACGAGCGAGTTGACAATACGGTACGATCCGGGCGTGATCAGCACCACCATCCGCACCGTCTCACTTCCAGTCTGCTCGACGATCTCGGCTTCCTCCTTGAGCAGGCCCGCCTTGATGGCCTTCACCCCCGACGCCGGCGTTGTCACCTGAATTTTCATCTTGGCGCGAGCCAGCGGAATGTGCTCGGGCAGCTTCTTGATCAGCTCCAGCGCCTGCTGCTTAGCGCTCCGGTTGGGGATGACAGCATAGTGGATCTCCTTCATCACGCGCTCGATGACCGTGTACGGGTACGGGCGGTTGGACGTCGGGTTCACGCACTTGTCCGCCACAATGGTGGCGATATCACGGTACATGCTGCGTATAAAATAAAGCATAAAAACTTTAGTATAAAAAATAAAATAAATGTAGCCATTCGGGGCAGAAAAAAACAGAGCGTACTTCTCGACGAGCGCCTTGCGCTCTCCCTCGGAGACCTGCAGCTCTCCATGGTCGAGGATGGCGCGACACGCCTGCTCCTCGCTCTGCACGCCGAAGGCCTTGGCCCAGTCGCTCTTCTTGGCGAACTTGCCCTTGGACACGTTCTCGTAGACCTTGGCGATCTGCAGCACCTCGTCGATGTCCTCCTCCACGCCGTTGCGCCAGTTGAACACCTTGTTCTTGTAGCACGCGATCTCGAAGCGCTTGCCGCCCTTGCGCATGCGCACCACGGCCACGTTCGTCAGCACGATCTTGCCCACGGGCTGGCTGATGCGGCCGCCACTCATGCTTGCCGGTGCCTTGTGCCTGCAAATTTAACACTGGGTTGAAATGTTGCCAATCACCTTCCGCCACACCAAGTGTACACAAAGGCAACAATCACTTCAACTTGCTGTGAGACCTCGTCGCAAGACGAGATTCTCCAGTGTGGCCATGAAGACCCCGCGCTACAGCCAGAGACACCTTGACTGAGCGCCGGACAAGCGCGAGGTGGTGCCAAGAGCTGGATAGCCACGGGGTTCAGTGCACGCCGGAGGACGTGTTACTTGAGCTCCAGTGCCTAACGCACACAGCGTGGCACACTCGCCAAGAGATTTCTAAAGAACTTTTCAACGATGATCTGTTGGATTGGTATGTGGACGGAAGACACCCTCAACTTGTCCAATACCACCGCAATATCTACGAATTGAAGCGACTCTACCGAGGTGTGAAGGTCGATCAGCGTAGCGGTACTCCAGATGGCTCGGTACGCTGGCTGGTTTCGGCTTATCCAGGAGGACCGAGCCCCATGAAGCTGCTGGTGTCGTGGTTGCAGAAAACTTTGCTGCGTACAAACAAACGAGCAATTGGAGATGCTGAAGAAGCTTCGCACTACGATGACGGACATAGGGCATTTCAATTACACAGAGAAGAAAATCGCGAGAAAGATTGCCGCGCTGACCCGAGACGCCGAGCGGGGTGCACGTGGGCAACCGCCTCGGTGGCAGCCATTTGCTCGCCAGTGCGACTTCGTGAAGAAGCTTTTCCGTTGGGAGGAGTCAGAATTGAATGAGACCGAACACATTCAAGCGGGTCTAGACTCGGACACTCGCATCGAATTGCTGGTGCGTGTGCAGGAGCAGGAAAGCCAACTCTGTGAGTGTCGTGACTCGACCAGATCTACGCCGGGAGATCGAGCAGTTGCTTCTGCTGCAACGCGTGAACCTGGACCGGCACCACAAGTAAAGACAGAATGGCCTGGAAGCTGCAATGCTCCAGTACTTGTTGAGGGTGGCGCTGATGAGGGTTCTAGTGAGAACGAGCCAGATGCAGGTACAAACCAAGTCGAGTACCCATTTGACGAGGCCGAAATACGCATACGGACGCGTGCAGCACTGGGCCGAAACAAGCTGCGAAGCAAAGGCGTTCCCTCTTGCGAACTTGATGTTCTTCTACCTGGGCCCGCACAGATCGCGCGGAGACACTAGAGCGCGCCCCAAAATGTGCAATATCCATTCAGCCTGAAGGAAATCAAGCTTCGCTGCCAGTTGGGAGGCAATCGGCAACGTCTACGCAATGAAGGATTGTCCAAGGAGGAGATTGAAGCGTGCATCCCTCTGCCCAACACGTCGCCTTGCTCAAGGCTTCTTCGACATTTTTTCTGTAGGTAGGAATGTATTGTAAACAAACGGCACATTTTTTTCATCTTTTGGTAATATCTGACTTCAGCCAGTTTACATGCTGTGTAGTGGAGACACTACTGCACGACCGACCTCGACGCAAGCTCGCAGCGATTCACTCGGCTGCTATAATTCATAATCTGTATCTGATAGCCAAGGTAGATAGCTCTTGTTACTTCAGGTTGACGTTGTTGTCGTCTGTACGCTACGCGCTAGCACTGAAACATGCAATTGCATCTCGTCGAAGCACATTGCTCGCCTACGACAACTTGGCCACCACAATGTGTCATCGCTTCATAAACTGCCGTTATGGCGGCGGCTTGCCGTGCGGGCGTGCAGATCCATCTTCTTGTGCCCACAACATCGTGCGCTTTGTCGCTGCTTCGGCTTTATCCAGGCGAAACTTTGCAGGAGTTGAAGTTGAAGCGTTAAGGAGGACAGGCGTTTGTTCCGTCGTCATCGACGAAAAAGTGGCCCGGCCGTTTTAGTGACAGAAAAGTTGGCTCGACAGTTCTTGACGACAATAAAGTTGGCTCGACGGTATTTCTGTGACAAAGACTGCGACGCGCCTCGCGCATGGGCCCGATCACTTTCTGTTTCCTTGCCGTGTCTCGCCTCAGGCAAACCGATCATGTGTATCCGTCCTGCTGGCGCTCCCGGCAGCAGCGCCGCGGACGCTTACACTCGGTGCGGCCTCGCCTCCGTAATGCGCTCACGACCTCCTTTCCCCGCTTCCAGCCGGGAACTTCACGTTCCTATCGAGAATTCGGTGCGCCACATGTGGGGGTTGTCGTACCCGACCCCATCGGTCGATCACCGCCGCTGCCGGACGCCACCAATTGTGCCGACACGACGACCGGCGCAAGTTCCACCGCGGTCACCTTATCGCTGTTGACTCGCGCGCGCCGACGCCAGCGTTGCTGCATCGCGCAGGATTGGCGCTCCGCTCCTGCGATCGACTGCACTTGAATTATCAGGAGAGTGGTTGCTGCACCCGTCTACTGGAGTCATCTTTTGAATTGTCCGCACCAATAACCTAACCACGCTTCTGACCTCCATCCGAACTTCGTATACGCGGTATACTTTCGACTTTCAACCTTTACACGCATGACTCCCCCCCCGCCGCGCGGTCGCCCTGTTGGCCGTACAAGCATGCACATGATGTCGACGACTACCGGTAGCGCCTAGTGGTGCTGCAGCGACACCTCGTGGCGACGATGACGTGGAGCGCTCCCTGGCTGGCTGCAAGACTGCGGTCGACGCAACACAAAAGGCGTCAAAGCCCCCCCCCCTTCCTCCCTGCGCGCGTTTGAAGAGATGCACGAGCATCAGGCCACCTCTCAGTCCTGTCAGGCAAGTAACTGTTCGGGGGAGATCTATGCATTACTTGGTGTATTCATACTCGTGTCTGTACGCGCAGCGGCCAGCTTTAACCGGCGGAGACAGAAGGCACTTCCTGCTCCGCTTTCAAACAGCTTTACCAGGAGAACAAGCGAAAGAGCGCAAGCAGAATGCGTGAGACTTGAGCGTTTGGGATCAGTTCGAGGGCGGGGCTCGCTATGGCTATCGTCAGTCGGGTACAGCGGTATCAGTCGGGGAAAATAAGTTTCCAGTCGGGCGGTCGGGTACGGTGACGGGTGACGGTGTTCTCAGTCGGGTACCGGTGGTGATGTTTGTTGTTTGCTTGGCTAGGTCAACGCATGCGCTCAAGTTGTTTACCTGTACAAGACTACAGCTCGTGGCGTGGCCACAAGAATCTTGCGAGCTGTTGGTATGAGTTAACGTAAGAGAACGATGGAAAAATCAATGTAATGGACTGTCCGAGATGTGTAATGTCCTGTACTGCTCGAAAATTCGCTCCCCGTAAGCTATGCACTTCGTCATTTCACTTAGAGGCCTCAGAGAGACCATTTGCAACCGAAGCAAAGCATAGGTCTGCAATGTTCGGCGCGTGGGCCGGAAGGTATGCCTAAGTAGGAGTTTCTATCTAATCCAGATACCTCGCCTGGCCGAGCCGAGGACTTAGCGTAAGGCTCGAGGGGGTGGGGCAGGTCGCGCAGCGGCGCCCCTCGAAGTGCCGTTGCTAAGTCCACAGGCGAGAGCCAACGTGCGAGTGTCCTACCCTCTTTAACATCAAGTAACAAGTGCTTAGTCGCTTTGGTGGTCGGCATTGGGCCTTCGCGAACATTCTTCATCTAACCGGTCTATACATGGAGTATACAACTTGCTTCAGTTTTGGTCGGTTCTTGACGGTCGTGGTCGGGCGCAAACGGGGACAATTGTCTCGTCACAGCCTAGTTTTCCATATGGTGGACGGGTGCAGCAACAAGTGCCAATTATCAGACGGGAGCGGGGACAGGCGTGGTGCCGCGCGCAAACTCACGACGGGAGCTCGCGCTCCGCCGCCATCGGACTCCGCTTCGGAGCGACAGACGCGTGCCCCTGGCATTACCAGCACCTCGGTCGAAAGGGTGCTTGCGCGTCGTCGTCTACGGTCCGTTACGTGGTAACGGCCGGCGCGAATAAGGTTGGCTGGAGCGGAGCGCGCCAAGCTTGACAGGCAGGCAGGCTGGCGACAGGGCAGCTCGCGTGCGGCGGCGTGTTCCAAGCGAGCAGCGCACGGCCCACCAGGTTGAAGCACGTCAAGTGCTGGTGGCCATCTGACCGTCTCGAGCGATTCGGGCTATTGGAACATGCCCGCCGCCAGCAGCTTTTTCCGCGCTGATCCTGTGCATTGTTCACGGCGAGCGCTTCAAGGCGCATGATCTATGGCGGCGGGGCGGACAGTCAACCGAGACCAGCCACGCGTGTCGCGGCCTACAATTGGTCGCGAGCGCTGCCGTCTCAAGGCTCGAGGAGGCGTTGCGAGCACGGGAGCCCTGCCACCACTCGTTCCCGGAACGTCTTGACCCGCCAGCTTTCCAGGGCTGCAAAAATCCGCCGGGCCGCTCGATCAAGTCGAGTCGCTCTTCGCTCCAGCCGCAGCTCGTGGCCCCGACGCCACCATGACGGCCCGAAAGCGAGCGCGGCCACAGGCGCTGGGCTCCGGTTGAACCCGGCCATACATTCCCGTCGTTGATCGCCGCCATCGTGAGAAATGCTGGCGACGTCCGTGTGCAGAGCCGCGACTTCAAGAGCGCATACAAAGTCCAAGATGTGCGTTTCGCGTGGTGTGCATGTGGTGTGCACGCGAGCGTCCAATCGAATCGTGTAGCCAGAGGAATCGGTGGTTCGGCTCGGGCAGCAAAGCTGCACTCATTACGACATTTGCGCACTGCCTGCCATTTCCATCTCTTCAGCCGTCGATCCCCTGCAGCTAGAGATGAGCTTCTCGTGCGTCGTACCCGTGTCGCCCGTGGCCGCGCTCAAGCGCGCCCGCAGCGCCGACGACGACCTGCGCCTCCTCAAGGTCAGCAAGCAGGCCAGCGACGCCTCCCCGCACTCGCCGCGCGCCGTGGCCGCGGCCGTGCTGGCCCAGCGCCAACAGCAGCAGCTCCACCAAATGCAGATGCAGCAGCACCAGCAGCAGCAGGAGGCCGTCTCGCCCTTCGTGCTGGCCTGCGGCAACATCCGCTACGCCATCACCTTCATCCAGAACTCGCGCCGCCACGCGCTGGCGCTCTGCCTGCAGAACCAGTGGGAGCGCGCCCTCGCCGTGCTCGAGAAGATTGAGCGCGCCAACGACAAAATCTCGCGCCAGCGCCGCACCAAGGTGCGCGAGCAGGCCAACGCCAACCCGGACCGCGTCTTTGACGCGCAGGCCATGCCCTCGCAGCCGCCGCAGGTGCCCTCCCCCGCCAAGGCCTGCAAGCCCAAGCGCCGCGTGCGCTTCAGCGACGAAGTGCAAGTCGCCGAGGTCGAGATGATCGACCGCTCCTGCGCCCCCATGCCCATGCTCATGCGGGACGAGATCCTGGTGCTGCGCGCGTCGCGCCCGATCCCGCTGCGCAACTTCTCCGAGTTCTGGAGCTCCTCGTCGTAGACGTACCCCCTGTATCCGTCGTCACCCGTCCGTGCACTGTAGTTTGTAGCATCTATCCCTATTTATTGCCATTGCTAGAAACGAAAGCAATACACTCTATATGCTGGCATCTCAGCCATCTCCACTCAACCGATTGTTGCACTTGCACTTTGCGTCTTCTCCGTCCGCACCGACCTTAGTCGATCTTGACGTAGCGAACTTACTTATTCACGAGCTCGCTCCACGCGCTGTTGACGCTGGACCCACTTATTCTACCTTCTCTCAGCAGCCCAGCACCGTCTTCTCCTGGAGCGTCGGTGGCAACCGCGTCCGGACACATTCAGCCAGATCATCGGCGCTGTAGCGCGCCGAAAAGTGAACCAGTACGAGCGTGCCCACTCGCTGAAACAAATGCTCGTGCTCCGCGAGCTGTACAGACAAAAAGCGTAGCCAGCAGTTCAGTCGCGCGGGCAACAGCGCATCTCGACGCTGCAACGTACCTGATCCAAGTGCATGTGCCCGCGGGCCACGGCGTCTTGAACCGTCATCTTGCCGTCCGCGTACGTGGCCTGCAACGTGTCCAGCACAAGACTAAGCAAGTCAGCGCGCGCCTCTTATTCGGTGTACGCTGCGGGCCACCTCCGCACCTCCGTGATGAGCACCTTCACGCGCAGCAAGTCCCGCATGCGCTCGTCATCGCTCGCTGCCGTGAACGCCTCGATCGTGGTGTCGCCAGTGTACGCGATCTCGGGCGTGAGCTCGGCGCTAGTGATCGTCTGGCCGGAGCGCTTCAGCGCGGCGATCTCCGGCCCGGGGAGCTCCCGGTACTCGGACTTCAGCCGGTTGCGCTTCTCGAACAGAATGTAGCCCAGGCTCGGCACGCGGTGCGTGGTGGGCACTGCGCGCACCATGTACTTGGGCGAGACGTGCACCTCGTCGTAGGCCTGCAGCGGCACCAGCTGCGCTGGAAACGGCTCGTCGCCCTGCATGGCCGCGGTGCTCTGCAAGATGCTCTCTAGGTGCGGCACGAGGTGAGCCGGCACGAAGTACTGGGCCGGCTTCTGCTTCTGCAGCGCCCGACGCGCAGCATGCGCCACCAAAGCCCCAATGTGGTCGACGTGCCCGTGCGTGATGAACACGTGCGACTTGCTCACCACTCGGTCCACGAGGTAGCCCAGATCAAATGCCACATCCACGGCGTCCACGTAGCAGCAAGACTCGATGCCGGCCACGCAGCGCAAGTGGAGCCTGTACCCGCCAGCCTCCACCACCTTTGCCGCCATGTTGTCGCTTTCGCCTGAAAGTGTATCCATCACTTTTCCTTCCTCCTGGATGCCGATTACGTAATACAGTGTGGTACACACAAGAACTACGCATAATCATAACGACACTGCATAACGCCCACAAAGTTGAAGCTCTTGGTTGAAGCGAATCGCCCTTTGCAATCAAGCTTGCGGCATACATGTATATCTGTCATGAAAACTAGTGTGACGACCTCGTTCGTTTGGTCGCATTAAATGGAGACCACTTGCGTACGGTGAACCATATAGTGCAGTTGTGCATGTAGTTAGTAAGTACATGTCCTCGGGTTGCAGCGAACATGGCACCGCTGAGAAGCTTAGCGGTGGGTAGCCTATAGTGCAACACAGCCCTGGCAGTGCCAGTGGCACCGGCACAACCGTTTGCCGAGATACTCCGCTTCAGGTATCAGAACTCGCCGTGCGATCATTGCGTTAGAACTGTCGTTGGGTGGAGTAGATGGAACATTGCAACTTAAGTTGCTACCGTAGATATGCTCAAGTGCACGTAGCGTTTGCCTGCCGATGGGTAGCGCTGCGCTAGTAGTAATGAGTAAGCGCGTCGCAAGGTCCTTATGCTGGGCCACGGATTCTGGGACGCCGCAGACCGCGTTGCCCATCTACGAGCCATTTACGGAACCCCTTGGCGGCGGCAGGCAAACTGCTGGTCGTGCTGTTGCCTGCATCCTCCACATGTTCTGCTGCAGACCATTGCGCGCGCGGAATTCACGCCATCGACGCCTCCAGCACGCTGTCGCTGTAGCCAACGCGATCGCCGATTCACTTGACTCGTCTCTGCGCTTGCTCAATTTCACTTGGACTCTGTATACTAAGCTCGACTGGTAGGTGGGATCATTTCGCTTGAATGCGAACCTGCCGCCAAGTTGACACTCAAGTGCCCGCCGCGTCCCGCTCCATTCGAATCCTCGCCCTGCGCCGCAACAATGGCTCCGTCCTCGTCCGTCTCCGCGCGGCCGCGCCGCATTGCGCCCCGACGCATCGCGCTGGTGCTGGCAGTATGCGCGTCCGACCTGCTGCTCACGGGGCTCGTCTTCGGCTGGGCGCCGCTGCTGCTGCTACTGCAGGAGGAAGGCCAGTACCACGAGCTCTGCGCGGACGCCAGTGAGCCCACGTGCGTGGCCCAAGAGAACCGCCTCAACCTCGTTTTCGCCGTGGCCTCCGTGGCCATGAACGCCGGCGCGCTGCCCGTCGGCATGTTCCTCGACCGCGCGGGGCCGCGCGTGACCATCGCGGTGGCCGCCGTCATCGAAGTCTCGGGCCTCGCAATGCTGGCGCTCGCGGACTCGCAGACCTTCGACGTGTTCGTGCCGGCCTACGTGCTCATCGCCTTCGGAGGCTGCATCACCATGATGGCGTCGTACCCGGCCAGCTTCCTCATCATGCGCTACCAGACCGCGATCCTCGCGGCCATCAGCTGCCTCTTCGACGGCAGCAGCGTCATGTTCCTCGTGTTGTACGCCGCCCACGAGCGCTTCGGATGGTCCAGACAGGAGCTGTTCCTGGGACTGGCGGTGGTCTCGACAGGCGTCTACTTGCTGCTCATCTTCCTGTGGGGACTCAACGAGAAGAGTCTGCGTCCCAAGCGCACTCCTGATGCCAGCGGCAATGATGCGATTCTGTCCACGCCGCAGCAGCGAGAGCGATTGCTGGTCAACGGTCAAGCCAATGAAAGCGCGTACGGCAGTGTGGAGGTGGAGCAGGAGCGGCCCAAGCGGATCCCGTCCACGCCGACAATGTCAAAACACGATGATGCAGCCTTCCAGCTCGTGGACGTCGCCCTCACCACGCAGATGAAGTCGTTCGAGTTTGCGTACATCGTGGTGTACGCGGCGGCGCAGGTGCTACGCGCGACGATCTACATCGGCACGGCGAACAAGCTGCTGGACAACTACGGCGACCGCGAGCATGGCTACCTGTACACCAAGGTGTTCAGCTTCGTGCTGCCGATGGGCTTCCTGTTCGTACCGTCTATCGATTATCTGGTGGAGACTCGCGGACTGTCGAAGGCGCTGCTGTTCACCAACATCCTGGGCGTGCTCTACAACGTGGTGGAGCTGGTGCCGATCCTGCCGCTGCAGTGCGTGGCCTTCTTCCTGTTTACAGCGTTCCGCGCGTTCCTGTATGCAATTATCTCAGCCTTCACCGCGAAGACGTTTGGGCTCAAGAACATGGGCTCACTCATGGGCATCGTCTTCTCGATCGGCTCGGTCATCAGTCTGGCCGAGTACCCGGCGATGTACATCTCGAACGTGCTGTTCGCCGGCGACCTGACGGTGCTCAACGTGGCGTCACTGCTGTCCTGCGTGCTGATGATCCCGCTGACGATGTACCTGCGCAAGTACGAGCACGACCGCGAGGAGAAGCGCCGCGCCGAGATCGCGCTCGAGAGCGGCGTCGCCCACGACCACGACGACCGTGAGATGTACTCGTCGCTCATGGACACGCCGACGTTCGGCGTCACCTACCTTCGGTCGCCTGGCAATGCGCCTCACAACGATCCCTTCTCGCCTGAATAGGAGCATCAGCGCGTAGTTCCATATCCATAGCGTAGGCTTTTAGAGTATCAATGCATCAACCAGTTCAACTCACATGTACATGTAGCCATCTGCGGCACTCAATGGGTCCATGGTACATTGTACCACCTGGCCCCGGAACTCCTGTTTCAGCCAATCAAAGTCGTCCCTCGATTGGTGGCCCCCGCCAAGCCAGCATCATTCATTACGCGGATACCGCCCCGCGCTGAAAAGGAAGCCGTAGACAAGAGCAGCAGCAGCAGCCATGGCGAGCAGGTTCTGGGCAGGAAGCTCGTCTTCCGAGGAGGAGAGCGACGTCTCGGACGTGTCGGACGTCGAGACGTCGCAGCAGCAGGCCGCGCGCGCGGCCTCGCGCTGGGCGGTGCAGTCGGACTCGGAGTCGGATGAGGAGGTGCGCGTGGTCAAGAGCGCCAAGGACAAGGCGCTGGAGAACATGGAGCGCAACTGCGCGGGCATCAAGAACCACATGAAGATCAACGACTGGACGCAGATCCAGACGGAGTTCGACGAGCTCGTGAAGCAGCTCGAGCGCGCCAAGAAGACGCTCAACACGCTGCCCACGTTCTACGTGCGCACGATGGTGGCGCTCGAGGACTTCCTCTTCGAGAAGGTCAAGAACAAGGCCGAGCAGAAGAAGATGAGCAAGGAGAACAGCAAGGCGCTGATCCGCATGAAGGGCAAGATCAAGAAGCAGCTCGAGCCCGTGCGCAAGCAGATCGACGACTTCCGCGTCAACCCCGTCGAGTCGAGCGAGGACGAGTCCGAGAGCTCCTCCAGCGAGTCCGAGTCCAGCGACTCGGACTCGAGTGAGTCGTCGGCGTCGTCCTCGTCGGGCTCCGACTCGGACAAGAGCAGCGACGAGTCCGAGTCCGAGGAGGAGAGCAGCGACGACGACAAGTCCGGCTCGGACGACGACTCGGACGCGTCGGATGACTCGTGGCCCAGCAACTCGTCGTCGTCCTCGTCCTCGTCGGAGGATGATGACAACATGCCCAAGGGCCGTGCGCGCTGGCTCAAGCAGACCCCCGTGGTGACCAAGGCCAAGAAGGTCAAGGGCCCCAAGGTCATCAAGCAGCGCGAGACCCGCCGCGGATCCGAGGATGAGGTCAAGAAGGTCGTGGTCGAGGAGGAGCTCAAGCTCACCCCCAGTCAGTTCGACCGACGCGTCAAGGAGGTGGTCGCGATGCGTGGTAAGAAGGGCATGGACCTATCGGAGCAGCTCAGCCTCATGCGCAAGCTGGCCAACTACGCGCGCCGCCTCGGCCCCGCCCGCCAGATCGTCGCCACCATGTACCTGGTCGGTACGTCGGTGTTCGACACCTCGTCCAAGATTGACCGCGTCATGTCGGCGCGTCATTGGAAGCAGGTGCAGTCGGACGTGTGCTCGATCCTGTCGCTGCTGGAGAAGAACCCCGAGTTTTCGCTGGCCCCGCTGACGTCGGAGGACCAGGCCGACATCGTGCGTGCCGGCCGCGAGAAGGTGACGGCTGCACAGATCGCTGCTGCCGCCGCTGAGGACGCTGAGGAGGACCTGAACTTCGTGGACACGCTGCCGCAGGCCGGTAAGAAGGGCACGATCAAGGTGTCTGGTGACCTCGCTGCGTTCGTGGACCGCCTCACGGAGGAGTACACCAAGAGCCTGCAGCAGACCGACCCGCACACGAGCGAGTACGTTGCTCGTCTGTACGACGAGAGCCTGCTGATCGAGGTTGCCGAGCGTGTGCAGAAGTTCTACGCCCGCAAGAAAGACTACGCGCGCGCCGCCACCATGGCGCTGGTGCGTGCCGAGCTCATCTACTACAAGCACGACTCCGTTGCTTCGGCCCTGTTCGAGGCCCAGGCCAAGCGTGCCAAGTTCGGTGACCCGGTGTTCCTCCACCCTGCTTGCACGAGCGTTAACGCCAACAAGACGAACGAGTTCGACGCGTCCAAGACGCACCCTGCCTCCGTTATGGGCCAGCCGAGCGTGGATGTGACCCCCGTGGACGCTGAGAAGCTGCTGCGCGACGTGTGCCGCTTCGTGTTCCAGCACGGCGACATCCGTGCCAAGACGCGCGCTATGCTTTGCCGCATCTACCACCACGCGCTGCACGACCGCTTCCACGAGGCTCGCGATCTGCTGCTGATGTCGCACATCCAGGACAACATCACGGACGCGGACATCCCTACTCAGATTCTGTTCAACCGCATGATGGCTCAGCTTGGTCTGTGCGCCTTCCGTAGCGGCCTGGTCTGGGAGGCCCACGCGTGTCTGTCGGAGATCTGCACGGGCTCCCGCACCAAGGAGCTGCTCGCCCAGGGCCTGCAGTCGTTCCGCTACGGCGAGCGTGACCTGGAGCAGGAGCGCCTGGAGCGTCGTCGCCAGGTGCCGTACCACATGCACATCAACCTCGAACTGCTCGAGACGTGCCACCTGGTGAGCGCGATGCTGCTGGAGGTGCCGAACATGGTGAACTCGCGTCTCTCGGACCGCAAGCGCATGGTGTCCAAGGCTTTCCGCAAGCTGCTCGAGTTCCACGAGCGCCTCGTGTTCGAGGGTCCTCCTGAGAACCCGCGTGACCACGTGGTTGCGGCCGCCAAGCTGCTGGCTCAGGGATCGTGGCGTAAGAGCTCCGAGCTTCTCGTCGGCCTGCCCGTGTGGGACCTGTTCCCGGGTGCCAACGTCAGTCAACGCGTGAAGTCGATGGTGCAGCACAAGATCCAGGTCGAGGCTCTGCGGACGTACCTGCTGGCGTTCAGCGCCGAGTACGACTCGGTGAGCCTCGCCCGCCTTATGGAGATGTTCGACCTTGACGAGAAGACGGTGCACAGCGTGGTGTCCAAGATGATGATCAACGAGGAGCTCCAGGGCGCCTGGGACCAGTCCTCGCAGGCCATCGTCCTGTACAAGACCGAGCGCTCGACGCTGCAGACTCTGGCGGTGCAGTACTCGGACAAGCTCTCGCAGATCGTGGAGAACAACGAGCGCATGATGGACCTGCGCTCGGGCACGAACAAGGAGGAATGGGGCAACCGTGGCAACCGTGGCGATGGTCGCCGTGGCGCCGGCGGCCGCATCGGCTTCAGTGCTGGAGGCCGACGTGGTGACAACCAGGGCGGACGTGGAGGCTTCCGTCCTCGTCGTGGCGGCGGCAGCGGTGGCCGCGGCCCCAGGCAGCAGCGCCAGTAGACTATGGCCGCGTGCTGAGAGCTACACAACGGAATCATATATTGGCGCGGCTCTGTGGTTGATCAATTCCTCCTAGCCGTCAATCCGTCTGTGGCTTTCAGTTGTAGGCGGACGGAGAATGAATAGCACGTTGCAGTTTGGCTAAATTACGATAGTTTTCCTAGCTAGGGGCCATGCTGTCGTTGCTGGGCGCCTCCTTCCGTACTGTACGCAATGCACTGGTAGGCAGGCTGGGCCCAGAAACGAAGTGTTAGTATTAGTCTGTCGGTCTGGCCGCACCTGGTGCATACAATACATGCTTCATGTGAACTTCACCCCGCTATTGCGTGCTTTGCTGGTCAAAAGAGCTGTCGGATCCAAGCTGCTGCCATTTTTGTTTACCATTATTTTGTTTTCTCCAGCTTTTGCTGCTTTTCACTGCGTTCCTGAGCTCTTGTGTGCCGAAAGAAGCCGACCCCAGACTTCCAGTGACGCCAACTCCACCCACGACTTGCTTGCTCCAGGAACACCAATACCCAAATCGACCGACATCAAAGCTTTGAGATGAATTGAACCAGACGGCTATCCACTACTCGGTGGCAGCGACGGCATCCGACGAAGCGGCAGCATTCGCGCTTTCTCCACGGCCTCCACGGCCGCGACCTCGACCGCGTCCGCGCCCACGACCGAAATGCCGCCCCCTACCACCGCGGCCATTCACCTGGCCATTCTCACGGGGCTCCTCCGCAGAGTCGCCGTCTTGCACCTCCTGCTTGTCTTCGTCGCCGTTACCCACCGCCTTCTTTCTTCCTTTCCTCCCACGCCCGTTCTTCCGGTTAGACGACGTGGATGGCACGTCACCGTCTACCTGCTCCACTGCACTGCTAGCTTCTGCTTGGTCCTCTCCGTCCTCAGCAGGAGTTCGTCCATGCGACTTCTTGCCACGACCTCCATTGCTACCACTGCGGCCACGACCCCGTCCTTTGCCTCGCTTTCCGCGCGTGGTTGGCGTGGTAGCCGTAGCCCCCTCCTCGCCAGGTGTCTGCTCCGCCTCAGCCTCTGCATCTTCAGCAGCCTCTTCTTCCTCCGCTTCAGCTGCAGCTGGGACATCTCCACGTCCAGCGTTGCGGCCGGAGCGTCTGGAGTGTCCGCGCGTCTTCCTGAACTCCCGCGAGTCGTGGTAGGACGGCGAGCTGGCCGTCACCTGGTCCAGCGGGATGGGGCTCTGGTAGCCCGGGTCGTCCCGGTCCAGCTCGTCCAGCGACAGCTGGATGGAGATGCCGGGGATGTGGCGCGTGGTCTCGATGCGGTCGAGGCCTTCCTCCAGCGGCTCGTACACGTCCACCGTGTCTATGGACGAGATGCGCGTCACCTGGTGCAGACTCGGCACCCGGTGCTTCAAGATCTCGGCCACGGTCACGGCCTTGCTGATGGCGTTGCCCATGGCCTTCAGCGTCACCTGCCGCTCGCTCTTCTCCTGGCAATGATAAAGAACATATATCATATTAGTAAATACACTATTGTACCATGATAGAATTTAATAAATAAACTTACGGCGAAGAGTCCGTTGGCGTAGGAAATGTAGCTGCGCACTTTGCCCTGCTGCGTGATGCGGATCTCGTTGGGCTCGACCTGCGCGGCCTGCTCCTCGCGACGAGGCTTCTCCACACGGCGGTACTTGTCCATCGCGGCGGCTGCGTGCAGAGGTGAAGAGCGAGCTCGGAGCTTGGCTGGAGTTTGGCTGGAGTTTGATCAATAATAATGTGATGGCTGCTGATGAAAGATCTGTGGAGTGTTGAACACCAACCGAGTGAAGTAACCCCTGGTGTGGTTCACATATTGTTACTTCACACGAAATGGGTACAGATCAAAGCAAGTTGAAGTGATTTTTTAATGATTTTTATTATGCTGGTGACGTTGGAGACGCGGGGCGTGGACTGGAGCTGTTGGTGGGCGAGAGCGCTTGGTTGAGGAAGTTCGACAGCTGCCGCAGTTTGTCGTCCGCCTCGCGCTTGCTGGCGGCTGCGACTGCGCACTCTTGCTGCAGCCGCGCGACGCTCTGCTGGGTGGTGACCAGACTTTCGGTCATGTTGGTGATCTGCGCGCGAAGCAGGAGCTCCTCATGGAGCAGCTCCCTCGTTTCGTCTGCAACAGTATCGAAGTTATTAGATAATATTAAGGTTATTTTCTGCTGGACAGTGTACGCCTACCTTCGGTGTCCATGATCTCCAGCTTGGCCTTTTGCAGCGCCTTGCGCAGAATGCGCATGACGCACTCGTAGCCTCCCACCTCCATCAGTTTCTTTTCCGCCAGCACCTTGTTCTGCACAGCGATAGCCTCCGACTCGACGAGTGCAGCTTCGTCCTTCTCCAGTTCCTCGTGTCGCAGTGCCAGCGCACACGCCTCCACCGTGAGCTGCTCTGCCGCATCCATCACGGTCGCGATGTCTCTCCGCGTCGCTTGCAGCTGCTGCTCCACATCCTCCACCTCGTCTCGAGCGCTATCGATCCGCATGTAGAACTCATTGCTCGCAGCGACGTCCATGGCTGCCAGCTAGCTAGCTAAACGACAATAACATACAACCAAGTTGCACGTGTCCCTCCAGCTATTTACGGGTCTGCTATTGAGCCCTAAAAATAAGTTGAAGTGGGGCGTATCTTACCGTCGCACCCCTTCGACCACCGTGGAACCGTCGCGGCCAATGAAACGTCTGGGAAACGACGTGTCGGTTTCAACTGCCACCGGTTGCCCCTCCACCAAGGCTCGGACCCAGGCCCCTCCTCTCGCTCATTCTCGATTCCGCTCCCGCCGTTGCAGAGCCTCCACACACCCACGCACGCTTTGGAATCTTCAGTATCTCTTCAGCAGCATGTGGGGCGGATCTTTCTGCAAGGCCACAGTACTCGCCATGATACTGTTGCTACACTCTTCAGCCGGCGCGGAGCAGGATGGGTGTCGCTGCAAGCGGACCATGAAAGGCCGTGAGCACCTGCACACGCTGCCGACCATGTCGCTGGCCGAGACGCAGGAGCTGGAGCAGCTCCCCAAGCACCTGGACTGGTGCGAGCGCGGCTTCTGCGTGCCGAGCTGGAACCAGCACATCCCGCAGTACTGCGGCTCGTGCTTCGCGCACGGCGCCATGTCGAGCGCGCAGGACCGCATCAAGATCCTCAACAAGAAGCGCCACTACTCGGTGGCGGACGTGATGCTCGGCCGCCAGAGCTTCCTCAACTGCGCGCCGGGCCACGGGCTGTCCGACGGCTGTGACGGCGGAGAAGCCGCGGACGTATACGAGTTCATGCGGCGCTACGGCCTGCCGGACGAGTCCTGCCTGCCGTACAACGCCACGGACCACACCAAGTTCCAGGCCACCAATGGCACCTGCCCACCGCAAGGATACTGCATGAAGTACGCGTTGTTGAGTCATTTCCTACTTCAAATTTGACACTTATCTAACGTGATTTTTGCTGTTTGTGCAGCTGCATGTACACTCCTGAGAGCAAGACGGTGCCGCAGTGCTTCCCTGTGACCAAGATGGTGCGTTATCGAGCCAAGAGCCACGGCCACTTGTCGGGCGAGCTGGCCATGATGAAGGAGATCCAGCGGGGCGGCCCCATCACGTGCGGCATCGCCTGCAGCGACGAGTTCACGTACGAGTACAAGGCCGGCATTCTGGAGGACAAGACGGGCTTTATGGACATTGACCACGACGTGGAGATTGTCGGGTGGGGAGAAGAGGATGGCGTCAAGTACTGGCACGTCCGCAACTCGTGGGGCACGTACTGGGGCATGAATGGCTTCTTCAAGATCGTGCGCGGCAAGAACAATCTGGGTATCGAGGCCGACTGCGCCTACATGGAGCCCGACATCAGCGACGAAGAGCTCGTGTGGGAGGAGAAGTCCATCTACGGAGGGTCCATCTTCGGCATTGTCCCCTTCAAGGAGACCGCGAAGGACCACCCGATCAAGGACACGAGCGAGGACGTCACGCGCCGCGACGACGAGGTCCCGCCTGCTCACTACTTGCCCGAGACGAACTCCTTCGCGACCGAAGTCGAGTCTCGCCACGACGACAGCTCGTTCATCCTGCTCGCTATGATGTTCTTCGTGTCGGGCTGCGTCTGCGCGGCTCTCGCGGCGGTGCTCATCCTCAAGTTCCGTGGCCACCGCTACGTCTACCGGACGATCCCGTAAAGCGGGCAGGTTCTTTACCAGCATTTGAACCTCACGGTTCATCCTCACCCATTTCGTAGACATTGAGACTGTAGAGAACGAGATGCCAGTTCTCACTCACTCAACCATTTCACGTAGTTTGTCAGCAACTTCGCCTTCATTTAGCCTAATTCATCGCTCAGGATTCCTGACAGGGCACTGGAATGCTTGTTCCGCCCCCTGCCTTTAGTCGCGTGAGCATTGTTTACCGCAGTCGCTGCAGCGACTAGAAGAGTGGTCTCCGAGTGGGTAATCAGCAGGAACGTTTGCCTAGCGTGGCGCTCAACGCGACGACGCGGGCAAAGTATCCCCTGGCCAAATGCGCTCTCTAGAGCTCACCGGCGTAAGCAGCGTGGGCAATGGCTGGCAGCAAGCATGATGGCCATCAAGGTGAGCATCAAGCAAGACCCGGTAATGGAGTAAACGGCGGTTAACCCTGCCGGCCAAGTTGGCCGCCAACACCATCAACTACGAGCGCGTTATATCGTCCATCTGCTGTTGCTGCTACTGACACCTGGGCGCTACGCGAACAGGAGGTGCTGGGGCTCTGCGACAACTGCAAGGCGCTTGACTGCCGCAGCGCGTAAAGTGCGCTATTCAGCGAAGAGAAGACTGCCATCGTGAGTGGCCTCACTGCAGCCGCACGGTGTGTGTGCAGCGAAACCAACGGCGCTGGTAGCGCACATCTCGTTTAGCTTTAGGTTCGGCCGCGCCCCGCACCCGCTGTATGCTCATTTGCGGAGAGCGCCGCAAGGTGTTGGCCAATGTATCCTGTCCGAATCAGCGGTTGTCGGGAGCCGGTGACCAGCAGTGCGCTGCGCAGTGTCCAGGTGCAACTTGAAGGCACCCTCTTTTGTCAACACTTTTTGTTTTATACTTGAACAATCAATCCCTGAGATTTTAACGGTTTTATGCTAGTTTGCCACAACAGGGGGTCGAAAGTACCCGACATTCAGCACCGTTTTTTCAGCACCGACACAACCGTGCAGTCTGACGATCAGTCAATTCATCTGCTTGCCCGGTGGAGCAATCGCCCGAGCAGGGCAGGGCTCACTTGGCCTCGTGTGTGTGTGCGTCTGATTGCCACAACGCGCAAAAATCCGGACTGCGTTGACGCACGGAGAGGAAGAGAGCTAGAGCGCTGCAGCACCGCTGCACTCCGCAACAGTCCTAGTGGACAGCCAAACACGAGGCAAAAGGCACCTTCCAACCGCCTGGCAACGAACGATCTACTCCGTCTCACACCTGCTGCACCGCGCCGCGGCTTGAAGGCGTGTCACATCTCATTTCGACACGTAGAGCAGCAGAGCGCAGGTCAGGTCTCCACGTCGGACCATTCCCCAATTTCGTTAATAATGGGCCTCTTACGCGCGTTCATCGGCCTCGGTCCGCACACGAAGGACCTGGTGCGCTACGGCAAGAAGTTCGAGGCCCGCACAGCCGCGGTCGACCAGTTCCAATGGAGCTACTTGATGCGACCCGCAGCCGACCCCAAGAGTCGAGAGATCGTCGTGTTCCTGCACGGCCTCGGGTCCTCGAAGGAGGCCTGGGTGCGAGTCTCCAGCGGCCTCAGCAAGGACTACCACGTCGTGATCCCCGACCTGCCGGGCCACGGCAAGACCACGCCCTTCGACACCAACATGAACTTCGCAGCGGACCGACAAGCGCGTCGCCTGCACGAGTTCTTCGAGTCGGAGCTGTATCCGAACAACAAGGTACATCTCGTGGGCACGTGCATGGGCGCCACCATTGCCGGCGTCTACGCTGCGATGCACCCGACGCGGGTCAAGTCGCTGACGCTCATGTGTCCGTGGGGCATCTCCATGCCCAACTTGAGCGTCACGCTCAGCGACGTCGGCGACTTTGGCAAGTTGGTGCCGCAGAGCCCCACGGAGACGTCCACGAGCGACGTCGGCGACTGGCGCGACCGCGTGACGGCCAGCAGCGCTGCCAACTTGGTCCATGCCCCCAGAGTGTTCCGTGCCCTCGCAGTGTCCAAGTTCTCCAAGCGCGGACGAGCGCACGAGGTGCTGCAGAAGGTTTTGGTGGACATGCTGGCCCACCCGACGATCCTAGAGGACGAGTTGCACCGTATTCGAGCCAGGACCATGGTGGTCTGGGGCAACCAGGACGACGTCCTGAGCGAGTCGTGCCTCAAGGTGATCGACGAGAAGCTCAACGTCGCGCGCAAGAACGTCATGATCTTCGACAAGTGCGGCCACCTCGTGCCGAGCGACAAGCCCGCGGAATGCGTCGACATGCTCAACAAGTTCCTGGCGGACGAGGAGCTGAGCTTCACGTTCGCTCTCACGAAGCAAGAGTCCGTGATGGCATTCTAGTGCAGGAGTCGCTACAAGGAGTAGTCTTCGCCAGATCGAATGGCGTATTTATCATTTATTAACCATTTCAGTAAAATGTACGTGGTGAATCTGTCTACAAGTCGAGAGCTCTGTTGTCATTGTCCTTTCGATCACGGATAGTGCGGAGTATGGAGAGCGTTAGCGTGTTCGGGGTCGACCCCACGAGCGAGCGCAGGTTGAAGCGTGTGATCGTGTTTTGCGGTACGGACACTTGGCTGCTGCAAACTCATATGACCGCTCGTTTACGGGTGGCGGAGCGTCTGTAAAGCCATCTAATGCACTCACTTCAACGCATCAGCGGCGTGAACGTATAATTGAAAAGGTGTGCCGTCGTGAAGAATAGAATAGGCTCAGACAAGCCCTCTCCTTCTGATCAATTATTTCAGCGTCGGAGGAGTGGAATCGTAAGAAGTAAATGGACGTGGAGGAACGATGGATAAGAAGATGATGAAGAGGAGATTTAGTTCTCGCCCCGATAACGCTACTATTATACACCTGGTCCACCGGTAACATTGAATTGATGACGGTACTTGTCTCCTTTGAGCAAATAACCATTCTAAGATTTGAAGAGAGAAGCCCCCCACAACTTTTCTTTTACGAAAGAGGAGATAACAGCGAGTTTGGCATTTATTTCCGCATCGAATTTGACCAAGGTAAGATGGTAAAACCCCAAGTAGAAAATTGGGCTTTCGACAAATCTAGACACACCACGATTTGAGAAATTTTGCCTTTTAGGTCCTGAAAACGCGTCCTTAATGCCCGGGATGGCAACGAATAGCGAGTAATAAGGCAGGGGTACACTCTAGTAGCCGTGAATAGTGTTCATTGCCCCCAATTGTCGAGAAACCTCTTCATTTGGCTTGAAATTACTGCTTTGGTAGGCTTACTTTGCTCGCCAGTAACTAATGTGCACAGAAGAATCTAGCCATCATGTTTAGCTAGTTAGAGAGAGGAAATGACGTACCAGAAGGATACGAAATATTTCAAGCAGAACAATGATGCCGGTGGCAATACCTCAAAGTATTTGTCTGGGCTACCCAGTTTTACTTTTTGAACCGTCTATTCATGCTCCTGCCAGCCTCCGCAGGAGCTCGGAATACGAATCGAGCGTACATCTCATGCATTATAACTGCCTGACTACACTTCTAAACCTCTAGCGCTTTAGTTTTGCTGAGTTCGCCGCTACTCGCAGTTAGAAGCTATCATCCAAGTCTACACAGCGCAAGTGCCTTAGATCGATGCACCCCTCTCCGCCTGCACTTTGTACTGTCTATGATGGACATATGTCGCACTATACAAACTTTCATATTAAAAATAATCTTTACGCGCCTACTAGTAGGATTGTACCCATGCTACTGGTATGCTTTCGACCTGGGGAGAAGAGATTAAGAAAGATGCCGAACCCGCTCTTCTTGCCAGCGATCGACGTACTTATGTATGCGTTTTGCTGCTGGCTTTACGGCAAAACGAATTCACGTAGACAAAGAAGTAAATTGCAGTTAGCGAAGTGCTGTGGTGTTTTTGCATGCCGTCAGCTCCATGCGGGAAGTGTGGTTGTGAGTTGCCGCGCGGACTTGACAAATGACACTTATTATCATCCCAGATCTACGCGCTTGCCCATTTATTCCATGCCCACTTGGTGGGCTGATCCCGTAGGCAGCATACTGAACTTCAGCAGCCATGTCAATCTTGATGCAAATAAAAAAACTCTCCAATTCAAACCCGTGACAGCACTACATGCGCTTTGCATTGATCTTGAGAAGCGGTTTACAGTGCTGGAAAAGTTGCATGGCACTTATGATGAAATTTTGCAAGCGCGTCACTTGGATCGGCATGTTACATCCTTATCGCGAGCAATTTTAGCCTCAAGTGCATCGATTATCGAAGTTATCTTAGGTTTTCTGAGACACCGCTGCAGCCAACTTGCACGCTGAAGCGATGATGAGCCGGTTCCAGACCGCTTTCGAGCAGTTGAAGGCGAGATGGATGTCTCTCCAAGTGGAACTCCAGGGAAGCTACACCATCGAGCGCTTCCATCGGCTGAACGACTACTCGCAGCGAGTAAGCGGCAAGAGAATAGTCCTTATCTCTCTGTTGACCCCACTGCCTTGCATCGCGCTGAGTATCCTGAAAGAGGTGCCACCGTTGAAGCCGACCGAAGCTGGTGTTTTGGGAAACTGGGTCTTCTTCATTCGCGCTTGGATAGTGAGTGCGTTTGTGGGCGGTAGCATTCCCGTGATGGTACACCAAGATGTCCCTCGCCTCACGATGACAGCTCCTCAGATTGTTTCGGTGGCACTGCTCGCGGGTGGAATTGCAATGCTGTTTATTGGCGTTGCTTGTGCCTTGACTGTGTTCCCGTGGCCGTTTGGAGTGCTAATTGTTGGGGTTCCCATGATGTGTGTGGAGGCGTTCTGTCATCTGCGGCTAGCGGATCACCAGCTACGAGGTGATAGCGCGTTATGGGCCGACGTTAAGCGAGTGCTTGCCAGTACTCAGTGTTTCCTTTCACTTCCTTTCATTTATCCGCTCTACATTTACGGGTTTGTGTCGCTCTCTGGTACCGGCCAAGTATTGTTCGTTATTGTACTACCGATCATGAAACTCTTTGCCAAAAACTGGATGAACTTCACACTTTCTGGTCGTGACGACATTAAACCAGAGATGATCGTGTTCGTAGTTGAAGTGTTCAACTCCCTTTATATCTCCAGTGCGCTGCAAAATACTTCGTCCTGGGCATCGACCGCCACAGTCATGGGCTCCGACTTGGCGGGGTTCTGGCTGTCTATGATAGATATCACGGAGGCTTTCACGGAGATTCGAAAACTCATGAAGAAGATTCCGGAAAACCACACCCTCAAAAACGAGAACTTCGTTCAAGTGTTATTAAGAATCCTCGCAAAACACGAGATCCAACATGAGGTATTGTTCGTTGCAGTGCTGCCTGCCATGCAATTTGTTGTCAAGAATTGGATGAATTTAACACTAGCTGGGCGCGATGACACGAAGCCCGAAATGATCGTCTTCGTGGTAGAAGTGTTTAACTCGCTTTATATTTCTAACGAACTTCAAAGTACTTCGTCATGGGCCTCCACCGCCACAGTCATGGCATCCGACATTGCTGGCTTCTGGTTGTCAATGGTGGATATCGCGGAGGTCTTCACAGAGATACAAAAACTGATGAAGAAGATTCCGCAACATCATCCCCTCGCAAACGAAGATTTTATGCAAATAGCGTTGAAGCTTCTCGCCGCCAGCGAGGCAAATGGAGCCCGCAACATCGCCGCTAAAACCCCTGAAAGTTCCCCGCTGTTCCAGAAGAAGACGAACCTCGCGAGAGATCCTACCAATGCAACCGCTCGGCCGAAACGAGAACAGCACGCGCAATGTAATTACGCACCGACGCATACATTAATTCAGAGCCCTCGGGCCATGCCGGTGGGTTTCTCCCTAAGCGCTGAATCCACGAAAAGCAACGCACCAAAACGCTTGGCTGACATGGACATTGAATCCATTTTCTCGCGAATGGAGCGAGACCTGTTCATTCAAAAGAGTATGCACGTACTCTTTATCACAGAGTTCGTCGTACTATTCGAGTACATCGAAGTGACGATATCAATCGTGTACTGTAGGTACGCGCTGATATCGATAGGCACACCCATTGAGGCTAACGACTGTTGGTATATGTTGTCGAGCAGGTCTATTCCGTGCAGCGCCGTTCCACTTGCCGAACAGAGCCTACTTCTACACGGTGGCCGGGCTTTCAAGCTCTGGGCTTACAGCATCCACACTCACGGTACTAGCCTACACCTCTCTCATCGTTTGTGGCATCCGTTGCCGTGATGAAACGCGCATTGGGTTTTAATCCCTTGAGGCAACTTGCGTTCGTGCTTGAGACTCAAGCGGGCAGGATTCAGACAAAGCTCGTTGTGATCCTTCTCTACGTTACGCAAATGCCACTGGCTGTTAACTTTCTTGCTTAACGGTTTGGATGGGCTTCTAATGTGGATGCGTTGCAAGGTGCTGACTTCAGTTTCAAGTTTGCATGGATTCCTGGTAACTAAGCAACCAATTCATTGTCAAGGAGGGGAGCAATTCTGGGGAACATCGTGTTTATCTGAATGATTCCGTGTACGTCGAAGTGGAGAATAGTTTGAATCGGGTTCCTATTTGCCACAGTTCGGGCCAGCAAAAAAAACAAAAATCGTGATTTGTCGAAGCTGATCTTTGAACAATTTGTTCCTGCTTATCTGCAGCCTCAACATAACTCGGCCGTGCAGTCCATACAAGCCTGTCAGCGAAGTCCTGCAGCCGACCACTAGTACTTAGCTCAGTTTTGGCCTGTTTGGGCGAGGACGTGGATAAGAATGTCAAAATGCTATGTTCACCCGCACTGAAGACGATACTTGCCGCCTTGTAATCCTCGTACCATTCTTAAATTGAAAGAGAAGAAAGGGCCCAGCGGAAACCCGCGCAAGTTTAGTCGAGATGCCGCACCCGCTCTTCCTGTCGGTAGTCGACGCACTTCGTTTCGTTTCTGGTTTCACGGCGAAGAATGCAACAGTCGACACGTGCAATTGGAGCTTCATCGAGCGACGAAGCAAGGACGACAAGTGCGACGACGTTGTGGTGTTCTTGCATGGCTTCAGCAGTATGAGGGAAGCGTGGCTGCGAGTGGCGCGCGGAGTCGACAAACGCTTCAGCATCGTCATCCCAGATCTTCCTGGTCACGGTCGCACCACGCCCAGTGACGCGCTTTCCGACTATTCCATGGGAACTCAGGCTGAGCGACTTCATAAATTCCTGGAGAATGAAGTACCTGCAGAAAAGAGGATTCACCTTGTTGGCTGCTCCATGGGCGGCATGCTAGCCGGAGTGTACGCTGGGATGTACCCGGAACGGGTGAAGTCACTTACGTTGGTGTGTCCTGCGGGGATCACGATGCCCAACAAGAGCGATCTACTGAAGATGCTGGAAAATTCTGGTCGTAATTTATTGCTTGCACACACGCCCGAAGATATTAAAGAGATGAACAAAGCCCTCCACTTCAAACCAGTGACTGTACCGCATGCGCTGGCGGCGATCATCGCATCGGATCGGAAGAAGCAGCTACCAGTGTTGGAGAAGATTATCGGAGACTCCCTCGAGAACCCGATAGCGCTCGAGGAACTGCTGCCTAACATTCGAGCCAAGACGTTGGTCCTGTGGGGAAAGCACGACCGTGTTCTCGACGTCTCGTGCGTTGAAGTTCTACGACAGCAGCTGCATCCAGATACCCAGAGTCAAGTTGTTCTCATTGACGAATGCGGCCACCTCGTTCAACATGAAAAATACGCGGAGTGTAGCGCTGCGATCAACAAGCACCTAGCTGATAACATGGGTGCAGATTCGACAATGCAAGGGCAAAGAGCGGCCAGCAGTAAGCTCAAGCAACTCGCGATGTCCGCACGCCAAATCATTCCGAGCTATCGTCGATTACAAGCGCCAGCGCGGAGCTCGTATGCCGTACAGTAAGCGTGGAGATTCCTCGAGTTTGAAAACGTGAAACGTTTTTGAAAGATACTTAGTCTACTACAAACTGCCTCTTTTACACGACGATGGCGACAATCTTCTGAAGTCTTGGATTTAAAGTTCAATTACTGTATTTCTAAGTGGTATTTGCAACCCCCCCCCCTCCAGCGTTCCGACCGTTTTTACTGATCAATCGAACAATTTCATCAGAGTGAAAGCGTAGTCGAGTTTAAAAGCTGTGTTACATTCAGTTTGAAATATAAAATAATTAAATATACTTTTTACACTGTATCCGTAGGTATTGGATTCATCATGAACTCGTCGTTTGATAACCAGGTATCCACGCGAACTTGAAACTAAAGTCAGCTCCTAGCAGCACATCCACGTTACTAAAACAGCTCTTTCAAACTAAAACATCTAAGCCGAGAGTAAGACTCACCGAGATGAGCTAGCGGCATCTGTGTCACGTAGAGAAGTATCACGATAAGCTTTATCTGTATTCTGCACGCCTGTGTATCAAGTACAAATGCGAGCTGTCTCAAGGGATTGAAACCCAGCGTACGCTTCATCACGGCAACCGCTATCACAAACGATATAAACTCGAGCGAGCTGTAGGCGAGTACCGTGAGTGTGGACGACGCTAGCTCCGAGCTTGTAAGCCCCTGCATTGTCGAGAAGTAGATTCGGTTTGGCAAGTGAAACAGTACCACGCGAAATAGACCTGCTCATCAATACAACAAACCGTCGTCAGTCTCACTACCGGAAGGATATCAAGCGTGCATGTTCCTCGTACTGTGCACAATTGGCGACATCACTTCGATGTACTCAAACAGCACGACGTATTCCGTGATGAAGAGTACGTGCAGACTCTTTCGAATGAACAGGTCTCGCTCCTTACGCGAGAAAATGGTCTCAATATTCATGTCAGCCAAGGCTGTTGCCGTGGTGCTCTTCGTTATTTGACCTTTTTCGAGTTGGTTCTGGGGGATACTTGCTGGTACGACTTGAGACCCTTGAAACAATTTACGCTTCGGCACTTCCGAGTAAACAATCATTTCATGGGTTGTTTCCGTGTCGGGGTGAATGGTTGCAGGGGAAGGGTCTCTCGAAAGGTTGGTCTTCTTTGAGCTGTGTTTACTATCCGTCTTCTGGGTATCTTGTCGGTCTTTATTCGCCTCATTTGCTGCAAGGATCCTCAACAAAACTTGAACAAAGTTTTCCTTTGCGAGTGGATGATGTTGTGGAATCTTCTCCATCAGCTTTGTGATACCGATGAAAACCTCCACGATTTCCACCATGGACAGACAGAAACCCCCAAGGTCGGATGCCATGACGGTGGCGGTTGACATCCAAGACGAGGTGCTTTGCAGCGCGTTGGAAATATACAGCGAGTTGAAGAATTCCACCACGAAGACGATCATTTCGGGCTTGGCCTCGTCTTGACCAGTTAAGGTGAAGTTCATCCAGTTTTTGGCGATAAGCTTCATGATAGGCAGCACTGCAACGAACAACACTTGGGCGGTGCCTGACAGCGACACAAACTCGTAGATGTAGAGTGGGTAGATGAAGGGAAGCGAGAGAAAACAGTGAACGCCGGCGAGCACTTGCTTGACGTCGGCCCATAACGCGCTGTCACTTCGGAGCTGATGATCTGCTAATCTCAAGTGGCAAAATGCCTCCACACACATCATGGGAACCCCGACAATTAAGACCCCGAATGGCCACGGGAAGAAGGTGAACTCACACACCACGCCAATAAAAATCATCGCAACTCCAGCCGCAAACAGCGAGACGCAGACAATCTGCGGAATAGTCACGACAAGGCGAGGAACGTCCTGGTTTATCATCAAGGGAATGCTCCCGCCCACCATCGCAGCCACGAGCCAACCTCGAATAAAGAAGACCCAGTTGTCGACAACACCAACGTCGATCGGCTCTAGGGGTGGCAGCTCTTTCAGGATGCTCAGCAGGATGCAAGGCAGAGGCGTAAGTAGTACGGTAAGGATGATTCTCGTGACGCTTACTCGCTGGGAGTAGTCGTTCAGCCGGTGGAAGCGATCGATAGTGTAGTTTCATGGGAGTTCCACTTGGAGAGACATCCATCTCGCCTTCAAGCGCTCGATAGCGGCCCGGAGCCGCTTCGTCATGGCAACCATTTCGCTTTAAGTCCACACCTCTGACGAGACTGGCAAAAAATGTGCCAACAATAGCTCTGCCGGACACACGTTTTGCAGAATGTTGGTCTTCAAGTTGCAGCGAAATGATGGTCGGCGTCAAGTAAACATTATTGCCCAATCAACATGGCCATAGAGTTGAATATCCACCAATCATACCGTCATCGTTTTCTGCGACACTGCGAGGACGTGCGTGGAGCATTGCGCGTGGCCAGCATTGACACATTCGCCGACTACCCGCCACCCTGCCCAGCATGATGGCCTCGCTGCTTATGTCCGTCTTTGACGTTGTGCGCTTCGTCTCGGGCTTCTCGTCCAAGAACGCCATCGTCGACCAGTACAACTGGAGCTACATCGAGCGGCCCGGCAAGGACGAGAAGGAGGACGTCGTCGTGTTTCTCCACGGCTTCAGCTCAGTCAAGGAGTCGTGGGTCCGGGTGGCCCGCGGCGTGGACAAGCGCTACAAGATCGTGATCCCGGACCTGCCCGGCCAAGGCCGCACCACACCCGTCGACACGCTGGCCAACTACTCGATGCCCAGCCAGGCCTCGAGGCTGCACGAGTTCCTCCAAAAGGAGGTGCCCGCGGACAAGAAGATTCATCTTGTGGGCTGCTCTATGGGCGGCATGCTCGCCGGAGTGTACGCGGGGATGTACCCGGAGCGTATCAAGTCCCTCACCATGGTGTGTCCTGCGGGCATCTCCATGCCCAAGAAGAGCACGCTACTGAAAATGCTCGAGGACTCGGGACGGAACCTGTTGCTCGCCCATACAGCGGAAGATCTCGATGAGATGAACCGTCACCTCAGCTATGAACCGCATAGAATCCCGCACCTGTTCCTGAACGTTTTCGCCTCGGAACGAGAGAAGCAGTTGCCTGTGCTGGAGAAGATCGTCGGAGACTCGTTGCAGAACCCGACCGTGTTGGAAGATTTGTTGCCGAATATTCGCGCTAGAACGTTGGTGATGTGGGGAAAGCATGACCAGGTGCTTGACGTGTCCTCGGTGGATGTGCTGAAGGAGAAACTGGCACCGGAGGCGCGAGGACCGGTACTGCTCTTTGACGACTGCGGACACATTCTGCAACACGAGAAGCACGCCGAGTGTACGACTGCGATCAACAAGTTCTTGGCGGGCGAAGCGTTCTCAGTCAAGAACCTCATGTAAAAAGATAATATAGATGCTTCTTTATCAATTTTTTTAAAGTAGGCGCCAAAGAGACGAGTCTTGCACAAGACGAGCAGATTTGTTTTGCTCACGAGGAACGTTTTGTATTTTTTTTAGTTTTGTTATGTTCACATGAAACAAATGCATTTGACTAGATCCTTGTGACGATCTTGTCGCTCGTTGTGGTGGATAACGCGTGAATTAATTGTGGTGATCGAAGTGTTCCTCGACTTTTGGCAACGCTGCACACCTCTTACTCCGACAGAAGTGCGTTCACGGCGCCGCCGACGTTCCCGTCCGCCAATTCCAGCGCGCGAAGATTCTTCTCCTGGTCGACGAAGCCCATCGATGCAAGCAGATCGAGTGCCTCCTTGTAGTCCGCCTTGTCCTCGTTCTCACTGAGCTCGCCTTCTTCGGCAACTGCATCAGCTTCCTGCGCTTCAGCGGAGTCAATAATCTCGATGTCATCGTCGGACGCAGCATCAGCGGAAGCGTCCTTGATCTCAACGTCTTCAGCACTGTCTGCCGTTGGAGCCTCAGACGGAGTCGTCTCCGGGGCGGCATCTCCAGCGGCCACCACGACGTCGATCCAGAAGCGGTGGCCAAAGCTCACGTCCGCCGGGTCACACACGCGCCAGAAGCTGGTGTAGCGTCCAGGTTCACTGGGAGCCACCAGGTCCACTCCGGCAATAAACTCCTCGCCGGGTGCCAACTCCGGCAGGTCGATACGGCTCGATTCTCTGTCATCGGGGAACATCGGATTGCCCGGCTGAGTGATCATGTAGCAGCCATCGGGCCAGGAACGCTCGCCGTCGTTCACGAGTTTCCACATCTTGCGCAACGGCTTTCCGGCCTCGACGACCGTGCCGTCCTCGATGGTCACGTCCTCAAGGAAGCGTGCTTCAAGATCGGAGGTATTGCGGCCCCAGCGGCCACGTCCACGACAACCATGGCGGCGGCGACCTCGCTCACCATCCTCTTGGTCTTCTTCGCCGACTGGGAAGCGCGCATAGCGTCCATGGCGTCCGTGGTGGCCTGGGAATCCACGGCAATCAAACTTCGGCGGGAACTCGGGTGGACAGGGCGGCGGGCCATGCGGGTGGGGGAATCCAAATGGAGGGGGACTGAAGCTTCCGAAGCTGCCGGGAGGACCAAACGGAGGGGGTCCGTGGTGGTGGCGCCCACGACGATCGAAAAACTCCGGCGGCGGGGGAGGTGGGTAGTGGCCGTAGCGGCCTCGTCCGCCGAAGTCAGGAGGGCCTCCATGGTGAGGCGGCGGCGGGAAATCGGGACGACCATCGAAGTGAGGCGGAGGCGGAAAACCTTCATGGTGAGGCGGAGGGCCATGTCCAGGGAATCCGCGGGAGCCTTCGTGATGGGGTGGCGGGCCGTGTCTGGGAAAGCCGGGAGGACCCTCATGGTGAGGCGGTCGGCCAAAGCACTCGGGCGGACCGTGGTGGTGAGGGGGTGGCCCGTGGAAGGGCAAGCCTGGAGGGCCGTGGTGGCCATGGCGGCCGAATTTGCCATGATGTCCATGGTGGCCGAACTTCCCGTGGCGTCCGTGGTACCCAAACTTGCCACGGTGGTGTCCGAACTTGTCGTGGTGGCCAAACGTCCCGCGACGGCACGTGAACTTCAACGCGTGCATCATTCCTGGCTCTTCGATCTTGGTGAACGGTCCGTGCGACTCGTTCCACTTGCTGCTCGCCTCGCAGGCCTCGCACAGGTCGAAGTCCTCCGCCGTCTTCGACTTGAAGCGGATGCCCACAAGGGGGCTCATCTCGCATCCATCGCAGATAACGAAAGGATGCACCAACTCGGTCGGGCGCTTGTGCTTCGGCGCGCGCGACGGGTCCGTGATCTTGATAAACGGCTCGTGGCTCACCCACTTGCCGCTGGCCTCGCAGTCCTCACACAGATCAAAGTCTTCAACTTCCAGCGACCTGTAGCGGACGCCAACCACCGGCGCCTTCTCACAGCCATCACATATGACTCCAAGGTGCACCGGCATCTCCTCCACTTCAGCTAGAGCAGCCTCTATGATCTCATCATTAGAGTCGGCTCTAGAGCTGCTGCTACTGCTGCTACTGGAGCTTGACGCGTCCGAGCCGTCTTCGGCCAGCTCTTCATCATTGTAGCGGACCAGGCCAGACATGCACTTCTTGGCCACGTTCACCATCGCCGGCTTGAGCGTGGGGCAGCGGGCCACCACGCGCTGGAAGAAGGCCAGCAGTTCGTCGAAGCGGGCCGTGGCCGTCTCCTCAATGGCCTGGGCGTCGTCTTGGTAGATGGCCGCCACCATGGCGTCGGCCAGGTCCTTGAACTCCTCCGACGCACTCAGCTCGTCCACCACTTGGCGGAACTCATCGCCCTGCAGCACCGCCAGCAGCTCGCGCTTGACCGCGGCCAGCTCCGTCGAGTCGTCGGCCACGTCCATCGTCTGCAGGCTGGCCACCAGCAGGTTCACGGCGTTGGCCGGCGTGGGCTGCTTGGGCTTGTCCGTCGTCAGCTTGGCCATGGCCGTCACCAGGCCGCGCAGTTGCTTCTGCAGGGCGCCGGCCGGCGGGCCGTGCACGGCCACGAGCAGCGTCAGGCGCTCCAGGCGCTCGTCGGCCATGTAGTCGGCCAGCTCCTTCACGTCCGCGTCGCGGGCCACGGTGACCTCGTCGCCGTCCGAGTCCGTGTAGCGCAGCGAGAAGCCGTGGTTGTCGCCGGCCAGCAGCGCGGCCGCCGCGGCCCGAAGCGTGGCCACCGTCAGCAGCGCGCCGTCATCCGCGGCCAGCGGCAGCGACTGCGTGAGCGGGTCACCGCCGGGCGCAGTGAGCTCGATCACCTTCGTCATCTTCGATCTCCCGGGTCCGGTCTCTCGACTTGAGGAGGGCGAGGAGAAATGAGATCTGGCGAGAACATCGGGGCGCCCAAACTTTCCTTCGCGTTGGACAGTTGGGTTTAACCGTTGGAATGATGGTAACAGAAACCGTAGCCACTTTGCTTTTGCACGGATCCTTCTGGAAGACGGCTCAGTTTTCAGTGCCGAGCTTACTGTAGTACATGTGCGTGAAGATTCAGGCATTCTGCAGCATGAATGCTGGCGTCTGGCACTTGTAGGCAGCAGGCAATGCGTCGACCATTCCAGAAGCAATAGGTCGTGGTGGCAAACGCCAGGAGAAGCGAGTAAACAACAGCGACGAAGTCGTGCTTACGAGCGCTGCGATTTTCTGATACGAAGAGATAGCAGCCATTGTGACGTGTTGCCTTCAACTTCGCTTATCCCTCTCTTATAGCCTACCCTATGCTTTTGGGCAGTCCCTGAGTATTCTTCCTCGAATCCTCGAATTCTGAGAAAACAGCACAAAAGGAGAACAACCTCCAAGAGGAGAATCTCTGCATTAGCTCAACTAACCCAGTAACGCCATGACGACGCTCAAGATCTCGTGGAAGGAGAAGCAGGACATGCGCCGCGTGCAGGTGGCCGCCGTGCACCAGGCGCTGGCGGCCCGGGACGGCCGCGCGCCGGCCGGCCGCAGCGAGCTGAGCTTCCGCGAGCTGCGCGACTACGTGCTGCTGGTGTTCCCGGAGCTCGCGCAGCCCTCAAGCGAGCTGCTGCTGTGCTACATCGACGACGACGACGAGCAGGTGCGCATCACCAACGACGCGGAGCTGGACGAGGCCTTCCGCCTCATGCGCGAGCTGGCCGTGGCCGCCGGCAAGGACGCGGACAACGCCGTGTGCAAGATCATCGTGGTGGCCCGGCCGCTGCAGCCCGCGGCCATGATGGACCCCAGCAGCAGCTCCATGGTGCACGTGCTGCCCGGCGACGCCGAGGAGATGATGCTCAGCCAGCAGAAGAAGAAGATGTCGGACCTGTTCGTGGACCTGGGCAAGGTCGTGGAGAAGTGGGACGCTAGTAGTGAGCACCAGACGCTCAAGAAGGACCTGGTGTCGCTGCTGCACGAGCCCGGCTGCCAGGAGGCGCTCATGGAGATCATGGCCAATGCCAAGGTGGGGTAGAGGGTTCTGCTGTATGGGAGTGGGGGCTGTATTGACAGTATTTCAATTGTTATTGTAGTTTGCGACGCTGTTCCAGACCGTGACGGAGGAGTTCCAGAAGAACGGCAACTTCATGGAGTGTCTGGTGGCTGTGGCCGGCACTGGAGACTTGGAGGGGGTGGCCAAGATCCTGCTGGCCAAGTGCCCCAACGCCCGCGTGCAGGTGGAGCGGGTGCTGCAGCAAGTGCAGTACAGCCACAACGCGCAGCTCATGTCGGCCAGTGACTACTTCGAGGCCATCAACATTGAAGAGACCAAACAGGACCTGGGCCCGGTTGTGGCCGTGTTCGAGGGCGACGTCACCTGCCCCGACGGCACGGTGCTGGCCCCCGGAGAGCCGTTTGACAAGGTGTGGAAGCTCCGCAATGGCGGCCCCAACAAGTGGCCTATCGGTGCGGAACTCTTGTGCGTGGGCGGTGACAAGATGCAAGCCCCTGAAAGCGTGCTGATCCCGTCGGTGCTGCCTGGCAAGTCTATTGACGTGTCGCTTCGCATGGTGGCCCCGGCAAAGCCCGGCCGGTACACTGGATACTGGCGCCTGAGCACTCCCGACGGCAACCGCTTCGGCCAGCGTCTCTGGGTCGACATCAACGTGATGGAGCCGAAAGAGCCAGCAACCGTCGCCGTTGAGACGAAGGAGGTTCGTGTCGACGCCCCCGCTGCGGTCGTCTCGACGGCTGGCGCATCGGTGAACGTTCCGGCGCCCGCTGCTGTGTTGACGAACAACGATGAGGAGCTCCGGTGGACGAACCAGCTTCAGGCCTTGGCCGACATGGGATTCACGGACATGGATCGCAACGTGGCTCTGCTGACTCAACACAACGGCGACATGGACGCCGTCATTACGGGACTTTTGAGTTCTGTCTAAGTGAGGGAGGTTGATCCCTTTGACCCCTTTACCCACCTTTGCCGGCGAACGAACTGAAGTGGTCGCGCTTGGGACGGCTCCCAAAAGTTTGTGTGGAAGGCATTTCCTTCTTCACGACAGCGTACATTACATTGAAACTTCAAAACATTTCCTTTCACTTTACTCCGGGAGTTGGTTTGTATCTGCCTGAGCAATAGTCGTCTTCATGAGTTCAACGAGCTGCACCACGAGCTCTTCTACAGCATCGCTGCTAGCCCGCACTGTTAGAACGGTCTTTGATGTCGCCGCCGTGACATCCACCGTCGCCAAGAAGAACCACGAGTGATCTCGTTGCTTCGCGTAGAAGACGTACTTCTCAATGCCGTTGACGGTCCCGCTAGCCATACACGAGATTCCATGCGCCTCCATCTTCTTCACCAGCGTATCCGACTCCAGCCTGTTGGTATCAGGTAACTCGTCTTGGAACCTAATGGCATTTACTCACGTTAGTCTTGGAACACTCCAGCACATTACGAATCACTTTCACATACCTTTCGACGTATTCGTCCCACATGCTTTCGAACCGCTTTGGGTGAAGCCTTGCCTTGCGATCGAGGTCTAGGCGCAGCTTCTTCGGCGCCATCGATTTAGGAACGGCTAGCGGTGTAGGCTTAGTGGTAGGAGCAGCAGCACGAGGCGGGGGTGGTGGTGGTGGGGCCTTCCACTTCATAGTGATCGCAGGCATCCTGTAAACAGAGAGTCAAATTATTAGGTGCAGAGATCCTTTGACTGAGTTCGTAGTAACTTACTTTGCTCGAAGTGCTGAAGCAGGCTTCCCTGAGGCACTAGAGTTACTGTTAGGTGCACTTGTTGTCGCAGGCTTTTTGATGAGACTGCAATGAGACCATACGAACTAAAGAGTTAGAGTACACATAACAACTACTGTAGAGATCATCAAATTGTGCCCCAACGACGAACGTACCTTTCCATTTCGATGTGATCTTCTCCCTTTTTGGAAATCGCAGCCCGACTGGAGGCTACGCGATTTGATACCGGCTTCGCCGATGTCCTACCGCCCGATCCGTGAGTGTGTTTCTTACTGGGTGAGCGGAAGCAGCTAGTGACAACACGTCCCACGAGGCGAACACTGGGCCGCTTGCGTCGAATATACAGCGTCACTGCAAGCCCCACCGCCACGGCGATTGCCATGGAGCCAACTATACCAAACACAAAGATATCAGAACAACTGCACACCAACAGCACACATCTGAATGACGCAACGCACCTTGCCAAGTCGCGTACGGGAAGGATGAAAACAGCGCTTGGCCGCTCGTCGAATCAAGCGAGAAGCGGTCGAAGAGACTGTCTTCGCCTTGAGGCTCAACTGCTTCTTCTCTCGCGAGAAACTTCTTGCCATCAAGTATACCTTCAAACACGTGCGATCGAAAGCCGCTGTGTGAAATATACAGCTCATAGCTCTTGGTCGAGTCCACCGCCGCTCCAGTAATCGCCTTGAATGACACGACCTCGCTCGTATCAGGCAGCACCGCCGCCGGTGTGACCAACGGTAGAACGATCCCCTCCGCCTTATCCTCCTTCGCTCGAGTTCCTCCCTTCTCCACCAGCGTCAACCGGTACAAATGCAACGGTGTCTTGCCGCCGTTCTTCACATGCAGCTGCACGTGGGTGAAGAACGTCTGCTCCTTGGTCGGTTCACTCACTCCTCCATCCTCTTCATCGCCTCCGTCCGACCAAATGAGCGTCTCCCCTAGAATAAACTGCGGCAGTCCACTGCCACTGGTCGGTAGGTCGTACGCCGGGGAGACCGGAACATGTCGTACCATGCCCGTGGTTTGGTCGAACGAGACCCTCTTCTCCGTCTCAAAGAGCCTCTCCACCTGTCGCTTGGTCTCGTGACCCCAGGCCTCCAGACTCTCCTCCACCTCCATGTTAGACCTGGAGCACACCGACGCGATCCCCAGCAGGGCGATCGTGGAGGACTCGACGTCCTCCGGCTCCAGCACGCAGTCCACCGCGTGCAGCGAATACGTCCGCAGGGACGACTTCAAGTGGCCAACCACCGCGTTCATGGGCGAGCTGCGCAGACACCCTTTGCCGGCGGACGCATCCACCTGTCCGCCCATTGCGTTCTCCACGTCGCGGCTCGGGAACGCGATGTCGATGCCCACGTCCAGGCAGAAGACGGGAGGCGCCGCGTCGTCCGCTGGAATGTCCTTGATCTGAGGCGCCAGGCTGCGCAGAGAGCCCGGAACTTCGGCGGCGGAGGCGTGGAGGGTATTGCCTAGATGGAGATGGAACAACAGGCAGAGCGGGAGAAGTACATGGAGCCGCAGCGGCGCGAGCCGCCATAGGTCGCGCATGGTATGGTGATCAACGCTGGAAGGCTGTTCGATATCTCTCTCTTCAAATCGCAGCGTAATTCAGAGTAGCAAATCCGAGTAATTATGCACAGAATTAGAGATAAAACTGAGGATCTGCCCCCGATTGTGTTTCATTTCAATTTCGAGCCGAGAAGCATGGCTGACGCTGAGGAGAAGCGTCGCGCGCCGGAGGTTGTTGACCTGGTGGACGACGAGGACGGAGACAACGATACCCACAATGAAGAAGAAGACGTCATGGAGGACACCGAGGAGGACGCTGTGAGTCGATAGAGAAAGTGTACAGTACTGAAGTGATTGGACCATTATTCCACTAACTTGCAACTTCATCATTGTCCTGTTGTACTGTACTGTGCCATACGCAGTGCTGCATCTGCCAGGACCTGGTGGACGTCCTGAAGCAGGGGGTCCTGTCCGGGTGCGACCACCGCTTCCACTTCGACTGCATCGTGGCCTGGGCCAAGGTGACCAACCTCTGTCCGCTCTGCAAGACCAAGTTCAACTCGGTCACCCGGCAGGACGCGCAGGGCGTCGTGGTGCACCGAGAGGCCATCCTCGACCACAAGCAGGTGTACCGACCGGACCCATCGGACCACGACATTGCCGCCCAATTGAGGCTCGTGAACCAGGCGAGGTGCGAGCTATGCGGCTCTGGGGAGGACGAGCACGTGCTGCTGCTGTGTGAAGCGCTGGGCTGCGGGGTGGCCAACCACACGTACTGCATTGGACTGCGGGCCGTGCCCAATACGTCGTGGTACTGCTCCAGACATGCCACTACGCAGCAGAGAGCGAGCGACGCTATTGTACGCCCGGCGACGACGGTGTCCACGCGCCGTCGGACGCGAAGACTGGCCAGTTTGATGTCGAACGTGCTCGGTGGGCGTAGGGAAACTACAGCGACGAGAGCTCGGCGACGAGGAAACCCAAACTTTGTGGCGGTGGGGGAGGCAGAGGACAGACGACCGATGCGCGGGATCGCCGCGGCGTATGCGCTGCGCATGTCGCGAGAGCTCATGCAGGTGCAACTGCGCGCTGACGCCATGTTTGCGCGTGGAGACTTGACGCAGTCGTCTTTGTATGGTCGGAGGGGTGGAAGCGATGCCAGTGCTGCTCGTAATGGAACAAGGTCGACCATAACACAGTCCGGTTCGTCGGCTATCGACCAAATGTGGGAAGATCATAGTCGAAGCAGACAGGAACTCGCAGCGGCTGCGATTGCAGCGCATGATCACGGGTCTGGAGGAGATAATGGGGGTACGCGGCCAAGCCAGCGCAGCAACAGTGTGTCCAATACGTTCGCTCCGGAGTATTGCGAGCTAGCCAAGCTGATGCAGGATGCAGTCAGTAGCGACAACTATGCGTCGTCTGTGACTCTGCTGATCCCCAAGACGGCCAAGCTGAGGCTGGTATCTCGAGTGAAAACCTTCTTTGGCCGACTCAACCAGAAGGAGAAGGCCGCTGCAGTTGAACTGGGATGTCTGGCGGTGCTGCATCAGTGGATTCGCGTGGCCGAACAGGAAGGTGGCAATACCGTCTCTGCGCCCAATCCTCAAGTGCTGGATGCAGTGCTCGGGATATTGGAGACGCTTCCCGTCCGAAAAGAAGATCTCGTGGAGGTAAGCACGCATGTCGTAGACTTTATCATATGAATTAGCTTAGCTGATCAGTATTGTTGATTTTTAGGAGCAGGGGTTGCAAGACACTATGGACAGGCTTTCGGAACTTTCTGATGTGAGCATTGAAAATCGGCAGCGGATTATCGAGCTCAGTGAAAAGTGGCGTGAGCTGAACCCTCCAGCGCCAGTTGAGCCACCTCGGTCCCCAGTAAACCCACAAGTGTCGTCGCCAGTTAACGCAGCGCAGAATTTGCCTGTAATAACAGCCTTCACCTCTCCAAAGCGACCAGCGCGATCAAGTAGCAAGCGGAAGCGAAAGCGCGAAGCGTACGTACCTCCCTCCTTTATTGCAGTTGTCTACGGTCTGAGCTAATGTGAACCTCTGCGTGCGAGCAGCTGGTCGGATACCGTTGTCGAGTACGTGAAGGCAAAGCTGTATCCGCTTTACAAGCAGAGCGACGGGGCCGGCAAGTTAACGAAAGACCGGTTCAAGGCGATTGTTAAGGAAGTGGCGGAGCTGTTCTCGCAAGAAGCAGCGTCCATGCAGTCAGCGTTGCTGCTGCCATCCGGGGAATTGTCCAACCTCGCCAAGTCACGTGTCAAGAAACTCATCGACAGAGTGTACAAGGCGTCCGCAAGCGGGGCTCCTGGTCGCGGAGCTAGTGCCCCAACTCCGTTGCTTATGCGCGCAGCTGTGCCGGCATCAACGTACTCTGCAGTCCCGTCTATCAAGCATCAACGAAGAAGATAAAGGCAAGATTTCAGGCACGGCACCTTTTCAAGGGAAGAAAGGAACAACTAATACTCAAACTCGACTGTACACTTGGATACACATACATTAACAAAACGAGACCATTTAGCCGAGCCGTTAAAGAGCCCAGTAATTTCTTTTCCAACTTCTCACGACAGGTACACTCCAAGGGCAGCCGAGTCCTCCTGCGAGATCCCGGCATCGTTCAGCCGCTTCTTCTGAATCATTTGCTCCACCATCCACTCCGTCTTCATCTTCTGCGTCGTCATCTTCGCCTGCTGGAGCTGCTCCTGCGCCAACGCGAGTTGCACCGCATGCAGCTCACTATTCCGCTGTTCGCGCTTGGTTTCAAGGTCCAAACGCCGGCTTTCGACCTCCAGACGCGCAGCTTGGATACTTAGTTTCCTTCTCAGATACTCCGTCGACCCCTTCCCGACCTGTTGCGTGCTCGAACTCCCAGGTCGCGCCACCTCCGGCGTCGTAGCAGCATTGCCATGTTCTCCCCCGTCATTCTCCTGCCTTGCGCTCGCCACCCTTTGTCTCTTGATTGTCGACTGGAAACTCTGAGGAGTCTCAACCTCCACTTCATTGGCCGGAGGGATGGGAGCAGGAACAGTAACCGGAGCAGGAGCGGGGGCAGGCACGGACATCACTGCAACCGGCACTGGGGTCTGCGTGTGAGTCTGGTTCTGCACTTGAGCTTGAAGCTGCGGCATGGACACAGGCGGAGTCAACGGCGCAGGCTGCATCATCCCAACACTGGCGAAAATCTGCTGCTGTTGTTGCTGCTGCTGCTGCTGTTGCTGCGCCGCCGTACTCACATAAGTACCCTGCTGCGGCTGGTGCTGTTGATGATCCACATAAATCTCCTGAGGCTGAGGCTGAGGCTGAGGCTGATGTGGTTGCTGCTGCTGTCCAGCATTGTCCCTGTAGACGTCCTGCGGCTGCTGAGGTTGCTGTCCACTATTGTCCCTGTAGACGTCTTGTGGCTGCTGTCCACTATTGTCTCGGTAGACGTCCTGTGTCTGAATCTGCTGCTGCTGTTGCTGTGGCTGCTGCTGTTCACCTCTGTAGATGTCATGGGGCTGGCCCGAGTTGTTATTGCCGTAGATATCGTGGGGCTGTTGCTGCGGCTGCTGTTGGTCTCCGCTATTGACGTAGATGTTCTGCAGCTCCGACGTGGACGTGGGCACGAAGAGCACGGGCTCCTCCAGCGGCGGCTCGAGCGCCTGCTGCTGGTTGTGAGGCTGAGACTGAGCCGGAGCCTGATGCGGCTGCGTCTGAGTCTGCTCCTGGTCGTGCGAGAGCAGCACCTTGACGAAGGCCTCCTTGTTGCGGCGGCGCGGGTTCGTCTTGAGCTGGCGCTGCGTGATCTCGCGCTTGAGCTGCGACAGCGACCAATCCTTGTAGTCGTCCGAGCGCGGGGGCGAGCAGCGCTCGTCGCCCTTGGCGGACCACAGCCGAGACACCTTGGGCGCGCTCCAGCTCGACGACGGAGCGTTCATCAGGAGGTCCCTTTGGGGCGGAGTAACTGTGCATTGATTTGCGGCAAGATCATGGAATAGCATAATTCAGTTGTACGCAATTGGGTAGGTTGGTATGCTAAAACGGGAAACTTTTTGCGAAGTCTCGATGTCTTTGAGCCGTACGTATGAATGACCCGTCAAGGCTTCGTTGAGAGGTAAGTATGAATGACCCGGTGATCCTAGGTATATTATACTCGTAAAGTTTTCGATGATCGTGTATGATACACGAGCATCGAAAACTTTACGAAGGAGCTATACGCTGACACGTCTCAAGCCGTAAGTATGAATGACCCGTCAAGGCTTCGTTGAGAGGCCCGCATGCGCCTATTGTAAATCACGGCATCAGCAACTTCATGGGGGCATTTTCGCCCTTCGGTTAGATTGGCTAACGGCAACAAAACAAACTACCGCACAAAAGCTACCACACCTCCGTGGTTTCATGTCAGTTCCTCAACCTCGGAGAAAGGTTTACAAGGTTAAAACGTTTTGAGGCATGCACTTCATCTCCCTTCAGGAGATTAAGCACTTGCTGCGATTCGCAGCTGGGTGGCGTGTTTCCTTCATGGCTACAGTACGCCAAGTCGTCTTGCATGTCATGGTGCGCTATTGTACCCCGCACAATACCTATCTAGCTACATCAAGTCGGTCATTCCTCATAGACTATGACGCAGAAGTTGGCGTGTTATCCCTAAGATAGGATCACGGTACTATGACTCATAGTACCGTGATCTATCTTAGGGATAACACGCCAACTTCTGCGTCATCATTGATCACCCAGTGCCTTACTCACAATATTCTCTCACGCCGAACTCCCACATTGTACAAACGCGATTTACGAGTCCAATTCCCCACTCTTCACTTCGCTTTCCACCCAGAGTCCCCCACAATTCGAGCGAGAGTGGCGTCCAGGATGCTGAGGGCGTTGGCAGTTTTCGCCTTCGCCGCAGTTCGCCACGTTGCTTCGGACAGCTCAGCGAAGCGTTCGGAGGTCCTCACGGCGGTGGATTCTCCGACGAGGGCTCAATCGTGAGGTTGTTGGTGGTCAAGTTCTTCTGTATTCCAGCTAAAGTAAGAAGCCTTTAATAAGCGCGAGATTAATGTGGGCGACTAGATAACGGAGGAGCTTAATGGACGTCGGAACGAGGATCTTCCCGCAAGGCACAGCGGAGAGAGAGATGTCATCGAATCGATGACATCGATGAGGCTGCCCCGAATCTTGCCCGGCTCATTTAGTGTACAGAAGTTTCGGACAGGCCACATGCCCTCGGCCACATGCTTTCAATGCCGCGACGCTGTGCTGTTCGTACCGAAAGCGGAGGAAGACTTTCCGCCTTCCAGCATGGATACCGGTAGCTCTACGTCTCAAATGATATTTTTCTTAAGACCGTTTTAACTCTTTAACTGCAAATTCAAGGCATTGGGATGAGTTCACATACTTATGAAGATCATGCAGCACTCGCTTGCTCCAACACCAGACCAACAACAAACTGACGAAGTGCAAGCGACAGCAAATCATTTCTCTATCCGTTTGGGCAAAGGTCTCGTTTGAGACGGGCACCCGATGTCCCTATCATTCTCGGTTCTCCAGTCTCGAGTGCACACGTAGTGTGCTTAGACTCGAACTTGCAGGCCGGGACTCACTCGTATATCATGGCCCTTCCAGTTATGGTCACAGCTCTCCAGGTTATCGTGTTCACAGTGCTGCTCGCAGTCCAAGAGGTAACTTCGGACGATGTTAGACTTCTCCGACCAAGCGTCGGTCGTGTCCGGACAGACCGTCACCTCCATCACCATCCGGGCGGGTGACCGCGCTTGGGGATATCGGCACCTACAGCTCAGACATTCACACATGGAGGAAATGGCGGAACCGACAACACTCTCGCTTGCAGAGGGTGAGAACATCAATTATATAGAGGCTCATTGGGGCGAGAAGGACGGCCACACGAGAGTATTCTACCTAAACTTCGGAACAAGTGCTGGCAACTCGGTCTCTGGCGGCTCACAGACCGACTCGAAGGGATCAGTGTCAGCACCCGAGGGGTATCAACTGGGAGGGTTCTTTAGACGTGACGGCGATGAAATCGATACGCTGGGCGCTATCTGGTCGAGTATTCAAGCTGCAGATGACACTCCAGGCACAGTCGCTCCGACCGACATACTGGATAGTACAGCAGGATCAGCTTCAGCGGCAGCTCCGCCTGCCACCTCCGAACCTGCACCTACGGCCACTTCAGGTTCTAGCCCTATGAGTGCACCAGCGTCTGCTACCGGATCAGGATCCGCACCAGCTCCAGCTCCAGCGGCTCCAAGTTCGCCCAAATCGTCAGCAGGTTCAGGATCTGCTGCTCCAGTAGCTCCAGCTCCGTCCGGATCTTCAGGCTCCAGTGCCCCAGCGCCTTCCGGTCCTGCAGTGCGGCTCAGTGAGACCTTTGGTGGTCCCCATGGTAACGAATTCACGGATCAAGCCGCCGCTACGTCAGGCCAGACTATCACTTCGCTCTCTGTTCGTGGTGCCGCCCGCATTGACGGTCTCACTCTTGAAGTTTCTGGACCAAAACCTCAGACGTTCACCCACGGAGGCACTGGAGGAGATCCGTACACGCTCAAGCTCGGCGAAGGCGAGTTTATCACGTCGATGGAAGCTCACTGGGGTCAGAAGGAAGGCCATACTCGCATCTTTACCAAAACTTCGGTACGAGTGCCGGTAACTCCGTCTCGGCAGGAACGCAGACGGATGAAAAGGGCTCAGTTACTGCCCCTGACGGCTATCAACTTGGAGGGTTCTTCGGTCGTGACGGTGACGAGATCGACCTCCTTGGAGTCGTATGGACTAGCATTGCTGTCGTGAAGGATGCTCCCCCTACGTCAGGCTCAGGAACGGCAGCCAGTGCGGCAGTGGACGTGTCGGACCAAGACATTGTACTCAGTGACCCCTCACGGCAACGCGTTCTCGGATATCGACTCGATCAAGTTCTTGCAGACTGTAAGTTCGATCACGATCCGCTCTGATAAGCGCGTGGACGCTATCACGTTGCAAGTCCTGGCGGTAAGGTTTTAAACAGGTCTTATGCAGGTCTGGTCTGTCTTGGTCCGTAGGACCAAAACAGGACCGAAATAAAATTAGCCTCCAAATGGGAACTAAAAAATATCCTAACAAAACTAGGTTTTTAAAAAAACTCTATAATTGTATTGGTAAACGGAAATTAGATGTATTATGTATTGGAAGGGAAATTGCATAATAAGCAAACCGTGTCAGGGCCTTCAACCTGCTGTCAACCGTTAATTGTCGGTCATGCTGCGGGTAACCCGGCTTGTACGTCGCTCGACTCTGGCTGCCCGGGCCGTCCGACTTGGTCTATCCACTTGGGCTTCCTGGGAACGCATCGATGCTAGACCTCCATGATCACCCCTGCCACCTCGAGTTGAAGCTTTACGACCACCGCGAGTTGAAGCTGTACGACCACCGCGAGTTGAAGCAGCACGACCAGCGTGACTGGTTCGTGAGTTCGACGACCTACTGGCTTCACGACGCGCAGCGTTAACACGCGATGTCAAGTCGACCACAACTGGCAACTCGATCTCCTCGTGAGCTGGGGCAACAGCTCTGCGATTAGAGATATCGCCAAGCCGTTGCACGTACCGCCGCGATAACGTGTCGATTGTCGATACGAAAGCGGGGATGCTTGGGTGTGGCGCAGCGATGGCTGCGTTGAGTTCCCGGTTGATCCGCTCCAGGGGGTTGTTGGTTCGGCTTACCACTCCCAAATCCATGCCATAAACATTCCACACATCGACTGGAAAAATGTTGATCCATGTCCGACGAAAGTACTTCCAGAAACGATCCCACCCAACCGCCGAGTACTCAATCTCTTCGGTACGGCAGCGAGACATAATCAACTCGGAGACATAGTTGATTCCGTGGGGATCGACATGAGCAGGTACGATCACGGTTAGCATGTCCAACACGCCGACTTCCATCCCAATCGAGATCTCCTGGGGTCGGATACGCAACTTCATCATGCGTCGTCGGGTCGCTTGCTTGAAGTGAAACAAGCATCCGATGACCCTGGCGTGCGGAAACTGGTCGGTCACTGAATCGATCAGCGCTGCCTCGAAGTCGCAGACGACACTCCCAGGTTGAAGGCGACTAACCGTGCAGTCATTCATGAACCGCATTAACTTTTGGTATAGTTGATGGGTTTTGCCAGTCGTAAGAGCGTAAACGCAAGGCACGAACACGCCACTTGCTGCGTCGCTCACCATCAACACGACACACTGGTAGAACGACCTCGGGACGCACCGGAAAGTTCCGTCGACGAATATTACCTAGCCCGGATACCGAAGTAACTCCAGCAGTCGAGCGTCCGCCCAACCCAGCACACGCTGTAGCCGCTCGTCCTCCGTAAAGACGTGGTGGAACTGGAAAAAATTCAATGTAGTCCCTTGAACCAGGCTCTGCGGTGCAACCTTAACCATTCCATGCACGTTTCCACCGAAATGAACACGTCTCGTGCGGTACATATGTTGCCGGACTTGATGTCGTGTCAGTCCTTGAACAACCGCGCTGTCGTCTCTGACGAACAACTGCTCGCGGACCGCCAACGAAATCTGTTGCGCCGTGTGTGAAAGGTGCCGAATCGACAATCGATCAACCTCGGCCTTCATTTCCTCGGTGACGTCAACGTATCGGCTTGGAGCTTGGCCCGTCCCTTCACAAGTGTGTGGCGTAAAATTGTAGAACACATCTCGCGCAAAACTGTAGTCGACTTTCCCTTTGCACCCCGGAGTACGTCGGTAAAAGCTGCACCGGAAGGAAATCTTGCGCGAGGATTCTCGGGCTTTCGTGTACTGATGGCCGTTGAGTTGGATGACGGTGCGATGCGCTGTCGCGACGAGGTCGATTCCCGCATGCACTTGACGCCCTGACGCAGAAGGTTGAACTGCGAGCTCGTCGCCTTCGTCCTCACTGCTAACAGTCTCCACTTCAGGGTCGTATGCGTCAGAGTCGTCCAAACAGCTGCTGGCTTCGCTGTCGTCCATGTCATAGCGGGAAGAACCGAGAACAAGTCCACCGGGCAGCCTGGTCACATCCCCTTGAGTGGACACGCTTGAGCCACCGCTGGAGACCGAGTCATCGTCAACTTCAATATCTCGCGGGGGAGTCCCAGCCGGCGAGTCTTCATCATCGCTGTCGTCATCACTGCTGAAACAGGGTTCTCGATCCCCATAAACAGGAGAGATATAGACAGCATCGCTGTCAGCATCACTGTTGCTCGCCGACGCTCCTCCACGATCCGAATTGAAGCCAAATTCCCACTGCTGGTCGAATTCACCGTCGCTGTGGTGGCTTGAAGAGGTCGGAGTTGATGCGGTGGTGGTTCGCATCACGACTTGACGCAGACCAGGGGTTGCAGGGTGGAGGCGGCGAAGGCGAAGAGCTGGTGGGTTGTCAGAAAAAATCCGAATGAACACAAATTCACACCGTTAGAGCAAAGCCCAACAGCAGCAAAAGTTTTTGTTACCAGTCGAAACCTACGTAACTACTGGTATGTTTGGACACCCCCGTTCAATCGCATAATGTTACTAATAGATCGAGTTATTTTAGCCAATAAGTGTCCGTCAGTATTCGAACTTGCGTATTCTTAGCAGCACAATCCCACGGAACGGAATTTGGCGCTCCCTGTTCAATCGCATAGCGCTTGAGAATGTTCAGAAATCTAGCCTATAGGAAGCCTTCACTATAGAAAGTTTTCCGTTTTTGTCTTTTCAGTGTCGATATACAACTTCCCAACCCTGGACAATCTCATGATGTTGGGAATAAATAGTCTAAAGATTTGAAATAGACAATAAGGCCGATTTTTGATGGAATAGTTCCACCATGCAATAATATTAAAAATCTTGGGATGTTCTAAGGGTAGCACCCTGTTACATAGACCACCTCTGTAAGCCTAAACTTGGAATGGCCCAAACTACGATTTAGATCGAGATTTTGAGATCCAGTCTTCAGTCCGGTACACTTACTACTCTCAGCAAACTAACGGTGATTTGAATATAACAAACATTGGATGAAGGGGCCAGCTCTGATCAAATGGCGACTACCGCTTTACCGGGCGCTGCTAAAGGGGTGGCTAGCCCCTCCATTTGTCGTCGTTGCCTTTACATAGCCTTTTTTAACCGCCTATTCAAACGATAGTAATAGCTTCGTAAACTTAAAGGTCCTCGATACTAAACGTACGAGGAAGATAAATTGATTTAGAAATTATCCTATATTGACCAATTCTACCTTTAGTACACCATTCCCATTGTTGTTATGCAATATTCGTCTATCACACGGACATGTACCGAATATCAGACATGTTGTGAACCAAATTATAATCCCCAGCAGTACTATACTAAGCTCTATCATCTACTACTACTACTAAATATCACGATATTATATCAAAGTGAAGAGGGTCTAAAATTAGCGTGTTTCGTAGTGATACCATTTGGGTCTCGGCATCCACCGGGGAAATCATACTTATTTCCCGTTCGGTCTCGTTTAGATGTCGTAGGACCAAAACAGGACCAGACCTGCATAAGACCTGTTTAAAAATCTTCCCAGTGGAGCTGACGATGTCTCACGGAGGCAAAGGTGGAGAGGACAAGACGCTCACGCTTGCCCCTGGGGAATACGTCACGTCAATGGAGGCTCATTGGGGCAAGAAAGATGACCACACGCGCGTATTCTACCTCAACTTCGAGACGAACAAGGGTAACTCGATCTCTGGAGGCACGACAACAGACGACAACGCAGTAGCTAAAGCTCCCGACGGGTTTCAACTCGCTGGGTTTTACGGCCGCGCGGAGGACGGGGTTGATCAACTGGGGGCTATTTGGACGAGGATTTCCGCTAAGGATCTAGAGCTCACGGACGAGGAGGACAGCTCTGGCTCCGGTGTCATGTACGGAACTACCATCCGCAACTGGGTGGGACCCACCATCGGAACGTCCTCTGATACAGCCTGCTATCGTAAGTCGGTGGACTTCGACAGCAAGAACATTTGCCCGCTAGGATACGGCAAGGAGGACACCAACTGCCAGGCTCAGTGTCCGCTGGCATACCCGGTACAGTGCTCCTTGGAGTGCATCCCTCAGAACGATGACTGCGTGCTTGAAGCGCTCTCGAAGATCGGATCCGTCGTCACTGTGGCGCTCAACGCCGCCACTGGAGGCGTCTTTGGAGAGATCTACGCGACGTACAAGACGGCCAAGTGGGCTGTCACCTGCGCCGCCAACATTGTCACAGTAGTCCGCGGTTTAATCTACTACCTCCGCTACCGACAGACCTCAGCGCCGCAAGGAGACACGGCCGAGCTACTCACTGCTGCGTATCAGACGGATGTCGTGGTCTACGATCTACCCGTCGCAGTGTGCACGTGTCTGGGTCTTCCGGTCCCGAAGAACGCCAAGTTTGCCGACACTGTGCTTGTTATCGTCGAGGGTATCGTGAAGCAAGCCACCACCAACGGAGAGGAGATCGTCTCGACTGGAGAGAACGTGCTCAAGTTGCTCACTGGTACTGGAGCACTCAACGGCACGTCGGACACGACGGTGGACGACCTCCAGGACTTGATCAGCAAGAACTCGAGCTGCGGCTACGAGCTCAAGCGCCTCACCCACCACGTCGTGCGTGCAGTCAACGACGTCCGAAACTCGACTCCAGACGCCTCTGCTGATGACGTCCGCGTGAGCGTCTACAAGTCTTCGATCGTGATGAACGACATCCCCACCGTGACGAATATGTGCATGGGGGAACTGCTAGACAACAAGACACTGACAGCCGCGTTCGAGACGCGTGATATGCTGCGGAAGACGTTCGGCGTGATCGTCGACCAGCTCATTGATACCGGCACGACCGACATGGGCAAGAATGTGGCGAAAGACGACTACATGCTCAAGGTGGCGAATATGGGTCTTGTAGTGCTATCGACCCGACGGGGATCGCGTACATGGCGTCGCAGTTCGTGCAGCCGATCTGCGGCCCGACTGCGTATCTGGGCGAGATCGACGACGGGCGACTGTCCGATGCTCTGGGGTTGTCAACAGTGGACGAAGCGTTCATCGGCAGCTACGGCACGTGGACCAAGAAGGGCGACGGCGTGGTTCACCTCATCTTTGATAGCGTGGATATCTACGACGTCAAGGTGGTCATTCATTCGGGTGGAGACAAATATGCCGAGGTGAAGGTGGGCGCGGGGGAGACGGTGACCTGGGACGCCACGATCCCGGAGTTGCAGGACAAGACGCTGTACTTGGATCGGTGGCGGCCTGGAATTCTAGGGCTGCCTGGTTCTGGCGGTGGTTCGTTGTTGCTGTGGGTCCCGAGGTCGTCGGAGGGAGGACACCTTGAGATGCACGTGCGCATCAACCCGAGCTAGGTTTTTCGTAGTGGCGTGGTGTAGGAAGCTAGAGCTTGAGTAGTAATAGGTGAATTCCATGGACAGTTCCTGCTGTATAATGGTCAAGTTTAACCCTCTGCACCCTCGGCGGGGTGCACAAAGGAGACAACGCGTACGTGCTCATCTAAAACGACCCTATGCAGCTGACCAGATGAGTATGAGTATTGCCGTCGACTTTAGAGCGTTGAAGACCGCAAATCGAGTGTCACTTGCAGGGTAAGCACTTGGTCGACGTGCTTGCTCAGCAAGCCTCACAAGTTGTGAGGTGCGTCCATCAGTCTCCAATGTGGCCATTCACCCGTCATTGACTACCTCGCAGCCGATTCCACGGACCGACAAAGGTACATGTGCAACTTGCACAGTTAGCTTAGTCTGCAGACGAAAGCCTTTGATCCGACCCGTGCACATCTTGTCGAGTCCAGGCATCAGATCTCGGTAATCGCGCTGAGCATTCCAAGAGCATCCCCAATCCCATGATCACCAGATTCATGTAAGTTGTCAATCCGACCTGCTCTCGTGGTTTGAGTAGCTTTGGCACTCTCAACGACGATGATCGCTATGGGTAGCACGTGTACTGTAGCGACTTGCTTTAACAAGCTCGCAGGCCTCCGGGACTGCAACTTGAAGAGGTACATTTAACTGTCATGGAGAGGGTCCTGCAACGTGCTTGTACATGCACCAGTCAACGCATGACCAGCCAGCTGCTCCCGGCGCAGCTCCACAGCAATCACCAAGGAGCTTCATAAATTGGTCTACAGCTTCACCCTACGTGGCGTTGCTGTGCTGTCCGACAGCACTGCATAACGTTCATCACGCGTAAATCCTTGGCATTCTCCAAGGCATCAGCACTCTACTATTCCAGCTTGTCGCCGAGGAAGCATGCACCAAACCAACGGGTCAAGCTTCTGGCGCCTCGTTCGTAGCGAGAATCTAGCCGGAAGGCACTAACACCGGAGTGGCACGCTGTCATCTCGGTCAGCACGAGGTGCTAATCCCCAGTCCCTTATCTGGTCTAGGAGTGCCTTTCCACCGCCGTTGCAAGAGGTCTCGCTGTCTCACATGTCAACAAGGCAACCACAACATCCGCTCGGGGATCGGGGCAACCGATTTCCGCATGGACTCGGTCACTCGCGTTTTTGCAGGTTCTGACACACAGCCAAACCAGCGTCTGAATCTGAAACAGCAGACGTTGTTGCCATCATGGTGGCTATGGCTCTACGGGCATTCGTCTGCGTGCTGCTGGTCGCCGTTCATCGGGTTGCATCGGACAACGCCGTACAATTCAGCGATACTTTCGGAGGCCCCCATGGGACTGAATTCTCGGACGAAGCCTCGGTAGTCGCCGGAGAGACCGTGAGCTTCATCACCATTCGTGCCGGTGCTCGCGTGGACGGCATTTCAATGGGTGTGTCGTCGCCTACAGCCCAGACGTTCACGCACGGAGGAAGTGGCGGGACGGACAACACGCTCACGCTCGCGACGGGCGAGTACATCACGTCGATGGTCGCCCATTGGGGCAAGAAGGACGGCCACACTCGGATCTTCTACCTCAGCTTCGGTACAAGTGCTGGCAACTCGATCTCAGGTGGAACGCAGACCGACTCGGCCGGATCCACGACGGCCCCCGAGGGTTACCAGCTTGCAGGGTTCTACGGTCAAGACGGCGACGAGATCGATCTACTCGGTGCGATCTGGGCGAGCATTGATGCGACGACGGAGAGCCCCGCCACGGTCGCCCCTACCAACGATTCGTCAGCATCCGCTTCCACGTCGGTAGAGCAGAATTCTGTGGACCAAACGGACCTGTCAACGTCCGTGGAGCAGAATTCCGTGACCCAAACGGACTTGCCACCAGCTTCTTCAACGGGTTCATCGGCTCAAAGCTCGGGGATGGATGACGGGACACTCATTGTATCTGAATCTCCGAGCACCACTGCTCCAGCTTCAGCTTCCTCGGGATCTGCTACTCGCCTAAGCCAAAGCTTCGGTGGACCTCACGGCACGGAATTCTCGGACTTGTCGCTGGCGACATCGGGCCAAACGATCACCTCTCTCACGATTCGTGCGGGAGACCGCGTCGACGGCCTCACTCTACAAGTGTCAGCCCCGACGGCGCAGACCTTCACCCACGGCGGAACTGGGGGGTCGGACAACACTCTCACGCTCGAGTCAGGCGAGTACATCACGTCCATGGAGGTTCACTGGGGCCAAAAGGACGGGCACACGCGCATTTTCTACTTGAGTTTCGGTACGAGCGCTGGCAACATGGTTTCTGGAGGAACTCAAACGGATCAAAGTGGCTCGGTGAGCGCACCTGACGGGTATCAGCTGGGCGGGTTCTTCGGCCGTGACGCGACCTTCTTGGTGCGATCTGGACGAGTATCGACGCCATTACGGCAAGCTCTGGAAGCTCAGCCACCACCACGACTGTATCGGATAGTGACATCGTCCTTAGTGACCTGTACGGCGGTCCCCACGGCGTCGCGTTCTCTGACATCAACTCCATCAAGTTCCAGCAAACGGTGAGCTCTATTACGATCCGCTCTGGTGACCGTGTGGATGCCGTGACGCTGCAGGTCACCGCACTGGTAGAGGTTACCATGAACCACGGAGGCTCAGGAGGAACCGATGCTACGCTCACACTTGGGGTTGGGGAGTATATCACATCCATGGAGGCTCATTGGGGCAAGAAGGACGACCACACGCGGGTGTTCTACCTGAATTTCGTCACGAATTTCGGCAACTCCATCTCTGGAGGAACTCAGACTGATGACAAGGCCACTGCTACCGCCCCTGATGGGTTCCAACTCGCTGGGTTCTACGGTCGCGCGGAGGATGAAGTTGATCAGCTTGGTGCGATCTGGACGAGGATCTTAGCCACGGACCTATCGCTGTCCGATGAAGAGACGAGCTCGAGTCTAATTTACGGAACTACCATCCGAAACTGGGTGGGCCCCACCATCGGCGAGTCCAGCGACACGGCGTGCTACCGGAAGTCGGTAGCTTACAACACTACCAATATTTGTCCGCTGGGATATGGCAAAGACGGTAGCGACTGTGTGGCTCAATGCCCATTGTCGTACCCGGTCTCATGCTCATTGGAGTGTATCCCTCAGAACGACGACTGCGCGCTCGAGGTGCTCTCAAAGATCGGATCCGTCGTCACTGTGGCTCTAAACGCTGCTACTGCCGGCGTCTTTGGAGAAATCTACGCAACGTACAAGACCGCCAAGTGGGCTATCACCTGTGCCGCGAATATTATCACAGTGATCCGCGGTCTCATCTACTACCTCCGGTACAGACAAACGTCGGCGCCTGAAGGAGACACAGCGGAACTGCTCGTCGTAGCCTACCAGCTCGACGTGGTGTTGTACGATCTCCCCGTGGCTGTCTGCACTTGTCTCGGCCTACCCGTTCCCAAGAACGCCAAGTTTGCTGATATTGTGCTGAAGGTTGTGGAGGGTATTGTGAAGCAAGCCATCACCAACGGCGACGAGATCGTCTCGACTGCTGAGAACGTGCTGAACCTCCTTACGGGTACTGGGGCTCTGAACACGACCGACTCGACCGTCGATGAGCTCCAGGACCTCATGGATACCAACTCGAGCTGCGGTTATGAGCTCAAACGCTTGACGGATCACGTCGTCCGCTCGGTTAATGAGATCAGCAACGCAACCCCCGGAGTCAATGTGGATGATATTCGAGTAACGGTGTACCAGTCGTCCATCGTGCTGAACGGCATCCCTGCTGTGACCAACTACTGCATGGGGGAGCTTCTGGCCAACAAGACGCTCACAGCAGCGTACGAGACGCGCGATATGCTGCGGACAACGTTCGGGGTTATCATCGACCAGCTCATTGAGACCGGCACGACGGATATGGGCGAATCGGTTGCGGAAGACGAGTACATGCTCAAGGTGTCGAACATGGGGCTTGTTGCCTTGTCGATGATTGACCCGACGGGTATCGCGTACATGGCGTCGCAGTTCGTGCAGCCGATTTGTGGACCGACAGCATATTTGGGCGAGATCGACGACGGCACGCTCTACGACGCTCTCGGACTTACGACGGTGGACGAGGCGTTCGAAGGAAGTTACGGCACGTGGACCAAGAAGGGAGACGGAGTTGTCCACCTCAGTTTGGAGAGTGTGGACACCGAAGACGTGACGGTGGTGGTCCACTCGGGAGGCGACACGTACGCTGAGGTGAAAGTCGGAGCGGGCGAGACTGTGACCTGGGACGCCACAATCCCGGAGCTGCAGGACAAGACCATGTACATCGATCGCTGGCGTCCGGGCCTTCTGGGTCTGCCTGGATCCGGAGGAGGTTCGCTGGTGCTCTGGATCCCTCGGTCATCGCAGGGCGGCCACATCGACATGCACGTGCGTATCAACGTTAGTTAAGTTTTATGAGCTTGTGAGTTGGATTGAACTCGGATCAAGTCGAAAAGAAAAATTTAATGTCATTGGAAATGGTGTTGAGGCTGATACCTTTTCAGCAAGGCTGCAACTAACTCACTGTAGAGGCGACCTGTTCAATGAACTAGGTGCACTACGTGTATATTGGTAGACCACGATACATGTAACGTTAGTAGTCATCACGATAGGAAGACGCCATTTCATAACCGAGGATTTCAAAGTGGAAATCACTTGTAGAACGCGCAAAATACCCTAAATCAAATGGTTTTAGCACGAGCTTATGATAATGCACGGTACGGTCTAACAAAAAAATACTCGCCCAAACAAAATCCGGGATTTGGTCCACGAGTTCTCAACACTTCATGCGAGCGGAACGGGGGCACCGTGCACCACTCCCACGAATACAAATCTAAACTTACCGCCGCAAAGCGGCGGCGCTGTAAAAACATAAGCGCAAGACGCCCCTCTTGCGGTTAAATCGCGATTCGTAGTTAGGTTGATTAGTAACCTGGTGTTTTGACGCCGGCTACTTCGTTATGTAACCTCCGCGCGGCAGATCAAAGACAGCGGATACAGTGACACCTCCCTAAATGAACCCCTCTAACTGACTATGTGTTCCCTATCTGGTTAGGATTCCTCGACTGCAAACGGGATTATATGGATTTCACTATAGGTGTTCTATAACTGATCAAAAACCTCTTTATTCTCTAAATGGTCGCCATTGTTGGCCTCAACCCTCTAAATGGACGCCTTAGTAATAGATCCAAACTCAAATATTTTTCTCAATCACTTCCCTGCCTCCTCCCACGTATGCCATTGCTACCACTACTCCCGCCACAACAAATCGAGCGAAGAGAGAAATTGTATTTGGGATGCTAAGTTGGAACAAAGAGTTTGCACTGCAAGCTTGTAAATACTGGTAAATAAGCTAGCCACAGTGCTTTACAATCAGCGCAGCGTACATATATATTTTACGAAAAGCTAAAATATTATGATGTCGAGACAACTAGGGGCTATGCAGTAGATACCAAGCAAAAGATAAAACTGCAGGCATGGTGGCAGGATATCGAGACAATAAATATTCCCATAACCTCAATGTATTGAAACTCACGTACACCCTGAGGGGGTGCGATTCTGCTAATACCAATGAGAAGAAGGAGTAGGAACAGACAATACCGCACCTACCGTTATTGGTTAAGTTCTGTACGAAACAAAACAAGAGTATGAAAATGCTACCAGGTAGAGAAAGCCCTTGTATTGTGCACCTAACATATGAAAATGTAGCCATTAGAAGTGTAGCCATTTCTTTATCTGATCAATTCGTTAACTGTATTAGACGTCACCAAAAACCACCATGTGCTGACATCCGTCCTGGGACCCCCGACAAATATAACAGCCAATAGGAGACAACATTCAGCAATCTCGCCAGAAGCAGCAAGTTGATGCCAACAAGATCAGCGACCGTCACTGCGGTGGAGGCACTGCGGGCCCGCAAGCTCGGACGGTGCATGAAGTAAGTGCTGCAGATCCTAATGAGATGTATGCGGTGACCTATGTTCTTAACTATTCGATTTGCTTGTGCTGATATGGCAGCATACTCTAGTGGTGATGTGAAGCCGACTACTGAGCGGGACAGACTTACCACAGCTAGCTGTATCAAGTGGCTGCCCAGAGCTGCTGCGGCCTCTACTCTGACTAGTGCTGTGGCTAACAAGAACAGGGGGCGAGGCCTTGATCGTGCTAGGCATCCTGCATCACTGTTGCACTAGATCTACCCGCGTCGATATGGTTTCGGCGACTCAGCTGGCGCAAAGCGCAGGCAAGCTCATGGAAGCCAACGTACCGTAGACGATTGAGGCTCACTTCGCCGGCGTTCTTTCAGTTGGAGATCGACTCCAACTCGTGCTATGTAAAGGTACATACTCATTTTCAAATGCGTTGTGGGGTGTGCTAATTACTAAGATACTACCACTTGTTGTATATTGATGTAGACATTTAGCTGGTGGCAAGCGGATTTATTCTGCATGAAAAGAAACTGGTAATAGACTGCATTGGTGCTGATTGGCGGTGCATGCAGTTCGGATTGGTGCTGTTGGGTCCACATCCACGCTTTCGTTTGTTGCAGCTTGCGCACGCTGGGCCTGTTGGCCGTGCACTGTTGAGCGTTTGACTGTGCACAAATGCAGGTGGTACAGGTGCTGGGTTTGAAGATACACTCCCGGATACCGGTGCTGCTGTTGGCACGTTGTTGCCTTCTGCTGCCTGTAGCACTGCGCGCCGTTTACGCTCTGCATTGAGTCGACAACGAAGTTTGTTCAAATCCAAGCTCCCGGACGGGTGTATCTGCTGGTATTTTGCGACGACACTCGGCCACTTTCCGTGAGCCCCTTTTCGAAAACTAGCCGCGTGCTCCAGCAGAGCATCTAGAGTGGTTTCGTCCAAAATTTCAAACCGACTTCTTTTTGGTGAGTGTGGAGCTTCTTGGCTACTTGAATTACTGGGGTTGGTCGCTGGTACCGACACACACAGCCATGCCAAATTGTAGCTGCTGTGTAGAAGCATCTACCGGTGCAAGAGGTTTCGGTGGACGAGATACTTTATTGTCTGTGAACGGATCTTGCGCGAGTGCCTCTACGGAGGCGTTTGGAGGTTGGATGGAGTTACACGAAGAAGTGTTGAGTTCGACACCTTCATATCTGCGACGCTTGTAGCTTACGGACCGGCGCAAAGAATCCCAGCGTCGCTCCAGAAATTCATCACTCTTCTGATTAATTCCCGAGCATGTGCAGGCGGCAAAATCGAGAGACTTGCTTGGCGTGCTTAATACCGACCGGTAATCGTGACGATGAAGTGTCTGCTTCGCTCTGTCGTAACGCGCTTCGAACATTTTTAAACTTAATCGTGAAGGATGAGCTTGACTTTTTGAGTGCGCCCCATCTCCTCTCTAGTGATACTTTGTCAAATGCTCGAACTCCACCGCAGACACAGCTCGCGAAGTCATAGAGTCTACAAAACGCCAGTCGTTTCTGCGAGACAATATTGGTCCGTCGAAGAGTGTCAAATAGTTGCTGCTGCAGCGCTCGCTCGGATCCTGTTTGACAACGACAGAATCGCCCAGCGCTTCCACAACGAATTTCCGCACGGCTGCCGCTTTATCAGAGATGAGATAGCAGTCGCCGTCTGCATCGAGCTGCGGTCGAACGTCAGAGAGTAGTTGCATGGTCTCATCTTTGTTTTCGGAGCTCGTAAGACGCCGACCAACTATCTGCCCGATTTCATTTTGCAACAGAAGCAATATTTTTGCGTCTGCTAGATTATCACGTTGTCCATGACCGCTCCACAGTTTCAATCGTTTGCAGAACTTCACCGAGTGATCAGCACGCAGGACCTTCTTCACTTTGGTCTGCTTCATTACTACTTCACACAGAGAGCCGTATAATTCAGTGTACGCCAACCAGGCGTCGGTCATTGAGCTTTGTGACACCACCTTGTTTTTTTCCAGGTATGCATCGACGGTGGGCGGGATCGGCGGCAAATAAGCGGCATTTTCGCGGTACTTCTGGCCGACTGCATAAACTAACTTTGAGAGCAACTCGTAGTACCTGTTGCGTCGACGTCTCTCCAAGTGACTCAAAGCACGCGAGAATCCATTGGGAGAGAGAATTCCTTCATGAACGTGCTCCATTAACCCCTTAGAAAACCCCATTTTCTTGCTAATGACGAACGGGAGATGTACTGCCACGTCTGGGTTAGCCTCGAGAAAGCTAGAGCTCAACGTTAAAAACGTCCTGGCCTTTCCGCTTGCAACTTTGCGGGCGCACTGGTACTTCACATAGAGAACATTATACTTGTATCCGACGTCCTCAATAACACGCTGCTTCCTCTCTTTCACGTTAGACTCACATTGACATCCTGGCACCACACAGAACGGACGCTTCCATCGTCTTCTTGCTTCTGGAACCCACACCAACACCGGCCGAGAAAAAAACGAAGCCAAGCTTGCTCCACACGATACAGATTCAGGAAAGACAGTCTGAGGTGGGAACGAACACGTGTCTAGAGCCTGTTGTACCAATCTTCTTCTCTCATTGAGCGGGATAACGTCGGGATCTCGTACTAAATCACCGCTAGCTTGCTCGCACATCGGGCCCAATTGTTGATCCGCCGGATTTATCTAGAGTGGAGCGACTCTTCGAGCCGCTCCGCCGGAGATAGCCGAAACTCGCCGGAGATAGCGGGGCCTGCCGGCCCCCGCTATCTCCAATAAATCCTATTCCTAGCTGGCGGCGGGGCCGCCCTTCGGGTGGCGGCGGGTGGCGGGCCGCAAGGCCCGCCAACCCTGGTCAAGCCGGAGGCCCATTGGGGCAATAAGGACGACCACACGCGCATCTTTTACCTAAATTTTGGCACGAGCGCCGGCAACTCGATCGCGGGAGGGTCCATGACGGACGACAAGAACTCGGTGACGGCACCCGAGGGCTTTCAGCTCGGAGGGTTTTTCGGTCGTGACGGTGACGAGATCAACCTGTTGGGCGCCATTTGGACGCGTATTGCTGCTGATACTCCCCCTCCCCCTACGGACCCGCCTGCTCCAGCTCCCGCTCCGGCCCCAGCTCCTGAGCCGGCGCCGTCGGAAGAAGTGCCGGCGGTTACTGAAGCCCCAGCTCCAGCGCCGGCGGAGGCTCCGGCACCGACAGCTACGGAAGCTCCAGCACCGGCAGCACCTGCCATCTCGGTGGAGGATTCCGTGCAGCTTAGTGAAAGCTTCGGCGGCCCCCATGGTACCGAGTTCTCGGATGAATCTGCTGCCACTTCAGGACAGAAAGTTGCGTCCATTACGATTCGAGCGGGCGAGCGCGTCGACGGCGTCGCGCTCGAAGTAACTGAGCCAAAAGCTACGACATTCAGTCACGGAGGAACTGGAGGAACGGAGAACAAGCTGACACTCGCTGCTGACGAGTATATTACGTCCATGGAGGCCCATTGGGGGAAGAAGAACGACCACACGCGTATTTTCTACTTGAGTTTCGGTACGAGCGCCGGCAACACGGTGTCGGGAGGGTCCATTACGGATGATAAGAACTCTGTTACGGCCCCTGAAGGTTTCCAGCTTGGTGGATTCTTCGGCCGTGACGGTGACGAGATCGACTCCCTCGGTGCGGTTTGGACGAGATTGAACTGGTGACAGCCGCACCAACTCCGGCTCCGGTACCCGAGGAAGCTCCAGGTACAGTGAAGCCGGCAGGTTCAGGCTCAGTGGCGTCTGGAGGTACGACCACGAAGGTGAAGCGAGCTAGTCAGTTGAGCGAGTCGTTTGGTGGACCTCATGGCAACCAGTTCTCCGATCAACCGGCTGCTACTTCAGGACAAACAATCACGTCACTTACAGTGCGTGGCGCGGAGCGTATTGACGGTCTCACTTTGGAAGTGTCGGCACCGACGGCTCAGACATTCACACACGGTGGAACGGGAGGAGATCCGTACACGCTCACGCTCGGTGAAGGGGAACATATCACGTCAATGGAGGCTCATTGGGGTCAAAAGGACGGCCATACACGCACCTTCTATCTGAATTTCGGTACCAGTGCCGGCAATTCCGTCTCCGCAGGTTCTCAGACTGACGAGAAGGCTTCGATTACTGCGCCGGAAGGTTATCAGCTCGGAGGATTCTTTGGGCGTGACGGCGATGAGATTGACCTGCTTGGTGTCGTGTGGACGAGCATTGAAGTTGTGGGGGAACCTGCAGCTGCTGCTGTATCAGCAGACGAAGATATTGTGTTAAGTGAGACGTTCGGTGGTCCTCATGGAATTGCGTTCTCGGATATCAACTCGATCAAGTTCGGTCAGACAGTGAGCTCTATTACGATCCGGTCAGCCGAGCGAGTTGACGCTGTGACGCTACAGGTTGCTGCCCCTGCCGAGGTGACAATGAACCACGGAGGGAAAGGAAGTGAAGACAAGACGCTCACGCTTGGCCCTGGTGAGTACATTACGTCCATGGAAGCTAATTGGGGCAAGAAGAACGACCACACGAGAGTATTCTACGTAAGCTTCACAACCAGTGCTGGTAACACGATCTCGGGTGGGTCGCCCACCGACGATAAGGGCACAGTCACCGCCCCTGAAGGCTTTCAACTGAGTGGATTCCACGGCCGCGCGGAAGACGAAGTGGATCAACTTGGAGTCATTTGGACGAGGATTTCGGCTAAGAACATCGAGTTGACCGACTCTGCCGGCAACGGCAACGGCACGTCAATTCGCAACTGGGTGGGCCCCACTGTCGGAGCGGCCAGTGAGACAGCCTGCTACCGGAAGACGGTGGCGTTCGACAGCAACAACATTTGTCCCTTGGGCTACGGCAAAGACGACGACGACTGCATCACGCAGTGCCCCATGGCTTACCCCGTTTCGTGCGCGTTGGAGTGCATCCCTCAGAACGACGACTGTGCACTCGATGTTCTCTCCAAGATCGGATCTGTCGTGGCGGTGGCGCTTAATGCCGCAACTGGAGGAGTGTTTGGTGAGATTCTGGCGGCGTACAAGACTGCCAAGTGGGCTATCACTTGCGCTGCGAACATCGTCTCGGTGGTGAGATCCTTGATCTTCTACATGCGGTACCAGCAGACAGCGGCACCCCAAGGAGACACCGAACAGCTTCTCACTGTGGCCTAGTGGCCTACCAAGCGGACGTCGTGCTGATCGATCTGCCCGTGGCTGTGTGCGTGTGCCTCAACCTCCCAGTCCCTAAGGGAGCTGTCTTCGCGGATACCGTACTCACTATCGTCGAAGGTATCGTAAAGCAGGCTATCACCAATGGAGACGAAATCATCTCGACGGGAGCAAACGTCCTGAATTTACTCACAGGCAGTGGAGCGGTCAACTCGTCGGCTACAACTGTGGACGAACTGCAGGAGCTCATCGACAAGAATTCCTCCTGTGGGTGGCAACTCAAGAGCCTCACCGACCGCGTAGTGTTCGCGGTCAATGATGTTCGGAACAAGACGCCGAACGCTGCCGCTGACGACGTCCGAGTGATTGTGTACAAGTCCGCCACCGTTCTCAACGACATCCCGACCGTCACTAACAACTGTATGGGCGAGTTATTGGCCACCAAGACGCTGACAGCCTCGTTCGAGACGCGCGACATGCTCCGGAAGACGTTCGGAGTGATCGTGGACCAGCTCATCGAGACCGGCACGACCGACATGGGCAAGGATGTGGACAACGACGAGTATATGCTCAAGGTGGCGAACATGGGGCTCGTCGTGCTGTCGACGATTGACCCGACGGGGATCGCCTACATGGGCTCGCAGTTCGTCCAGCCCATCTGTGGGCCGACTGCATATCTTGGCGAGATTGATGACGGGACGCTGCACGACGCGCTGGGGCTTACGACTGTGGACGAAGCGTTTGAGGGGAGTCACGGGTCTTGGACCAAGGTGGGCGACGGGGTGGTGCACATTGTGTTCGAGAGCGTTGACACCAAGGACGTGACGGTGGTGATCCACTCGGGAGGTGACAAGTACGCGGAGGTTGATGTTGGAGCAGGAGATGTGGTGACGTGGGACGCAACGATCCCGGAGTTGCAAGACAAAAGAACATGTACCTGGATCGATGGCGGCCCGGAATTCTGGGTCTTCCTGGCTCTGGAGGTGGTTCGTTGTTGCTCTGGATTCCGAGGTCGTCGGAGGGAGGACATATCACGCGATGCATGTGCGGATTAACGTCAGTTAGAGACGACAGGTTTTTTGTTGTTTAGCTTGAAGTCATAGAGCTACATGTATGTGGTGTCAAGCGTAAAGTAAAGTCTATGAGAGTTGTAAGGACTGTTTGAATAGCGATGACGGAGATTCTCGTTCGTTCACCGAAAGTTGACCTGTTGACTGTGAGCAAATCGCTCTCGGTCCGACCCTCAACGCTGACAGAAGTGTTAGGCCCCGACTCAACCGGCAAATCGAACGGTGTGGTGCTCCTTTGGACGGCTCGAAGATAGGTTACAACAGTGCCGCTCAGGAATTATTGCTTTTCCATCTATCCTACAGGCATGGGGTAAATTGTGGTACATTGTGGTTACGAGCCAAAGACATGAGGTTCCTTGCTGGAGAAGCAAGGAACCTCATGGAGAAGCAAGGTGCCGAATGGCTACCCTAAAGGGATGGTGGGAGGGTTGAAATTCCTGAGTCGCCAGCGATGGCGCGAGACGATAGCGCGCGTGAGTCGCGCATGATCTTGATATTGAAGCGACGAGGATGATAGCGTCCGAGGTCTCTGGCGTAGCGAGGGCCGGATGCCGCACCTTTCTCGTCGTGTCGCTGAGACCACAATTGAACCGACAGAATCGTTCTCTGCCGTCTGAATCGAGTCTTGTCCAGCGATTTCGGGGGCCTTTGGATGCCATCCGGACTCCGGAAAAACACATATCCATAACTCTGGTTGCTGCGCTCTCTGCGCCAGGATATTAACCAATTCTCGTAAGGACGGCACTGCAAGCTTTACGCGAGTTAATTTGCAGCCCAGTTCGTCCGTGTAGGAGGGCAATTCAGCGCATCGCTGTCTTCACGACTTCAACGCGCGAAACACGCATCTCGGTAATCGTCCTGGGGGCGCCTATCTCAATCTTTTCTATCCCGATCTCATGATCCTCTCCAAGTTATACATTTCCTAGTGCAATCCCATCCGAAACTTCATCTTACTGTTGCATGGCAAGGTTCTCCGAGGCCACGACTGACACGATACTATCATCGATAGATAGCGTCGGCAGCGAGGGTCGTGGCCATTGTTGGCATCAATGCCGCCGTCATCACGCTGAGACCGAGCACGCTCTCGCCTCACTTGTCATTATCGAAATTGCTTCCCATGGCGCTTCGGATAGCGTTCCGAGCGTTGGCTGTGTTCGTGCTTGGGGCGTCTTCAGATGACTCAGTCCAGCTAAGTAAAACCTACGGCGGGCCCCATGGAACGCCCTCCTCCGACCAAGCCTCAGTCGCTGCTGGCCAGACCGTGAGCTCCCTCACTCTCCGCTCTGGTGACCGAGTTGACGGCTTGACCCTCGTCATATCCAAGCCGACGTCAATGACTTTCACGCACGGAGGGAGTGGTGGGAGTGACCAAACGCTCGTGCTCGCTGCGAACGAGTACATCACGTCGATGGAGGTTCACTGGGGCGAAAAGAGCGGCCACACGCGCGTCTTCTACCTAAAATTCCTGACCAGTGCCGGCAATTCACTAGCTGGAGGAAGTACGACGGACTCCAGTGCGACCGTGACAGCGCCTCCAGGGTTCCAGCTCGGCGGGTTTGTCGGTCAAGACGGTGATGAAGTTGATCTACTGGGCGCTATCTGGACGCGCGTTGACGCTGCAGGCCCCGGGACGGTAGCTCCAGGTGGTGCTGGCTCAGGATCAAGTAGTATGTCTGAAGATGTGGGTCAGTCGGAGGATGGCCAGACACAGGAAGCTCCGGATGCGTCGGTGTCCGGTAGCGGAGAACAGCACGTGAAGCCGAGCAAGATTGCGGGTATTGAGCTCAGCGACGTATTCGGAGGCCCTCACGGTGGTTACGAACCTTCAACATCGTCGGGGCAGACAGTGAATTCCACCACTGTTCGTGGCGCGGATCGCGTCGATGGAGTGAGCTTGACAATCTCAGCGCCGACTCCTCTGAGCTTCAAGCATGGAGGCAATGGCGGATCGGACAAGACGCTCGCACTAGCGGAAGGGGAGTATATCACCTCAATGGAAGCTCACTGGGGGCAGCACAACGCCCACACACGCGTGTTTTACCTCAAGTTCACTACCAACAAGGGGAACTCCGTCTCGAATGGGAAACCCACCGATGAACAGGGTGTAGTGACTGCACCTGACGGGTATCAACTGAGTGGGTTCTTTGGACGAAATCGACCGACTTGGAGCGATCTGGACGAGTATTAAGGTCGTGGAAGCCACAGCCACGGAGGCACCCGAAGTCGTAGACGAAGACATCCAACTCAGCGCATTGTACGGCGGTCCACATGGCAATGCCTTCTCGGATATCAATACGCTGGTGCTGGAGCAGACAATTGGTGGTGTCACGATTCGCTCGGACAAGCGCGTTGATGCCGTGTCGCTGCATGTAACAGACCCTGCTGAGGTCTACATGGTGCATGGAGGAACAGGAGGTTCCGATAAAACTCTCATTCTGACAGCGGGGGAGTATATCAACTCCATTGAAGCCCACTGGGACAAGAAGAACGACCACACCCGCGTGTTTTACCTGAATCTGGGGACAAACATGGGCAATTCACTCTCGGGAGGGACTCAGACGGATAACAAGGCAACCGCTACTGCCCCCACTGGCTATCAGTTAGGCGGGTTCTACGGTCGTGCTGGTGATGAAGTCGATCAGATCGGAGCCATTTGGACCCGAATTCGAGCAAAAGGGGTGTCGTTGACGGACGACATGGGGTCGGATATCACCTCGGGCTCTGGTTCTGGTTTCGTTACCTACACCACGTCAATCCGCAACTGGGTGGGACCTACCATCGGCACCCCCACGGACAAGGCTTGCTATCGGAAGACCGAAGGCTTCGACAGCCACAACATTTGCCCTCTCGGGTACGGCAAGAACAGCGAGGATTGCATCACGTACTGCCCCATGGCTTATCCCGTGACGTGCGGGGACGAATGCCTCCCTCAGGGCGGCAACTGCTTGCTGGATACGCTCAAGAAAATATTTTCCGTGATCGCTGTGGCGCTCAACGCTGCGACCGACGGCGTGTTTGGTGAGATTCTGACCACGTTTAAGGAGGTCGCGCTGGTTATCAACTGCGCCACGAATATGGTCAAGGTGATCAAGGCGCTGTTGAAGTATCTAACCATTATCGGTGAATCCGGGGCGAATACCCACGAAGCTCTGATCGACGCAGCCTATCAGTCCAACGCAGTGGTGGTGGATCTACCCGTGGCGGTGTGTACGTGTCTCGGTATTCCAGTCCCCGCCGGTGCGAAATACGCCAGTACAGTGCTCAGTATCGTGGAAAATGTTGTGAAAGAAGTCGTAACAAACGGCGACGAGATCACGTCGGACGCTCAGAGCTTCATGAGCTTCCTCAAACAGAACGTGACTGCCGATACGGCGGAGGCCAGTGTGGATAACCTGCAAGAACTGCTGGACTCCAACACGACGTGCGGCTGGGAGCTCAAACGCCTCACGGATCGTGTCGTCTCCACTGTCAGCGACCTCCGCAATGCAACCAACGCTGCAGTGGATGATATTCGAGTAACTGTGAGCAAGTCGAATCTCGTGCTGTACGACATCCCTAGAGTGACCAACAACTGCATGGGCGAGCTCCTGCACAACAAGACGCAGCAGGCTGCATTCGAGACCCGCGACTTGATCCGCAAGACGTTCGGAGTCATTATCGACCAGCTCGTGGAGACGGGCAAGACAGACACGGGTAAGGACGTCTCCTCCGACGACTACATGCTGAACATCGCCGACATGGGACTGAGTGTACTGTCGACGTTTGACCCCACGGGTCTCGCGTACATGGCGTCCCAGTTCATCCAGCCCACGTGTGGACCCACGTCCTTCATCGGGGAGATCGACGACGGAACGTTATATGAAGCTCTGGGACTCGTAACCCACGGCGATGCGTTCGAAGGCAGCTACGGCACCTGGACGAAATCGGGTGATGGCGTTGTCAACCTCATTTTCGAGAGTACCGACACGAAAGACGTGACGGTAGTCGTCCATTCCGGCGGCGATCAGTACGCGAAGGTGGATGTCGGGTCGGGAGACACTGTGTCGTGGAACTGTACCATCCCCGAGCTGGAGGACAGGACCATGTACTTGGATCGCTGGCGTCCCGGGATTCTGGGTTTGCCTGGAACTGGAGGAGGGTCGTTGCTGATGTGGATTCCAAGATCGACCGAAGGAGGTCACATCAAAATGCACGTGAGAATCAACCCCAGCTAAATTTAAAAGGATGATTTTCGAGTAAACTGCGTCGACAAAATCCATGTACCTAAGTCATAACTTCATTCAAATAGAGTTAATAGCGCGAGAAATACTGAACGCCAACGCGTGTCGAACGAGCTGGCGTTGGCGTAACTGGTCCGGGTCAGGCATGTAACTGCGTGGGAACTGAAGCACTCGTAGAATGCCCTCCATGTCACACTTCATGAGCTGTTCCTGGAGTTCGTCGAGGATGACCAGAGACACACTGAACATGACTCGCCAGCCGTCGATGATGAAGATATCCAGCAGGCGGATCACGAGGTTCGGCGCTAGCGTCTCGAACGACGAGAAGAACGTCAGGAACCAGCGCGTGCAGAACGTCGCCACGTGCACGCCCTCGGCTTGGAAGTGCGCGTACAGCTCCGGCATGTGCGTCGAGAACAACAGCTCGAACTTTGACAGGTACGGTTGGAGTACAGCCATCCCCGGTTCATAGAGGTTGCGGTCGTTCTCCGGCTCCGAGAACCCCACGAACAACCAGAAAATATCCGCTTCATCTTCAGCAACTTCGGTCAGTAAGCGCACCAAGAATCCCATCCCTTGACAGTACCCCACGCGCGGGTTGTACACGACGTACGCGCGCAGCACGCGCCTAATTTTCGCTTCGAGATCGGTATTTCGGGTACTTGAGCTGGCTACGGGCTGGTGGGAGGAAGATCCTCCTTCACCTTTGACAACGATGTCGATCATCTCGTTCAGGACGGATTCAACAGTATCCTCATCGCTGTCGGACGTTGAGGTAACCAATGTGGCCGTGTTATTGGTGTAGATCCTCCGGTGGCATGTGCGCACAACGTCAACGTCAATTTCTCGGAACCACACTGCGAGCTGTGCGTCATCATCACTCAAAGAATCTTCCTCTGCGTCCAACCCACCCGCCAACTTTGTCCCCACTTTCTCCAACAACTGATCGTACATGCTGCAGCGTCTGTCGGCGGACAGATAGTGCGATGCGATGCCGCTTGACCGCCATGGTGTGGATTCGTAAAATACTGAGAGCCACAGCGAACTTCGGATCGATTCCGATAATCCTCCAGATCGGATGCTCTTCTTCCAAATCGGGGCGCTTCCAATCAAGTGAGAATGCAGGCGAAAGTTTACCTAGAAGCGAATGCATTGTTAGGAACAGTTTAATTTCGAGTAACAAGAAATCATTGACAGCACACTTACCTTCGACAGCCGAGCAAGATCTTCGACGCGGAGATATGATAGGCATTCGAAGTAAAGTGAATCATGCTGTAAACCCAAGTGCTCGGTCAGTACAAAGTGAAGAACGAAGTACAACCCTAGAAGAAGCAAGTACAGTGCGCCCCCTCGACCTACTTTTTGAAGTAATCCAGTCAGAAGGTCCTCTGTGTCCGAGCTCATAGAGTCTGCCGTAAGCATGGATTTGCTAGGAGATTTCGCCTCCCTTGCGTCAATTTCCCACAAGCACTCCTCGATGGCTAGCCATTCAGTCGGGGATTGTGGGGTGATGAACATGTGATCTCCACTCTATAATAGTGTCAGCGACAAAAAATGAATTAGAACCGCAACGAAAAAGTAAGGGAACCATGCATGACATACCTTTCGAGGGGAGTTCGCGGCGCTCTGATTCGCACTTCCAGTTGCATCAATAGGCGGTGCTGAACTCTGTCGGATGATCCTTGGCTGGCCGCTTGGGTAGTTGAATTTCCCGCGTATTGTTTTCCGGATTGACCAGAACATACTGGCGGTCCTGCGTGGAGTAATAGGCTGAAAGCTCGCTGTCCTTGGCGATGGAGAAGTTGACCGGCGAATCCTGCTTGACTTGTCTCCATTCGCATCCTCGACCTCTTCTTCGTCATGTGTCACAATTGCGTATGAAGCCAGTGTCAGTAGCCTCGCTGGGTCGCTTTGAGTGTCAATCGTCGGGGTCTTCACGCTGTCTTCTGCTGCTTTGTGCACTTGAGGCACCCTCCCGGCCTCGAAATCTTCTAATGTGATGTGCGACTCATCGTCTTCATCACTTCCTGAAATCGCTTCGACTCCGTCCGGCGCCGTAGACGAGCTCGATCCTTCGACTTCGGTCCACCCATCCGACGTCAAGCTAAACATTTTGGTCAGCTTCGAAGCCGTCGTGGATAGCGATACACTGGGTGGCGTGAGTTTCACAGCCATTGGGATCTTCAGTGGGTGATTAGCTTCCGCAACTACTTCTCTTTCTGCTGATGTTAGACTTGATAGGACGGACTCGCTTGTATAACGGAAGAAGATCGACGTTTGTAGGCGCTAAAATGTACACAAAGATTTAATTACCACCTCCATATCCGCAGACATAACGCAACTTACCGTTGAGCTGAATAAATCCAAGGTGCTTGCAGTAGCTGACTCCACGGCGTCCTCTGCATCATCCACATATAAAGTTAACACATTTTTCTCGCTGTCGATAGATTTTCTACCTTCAAATCCAACTCACCCACTAGCGGCAGCAACTTCATCTCAGCCTCCTGTAGCTCTTCAGCCACTCTGTGCAGGTCCATCTCCGTCTGCGCTCGTTTATCATCGTCCTCCAGCCTCGACGACTGCATCTTCAGCGTTATTGCACGCAGCATCTTGCACTCCGCCGCCAGTTTATCCCACACAATTATTTCTTCTCTCAGCTGGTCATGTCGCTCTAATCTCGCTTGAAGCGGATCCAGCACTGTGAACCGAATGGACTGCTCCATCCTCTCGGCTTCCTCAAGCTCAACCTGCTTCATCGTCGCCTTAAATCCCCCTCCGAAAGAATGTTCCTCATAACCACTACAAAACAATTATCGTTTTTCGTCAGATCTGTAAAAATATAAAACAAAATATGAAAAATTCCTCAATACCTGCAGGTCTCGGAGAAGATTTCCGCGACTGTAGCCATCGTAGCGCACGCGACCTGCAACACCAACACAAAACGTGTTAACACCAACTTTAAGCCACACCTTAAACTTCCTTCCTACAAAATTCTCTAAAGTCAGAACCTGAATCTGCTCGATCATGTGTGTCATCTCCATCTCCAGTCGTCTCAACGCTCTGTCCTGCCTATTAAAGTGCCACACGGCCGCCTCCAGGGGCGACGCGCTCTCCCGGAGCTCTGGCTCCTCCTCGACGGGCGCCTCCTCCGCCGCGCCGCCGCCTCGAGGCGCATAGCGACCGATTTTCCGCCGCAAACCCTGCAGCATCCGACCTGCTCCCCTCCACTACTGTATCGGCTGGTGATTTCTTCTTGGTGAGCGCGCGCGCGGTGTGATTGGCGATCGGATTCGCGCTCCCGCGCCCGTGATTGCAGGAAATTCCAGTGCCAACGGCAACAGGCGAAGGCGAAGGCGAGGCTGTCCCCTATCTACGCAGGTGCATTTTTGCTCGATCGTAGCGTTGCAACCTTCCAGCGTAACGGCTGGACTGGCCTTTTATCTTGAGCTTCAGAATACCCCCGCTTCTGTCAACAGACAGTTGAAGAGGTAAAATCAAAACCAAAAAAATATCATGGGGATTTTCTGCCGCAAGAAGAAGCAGACAAATGATGAAGAGAAGCATGAAGGGGACAAGGAATCGGGCAAGATGGACGCGGAGATCCCCCCGCCGCTCATGATGGTGCTCAATTCCGTGCAAGAAATGGACCGGAAGCCGCCCGTGACGATCGCGCTCATTGGTGTGTTGTGCAACAGTTAGAGAAAGACAGTTGCTGTGAGAAGAAGTGTGGCTAAACGATGGATTGGGGTGCAGCGGTCATGTATTTGCTGCATGTTCAAGCGACACGGACTCCGTCGTTGTTGCGTCCGTTTGCACTGTGAGTGCGTGAGTGTTGGTGACGTTGATGGGAAAATGGGGTTGTCCTCTACTAATTCCTTCTTGTCGTTAGATGTCCTGGTAAAGTGGTGGCAAACAAGGAAATTGCAGCGGTGTTCATCTCGCCGTTCATCCACTGGGAGGACTTGCATCTATACCAAAGCATGTGAGTGCAGAGGGTGGAAGGGTGTACCTAAGGACGACGGGCTGACGTGTTAACCTTAGATTATCCTTCCTTTGGAAAGGATACAAACTGGAAGGACGACTCGGTAGCATTGGCTTTTGCGTGCTGCTGGTCTACTTGATCGTCTTGACGCAAGCACTCATTGTGGCTGGGGCGCACGTGATATCATGGGTTGGTACACTTCTCGCTCGAATTGAAATAGTTGCAGTGAGGCATCTTACGTGGCACTTTGTTTGTTGTTGCTGTAGGGTGCAATGCAGGAATGCATTACAGGCTTTTCCGGTGTGCTTACCGCTATAAAGGTATGGGGCATGGCGGCGCAAAGAGGCATCCAGAGTATTCATGCTGACGGAAGTAATGTTGGTCAGGTGATTTTGAATGTCAATTCGCCAGCATTCACGAAACTTTACAGCTTCAAGGTGCCCACGAAATACGCAGCGTGGCTCGAGTTGGTTATCACCTACCTATTGGTCCCGAAGTTGCCGATACTGGCTCAAGCTGCCGGGCTCATTGCAGGTGCGTTACACTAATGCGTACTCTAGCAACTCGAATGCTCTACTCACGGTTGTACTGCCGTCTAATTACAGGTTACGTCTACGTCGTGACTCCGAACGCGCAGGGGATAGTCGACTGTGTGGCTCAGCAAGTGCAACAGCTCTTGATTCGAGCTGGAATCATGAAAAGACCCCTGCAGTGGTGGCAGCTCTGGCCGAGATTCAGAGACTCCATGCGCCGACGAAAGCAGCGCCGAAAAGAATGAAGAGAATAGGCCGAACGTGGTCTTCAAATTTCAACTCCGTACTAGAAAATTTAACCACAAACACCTTGAAAGGCTTCGATGGAAGTTCGTCTTCATCCGACAGGATTCCACTTAGATAAGGTGCTGGAAGCTCTCCGGCTGGATACTGTACTGCGCAGCTTCCCCTCCACCTCTGTTGCGCTCTTCCAGCATGAAGGTCACGACGCCGCAGTTGCTCATTTTTGCCTCCTTAGCCTCATGCTGCAGGTCGCTGGGGAAGAACTCGCGGCAGAATGCTCGGAACCAGAGCGAGTGGCCGTACACGACCACCACGTCCTTCTGCTGCTTGAAGACCCAGTGCGCGAACGCCAGCAGGCGGTCACGACCGCTGCCCAGCACCGCCTTGTTGCCGTGGCTCTCCGCCACATTGAACAGCTCGTCGTGGCGCTTCTCCCCGCGTAGACCTTGCACCAGCACCTCGTGCGGGTGAGCAGAGTGCGGCGCACTGAGCGCCAGCGTGTCCAAGTTGCGGCCGATCTCCTGCAGACACGACAGCACGTGGATCCTCTCGCCGGGCGTCTCCAGCCTCGAGGCCGACGCGATGCGCGCCGTGTCGATGGTGCGGCGCAGGTTGGACGCGACCACGACGCTGCCGGGCATGGGGCAACACAGATAGCGCAGCAGCGCGCTCTCCTCCGACTGAGGCGGGGAGTGGCGGTGCGGCTGCACGCGGTGCACGGGCTCCAGTGGGGCTGCTGCTGATGCCGCTTGGTTGCCGCCTGCCAGCGAGCAGAGCGGCGTCTCGCTCACGTGGTCGCGCAGACTCTGCGCCTGGAAGCGGCCGCGCTGACTCAGCGGCGAGTCCAGGAAGACCGAGTCGCCCGAGGGCAGCAGCAGCCACTCGCGAGCCACCGCGCGCAGGAGACTCACGAGCGCGCGCAGGTTGAGGCCGCGGTTGAAGACGACGTTCCACTCGGACTCGGCGTGGCGCACGAACAGGACGCGCATGCGCTTGGTCACGACGGCGGCATCCGAGGCGGAGGAGGAGAAGGAGGAGGGGGCGAGGAGGACGCTCGTCTCGGGGGCTGGCACACCTGAGGAAGAAGAGGACGACGCATGGGAGGACAGCCAGTGCTTGTCGCTGGAGAAGAGCAGGTGCAGCAACGCCAGGACGAAGAGCTGCAGCTTCCACACGACGTGGTCGGCGGCGTCCAGCAGCGCGGGCCACACGCCCAGAGACAGCAGGCGACGGCGCGCGCCGCGGTTCATCAGGGGTCGATCGTCGAAGTGATTTAGGACGGTCTTCAATGTATGGCAAGTGGCAACTGCGCACCCTTGATTAGCAACCTGCCTCAAAAAGAAACAAAAAATGTGCCTCAACCTATTTTCAAGGAGATTCTCAAACTTTATAGCCACTAAGAGATTCTCAGGTTTTATAGCCACTTCAACTTCGGGAAGTCATGCAAGCCGATCTTTTTCTCTACGATATATTATAATACCTCAATAGTACGCCGCCAGCTGGCCCATCACAGTCGAAGTTGTTCTCTAAGCGGATAGCTTAGAGCCAGCGTCATTTCTTGTCAGACCATCAGTTTTAAGCATTCGGTACTTTTTAATATGAACTTGAGTATTCAAAATCGGCTGGTACTACCGGTATAAAGCAGCAGAGGCGGTCGGATCGATGTATTTAACGAGTATTCAGTTTTGGAATAAAACGCCGCACGTGTGGACCTTAGCGGACCGACTTCGGAGGCGGCGCGATGAACGATCAGCTGCGCTGCGCATTGCAGCCCATTGATGAACATTGTGTTCATCATGCCATGGCCCATGCCGAGCGCCACGGTGGGGCTCGTGGAGATCGCGTCGCCGCAGTATGTGGCGCACACCACAGAGCTACGTGCTCAAGACAATGATAACAGTATCATGACATGCAAATGCAACTCCAATTATTCTTGCTAGGTTGTCGTGCAATAGCATCTCATCGTACCATAACCATGGTGGATGGGATAGGACGCCGCATCTTTCGTCAGGCGATTAAACATTACAAAAGCAGCACGTCTTTGTTAACGACCGACTTGAGAGTAGCCAGGTCAATATCACCTGGGGCAGTCAGTATTGTACTGCTCGCTAAGCACTGTACGTGATGCCGCCCTTCACGACGGGGTAAGCCCACCTGTAGATCGGCGTGGAAATACGTGATCTTGGTCGTATCCAGCGACCATAAGCGCCATGGTGATAAACAGCTACGCAGAAGTGAAGGGCTGACGCTGTAGTCGACAGGTGCTGTGTGGGCCGGGCCAGATTGAATTTCAACCACAGTACAGTGTAGAGTAGTGCGTAAGTAAGAATACAGCATAGACCTTCAAGGCCATGTTGGTTGCAGTGACAGCGAACCTACACCACCGCTGCTGGTTTATACGAGGGCTGGACCATTAAGTTCTGTCGTAACCCAGATGGTCCAACCCTCGCATAAAGCTGCAGATCAAGCCTTGTAGCAAGATGCAAGTTTGGTTTGCTGCAAACCGTCGAGCCGACGCGAAAGGACTATAGCAGGGGCAGCACTTGGGCATTATCAAGGCAAGTCCTAGAATTATTCAAGGCAAGTCCCAGAGACGCTTTACTTCAATATCCCTGTGCCTAGTGTGCGCATTCAGCAGAAACGAATTGTCAGCCAAGCACAAGCATCGGAGCTCGAGTGAAGTTGCGCCTCATGGCCGAAGAGGACCCGTTCGCTGAGATGGACGCGATGCTCGCAGAGCAAGTGCGCCTACGGGCCCTCCCGCCGAAGCGAACGGTCCGCGGGGTGCGCGAGTTCTACCTGATGCACAAGCCGAAGGAGGACGACTACGTTGGTGTGGCTCTGTGTGTCGCTGGGATCGAGGACCAGCCCAAGCTGTATCGGTACGACCTGGTCGACGCGATTTTCGAGGGCAAAGAGGCTGGGCTGAAGGCGAGAATGGCCAAGATGGACCGCGCGATGCGCAACACTATCACGTTGCAGGTGACAATGTGGAAGCCTCGTAAGCGTCCCCTGGGCGGAGTGCGCTGCCCGCACCGGGTTGGCGAAGTCGACGTCATTGGCAAGGTCCGCAAGCTGCAGATGTACCATTCCCTTCTGCAGGGGCAAGTGGAGGCAGAGGATTGGATGGCTGAGCAGGAGCGCGGCCTCTAAGCGGTCCGACAAGTTGGAGGCGGCGGCGATTGCGGTAGAGTGACGTGCTTTCATGAAAATGCTGAACAAGATGCCGAGCGAACTACCCACAACCAGTGTTCAGCAGTTTGCGTTGGATGATAAGCATGAGCTTGGTTCATGCAGGGCCCACCAGAAGAAAGGTATTTAGCAGATCATCGTGGTAGGTAAGCCTAATTTAATATAACGAGTTGTCAGTGTCAAGCCATGTATTGTCCGTTTTAGAAGTTTGCTGGGAAGTAGTTGGGCACGTCGCTCTTGTGCCGTCCACCACCGTGATGCTATAGTACTGGTATGGCTGCGGCAGGTTCCTCAGCGACATACTTCGACCGTGTAGCGAGTTGCTCAGCAGCCCCTCCAAGATTTGGTTTCGCCGTGGATCTTGCAGCTGTTGCGTTCGTTAAAGAGCTGCATCCACAATAAAGTAATAAGGGCATGTACTGCATGGTATCGGGCTTGACGTCGGCAGCCAGGACCAGTTACCGGTCGGAGGGGAAGCTCAGCAGCTTCTCGCCCACGAATATGAACTTGAGCAACTCGGAGCTATAGCCGACGATGATCTTTGACAACAGTGGCTTGGGTTTTGGGTACGAGGGCAGTGTGGGGGTGGGCGTGTGGTCATCTTGATAGCGGGACCGAAGCCTGGGGTCATCTCGCCAGCACGCCCACGACCATCTCGTGTGTCGAGGCACTAACCTCGACTAATAGTGCAATTGTACTAACAGTGACGCACTATTAGTACAACTGCAGCCACTGGCCAAAATTTCATTTTCTCCTCCAATCAAATTTTTCAGTTTCATATTTTCCAGTAGCCAAATCTTCAGATATTTACTTCTGTAGTAGCAAAGAGCAGTTTTCTCGGAGACATCCAATGGAGGAAGAGACTAAGTGTGAAGATGGCGCTGGGTGCGGGCTGAGTGCGCAGGTGCGAGCGATTCGTAGTAGCCCTATGTATGCAGTACTGCTTGCGGAACAAAGACGAATAAGAACAGAACGAGAACAAGCTTCGGATAGCAATAAGCGCAGACACAATGACGAAGATAACCAGCCGAGTCGGAAACGTCGTAAAGTTGGTAGACAGCGGGAAGCAGAGTATCAACGCCTTCACCGGCTTCGAAACCAAGCATTAAGAGATGAGACTGCGTTTTATACCTCCGCGGAGGTCGATGCAATGGATAGCACTTTAAACATTAAGGTACCAACCGAGGTAGACCTAGCTAGACTTCAGCGTTTTGCAGTTAGGATGTTTGAGGCTTCAACCGGCAAAAGGAGCAATTTGCTGCGTGTGCGAGCTTTTGCATCCTATGAATGATGTACAACTGACACCTTTGACGGATACCATTGCCGAGGTAAGATGTTCTCTGGTTAATTTAGGTGTCATGCGAAACGTCTCTTACCCTTGTGTTCGACAGAGCATGACGCGGTTATTGCGGATACCCGACAACGCAGATATACCAGAGTTTATCTTGAAGCAATACGACGCCGCGTCAGCACTCGATGCTCGGATGAAGGACCTCCTCCTTTTCCCACCAGGTAAGATACAATGGAAACATTCAGCTACTACTGTGTTCTCATACTCGCTCTAATGTTGTAGCCATTCACAGAGAAAATAACTCAACAATTATGCAGGTTTGTCGCGACTGCTTCGAATATATCAACAATAAAAGTAATCGCAAGCCTCCTGCTTTCGCCATTGCGAATGGCAATTATGTTGGTTGGCTACCGCAAGAGTTTCCACCACTTTCTCGTACCGATGAACAAGCCATTGCATTGGTGGCACCTTGCGTGTCCATATCAACAATCACTGGAGGAAATTGCAAAACAATACGATCACATCACTACATGGTGAAAAATACGGAAGGGCACATCGTTTCCATGCTCCCTCGCGATATCTCAGAGCGCGTGCGCGTGACCATTGTTGGAAATCTAACTTCTGAGCAAGATGCAGCCTGTCGAAAACGCTATGAATTAAATGTTGAAAACTGCCGCCAGGTAGTGGCATTTCTAATGGAAAACAACAAGGTATATCGAGAACATAAAGATGAGTGGCAATTGAATGCAAACGAAAGTTGTAGAACCCGAATAATCTAAAGAACAGGTACATCAACATTAAACAGTGATAATGATAGTCTAGCCGAAGCTGTAAGAGACTACGCTACATACAACAACGCCGGATCTGCCATTGCCGAGGGCTCTGATAAATCTCTTGAAAATTGTTGGATAGGAACCTCTAGCCTTATCATGCAGCCACCTACTATCACGAATGATGTTGTTGTCAGAAAATCCAATGCGTTTGTGTCGGCAGACCGCTGGAAGGCATGTGTGCAAATGTTTCCGACATTATTTCCGGGAGGTTGTGGGGGTCCGACAGAAAAGCGCCTCAATCCTATTTCAGTGGAGCGATGGATACAACGCCTGCTACATATCGGGGATCATCGATTTGAAACACACTATGCATGTTTACTCCTCGCATTTGATTATCTGGCACTGCAAAGTGCAAGACAAGCACTGCACATTAAACTTCATGTGTCATCTGACGCGTTAAAAGCAGGATTGATCCCCCGTGATGTAATTC